GCGGATCCGCGATGCGATCATCGCCGACCCGGTGCTCATGCTGCCTGATCCAAGCACACCTTTCGAAGTCGAGGCTGATGCTTCGGACTTCGCGATCGGAGGACAACTTGGTCAGAGGGACAAGGACGGCAAGCTTCATCCAGTTGCGTTCTTCTCCAAGAAACTCGAAGGGCCAAGGCTTAACTACCCGATCCACGACAAGGAGCTTCTCGCAATCATTGAAGCATTCCAGGAATGGAGACCATACCTCAGCGGCACGACACACGAAGTCCAGGTGTACACGGACCACAAGAACTTACGGTACTTCACCACCACCAAGGTGCTGAACGGACGACAAACTCGGTGGGCAGAATTTCTGTCCGAATTCAACTTCACGATCCACTACAAGAAAGGCTCAGAAAACGCACGAGCGGATGCCTTGAGTAGGAGAGCGGATCACCACGACAACACGTCTGAAGCCTCACCACCATTGCTACATCAACAGACAGACGGATCGCTACGGCACGCTTCCCAGCCGACTGAAGACTACGAGATCGCAGCACTTCAGCAGCAGTCGGAAGATCCCGAAGCCAGGCCTCTGCAGCCGTTTGTAGAATGTTGTGCGACCTTCAGAGAACAAAGATTGGAACGAGACTTCCAAGGAATCATCGCGGACGACGAACGCGATGCATGGCAAGAAGAGCCGGAATCCAAGATCGCAGGGTTGCGACTTGAAGGAACGAGGCTCTGGTACCACGACAAGGCCTATGTCAGGCTGGGTGACCAAAAGGAGCTCATTCGAAAGATCCACGAGTCAAGACTCGGAGGACACATGGGAATCGGCAAGACAATTGCGAAAGTCAAGCAGAACTACGACTTCCCAGGAATCAAGCAGACGGCAGAAGGGGTCCTAGCAGAATGCGACCTCTGTAAACGAAGCAAACCAGGACGACACAAGCCGTACGGGCTATTGCAGCCACTGCCAGTCGCAGAACGACCATGGAGTTCGGTGACGATGGACTTCATCACCAAACTGCCAGTCTCCAAGGACTCAGTAACGGGAGTGGAATACGACAGCATCCTCACAATGGTGGACAGACTCACCAAGTGGAGTTACTTCCTCCCTTACAAGGAGACATGGTCAGCAGAACAACTCGCAGACGTGATCTACCGCAACATCACCTCGGTCCACGGATGGCCAGAAGAATGGATCACGGACAGAGACACGAAGTTCGCATCAAAGTTTTGGCAAGCTCTGATGACGAAGCTGGGTACGAAGAGTAAACTTTCGACTGCTTATCACCCACAAACGGACGGACAGACGGAACGACTCAACCAGATCGTCGAGCAATACCTACGGTTGTACGTCAACTTCCAGCAGGATGATTGGGTCGAGCTGTTGCCAACGGCACAACTCGCCTACAACACCACCGTCACGGAGACCACCAAGGTCACGCCATTCTTCGCGAATTACGGCTACGAAGCAGATTTGCGACAAGGGCCCGAGGTTTCGGTGCCCAGAGCGGCAGTCAAAGCCGACAAAATGAGCTCGCTGCACGCGATGCTCAAGGAGGAACTCGAGTTCGTACGAACCAGGATGAAGAAGTTCTACGACAGGAACAGGCTCGAGGGACCTCGCCTAGAAGAGGGGGGCAAAGTTTACCTCATTTCTCGAAATCTTCGCACGAAACGACCAAGTAGGAAGCTCGACTTCCGCAAAGTCGGACCGTTCAAAATCGACAAGAAGATTTCGGAGAACAACTACGCACTCGCGTTACCCTTGACAATGCGACTACGGACCAACGTTTTCCACATCTCGCTTCTGGAGCCAGCACCCAAGGACGCACGACTCGACAAGGACGCCGAGGCAGAGGACGAAGAGGAGGAGTGGGACGTTGAGGAAGTCCTAGATTCACGCATCACGAAAGGACAGTTGGAGTATTTGGTCAAGTGGCTGGACTTTGGCCCAGAAGACAATTCATGGCAACCAGCTACCAACCTCAACTGCCCCGAGAAACTTCAGGAGTTCCACCAGAGGAACCCTGACCGACCACAGGGAATACCAAAGAAGGATCGACCCCGGCGAGCCAATCGTCGAAGGAGGGCCTAGGAGACAATCAGTAAGGCGGTCTGTTGAGGAGGGAGGTGACCAACTCTTCAGCCACGGAAGGAACGGCGAGCGAGGCCACAGCAGCCGCCTCCTCGGCCTCCAGTTCCCGAATGGCGGTATCCTCACGCTCAAACGCTTTCCGAACACGCTCCTGAAACGCGCGCGTTTGCGAATCCAGACGGGCCAGTTTCGCCGTAACCTGACCCAAGGCTGCCACGACTCGATTCTGCTCGGCCAAAGCCGCCGCACGCTCCAAGTCCAACTTGTTCTTCTCGTTGGCGAAAGAACGGATCGTCGAATCCGCGATACCGTCCCAGTCGCAGCCGCGACGGTTAGCAGCAACACAGGAGGCGCACCGATTGGAGTCTTCGGCCACCACACACGACGAGTTGTGCTCTCGGCAATAGGAACAACGGGGCATAGCGTCACCCAAGAAACGGATGCGAGTAGCAAGATCGGCACGACGCTCGGTGCTGGTTTTTGGCCGCTGTTTACGCACTCGGTTAGGAGGCATGACGGGCGACGAAGGCAGGATTGGACAAGAGGATAGCGAAACTCACCAGGGTTAGGCAAAGAATGTTGGCGCTACTTAAGAAGGGGGAAAACCAACGAGCCTTCCGGGACGGAAGACCTGGGGAGGGGCATCGTGTCACGGATATGGTCACATGCAGCCGGCCAGCGGGGCGCGCTGGCAGCGTCCCGGGCCAATCAAGACGGGACGCCTAGCTACCAATGAGAAGGAGATCTGTGGTGGTTACAATGATCTATGGACAGACCACGGCAGTGGTAACAGATCAAGGGGCTCGGCCTCCTGGATCTGTTGACGACCCACCACGGATCACGCAGATCCAGGTACAGAGGTACCTAGGAATTAGATAGTATATAGTCACTCGTTCTGGAGAGCTCTGGGAGTTCTCCAGTTAGCAATCACAACTACAGTTCGCTACAAGCTCGAGAGCCTACTGTTGAGACAAGTCTTTGTTGTGCACCCTTTGGCTGCACCGAACCTAAGCACCCTTGAGAGAATACCTTCGACCGATACTGAACCCTAACAGGACGGGTCCAGAGACAGGTTCGTCACAGAGAGTAGATAGGATATTAGGAGAGAGAAGTAGCTAGAATTATTACTAGGAACCTACTAAGAGCCCTCGAACCAGCTAATATAACTATATAGTTTAATATATCGGTAATAGACTGCTATAGGTTAAAAGATATAGAATAGAACCTCTTAAAGATAAAGAGTAGTCTCCTTATATAGGTAAGGACCGGGAAGATCGGATTGAAGGTATTTCTCTTTTTATAAAGAGTCTTAGATATAGTAATACCGCTATACCGCTATAGAGAGGCTAGAGAGACAGTTAAATACCTGGTTCTAGACTATAGCAAGACTATAGAGAGGCTTTAGCTATAGTCCGATAACTATAAAGAGCTACTAGAGTAGCTAGATATCGCTAATAAAGCGGATCGAATATTTAAATAAGTACTGGACCTTAGTTAACTTAATAAGTTCTAACTAGTACTAGAACTAGAGAGAGAAATAGTAGAGGGGAGGATAGGCAAAACCGAAGTAGAGTAGTAGAGGAGTACCAGAGATAAAGTTATACTTATAGATAATAATATATTAGGAGGAAACATCTTATTTAACCGGGATTCCCTATAGTAAAGCTATAGAGGACCTATAATAGAGAGCCCTAGTACTAACCTATATATATATACTACCCCCCTATCTCTCCCTCTACCCTTACTTATCAACCTCCTCCTCTATACCTACCTTAGTACCCTCCTCTATAACCTCCGCTATATTGTCTTTACAGGCCCGCTTCTAGGGGGAAAGTTTATCTACCTCCTCTTTTAAAGGCTAGCTATTTAGATAGGTACTAAGGGTATTCTAGGTATACTTCTTTATAAAGTTATTAAGGTTAGAGCCCTAGGTTAGGTATACCTAAAAAATCGGTTAGTAGAGATACTATAGAGGACCTAAAGGGAGTTTGTAGAGAGCCTACCTAGGCTATAATCCTAGGGATAAGGTAGATAAGCTTCTCGTTAGTAGCTATAAGCTTCTTATTAGTAACCTTAGTAGTATTAAGCTCTAGTATTATAGAGCTAAGGGTTATACTAAACTCGTTAAGTTAATTAAGGATAGGCTATAGATCGACTATAGTAGTATTATTAGAGGGAGTAGGTAAGGGAGTAGCGGAAGTAATAAAGCTAGTAACAGTATCTACTTTAGCTAGAGGATACTACTATAGGTAATCCTCTATAGAGGTACTAAAGACTATAGGAAAGGTAATATTAAGGCTGAAGGATTAGAGGTATATAGTATTTATAGTAAGTAGGTCTTTATTATATATAGTATACTAACGCTAAACAGTATAGGCCTATAAGAATATAGAGCAATAGGTATAAAAGTGCTCTATAGCGGGGGTATAGAGGACCTTCTTTAATAGTATACTATATACCTCCTTCTAAGCCTCGATACTGTCGATAAGAGTTAGGAAGGTAAAGGACTCGCGTATTTGTAGAGAGAATGTAGCGAGGGTGCTAGGGAGGTATACTTCTATCTTCCGGCCCTTACAGTATAAGCTATAGGAGTAAACGGAGGAGATCTAGTTATCTATAGTAGGTTAGTAGCAATACTGTAATAGGCCTATAGAGGGAGATTAAAACTTATACTTAACTGTATATATATATAGGACGGCCGCTTCGATAGTATATTTAACATCCTCTATATTACTAGAGGTAGGGTACTGTTTAGATAGACTAATATTATAGTATAGGTAGGTAATAGTATAAAAAATACTAGAAATAGTTAGTAGTAGTACTATAGCTACTCTCTAGAGGATTTACTCTCTAATATAGTCCTTAGTATCGTAAGTCCGGATGTGACGAACCTGTCTCTGGACCCGTCCTGTTAGGGTTCAGTATCGGTCGAAGGTGTTCTCTCAAGGGTGCTTAGGTTCGGTGCAGCCAAAAGGTGCACAACAAAGACTTGTCTCAACAGTAGGCTTCTCGAGCTTGTAGCGAACTGTAGTTGTGATTGCTAACTGGAGAACTCCCAGAGCTCTCCAGAACGAGTGACTATATACTATCTAAATTCTTAGTGCTCAAGGTGCTCAAAGCCCCGTCGCTGAGCATTCTGAGCACATGGTGCTCAGGGTGCTCACAACGTCCTTGGTGAGCAGAATGAGCACCTGCTCATTCTCTTGGCACAGTCCTTCATGAGCAATGAGAGCTACCGTCCCATTGGCCATACATCTTCCTTAATGATTGGCTCGGGATACTGCCAGCGTACCCCGCCGGCCGGCTGCAGGCGGCCATATCCGTGACACCGGACTACCTTCTCAAACTTATCGGCTTAGGCCGGCTTATTATAGCCTAGGGGTAGGGCGGGGCTAATATATAGAGCAGTTATTATAATATTACTAAGTATTTATTATAGACTACTATAAGGCTATTATAGTTAATAGGGGGGGGGGGGTAGGGGAGGGGGGGGGTACTTACTAAATTAATTATTAGTTATAATAGGGAGAGAAGGAAGAAAGGAAAGGAGGGTAGAGGGTAGAATATATACTACTCTCCCCCCCCCCCCCCCTACAAGAACCTTAAGGGCTGGTTATATAATAGGAGCCTACTTTCCCTCTTCTTCCTTTACTATTTCCTTTTGTTTTTATTTTGTTACTTTGACCTCGAAGGGTAGGTGAGCCCTTTCGAGGAGATGGCGCTACGATATAGCGGCGAAGCCGTAGCGGAGATGCGGGGGTTTTTATCCAGCTTCGGCATGGTTTTTCCTACCGATACACTAGTTGAAGGACCGCATGTACTTAGTACCGAGCGTAATAAGAGCAATAATAATCTTGTATCGATGAGAGGAAGCGGGGAGTTCATATCATTGGTGTTGGTGATGCTAACGGCCCTGGCGGGTATAGACTCAGCGGCGGCGAATACGACCTGATTGGTCTTGATCCTCGGTATGTTATCCTAACCCGCTCCCCCTACCCCTTATTGTCTCGACAAGAAGGTAAACACAAGCTGATACGGCCTGAACAGAGGAACCGGCACCACAATCCCCCTCGTCTGCGCCAACAACACCTACACCATGGGCCAGGCGTTCAACGAGATCAGATCGACCCTCCAGTCGGACACTTCGGAGCGACGAACCTGGGAGCGCGGCGCTGTCGACGCGTATATTTGCAAAGACGAGGGAAATGCCGACGAGATTGGCGAGTTTATCGGCTCCGCTTTTGTTGCAAGGGATATGCTAAGCGTGGCCGAGGCCATCGCCGAGGATGGGTTGATACGGTACTGGGGTGAGTTCAAGATTTGCTCTGTCTTTTGGAAAAGGAAAAAAGGGCTGACGCGAACAAAAAGGGATCTCGTACGGAACCACGCTCGGAGCGACTATTGCGTCCATGTTCCCCGACAAGATCGATAGGATGATTCTCGATGGCGTGTCCAACACCCGCGAGTACTATCACGCGCACGCGTAGGTTTCTTTCTTTCCCTCTACCTAGCTCTACCTTTTATTAACATTCCCTCCCAGTGACTACGAACAATGGTCCGACACCGACCTCGTCTTCCGCTATTTCTTCGAAAGCTGCATGACCGCGGCGCCCGGCGAATGCGCCCTGGCGGCCTTCAACAAGACGGCCTCCCAGCTCCACGACGACGCGTGGGCGTTTATCGACAGCCTGCGGGCCTCCCCCATCGCAGCGGGCTCAGTGCTCGTCGACATTGCAACCTTCAAGAACACCATCCTCGGAGAGTTGAAAGGTGTGGGCGGATGGCCCGCCCTGTCTGCCGTGCTGGCCAAGGTCCTTTACGGAAACGAAACCGAACGCAAAGCCGCCCTCCAAGGCCTTTTACAGCCAGGCACCGCAGCACAGGTTTCCGTCGCCACTTTTCCGATTGTGTTTAGCCTGTACGGGATCCATTGCAGCGATCGCACCGTCAGACTCGATTCGTTCGAGGCCCTGGAAGAGGATGGTGCTTTTAAGAGGCTCTACGAGGTCAGCAGGTTCGCGGGAGACACCGCCACCCAGATCACGGCCCATTGCGCCCAGTGGCCGTGGAAGGCGAGAGAGATTTATCAGGGGGATTTCCAGGTCAAGACCAAAAGCCCGATCCTCCTCGCGAGTAACACCCGCGATGCCCATACCCCTCTGAGGAGCGCGTTTAATGTCAGCTCGGGATTCGAGGGGAGTGCGGTACTTGAGGTGAACAGCACTGGTGTAAGTGTTTTCTTTCACCCCCATTCCCTTCTTTCTCAGATCCGTCCCCTGCTTCATGAAAACGAGTCCACTCATACTAATGCACTAAAAAGCACGGCACATTCGGCGCGCCCTCCGTCTGCGGATTCATGGCCACCGTGGCATACTGGCAGAATGCCACGCTCCCCGAGCCGGGAAGCGTCTGTGATGCCCCTCATCCATTCTCCGGTTACACCTGGGCCGACGTGCTGGCCGAGGTTAGTGGCCAGAGCGAGAACAACAAGCCGGCTAGCAAGCGGATGATGCATCCGAGATCGTGGACCTACAACTAAGGCACCCATCCCGTCAAAACTTCCCATTGAAGAGGGAAGAGATTTGCAAAGAGATGGGGATTTGAGGGGATCAAACTTCAGGGCCACAATCCTTTATCCTTTTTTTTCTTTCTTTCTGTCTTTTTCTTCTTTCTCTCTTGTATTACTTTTAGATCTTTCAACAGAAGCTGAATGCTTTCTGGGTTTTGTTGTAATTACACATATACGTCCGTCTCCTCGAGCCTTTCGGTAAGAATCGGGATTTGGAAGGATGGCGTTCGAGAATGAAGCTGAACCGCAAGGCGCTATTGCACTATTACACATGTTTTTCTCATATGTTTCTCTTTTTCCTCAACAAAGCGTGTTATGTACAATACTTACCACCTAGATTTCCGCCGCCGACTCTCACAAGCTCTGCTCTGATAATCCCAACCCCTCTGTCGAGCCCCCTACCGAGTCCATGTCCACCGCCGTCACGATCCCTATTTCCATCAACGCGGGAGGGAGGACACATCCGGGAAGCTCGGGTAGTCCGACCTGGAAGCGGGTCCACGCAATACCCTCCCGCACCCCCGGAACGTCGATAATCTCCGAGGAAAACACCAGCGACGTGCTCTCGGCTACGATGTCGCGTCCTTCCGGCACCAGAACCCAAAGCGACGGGTCCCGCCTCCGCCGGTGGACGAGAACCCCCCAGTACATGAGGACGAAGACGGCCATGGGTTCACGGTTCCGGACGGCGGCCGAGAAACGCGGTCCCGCAACGGCAAACATGGTATGGAAGTAGGCCTTGCGCCTATTCAGGAGGTCCTCTGCGTAACAATACTTTGTCTGGCCGATGGCGAGCCGGTAAATATGCAGCTCGCGAGCGAACGGTCCCTGCCCTTCCTCAGATAAAACCAACACTTCCTTAGTGAGAGCAGCGCCGCCCTGGATGGTCGGACTCGTCGGGGGGACCCGAACCTGGCAGGAGACGGACGTCATGAGGTCCAAGGTGGCACGGGTCCTCGGGTCCAGCTTGTCCAGCAACGCCAGGTCCTGCGTGTACTCCCGCACCACGGTCGGGATGGGACTCGGGCCGGCCATGAACCACGCCAGGTTCTCGGCGATGATGTGGCCCGACTTGAGCGTCAAGTCGGCCTGCTCGCACACGCGGTCGATGACGCTCATATTCTCGTCGGCGGCGGGCACGGCGAAATGCACGACGCCCACCAGGCTCGAAAAGTAAAAGACCAGGTCGACGTTTTCGGGCGTCAGGGTGGTCACCTGCGTGCGGAAGTCGGACATGGCCTTGTTCCCGTACTCGAGCGCCGTTCGGTAGTAGGACGCCGAGTCGCTGGGTGAGCTGTCCTTGTATGACACGGCCAGGTCTACGGCGGCGGTGGCGAGGATGGCGTTGAGGAGGTACCCGTTCCGGAGAGCGGCGCGGGGGAGATGCTCCTGTAGATACGGACGGCACGCCGGGGTGGTCTCTTGACAGGTCCATGACCGGGTGGACCAGCGATGCATGAGTTCGAGCTCGAGAATGCGGTTGTTCTCAGTCAAGACTGGGGAAGAGGAAGAGGAGGAGCTTGGCGGGAGTGTGGGCAGTGCCACAGCCACCGCCGGAGGGGTAACCACCGCCGGAGGGGGGGGAACCACCGAAGACGGCCTGCTGGATGAGGCGGGGGGTTGACGCAGAAACGGAAATGTACACGTCTCGGGCTCCTTTCGCATGATGCAGTGCAGACATGGCGGGCCTTGTTCGTCGCACTGGTTTTGCCTGGTTAATATGATGGTCATTGATGATCGTCTTTTGACAAGTCCCATAATCCTATCTGGAGAGCCACGGGGATTTAATTACCTTGACGTGCCGCTTCTTACAATTTCGGCAGCCATTTCGGGACTTGGTGTGCGATTTTCTCTTGATCATGGTGATTGTATTTTATGCGACGGAGCGATACCGGGTATCAAGTATGCGTGTATGCAAAGTATCCGCGCTAGCTACGTCACGGTTTGGTTCCCTCGTGGTTTTTAGGGGTTCAATGGAAGCGACCAGGCCGGCACGCCCAGGCAGCGTCAAGAATTCACCTCTCACATGCCAGCCCGTGCCTCTGGAGTGCAGTTCTCATTGGCCCGAGTCCGCAGGAGCAAACGCCCGAAAATCCTGGGATGCGGGCTGACTTAGCATATCAACACCAAAGTTGTACACTGAAGAACAGAGCAAATGATGTTGCAATACCAGACTACCGTATAAACCCCAAGTATCCCACCCACATAGATGAGGAGCAAGCCCAACCTTAACCCAGTCCCTGACCTAACCAACCCACTCGAACCCATATGACATACACCGCTGCCCAGGTAAAAAAGCCAACGCAATAAACCACCCCTTCCGCCCATCCATCCATAAAAAGCATCTAAACCAAAACACCACCCATATCCACCCGCCCACCTGCCAATAACACCGCTATTCCTACATCACATCCCCCTCAACCATGGCAGCAACCCTGCATGCCCATAACACCCCCTCAACCCCCTCAACCATGACAGCAACTATGCATGCCGAACCCCCACCACCCCCCCTCAACCATCACAACCACCGCATACATTCACTCCAACCCCATCCTAACCTCATCACCCACCCCCCAACTCCCCGCCTCGGCCCCGCCCTCCTGCTGCACCGCAATCCGCGTCTGCGGCGCCAGCGCCGCCACGTCGTCCTCGCTGCTCGCGGCCACGCTCGCCCGCCTGCTGCGCGAGCCGCGGTGCTGCGACGAGTCGGTCACGCGGCGGCGCAGGGTGAAGCGCGCGGAGCGGGCGCTCGACGTGGAGAGGACCGAGGCCGCGTCGTGCTCTTCGTCGCGCTCCTCGGTAGTAGTCTGGTGGTGGTGGTGGTGGTGGTGGTGACTAACGAGAGAGGAGGGTGGGGAGAGGGACATGCCGTCGGGCGAGCTGGGGGTGAGGTCGACGGTGGGGACGGCGGGGGTGGGGTTGAGGCCCGCGGGGGGTCGTGGGGTGCTGGCGGGCGCGGGTGTTGTTGATGGGGTTGCGGCGCCGTTGGCGGAGGGTTGGGTTTCGTCGATGACGTCGTCTGCTTCGACGAGTTCGGCGTCGCGGTACCATTTCCTGCGCCTGGTCCAACGGCCCCAGCCGTCTTGACCGCGTCGGCCGTTCTGCCACTGTGACGGGGGTTAGTATCACTTGATGGGGACGGTGCGGGCTGAGAGGAGACAAACCTTGTTGTCGTAATAAACCCACCCCATCCTCCCACCGGGCCCGTCATAATCCCAGCCTTCCGTTTTATCATCGATCGGCGAGACGGCCTCGTCCTGCACCCCGTCTACCCTCCACCGGGACCCCTCGGCCCATTGCCAGCGCATGTTGCTCCCATCCTCCACCTCGGGTAGCTCAAACTCGGCGCGCGGCGGCACTGCATTGTTATGCTCGTCCGTCCAGGCGGGCCGCTCGTACCCGAACAGACTGGTGGTCCACCCAATGCCGACCCACCGCCGCTGGTTTTCGTAAATGATAAAAGTAAAACGCACGCCTGTGCCGCGGCCGCCGCGGGCTCGGCGGAGGGCCTTTGTCAGCTCAGACTCCCGTGGTGACTTGGCGCCGCCCGGGGTGGACGGCTTTTTGGAGGCGGCGCTGGTCGCGGATTTGGTTGCTGCGGTTAAAGGAGTGGGTACGGGCTTGCTGGGACCTTCGAAAGGAAGGCCGGTGACAAGACTCAGGACCCGTCGGAGGCTGGCGCTTCGCCAGAGGATGACACGGGTTACGCGGATGACACGAGCGTGCCAGGTTAGGAGGATCGTCCCCAGAATCAAGATCACCCGTCGTGTAGTGATGATTCGGAGAGGGGGGAGGGTAAGGAGGATCCAGGCCGGGATGCAAAGCAAAATACGGACGAACAGGGTGGTGAGCGCCGGCCGGGTGGTGGCCGACGTTGGTGTGCGTTGGGTGCTGAGGAAGTCGGTCAACTCGAGCAGCGGTTCCAATAATATGTTGCACCTCGCTGTAAACTCGCGCAGCGTCTCGACAATCTCATCTAGCGTCTTCTGATGTCGTGTGTTTGTGACCTCGGATATCGATCCCTTATTTCTCGTATGGCCGCCCGCGCCCCCTGTCCCCGCGCTGCCGTTGGCCGCCTTGCCGTTCTTCTCCGGCAGCCCATCCACCGACAAGTTCTTGCTCCTCCGCGACGCCTTGGCGCCTTTTGCCTCAGCGACAACCGCCGTTCCGTCGCCCGTGCCAAGGCCCGGCTCGCTCCATCCGCTGCTGCTCAACGGGCTGAAGCGGCGGCCGTACATGCCGCCGATCAAGACCAGGACTAGGACTAGCGGGCCCGCCACGCGCACCACGGTATCCCCGTATAACACGGCCGCCCAAAAGGCCGTCACCAGCAGGAAGCTCTCCCACGGATCGTTCGTGGTCCATGTCAGCAGGCCGACCAACCTGTTGAGGGGCAACAGGAACGGGTGACTGTATGCGAGGGCGCGCGTGATTTGTGGCGGAGTCGCAAGAAGGAGCGGCGACTTCTGGTGTACGAGGATTGTGCTCCTCCTCTTGGCCGCTGAGGTGGCGCTCGGGGTGGTCGCACTCAACGTCGCCGGAGAGAAGGAAGCGTAGGTCGGGGGCGGCGCGCCCGAGAAAATCGTGGAGCCATCGATGCGGGAGGGGGTGGACGGGTGTTGCGAGTCCAAGGGATCGCCGTGTTGCGTGAGAGGAGTCGACATGTGCTCGAGCCACGGTTCCTGAAATCGGGGCAAGTATCCCGGTTAGCTGATGTCGAGACTGGGCCGCTCATGGCAGTCTCAAAAGCTCGTATGTATGCTGAAGCCACACGAGACTTTCGGGGATGTCGATGCGAGATTCCGAATTGTGATTGTGTTGGGATGGATGCTGACCGCCGTCGGATCCCGTGGATGACAGGATCGCCAGTCGCAAACGGGAACTTCCGGTTTCCAGAAATGGGCCAACTCTCGTCGGAGGATGATTGATGGTGGGGGGAATGCGGAAATGGGAAATTCGGTGTGAAAGGTAGACGGTGGATATCCGTGGAAAAAGCAAAGAGGCAAGAAACTCACAAATGCAGCCATGAACATTAGCTTGCCGACCGTTGCAGAACGTCGGCTGGTTCCATGTGCCCCGGAATGGCTTGCGCTCCCTGCACTGGTCACGTCATGGGTTGCGCGCCCGGACGTCAGCCAGCTGACAGACGAAAACGTGGGTTGGGACTAGAGGCAGCAAAACTAAAGCGATTATGAGACGATAAAATGACAGTATCGTGACGTGCACGCAATGTATATAATACTATGATTTTCGATGCTAACAGAGAAAAAGAGGCGCAGAGGAAAGAGGTTGACGGGTGCAGACTGCTTCAATCTCACGTGGTGGGTAATCGTCCGCTCCAGGCAGGTGCCCAGGCTGGGGTTGGGCCCAAGTCTTTGCCTGACCCCGCTGCGATCCCCGACCGGGCCGGGGAGAATCACATGCAAATTGGTGACACGGGAACCTCGAGATAAAGTAGGCGCACAACATGTCCCGGGCCGTGCCATCCATGATCCGTAGCGGGTGAAATGAGGTACATAATTAATTATCTGCTAGGTAGCCACCCGATGATAACGACGAACTTAGGGATGGAATATTAATAACAGCGAGGGAGAGTCCGGAATGCAGGACAATAAAACCAAAGTTCCAGTATTCCACTGGTCTGAGCATACCGTTAACGCTAATCCCCTAACTAACAAATGCCCAGACCGTCAATTGCTTAGAGAATTCGCCAGTTAAACGCCTCGGCTCGTGGGCCATCCGCGAGCATCCGCTTATCTCTTGCCAGTGAAACCGACGTCCCCACAACTCCAAAGAGCACCACCAGGACCACTCCGATGAGGTATAAACAGATCGTTCACGATTACAATAGTGTATATACAGCGATTCCCAAAGTCCCCTAATATATATATAAGCCGCAGCCGGGCACCCATATGAAAATAACCCATTGCCACGCGCATCGTCACGTGAACCCCCTCCCTTACTTCAGCTCCTCCCCAACCCCAGCCGCAGGCCCAGCCGACAACGGCGTCGGCGTCTGGTTGGTAAAGCGCCACTTGATCGAGTCCAATCTGTTTTCCAGCATGTTAGCCCTGCCCAATCTCATCCCCCCAAAAAGAGAGGGAAAAAAAAAAGAAAAAAGAGACTCACGAAAACCCCGGCGCGGGACACTCGACCGCCTTATTCCACGTCCCCAACCTTTTACACAGCCTCCGCGCATGCAACGCGCCATTCTCCATGCCCCTCGCCGTCGACCTCGCCTTCTCCAGCACCAGCGTCTGCGTCCTCCCCACCACCCCTTCCCCACCCTCCTCCGGCAGATACGCAATGGTCACGACACAAACCGCCCCCCCTTGCACCGACACCCGCTCCGCAACCTTCACCCGCCGCGGATCAATACGCACAGCAAGCGGCGCGTCCGACGGCGTCGCGAGCACGCCGCTCTGGTGGTCGTCGATCAGGCGCAGGTGCTGGCCCGGGTGGGCGGCGCGGAAGAGTTCCGCGTCGCCGTCCATGAAGCCGGACAGGTCGAAGACGTCCATGGTCGGGAGGAAGCCGTTGGTGGGCGTGTGGGAGAGGGTCGGGGTGAGGGTGGGCGTCTCGGGCTTGGAGAAGCTGTTGTTGGGGTTGGGCGAGCCGCCGGACTTGCCGCCGCCGCCGCCGTGGCCGAGGGCCGGGGAGTTAGCCCGGGTGTTGCTGGCGCTGGCGGTCGGGGTCGCGAGGGGGGTGGTGTTGAGGTGGAGGAGCGATGGGAGGGTGGCGTGAGGCGGGGGCAGTTGGATCGGTGGTGGCGCTTGTTCCCGTCGGTGGATCGGTTCGACGGGGGGTGCTGGTGTTGGCGACGGTGACGGTGCTAGTGCCGCTGCCGCTGCCGGTGTTGGTGTTGGGGCTGATGTTGGAGCTGATGATGGTACTGATGCTGGGACCGATGCCGGTGCCGGTGCTGGTGCTGGTGCTAGCGGGACATGTCTACTCGGAGCAGGAGTCGCCGACGCGCTTCCCTGGAGCCGGATCTCCTCCGCCACCGGGTCCCTGTGATGGGGTAGCTGTACCGGCGCAGACCCGGCCCTGGTATCCCTCGGTGACTGGGTGAGCTTCGCGTTGACGGCCGACAACAATGCTGACCGCGAAGGGGAACCGCTCCGCATCGGACCCGAAGGAAGCGGCCGCCGGGCACTGGCCGGCTTGGGCGATTGGGAACTAGGACGAGGGGCGATGACTGACGGGCCCGGAAAGTCCTGCAGTATGTTCTGCAGGCTGGCCGGGCTGGGCTTCCTCACGTCGCCCTGGGGTTGGGTTGGGCCGGGCATGTTACCGTCAGCTGGCCTCTCAGGCAATACCATGGAAGGCGAGGTATGGCTCTGACTAGGATGTCGGTTGCTGCTGCGGGCATGAATCTTGAAGACCCGCTTGTGGCCCCCTCCTGTGCTCGACACTGAACCGGCCCTTGACGGCGGCTCTAGACTCGCACGGGCACTCCGTGAGGCGGTGCTATCAGCGCCACTGCCAGCATTAATGGCCGTGAATCCACTGCGCGGCGGTCCTTGCAAATTCAACGCCTGGGCCGCAATGTGCTGCGCAGAAGGGATGTTAGATGTCGCTGGTTTGCCATTGGCGCCCCCCTGAGGATCGTCTCGATTTGAAAAGCTCGTCCGTCGGCTGTCAACGTCCGCCCTCCCAGGGCCGTTCTCGGACTCCGAGACGCCTTTGCTGATGGAATCCCGATCCGAATCGCCGTCAACGTAGTGCCTGTGCACGTCTCCTACGTCCCTCATCTCAACGTCCTCTGTCGCCGTGTTGATGGGCGGAATCCGGGTTCGCCCATGGGGAGCGACAACGGGCTGGCGCAAAACCCGGTTAACGAAGTACTCGCGAACCGCGCGGACATAGGGAACATCCCGCGAGCTCGGGTCATCAAAGTCGAGATTGGACAGATGGGCCGACTTCACCCATCCCACAGTCCACATACGACTACTTGGGTTAGCTGATCCTCGAGTGGCAGGGCGGGCACGCGAAGTCTTACCAATCGGAGCTTTCAGCACACAGCACAGGGAATTCCCGCTTCCTCTCCAACGGGCCACCGTCCTCGTAGCCCTTCGCCCAGCTCTTGATGCCCGCGATACGGCCGTCAACTTCGCGATACACATAGCACTTGGGCGGTTTCGGCACACCCAGTGGCCTTCCGTCCTCCGAGGTCTCGCGAAAGATGCCCGTGTCCGCCAGCGTGCCCATCAGGCCGGCTGGTGAGATGTCGTCCCATGGCAGAATCAAGACGGGGTACTTCAAGTCCCCGCCAGTCGAAACATAAAACCGGCACGGTAGAGGGTTGACGATGCCGGCCATGCGTTTGCGATGTTGAGCGGCCTTCTGAGAATTCAGGGGGTCGAGTGGAGGGTATCCCAGCTCGGCGCGCCTAGTCTGGCTGAGGTTATTCGCATTGAAAGCCTTGTAGCCATCTTTGAAAGCCTTCAAGGCCACCTGGTTGTTCTGGTTCGCTCGCTCCTTAGTGCAGTCAACGACTCGGTGCCCAAGCGTCTCGATGGCGGTCGCATGGGCCTTGGACATGAAACCATGCTGGGCGCTGGCGAGATGTTTCGCTGCACCGCGAAGCGGATGCTCACCAAAGTGCACCCCGTGTTCATCGCACCTGAGAATGTAGAAATCGCCCGTCGTCGGAGGGTACTGCACGATGACATGATTGTATTGAGCTGGTTTCCCGGGCGTACCGTGGACCTGGTCGAATGTGACGGTCCTTTCAACTCTCTCCCCCTCTTCGGCAACCGCTGGCGGGGGTTGGTCAGTGTTTGACTTGGTGGCCTCGCTGGCCCTCTCCAGCTTCACGCGCTTCGGCGGCGCGGGAGAGTTGTGGTTCGACTCGGCATTTGCTTTCCGCTTCGGGGCGGAGTCGAACTTGGGGCTCGATGCTGCGGAGAGGGCGGGCTCCGGAGAAGGGGGATCCCGTGCGGAGAAAGAGGCTGGACCTGCTGGTGATCGGAGAGTAGATGGGGGGTCTTCGTCCGGATAGTCCTCGACTGTGGGGCGCCGGTCGACAAACGATGTGGTCGGCGTAGCTTGGTTGTGGACAGCAGAATGCTGCGGCGATCTTGTCTGTGCATCATGTGAAGCGTCGGTTTGGAACGGGATCTGCTGCCTATCCCTCTCTGTTGGGGTTGGGGTAGGTAAGGAAAATGGCTGGGGTTGCGACGGAACCTCGGCTACGGAAGGCGGCGCGGGAAACGTTTCAGTGGCAGTGGGTTGACGAGAGATAACAGCCGCCGGAACTGGTGTTTGAAAGCCATCTGGCGGCCCGCCCGGAAATGCCGGACGGTGGTTCGGGCTCCGATCGGGCTGGCATAATCAGCAATCATCCAAAATATCATGTTGGGCTGCAATAACTTACCCCGGCAGTTATCAAGGCCGTAATAGCCGTGAAGAGCTCGGCGTCGTATCTTTGCCTCTGCTCATCGTAATGCTTCCTTTGTTGGTTCGCCTGGTCCTGGTAGGTTTGCCGTAGCGCTGCGATTTCCAAATCTCGATTCTTCCTCAGGACCGCCTCCATGCTCTCCCGTAGCGACGGCTCGATCCCTGCTATGCCGGCCCTCTGCTTCTCAAACTGTGCGTCAATTGATCGTGACCCCTCCTCCACATCCGCAAGCGCTTGCCGCTCCCAGGCACCATACTGGCGAACCAGCTCATCGATCTTGTGCTGTATCTCTGCGTGGTCGGCCTCGGCCTTCCTCGTCTCGAGTAGAAGGCCCTTTGACGCCGACATCTTGAAGGAGTGGGATATGTGACCATGCGCTGCCTGCACGTCGACCTGAGTGATCAAATTATCAGACCAAAAGCGGACACGACGAGTTCAGTTTCTCTGAACTCGGTGCGACGGCCTAGAGGTGATCTAAAATGTTAGAGATGGGTCGCAGTTAACAGCCCGCGCCGCTTAAGGGAACGATAGGAACGCGGTGTAACCGCTCCTGGCCACACACGGGCGCCCGTGGGCTTCAAAGCCACTAGGTCGAGTGGAGGCCAGGAATAGGTACGGGATCTGTCAGGCCAGGGCTGAGCGAGGTACGTATCTTACGTACAAAATGTGAGTTGGCGGCGCTGTTTCCCCCTGTCGCTGGTCTGTGAGGGCGTGGTTTGAAAAATACCCGCAAAATCCGGCGGGAAGGAATGGGGTCCAAAAAGGCCGATTCCTGCTGCACACTTTCTGGATTAGGCAATGCAACGCCGCCGGGGAAAAAAGAACTTTGAAAAATAAAATAGAATTGAGATGATGAACGGTCGCGAAGGATTGAGGTGCCCCTTCACTTGAAGTTCCCGTTCCTTTCACGCCACGAGAGGGGGGAAAACAGTCGACCAAAGAGTCTCGACCATAAAACTCAAAAGGAAGCAGAGGCAGCCCTCATGAGTGGCGACTGGCCTAACCGCCACAGAAAACGCGCGTCGGTGACTCGATCGGAGAAAGGATCAACAACGAGCGACTAGCTTACCTTGGTCGTGATGTGGTAATGTTATAAAATGGCGTGTACCCGACTTCCACGTTGCTCGGCGCGACCGATGCGATGTGAACCGACGACGAAATGGAGAATTGTGTGTGGTGTGCGCGCGCGCGTGGATGGGGTTGGGATATGATGGAAGGGATAGGTGGGTGGGTGGGTGGTAGAAGGAGGCAACGTGGAAGGAAATGGTCGAGATAGCCACAGTTGCTTATTATTATTAGACGTGTGCTAATCGCGCCAGTAAGGGGTTCGGGAATGCGAGCCCAGTTCCAGGTTCCTCTACGGCCGCCCCCGTATCACCCTGGGCCGCTAGGAGAAAGTGGACGGTAGTCAGCGGGTGGGAGGTGCCGTGTATGGGTTTGTAGAACACACTGTACCAGGGGCGCCCAGCCTGAGGCACGGCGGGGGGCTAGTCTCGATTCTGAAGAACTAGCGAGAAAAATCATTGGGGCTGGGACCCAGGGAAGGTGAGGTGCGACAGGGATTATGGCAGCGGTATAAGATTAGCACGAATGTCGCCCGTCTTAGCAGCCACGCTCCCCACGGGTAGAAAGCCCGGAATCCCCTAGCATCGGTGTAACGGAAAAGCAAAGACTGCACATCCTGTCAGACAGACAATCATACAAAGAGATAATCATTTGCACAACCAGCGCGTGCCTGGGCAACAAGCCGTCAATTGTCAATTGTCAATTGTCAATCAAATGCGCGACATCACCCATCGCCGTCGGTTGGTTGGTCGGGCGTCGGCGGTTCTCACTCGAGCGATGTTAAAAAGGCTGTTGGGGGACCCTCGTCGGGCATTCATGATTCATTCGCGCTGGTGGCCCGGGGGCTGGTGCTGGGCGTGTGTGTGATATGTCCCATGCATTTGGCTCCGTGGACACGAGGGCCCTTGCACTTCCGTGTTGGGCAAATCCGATCCATGGCTGCCGAGGCGCTGGGAACCCACCATCGGCCGTTAGTGTCCCTCTCCCTCGGATAATCAAAATCCTTCCATGTTCGGGTTCGGTCTGTTGCGCCGAACCCAGCGGCAGGAGATTCCTAAATAAGAATTTGGAAGTACCCCCAAGAGATGACTGGCTGCATCCCTAAGGAATCTCGTTTTTATCGCTTTGGATACGCATGCAACCCTGCGCGGGCGTCGCTGGATGGGACATGGTCGCGTATGAAGCACGTATTTTATTTTTTATGGGTTTGCCACGAATCTCTTTCGCCTTGCTCCAGTTTACGAGACCCACCGGCACAGCGCGCCATCACCTCCCTTCCCCACCGACTGTGTACAAAATCCAAGCCTCCATACCATGACGCCGACGGGGTCATATTGGCTAGATTTTTGGCGCTTTCGTAATTAGTGCGTCGGTCCACCAAACAAGTGGCGTCGCGCGTACAAAAAGTGCACTTAGTGAGCACCGGCGGTGTGCAGCCGCCGTGCCTTCCGAAACACAGTTCGCTGATCGTAATCACCCCCCAGTCCTTCCCAGTTGAGTGCCAGTCTGAATCGTCATCTGTTTCATCCCTGTATCTAACCGGACCTGCCCCCCCGCTTACTCATTGCTCGCATACTCTTACTCTTGCGGGCAGTCATACTTCGTACACGGTAGACAGAATCTACAATGGAGATGGAGATTATGGAATCAAGCTTACCTTACCTACTTTCGTATCGACATGGAAGTCCGCCATGATTCCGTACCTGGACTCATCATTCATGCATCCTTTCCTCTCTGACACTTCAAGTTCCGGTTTCAATGACAAATCATCAGCGGTGCATAAAACCGCATCGATCCGCTCCAGGCGACGAGACCACATGTGACCTCAATGACTGATCTACTTCGACGTCCTTCTCTCGACCTGTATTCATGATTGGAGCCTAGTCTGGAGCTAGCAGCGGGGTCGGCTACCCGTGTCGCCACCTCATTGCCAATCGAGCTGAAGCGCGCAGCAGGCAGTTTTTTGGGCGGGAGGGGGGCAAAAACCCTCTTCTACCAAACAAAATCGGCATATACCGGACCTTCAGGCTGCAACCCAACCTAACGGGAATGACCTCCCTCTATCCCGACGCGCGGCCGAAAGCCCCGTTACCGTTACTGTGTCATAGCAGCTAGGCAGTCAGGTGCTGTACAACGCTGGTGCCATCTCGATAGTGGAGGGCACTAGCGATGTAACACAAATGGCACCATTCGTTAGACACGGGCATCGGCCAGTCATCAGCACGGAGCCCCCATCTTGCCGAGTCCATGTCAAGGTCCGACATGTCACGGCGTCCAGTGACTCCAGTTCTGGCCAACTCGAGCGCGGGTGATTGATGAACAGAGAATGACGACAAATTGAATAATTCGCACTCGGCACCAAGTTTGGCCAACACCCACTGGCAGTTTGCCTTCATGGAACTCGGCGTCCACCACATTCCCTGCCCGTGCAGTTGGTCCTGACTAGGACATTGCTCATCGGCCCGGGGTGGTTGGTTGATTTTGGTTGTATGGTCCACAGTGCGACAAAGTTCGGGTGACATACGTTGGAGCTGTATGTAAGTAACCGCGCCATCGGCTTGCCGCCAATGTTGGCGGACCATGGGCCGAGCATTCCCGCTGCGCGCTGTTGGCGGCCCCTCTAGCCCAGCGAAGAAAGCGAGATAACTGCCCGTGGACGGTCAAGATTATCCGCGCATGGGGCCGAGCGGCCTATCACGCCAGCTGAAATCACCCAACCGGTCTTGGCCAGAGGGGGGGGGGGCGGTTGCTCAGCCGGGTTGGGTGGTGGCACTACCAGACGCTGCTCCTCGCTCGATTCGTTATTCCCAGCCTCCATTCATACTCGGACGAGACCACAAGAGCCAACGGGCATCACTCATTGTTTCAGACTTTTCAGCCGTCTCCTGCACATGTGCGTCCCAAGCGGGAGGCCGTCCGATTGATGAAGGCATGAAACTCCACTCCAGCAGCGATGGAATGCCCGCCACCGATGCACATTCATTTGCGGCACTGCCCTTTGTTGGTGATACCAGCGAGCCATAATAGCTGAAAGTTGTCGAGTCGGAGGCGTGGGGTGGGGTTAGGAAACTTTGGCGTTGCTCAAGCTTTTGTCATTTGATAGCGAGTTGGCGCCGTGACCGTCCGTTCTATTGCCGGCCACTCCTAAATATACCTTCTCTAATCCTTCGCATCTCTAATAAAAACCAGAAAGCCACGTTGAGGTAGGGATAGGTAGTCATGGCACACTTGAGCTCACGATGTTATCATATATGTGGTGGCTATGACAATGGCAGCGTCTCCAAATAGCAACGAGCTACTGCAGCCTTCGCTACTAATCATGGCAACATGGAGCGTGTGGTTGCTCCTTTTTACTACCACCAAAGACATCAATGTTGGCTTTATCAAAGATGCCCGTGGCCGACAACGAACCGGATGAAGCGGACAAAGGCCCTCGAAATGATGGTAGGAACAAAGCGCGGAACTCGGTGCTCTCGGGCTTTATCCCATATCTACAACTTCCACACCCCAGTTTCCAACTTTGAAACATTATCAACGACTTCGAAGTGAGTTGAATACTTCCTAGCAGCCCAAAAAAGCACATATACGTCGGACAAGAACGGGATCCCGTTTAGAGGATCTCCGAACATCTCCGAGCGGCGAGATGGCATCCCAGGCTACGGCTGGGGCGGCGCAATCCCCCTGCAGATTGGTTCCTCCCTGTGAACGGGGAAATCACGGTTTTTACGTTGATGCAAAAGGCGAGCGTGCTATCAAGACAATTGGGAAGTACTACTTCACCGAGGATGCACTCGAACATGACCTTGCAGCCCTGAAAAAGGGGGAGGTCTACGACAGGGACGAGTTCTTCAAACGGGCGAGGGCATGGTACAAAGCGGAGATCGATCGCATACTTCACTTGGAAACTGTACAACAGCAGGTAGGTAATTATAGATCCTCGTTGGGGGCCAAAACAGCTCGTAACCTAACCTATCCCATCGGTGACCAGGAGATGCTCCAAGCCGCTTCGAACCTGGCCGTTTCGAAACAAGGTGCACCAGAAAGCTTAACTCCAGCGGCGCCGAATAAAGATTCAGAACTGGTTCCCTGTCGTCTAGCCGAAGCTCGATCTCAAACGCCAACCCGCATCCAACCTGACCGCGCCGCAAAACGGAAAGCGGCCGCACTGCCCCCGGCCAAGCGGCCCCCAAGGCGCAAGAAGACGGAACCGGACCCGGCACAGACAGTGATACCCGCCGCAATCCAGCAGCAAGGTCTACAATCCGTCGACTCGCACAGGCCCAAAACAGAAGCGGAGACCAGAGGCGACTACACCCTGGCCGCATTCGACTGGGCCCAGTTCCTCAACGGCAATCAGGGCGAGCACCACCCTTCCCCCTGGTCCTACGTGCAGCTGCAGGGTTTAGACGTGGCCTATTTCTGCATGCGATTGGAGAAGGCGGTGGAGGGACAGATTAGCGAGCTTCTTGCCGAGAAAGGCCTTGGGACGGAGCCGGACGCGAATAGACACCAAACTCCCGCCGCTGATCCGATCTCCGCCACCGGGGTGAAAGAGCCCGTCCGAACGGACCCCGGCGGCGGCGGCGGCGGCAAGACGAAACCTCCAGCACCAGAAACATCTATTCCTCACCACACCAAAACTCACCTCCCGGTCCAGAACCAAACCCACCCCAACCCGCTCTGCCCACTCCACCACCCCTCGAAACACCCACTGGCACCACCACCGCCGCCGGTGCCAATCCCCTTCTCACCCGCCGCAGCCCTCGCCCCAGGCGAAGACTGGCGGCCGCCCTCCCCAACAACACCCGTCACCACCAAAACCACAACCACCACCATAACCACCGCCACCAAAACCATCACCATCACCACCCCCGCCCCCCACGTGCAAGCGCCGGGCACCAGCTGGGCAGCGCACGAAGTGAACCGGCGCCAGCAACAAGCGGTCCCGGAAGCGGAGATGGAGATCAGCCCGACGCTAGGCCGGTGGCAGGAGTGGCAGTGGCGGCGGCGGCAGAGTGTGGAGGAAGGGGATCTTTTGTCCGGGTTGGGGTTGGGGGCCGCCGCTGCCGCTGCCGACGGCTGTGGTTATGATTCCAGTTGTGGTTGTGACTGGGTGGACTGCGGCCGGGACCGGGGGGATAGTATGGGTATGGGGACGGCGCCGGTGGTGGAGGTTTCGGGGCTGCGGTTTGTGGTGCTGTTGCCGGCGCTGTGCCGGTGCCGGTGTGTCGGGTTAGGGGGGTGTGGTGAGGGTGACGGTGAGGGTGGGCAGGGGGGGTTGGGGGCCGGGCGGGTGAGGGTTTGGATGGTGTGATGGGAGGTGAGGATCTTTTTGGGGGGTGGTTCTGCTTGGGTTCTGGGTCCCTTTTTTCGGGGCGTTTTGGTGGGGGGTGGACGGGGGTAGAGAGTGGGTGGGATTGGGGAAGGATTCAAGATTTAAATATTCTGGAGGTATTTTGTCGCGGTTCTGGCGGGAGTTGATCCTATCGGGTCCGGGGGGGAATAAGGGGTGACGGGTATTCGTTTCGAAGGCGTTTCTAGTGTATTCTATTCCAGTCTTAATCTAAAATTCCTCCTGTAGCCTTTTGATCACATCCCATTACGTACTCGATCGTCAACTCATGCAAGACAATGTGCTTGTCGATCGTTCCTATTCTGAGTCGTCATCCCATCATGCGCCCTTCCGATCCTTCTCCATCGCGTCGGCGGCTAACAAGCCGAGTCTTATTCCCAGAATCGCTCTCACGAAAAGGTCCTAACAGCACTGCCAATAGTAACCTTCAGGCCGTCGTAGTCAGTCCTCAACGCGGCAGCAACGCTAGCCTCGAGCGTGTCAATGATGCCTCGGGCAAGGGTCTACACACGGTCCGTCAGTAAATCGTCCCAATATAAAGCGTAAATGACAGTGTGGCAACTCACATCGACCACTCTCTCTATGGACCGCAATACGGCGGCAACTGGGGGCCCAACCATCGGGATCTTTGTGATGAACCCACCCACACTAATCAAGATGTCTAGCAGCTCCCGATGTGTCTTGACAAATAGGCGGAACGCATCGGCAATGGCGGTGGCCTCGGAACCGACGTACTTGGCCTTCGGGCCGGTGGACATGGCGGTGACGTCCAGAGTGATTGTAGTGACGATGTCGCCGAGACCGATAATGATTTTCTTTTTGTTTAGGTCCTATATTAGCGGTAAGGGAACAAAGTGTGGAGTGATAATAACGAACAGGCCATGGCCCCTGGCCGATAAAAAGCAGCGGAGCGTTGAGGATACTGAGTTCCTTGGCTGGTTGGATCAACTTCTGGGATTTGACGGTGAGAACTTGGATGTTTTCGACCACCACAGTGGACTTTAGTTGGGCAACTGCCACCGAGCCCAAAGCGGCCAGTGCGGTGAGGATGGAGAGACGCATGTTGACGGAATGGTTGGACAATAGAACAAGTTGAAAGTTTGAGAAACGGAATGATATGCCCCGGTAATGTTTAATAACAGTTCAAGTGTGATTATACTCGCAATCGGTCCACTCTACCTCCTAGCAAAACGGGTGGCGGAATGAGGGTTAATATTTATATAGATACGCACTCGCAACTGAGAATTCCATCGACGGATTAAATCATTAGTAACCCTTGGGATCATTTCTTTTCCTGATGTTTGGCATGTTGGACGGTGGTAAACTCGATAGGAATGCAGTTGACTCAAATATGAATTGAAGCAAATGAATATCTCGTGTGCTCCCGACACTCAACATATGCGTCGTATTCATAATTGGTATGCTTGGAGACACCCCGGGCAGTTCATATCCGAAAGCCAAAGACCTTAACGCGCAAAACAAAACAAACCAGTGGAATGTGGAATTTACTTGAGATACCTTTTCGTGAATATCAGGTTGGCACGCCATCGACATGCCACTCTCACTTGAACCTAGCCAACCCCGGAGATGCCGGTAGTGAAAAAGCCGCAGGTTGACCGGACTGGCCATTGTGGTAATGGCAAATGTCGGGTTCGCTCCCGGTGTTTTGATTCGGTTGTCACTGCTTAGACTTGCCCGTGGTGTTTGTTCATCGTACGTGAATGCTGGGGGTTGAAGGTGGTCCCGGGTCTAGAACGTCAAGTCGAGGATAGGTACTTTCCCCCACGACCAGTGACGCTTCGCGGCAGCAAATTAACCAGCCCCCGAGGTGTATCCGAGCGAACTCCCCGATGTTGTGTTGTTGGTTGCGCGTTTCGCCTCGGAGGTATCACTTCTCACTTCTCAGTGGCGCCGGGTCAGCGCCCTTGGATACGAGCGGGGCCGGGGGACACAAAACTGCCGCTTCAAGGTCGTTCAACTTTGCCCTGCGGGAATGCCGTTGTGGGAATGCCAACACTCGGATGACAGTTGGCCCGCAGCCTGCAGGCAACAGCAGTGACATTGACGTGGCAGTTAACCCCACGGGTTGCCAGTTGCGGCATGATGTTTCAATCTAACACTTACCTCATCGTTAACCTCTCGCTCTGGCGTTGCTAAATAGGAGTTCAGCGCGATTCAGACCGGTTTCAATCCTGATGTCATGGGTTCCCGTGTCCGACAGCAGGCAACCCCCCTTCCACCGCCCCAGAGAAGCCAGTCGAAACCATCCGCGTTCTTTTGACCAACCATAGAATGATAATCATCCCTCCCGCAGGACGGTCGTGCGGGGGGCCACTGATAGACTCGGTGGGCGGTTTGTCTTTCACGAGCTGCAGCTGCCAGTGCGAGTTTGGGGGGCTTGGCTTGACATGGAACAGATGCAGAGTGGTAACCGGCTTATCAGCGAACGGACTCGCTCGATGCCCGTGTAAAACAAAACGAGACTTCCTGTCGAGCTCGGTCCCGGTAAGTTCGGAGCATCCCGGCTTGGGAAATCTCATCCGTTAGTGTTAGTTTCCGCGACATTGCTCGATGGTGGTGGGCTCCGAGATCAGCATTGATAACAACAGCCCGATGCACCAACTTTTGATTCTCCTGTAGGAGAAAGTGCTTGTTATCAGGACATCAACTGTCGAACCGAGGTGGGGAATGACGGGTATTGCACTCGCCCTCCGATTCGGGGCCGTCGCTGATTGTGAAGGAAGAAATCCCAGAATTTTCCGATATGTGGGTCGCTGTCCTCGGGGCTGCAAGAGCAAGAAGCCGATGCTGGTTCGGCAGAAATCCCTCCCAGGCAGGAGAGGAATTTGACTGCACGACCTGAGGTAGCCAGGTCCTAGGCGGTCACCGGTGACACACTAGTAATTGGGGCAAGCTCGGCATATTGGCCGTGGCGACCGGAAGTGTTGAACCCCGTGCACACTGACTGGACAAGCTTCACGCACAAATCTCGCAGGCAGGCGCAGGCCTGCAGTGGGACCGGGTTTCAGTCTGGCGCGACCAATCATCTCAACCAGGGGCAACACCTGGTGGGCCCACAACGCAGCTGACACGGACTCGACCGAGCACCATTGAGCTCTCAAAGTTGGCAGGCGGGAACGCCACGGTGACCGGGGCGGCCTCGTGGACTGTGACTGCTGCAGGATCGCCTACTTTGGGAGTTTGGCTCGCCCCTGCAGTCATCATCCCAGCGGCCACTGGCCCGGCGGCGAAGACACGAAGAGCAGAGGTCTTCCGGGTTGAAGGTGTGACGAACCATCGAACCTGCCGGCTCCGACCGCTGGCGTGGGTCGAGAGTGGATGCGGCCAAGGCCATCCAACCCGTGGAGGAAGGCACAAAACACGCACCTCCGCACAAACCACGCAAGAAGGCAACAAGTGCCAGCCCTGAGCTTACCTGGAACTTGCCATCTGCCGTCTATAAGTAGCGGGGAACCTTTCTCCATTCCACCAACATTCTCCATCCACAGCTCATCAACCTTCACATCAAAGCAAAACTCCAAACCAACTACCACTTTCAACCAACCCAACAACACAAACTCAAAATGTCTCCTTGCAACTGCAGCGGTTCTAAGTCGGCTTGCAACTGCGGCGCTAGCTGTTCGTCCTCCTCTGCCCAGCAGACAGATTTTGATTGACCATGGATGCTAACCCGCCCACCACTAGGCTCTTGCTCCGGCTGCAACTAAATTTCCTGTTTCTGTCTAAGAGACAAGGACGCCAACCTATCCACCCTGTCGACGCCCGGGCTTGACTTGCAACAACCGGGCTTTTCTTGCGGCAACATGGATTTGGAAGAACTTGGTGCTGACATGGACCTCGTCGGGGTGGAGGACGGGGGCAGATGGATTTTATGATTTATGTTTGTTGATGGAAGGCACGAATGAAGAGAAGAACTGCAGTTCTGGCCAGTCGTTTCCGAAATGATACTTCGCTTCATCTATTGAGTGCAATGTCCGACTTGTCTCCTGCGATACGCCTCCACGATTTTGTCAGTGTCCTCGCCTCGGTTCCAAAACAAAGCAATCCACCATCACCATTCTGACCGTGACTCGACGGTCGCCTCTCCGATGCGATCAACGAGAAGGACGTAAACCCTTTGCCGTTGGCCTGAGTCCATTCCTGCTGGGGCCGCGCGTTATCACATGTTGCGCCGTCGCTTTTCTTACGCCCATAATAACCTAAACCATGAAGTTTGGGTTTCGATCCCCTTCTTCACGCATCACCAACACACTTGTTAACGATCCATCCTCTGACTTCAATTTGACATACCCATATCGCAACCGATCAACGGGCGCACACAATATTTTGTCCGCCGAGAATGCGACGCGAACATCCCACTCAAAGTAGTCGTCGATCTTGGCGAAGACGATGCCGCCGTGGTGTGCCATCCACGACGACGACGGCGGTGGCGTGGCTGGTCCAGAACCAAAGATAATACGAGGCAGGGTTACGTCTTGGCTGCTATGCCACGCGAAGAAGCCGAGTTGGATGGAACGGGTTGGACGGAGGAGTACACCCTAGATCCTGCCCGTGTCTTACGTGGTCGCACAGCCGAAACCAGTGCTTGATGTATCCGAAATGGAAAAGGATGTCCCGACTCGAAGTACATAATTACATAGTGTAGATCGGGAATCCGGGATGTACCTCCCCGGCTTAGTCGTCAATCCGGGTGGCCCGGACGGGGGGAGGGACCGAATGTGATCTCGAGCCTCGACGAGTTGGTATCCCCTTACCTCGTGGCTCCGGGTGGGCGACCCGGTCCATGCGACGCTCCCCTGGCCCGTGGCAAAGATTTTCCAGTCGACGGTTAACCATATTCAGATGTTCGGCACCATGGTTGAGAGCCTTGAACGCATGCCGTGCATCATCCTTCAATACACCGATCTGCAGAGTAAGGTCCCCATCCGGAACTCCGTTCTCACCACCCAACTCTCTACCACCCCCGTCAGATTCTTCCGCTCAGTGTTGGGGTTTCTCGCGCATCCTTGCCGGTATTATAGACAGAGTACTTTGAGTCAGCTATCCTCGGTCTCGTATAAAAGGATATTCTGACCGAGCCTGTCTAGTAAACGTGGAAGTATCGGCAAGGCGGCCAAGCTGATGGCCGAAGAGTCCCTGCTCGGCATCGAGAAAGACGAAGATGATGTATACAAGCTCATATGACTCGTATACAATAGCCCCTCGGGCGTCAAGCTGGATAATATCGTAAGGGTCAGCAAACAGAGCATCAAGAGCTCCCACACATTCAACGACGAGCAGTACAAACGCTTGTCAGCCTAGATCAACGGTATTGACACCAAGAACACATATGAAACGGCGCTTCAACATCACCCCTCGTCCATCTCCACGTCTCCCACCATGCCCACGTCCCCATCCCTTCCTGGTGTCCCCTTCAAAAAAGCCCCTATATCCTTTGTGGTCTCCCTCATTTTACTCAACATCTTCCTCCTTTTGCTGCCCTCTACTCTTCCAAACCCGTCTCCCTCACTACCGTCCTCCGAACTACACCAACCGCGCCGTTTCGTGCCGGAACCCACGGGACCCAAGCCCCCGCCTACCAGATCCGCATCTCCCGCTCCACTCTCGCCCGAAGCCACGGAAGTAAGCGGCGTCACCGTCCCGAACCCGGATCCCGACCCGGACGCCGAGTCCAGCTCGGAAGTGCTTGAGCTCGAGCTCGAGCTCGCCGAACCCCCCGGGCTCGCTCCCTGCAGGGAAGACCTATCGTTAACCTCGTCCACCGCGCCTAATGATAAAGCGGGCGGCGGGTTCTGCTGCCACGGCCATCTGCGCTTCGGCGTGCCCAGTATCACCGCCCCGTCCGGATGGGCCGCGAGGTCGATTTCCGCGCCGGACCCGTCCGTCCCAACGCCGAAGATACGATTGATGCTTAGTTCCCCCTCTGAAGTAAGTTCCAGTACGGGATGGATGCCAGCGGTCTCTTTGAATACAGAACGTGTTGCGGCTGTGGTTGGGGTCTTGGTTCGCTCGCACGCACACCTGCTGAAGGTGTCGCCGCCGGGGTTGTGGCACACCACCCCCGGCGCGATGGTGAGTAGGGCGTTGTTGTTGCTGGTGGTCGATGTGTCACTGCCTACTATGCGTTGCACGATGGCGGTGAGGTCGGCGGCGCCCACGCAGAGGTGGTATTGATCCGTCGGCAGGGCCATCCAGTCGAGGCAAGCCTGTTGGAGTTGCTGTGGGTGGGGATGGGCTGCTGGGCGGATAAGCTCGCCGAACCCACGGCCGAAGAGTGTCACGGCGGGTATGGCGCGCGTGAAGTCTACCCAGTTGACGGAGAGCGGTAGCTTGGCGACCTTGAGATGGAAGGGGTCGCGGTCGCTGGCAAGATCGGTGAAGTCCCAGCCTTTGAGGTGGTTGCTAATTCGCGGTTTGGCGTGGACGCCTTTGTGTGTGGCTTCGGCGTGGTGGGCGTGGTCGACTAGCTTCTCTAGGGTTTCGTAGAGCTGTTCGATGCGGTGCTGGACGGTCGTGGAGGTGTGTTCGTCTTCGCGGTAGAGGGGAAGTCGGCGGTTGGTTTCGCTGAGGAGGACTTTGACCGCCGAGCTGCGCTTGAGCGGATCGGGGGATTCTTGGAACTTGGAGTGTTCGAAGAGGAGCTCGCTCGCGAACTCGTCGACCGAGGAGAGATGGAGCGAGGTGCGGAGAAGATGCAGGAGAGTGCTTGCTCCATCAATGAGAAAACCTCGGTTGTCATCGACGTCGTAGAGGGTGAAGTAGCGTTGGCGGATCCAGCGGAGCTTGTCGACGTAGCCCCCGCGGGTGATGCGGATAGGGGTGTCTTTGCGGCCAATGCTGAACTGACAACCGCCCGTGACGATCTGGCCGACCGAGAAGGAGACCTTCTCGAGGGAGAAGTCTTTTCCGGGTGAACTGAGACGAGATTCTCTGATGGCATAGTTGGCGTCTTTTGATCCTAGAAGGGGTGTTAGTATCTGATGGGTTAGCTCGGGAATGGGCGACGACGAACCGGCGTAAAACTGAGCCTCGGAGCACCATCCCAAGATATGACGCCCTTTTGCGATCTCGTCGGCCTCGACATCAGCGCATTGGATGGTGCCGGTGTCCGGATAGGGCAATCTCTCCCCATCATCACTCTCCCCATCATCACTGTAATAGAGATGCCAGAGGATTGCATCGTCCAACCTTTGTGACGGGACGATTGCAGTTGAGAATCCCTTGAGCAAATATTTTCCAAACCATTGGTGAATCCGTGGGGACTGGGCCAGGCGAGCCATAATGGTTAGTGGTATCTCCAGTCCTGTGTCGTACTTGCTCCGTCTAGGAATGGGATAGCCCACTGCTATACAAGGGTCCCGGAACAGTCGATGCCAACATTGACCGGGATTTGCAGTTTCAACGTCGTTGGGAACCAGAGCTGTGGAGAATGTCAAAGTATAGGTTGGACCCGAGTCACCTTCCTGTAAGCCCGGGGATATGTAGATCAGGGGCGAACACAAAGACAACCCTTCCTCTACCCCCGAAATCCGGGATCCGGATGTCCGCAACGCTGCCCCGAGCCAGGCAATCTGCTCGACCACCTCGGCAATACTGGTTGACGTGCCTCGAACCTCCGCCAGAAGAAGACTGGGATCGAAGTCTAGCTTCACCTGGGTTTTGTCTGGCAGGATTGCTTCTACCTCGCCATCTGAGTCTAAGCCACGGGCCAAGAGACCCAAAAGCCCGGGTCCCGATGCTGGCCACGTCTGGCGAAGATAGACTTCGCAGGGTAGTGCCTGTGCATCCGTTGCCGATCCCGTAAGCGTGATGGTCTTGCGGAGAAGCTGGCCAAAAGACTCCTGGGAAGTGCCAAACTCTTCTCGAAGGAAGGCTTTGGGGCTCCAATTCACCCGTAGCCTCAACGTGTGCATATCTAACGACCGCTTGTTACTCGCGACCTTTATGCGGCTGTCTAAGTGCCGGACCACGTCGAAATAAACACGGCCGGAAAGACGGCGCTGAGAGGGTACCAAGGCGAGGAGGAGCTTCCTTTTGAGCGATGCCGTCAGCCAACGGTAGGCCACGGATTGGAAGACAATCCTAGCGTAGTCGTGCCTATTTGGGAACGAGGTTTGGTCGCTCGTTTCCCCTACTTCCGGGGGAACATCACAACCATCGTCCATGTTCAACACGGGAAGCGAAAGATCATGGTGCTTGCCTTCGTCACCCAGGTCATCTAGCCACCTGCGGATAAACGAATGTACAGCTGACAGGTCGGCTTTCTCCCCGGGCTTGCTTGGACTCCCACATCCATTGGCCCGCGAGTCGAGAATGAGAGCAGATTCGAACCGAGACGCAATATCACTGACGATCATGTTAACAGTCTAACCATGAAAGCCCCAGGGGTATGGCCGTCACGTCGGGAGGAGACTTACGCCCTGTGCTTATTGATGAAGCACATCACCATCTGTTCAGCTTTGCTGGATCCAGCACATCCTAGCCGCTGGGAAAATGCCCTGAGAAGCTCCGGAAGGCTGGCCCAAACCGCTCGAACAGGAGCGGTGTCTTCGCCAGCACTTTGGGTTTCCGAAGAAACAAAGTCTGCTAGTGCTTCGGCTAACAGGGAGGTGTACATCCCCACGTTATCCTGCGAGACGCTGTTTGCCACCGAGCAATACGTTTCAAAGTTGTCAACATCTTCTTTTCCTTGGGGCTCGGCAACTCGCCCAAGCCATGCGTAGCCTGGGTCTGTAGGTGCGCTACATTCCATAGGGAAAGCCTCCGAGCCACCGTTGTTAGCCGCATTACTGAGGACTGTTCCGGGGTTATGAGCGTCTGTGATGCTTTGGGTGACTGAGCTGGTTGGAGCAGGGGTAACGCCAACGGATGCCACGCTGCGTCCAACATCCACAACCGCACTGTTGATGGCTGGAACACTCTGTTCGCTGGTGTCCCGGGCCAGACTGCATGATTTCTGCAACCTGAGACAATTTCTGCACGGCGCGAAGGGGTCTGTAAGGTACAGTCGGCTGGGGATGCACTTCGACATGTCAGTTTTGGTGGGCATTAAAACGATATATTAGGTGCTATCACTTACACGGATTCGCCGCCTTTTGCAATGCCCGCAGGCGTAGGGCTTCTGCATGTTTGAAATTTCTTTTTTCGAACACTTCGATGCATCCGCAGAGGGACTGCTCGGCAGTCCTGCGAGCTTTGCCTGACTCTCCTTCCGCTCCATGGTTACATTACCGGGTGCTAGTAGTAAAAATCTCAGTTCTGCGATCTCAAGCAAGAAATCGGGTCGCCGTCTTACCCTCCTTTGCAGTTACATGTGGTCGTGTTTCGGTGCCTTGCATTGGTTCATTCCAGAGTGAGTTCATCACTACAACTAACGCTACCCCCCTTAACAGGGAGATGAATGGTGGCGATATGAATATTTAGACAAGTGATATCGGGCCAGCATGCGATGGGAAAGTTCAAGAAATTCAACAAGTCACAAATCACTCGAGTGCGTCGAGATTGGGTCGACGGCAGGCCCCCAGCACAGCCCCCCTCTTGCGCCTCGGGTGTGTGGTCCAAACAGCATGCCGCAGACCCTGCAAGGCTCTGCGTTAACTGGGGCACCGCCCGCATCATGCATGCACTTCTGGTTTGACGGGAGACTAGAAACGGGTGGCAGAAGTGTGCAGATGATTCTAACTGTGCGACTTCCAACTACCTTACCCACATTATTATGTATGTTGGTAACATGAAAACAATCCGGGGCCCAAGTCTCTCTCCGTCTTGGCCTACTTGTATCGTTCCGGGGTATACGCAGATGCCTACCCGTGGCAAAGGCAGAAAAATGCTTGTTGAGACGCGCGAGAACAGGAAAGTTGAGAGGGTTAGTATTGTCTTTTCCCCCTAGAACAAGATCGTCTCGCCTGCATCGCCTACCTGTACCGGCACAGGGACGCTTTGGCTTGTAACACGATGTACCCAATGGAGCCCATCCTTTCCCGCATCTAACCCCCCAGCCCCCAACACTCTTACACTCAAGCCGGACAGGTCATCGGCCTCGGGCCCGGCACCGGATACGGCTTCCTCCCATGATCCGGCACGCCATCCACATAGATCTGGACCAATACCCCCGGATCATCCTGACCGTACACCCCAGGAATAGCAACCGTCTCCTCCGGCACATAGCCCCCCCCACCGGTCACATTAAGCTGCGCACACGACTGATAGAACTGCGCCCCCATCCACTCAGCCGCCGAATGCAGCGCCAACACCTCCTGCCGCAGCAAATACTCCCCCGGCGCCAAACACTTCGGCAAATCCACATAAACCCACCCCCTTTCCGCAATCATCTCATCCACCGCCCACCGCCCCGTCTCCACATCCAACCCCGACTCCTGGATCTTAAACCACCGCAGCCCCTCCTCCCCCTCCTCCAACGACACCCCCACCGCATCCTCCACTTTCGCCATATACGTCGAGATCGGCCCCTTGTGGCCGGGCGGGATCGGGTGGTCCGGGTCGCCGGGGAAGGCCTCGCCGCCGATGACGGCGCCCCACCAGGCGCCGACGCGGTCGCCGGCGCGGGCGTCGATGGTGCGGTTGGAGTGTGTGCTTACCGGCCCGCATGCCATGCGCGCGTCGCTGACGTCGTGGATCGGGTAGTTGAGGTGCGGGGCGCGCAGGCCGACTAGGGGGGGGGTGGACGAGGTTGTTGATGGAGAGTTTCTGGGGGTTGGGGAGGGGGGATGGGTTAGTTGGGTTGTGAAGGGTAGGTGGTTATGGTGATGGGCTTGCTGTCCTGGGCCTTTTGGTAGTCATTGAATGGGGGCTAACCTGGAAGATGGTGTGCGCTTGGGCGGAAACCGCTAGGGCTATCATGATGGTGGACTTCATGGTGGCTAAGTCGAGTCGGAGGTTCAGGGGTTGACCGAAAGCTTGTTCAACACGGAGCGTGCTTCAAGGTGGTGTAAGGAAGTAGATTGGTTATTGGGAGCAGCTGCCATTACACCTCAACTTTATGTTTGAGTAACGAACTCGAGGCGTCCGGCAGTTGAACCGCAAACCTGTCCTGCATTCACGACATGCTGATGAAGACGGCCACAGAAATTGGTTGAGTAAAGTACCCTACCTCGAATAAAGATAGCTCCCGCGGCTCTTTGAAACCATTTCAATCTATTTCCCTACCTGGTATATTTCTAGCCGCGCGGGCCTCGCATTCTTCCTCAGCTATCTCGATGCTTGCTCATAGACACGACGCTGGTTCTCTCTGAAAATCCCCGGCTGTGGTTGGCCGAAGTCACCTCACCGGACGCGTTCCCTCCGCCCTCCTGTTTTGACTTCTGCCTCCCAATGACTTGGCAGCCGGGAGACCGAGACTACCAGCCATTAGATTGGCACAACAATCTTGACCCCGCTGACACCGGCTTTAAGCTTGTCCAAGGCTGCGTTCAAACCATCGAGACCGCCTCCCTCAATCTGAATATGGGGGCTTGGGACAACAGAACCCGACTTGAGATTGTCCTGCAACCACTCATGGAAGCACTGGTACATGTGCTTGTCCCTCTCCGCCTTATCTATTGAAGGGAAGTTGAACTTGATCTCGGTATTGTCGAGCGTCGGGTGGTCCGGGAGCAGGACCGGCGAATGGGCGACCCTGGCGGGGGCGTCCCCCTTTGTCTCTCTGAGCACGTCCAATGTGGGCTGCAAACTGTCGGGGACGGCGCAGTGGGCCGTGTGCAGCTTGACGCCGTCCTTCTTGGCGGCGGTGATGATCTGCGCGACAACGTCGCTGTCCTTGTAGTCAAAGACGGCGTCGGCGCCGAGCCCCTTGAGGTAGGCGTGGTGCTTGGGGCTGGCGGTGGTGTAGACGGTGAAGCCTAGGATCCGGGCGGTTTGGATGGAGAAGCTTCCGATGCTGCCGGCACCGCCCCAGATCAACACGCCCTGCTTATCCTCCGGAGTGTACCTGGTGTCGATCGGGATGCCGATGGTCGTCCACGCGGTCAAAGCCGTCACGGCGGCGATGGGGAGAACAGCGCCTTCCTCGAAGGAGAGGGCATCCGGGAGCGGGATGACGGTCTCGAACGGGACCACGGCATATTTCTGGAAGGCGCCGTAATCGGGCGAGCCGTTCTGGTAAAAGGAGGAAACGAAGGCGAGGACACGGGTGCCAGGAGTAACCGTAGAGACATCGGAACCCACTTTGGCGACGATACCGGCCGCGTCGCATCCGATAACGGCAGGGTAGGCGGGCACTGGAGGGAAGTTGGTATCGCGCTGGAGGTAGTCCATTGGGTTCAGAGCGACGGTCTTGACTTCGATGAGAACCTCGGCAGGTCCGGGCTCAGGGGTGACGCGTTCGTCGACCACCAATGGACCGCCCTCCTTGAGGAGGATAGCAGCGGAATGCATAGTGAATGTCTAAGCAACAGGGTAACCGTTGACGTAGCCTTGATCTTGGTGATGTCGCGGATTGGTATAAAGAAGAAGGAGGGTTCAGCTCCCAGCCCCCTATTTTGTTGCTCAGAATAGATGCCCAAGGTGGAGTGCTCCGGGGAGTTGAGCCATTCGGACTCGAGCCTAATTCCGAGTTGGGGGCTGGCTTTCCCGACCTTGGCAAGCTGAAGCAGGCGATTCCAGTCCCACAAGCTGGTCGTTGGCCTTACGGCTCGCCCACTTCGCGGCCAAGGTGTGGATATTCCGTGTGAAGAGACAATAATAGGTGGAAACGGCCGCCGCCGGCCTTGCCTTCGGATGATTTCGCCGCGGGATCAAGCATAGTGACATGCTGTCGGCAGCAGTCGACTACCAGCAATTATCAAGAGATTTCATTATCAAACGCTGTAGAGGGACGCTAGCCGGACTACGAGATAAACACACGCTCCAACGACATCTGAGAATAAGACTGAGATCCATCTGCGCCATACATATACTGTTGAGTGCAAGCTCTTCTCAGAGAACTTTGTTGTCATGTCAGATATAATTATCCATTAAATAAACAAAGGGTCTTATCACAACTCGCGTCTGATTATTCAGCCTTCGTAGGTAGGTTTCTGTTGATATCCTACGGTGTATTGTGCCACCCATCATCTTTGCAGTCAATACTTGAAGTTTCCGGGAAGACTTTCAGGGGGTGTGTGGTTTCTATGTACAATAAAAATGATAACAGTAAAGGACCAACCTAGCGTTGCAGAGTAGCCGAGACTGCAGAGTGCAGAAGGCTGACGGCACGGGAGACCCACGAGTACACCACTTTGGAGATCTCAGCAGGAAGCCCTAAGACCACTAAAACGGAAGAGGTACAGATCTGTACAGGGCGGAAGAGGTTCTGCTGGCGAACAGGGGAGCTGGCGAGCTGCCAGGCTGTGAGGCACAAATGATGTTAAACCGTGCTGTAAACATCCCAGTCGGCCCTCATCTCCTGTTGCATTATTTCTCCTTACCCGCTGCTGCCGCCGACTGACACCTGCCCCTCGGTATCCCACTTTGAAGCTTTTCGGTCCGACGGCCGAATGCCCAGAACACTCGGTGGAACCGTAGGGTCAGCCGCATCGTGATGGGTGAGAGAGTGTGTGTGTGATATCGACCAGATGAAGACGAATGCAGATGCATGAGGGCAGATGGACAGGGGGGAATATGCCGGTATACACAATGCCCGCATGTTGCCAAACATGCAGCCAACTATCTAGAATCGGTGAGCAAGTGGCCAGCTGAAATTGGGAAGCAGAGATATCCGAGACCTTGCAGCTGGGCGCCTCTTCCGACTCCCCGCATCCTACCTAGAACAACTGCTCGCTGGCCGAACCCGCAATGGATTGGCTTCTGTTATGCCGGGGTAGGTAGTGGGTGTGGTACATGTGTATGTGCAAGTCTGAGTTCAAGAGTATGACTGGGCATGAAGGGCTTGGCTTAATTAAGTGACGGGAGTTCGTGGCGACCCCGTTTGGTATCGATCGGGCGGGATCTTCCAGGCCGATCAGTTCAAGCTCTCGGCCCGGCATTGATCACATCCGTGACAATGCACATACACACATACGCCCACCGGGATCACAGCCTCCCTCACCTGGGACTCGGGCTTCGTGTAAACAAGGACACCCTGGAGTATCTACTCCTGAAGATGCCACGTCGCGTATTCTACCACCCTGACAAATCATCGTCGAAGGCCCTCTTCCGGTAGCTGCAACAATCCGATGTCCGATATCCCACTCCTCTCCGATGCCCATCGGAATAGACTCAAACCTCGTAGCACTCCGCGCGTGTGGGCGGCTGAACGAGGGGAGCTGAACCTACACCAGAATGGGATCGAAAGAGGCGAGCTGAGCCTGCAGAGCAATAAAATTGATTAAATTGATTGGGTGTTTTGGTCACAGTGGTGATGTTTCACAAGCCCCTTGGCAGCTGGCTTGAAGATCATGGCAAACAATGACATGAGCGAGAAACTCGGAACTTGGTCCATTCACCCTCAGCCGCTTGAAGCACCCGTCTCGTGGTTCGACTCGAGCCTCCATTAGATGAAGGGGTACCTCTTGCCGTATAGGGAACGATGCATCTGGAAGCCGAGATTCTCATGGGTATATATATATCTCCCTCCTGGACCCCCGATCCGTGACCTGTCCCCAGCACTCAGCAGCACCAACAAACATATCAGAGCAATCACACCCACAACTACCAAGCAAAACGCAATAGCAAGCAACAAAACCGTCCAGGTCAGTCACGCCTGATCACTCCTCACACCCCCCGTAGTAGAGTTGGATGATGGTTTGGTGACCATGTCACATCGACACTTGCTGATAGAGAATAGGGCATTCAAAATGGCTACCGAAATGCTCATGCACTCCCCCATTGCCGTGGTTTCGTGGGCCAAGAACCGCCTGGACTTATTCGGCATCGGAACCGACAAACAAATGTTCCATAAGGCATGGAACGGCACCAGATGGAGTGCCAACTGGGAACCCCTCGGCGGTGTCTTCACTAGCCATCCCGCGGTAGCCTCGTGGGGCCCCAACCGCATCGATGTCTTCGGCCTCGGAACCGATAAGCAGATGTTTCACAAGTGGTGGGACGGCAGCAAGTGGAGCTCTGGCTGGGAAGGCCTGGGTGGTGTCTTTACTAGCCAGCCGGCCGTCGTCGCCTGGGGCGAGAACAGGCTGGATATCTTCGGCCTCGGCACTGACAGCCAGATGTTCCACAAGGCATGGGACGGCAACAAGTGGAGCGCCGGCTGGGAACCCCTCGGTGGCATCTTCACCAGTCCCCCAGCCGTCGTAGCTTGGGGCGAGAACCGGCTCGACATCTTCGGCCTGGGAACCGACCATCAGATGTTCCACAAGGCATGGGACGGCAGCAAGTGGAGCTCTGGCTGGGAACCCCTCGGTGGTGTTTTCTCCAGCCTCCCGGCCGTATGCTCCTGGGGCGCCAACCGCCTCGATATTTTTGGTCTTGGGACCGACAGCCAGATGTTCCACAAAGCATGGGACGGCAGCAAGTGGAGCGCCGGTTGGGAGCCTCTCGGTGGCGTCTTCACGAGCGCTCCCGCTGTGGTGTCTTGGGCCTCCAACCGGATCGACATCTTTGGCCTCGGGACGGACCACCAAATGTACCACAAGGCATGGGCTGGTGGATGGCATCCCTCTGTCAAGGACTGGGAGGCATTGGGCGGCAAGTTCAACAGCGCCCCGGTGGTTGTGGCTTGGGGTGACCAGCGCTTGGATGTCTTTGGGCTGGGGACTGACAACTCGCTGTTTCACAAGGCATGGGCTGGGGCATGGCATCCTTCCGCAACTGGTTGGGAGGCCCAGGGAGGAGTCTTCATTGGCTAGATTGTAACTTCAAGGTTCCCTCAGAATAACTGATGGTACAGCCATGGTACGAAAAGAGACATAGCCCCAGTCTAGCTTGTGATATTCACCCTTCCATCTGCTGTTTCGGCGGAGTCCGGGCAATCGGCTAGGTCGAGGCAGAAAATATATGGTTTCTCTTACCCCGACTACCAGTGTGTGTCGTGGTCTTCTCCCGTCCGAACGCACCACGTACATAGACCGTGGGCATGTCCGTGCTGGTCCTCCGCAAACTTGTCCGCTATAGATCGAATGAGGCGAACCCGCTGGTCAACAGGCTCGAGCGTGGCAACCTTATCCGTGGCAGGTAGATCGTCGCCTTGCCTCAAGGTTTCAAGGATCCTGGACAGGCTCGCGTTTCCGAGGCCGCCGACACTGAGCACGAGACCGGTGCAACAATCCGCTTCATGTTTGCGCTTCTTTGGACCTGGGCCATATTGCCAGCCATCGCCACGCAGCACGTCCATTAGTAACTTCATTCGCAGCCTGTTCCGCGCCTCCTCTAGCATGGCTGATTGACACGCGTTAGTACCGTATTAACCCGCGCCGCCCCAAGGGCCACTGATTGCCCCAAATAGCAACCAACAAGAGGTACGGCTTACCTGCGGTGTTGAATAGCATCACGTGGTCCATTACCGCCTCATGATTTCTGACAAGGTCGATGTAGGATCCCTCGTGGTTGAATATCAGCGCAGATGTTGCCTCTGCGAAGGCTTCCTCTTCTTGGAAGAGATACGCCGACAACGCCAAAGCCCACAGCTCCTCCGGATCGTTGATCCCTTTACAACCAATCCAGGCCCAAATCGCAAAGGCGAGCGAAACGAGGCAATCGTACTTGTCACCCGCGAGAGCCACCTGAAGAAGCTTGTTGGGGCTAAGCTGTTCGGGAACCTTGTTGTTGCGACCGTGGATGATGTTGAGGATAATCTCGATGGCGTCTGCATCGTCTTCGGGAAGTTCGATCTCGACCGGACCGGCTTTCACCGAACTGGTTTCTGCCGAACTGGTTTCTGCTAGTCGCTGTCCCTCCTTGAAGTTGGGGCCAAGCATTGCATCCAGAACAGGCGACGCTGTTTTGACGAAGAGAGAGTGGACTCTGATCCTTCTCTGCGTGGGACCGACGATGAACACAACATCGCCATCCGGCGCGATGTCGACGGTAATCGGGGCGCTGTCTTCATTCGAGGGAGTGACCGAGGCCATGATCGCTGTTGATACCTTCTATTTCCTGAAGAAGGAAGGTTGTCTGTCCTTTAATATTTTTAGGACTGGGGACCAGAATGAGGGAGATGGATTGAGGTGAAAAATACCTGATTTATTTATCTATTTTCCGTTCGTTGGAAGGCAGGTATTTCGATCCTGTGTAAGTATAACATGGGACGAGGCCAAAAAGAGTGGGCCAGCGAGGTGCTCGTTAATCCAAGAGAGCTTTCACCCAAAGAGTAGACGTGCGAGGTCGCACGGTGAGCACCGACCTGGGCAACCAAATTGTGTTCGTATAATACAAATCACAACAACGCTGACCCGTTTCCGGACAGCGGGATCTTCTTCAAACCAACCACACCACTCGTCTATAATCCTCACCCCCCCATCCCCCATCCACCACCCACTCACCTACAACCCCCCGGCACCCATCCACCACCCACTCCCCTACAACCCCCCAGCAGCACCTATCAACTCCCACCCCCACCCCTCCCCTTCACCAACCCGCCCACCAACCCCCTAAACCCCTCCCCCAACGCCTCCACCACACACTTAACATCAACCACCGCCATCTCCTCCTCCCCTCCCCTATCCACCACCACCCCTCCATCCCCAGTCCCAGTCCCAGCCCCAGCCCCAGCCCCAGCCCCACGAACCGACCCAATCTTCCCGCGCGCCAACACCCCTTTAACATCCCGCCCCGTCCTCAGCGGCCCAGCCCCGGGCGTGGCGCTGGCCGGCGCAATGACGGTGTCGTCCATGAGCTGCTGCCAGCGGGAGAGGTACATACCCGGGCCGGTGAAGGACCTGTTGCTCAGGTCCGGGTTCGGATTCGGGCTGGGGGAGCGCGGGGTGGTGCGGCCGGATCGGGACCAGTACGAAGGGGAGAAGTAGGAGGTGGGGGCTGTTGTTGTTGCTGCTGTCGTTGTTGTTATGGGTGGTGCGGTTGCGGAAGGGGTTGTGGGGCCACTGGGGGTAGTGGCGAGGGTAGAGATTGCGGCCGTGATGGTGGCGGTGGTGGTGGTGGTGGTCGACATGTTGTCGAGGATGCGCTGCATGCGGGTCAGGGAGAGAGCCTCGAGCTGAGAGAGGTAGGTTGCGTGGGCGTCGATGGCGGGGAGGATGCGGGCTTGGGTGGTGGGTGGGAGGGCGGTAAAGAGGTGCTGCAGGGGGCTGCTCAGGGCGCCGGCGGCTCCGGGGCGGTCGTTCTTGTTGTCGGTTTTAGAGGCTGCAGGAACTTCCGGGTTCTCAGGTTGCCGAAACACCTTGATTGTCTCCTTGGCCCAGGCGCAAAAATTGTCCCGGATTTCGGGACATTGGCTGGCAACTTGGTGCAACCAATTGTAGAGGAGCTGGCGGTTGTTTCTGAGGAGGGCAACGTAGTCCTCTACCGAAGGAGCACGAGCCTCCGATGCTTCGGCTTTGGCTGGCGTCAACGAGCCCATAAGGCTCGAGGAGCCCTTTTTGTCTTTGGTGACGTTGATAAAGGCAGTAATAAACCCCTCTGCGGCCGATAGGTGTTCGCGGAGATCGACCTTTTGGTGGATGGTCCTGATCATGGACTCAAAACTTCCCACGGCGTCTTTGACGGCCTGGGTGAAGAGATCGGGGTTCTGGCGGCAGAATGCGTTGGAAATCTCATCACGATCTCGGGCCGCAAGCAACGCGGAGAGGTACTCCAAGCACTGTGTGTGTTGGGCCTCGGTGAGCGAGGATAGCAGGCTTGGGTTCGAGCGCTCCAGAATTGTGGCAGCGATCGACTGGGTCTTTTGGGCACTGGTATTCCGGATTTCGTGGTGTTCATCTCTCGTCATGTCGAGATACTCTTTGATCGCAGCAAGCTGCTCCTTTGACGCCCCCTTTGCTTTCTCGATGGCCTCAGCGGATTTACGAAACTCGGAAGCGTCCCAGGACAGTACTAGCCAAACAATCCTGCAAGCGTTAAGACCTGGGCTCAAACAATAACAATCAAACGAATGGATCCATACCTTTGGAGCAGGTTCATGCCGTCGTCGGCGTTTTGTGTTAGGCCAACCCAGTTCGAGAGCGCGCCCACGCCGACCTTGGCGAGCAGCAGACGTACCATTCCATTGAGCATACTTGCTGCATTGCCTATGCGGAGTGTCTGCTTAACCATGGAGTATGGCAACAGCCTATGGACGTTCTCCAGCAGCTTCAACAAATAGGGACCTTCGGGTGACAAGATGAAGACATAATGTATCAAGGTTGCCAGGCTAGATTCGGGTCAACCTCTGGCCACCTGATGCACCGTTCAGACTCACTGAAGTATTATGTAGTCTGCGGCAGCTTGTACGGCCGGGGAGTGTTCTTCAAGACTGTCCTTCTCGGCGGCGCAAGAGAATAGTTCGTCGATCAAGTTCCCGTAGACGAGCTCCTGGACGCCGTCCTCCCATGCCCTGGCCAGATCCCGGGCTTCAGACCTGTCATACTCCCCATACAGGCTTCGGTTTGCACCGTTTTCAACGCCCCCGAGGATCCCTCTCGATACGGTCTCATGAATTGCCGAGGACGCAGTAGCCAGCGTCTTTCGAGTGCCCAAAACGCCTTTGTCGTATGATTCTGAAAGCTCTGCCTCGGAAAGCTTCTCGAGGATGCCTTGGAATCTTACGTGCCAAAATTCGGGAGGCAAATCTCGAACGCCTGGAAACGGCAGCACAATGCTCTGTAGAAAGCCGGCAAGTAACGGCGCTGCCGAATGTCCGGCGTATGACGGCGCGTCGTTGGATTCGGAGGAGCGGCGAGCAAAGGGATACCCATATTCGGAGATGGCACGGGGATCCTTGAAGCTCTCCACCTCTGCATAAGTTTCGTGGTGGGTGAGGATGTCGAAGAGGGCATGCAATTGGGATGAAGTTAGGGTCCTGGAGGGTTCAGGGACGGAAATGGCAGGTTCCGCAGAACCATCTGTTGCCGGGTTTTCCATGCTGACGTATCCTTTCTGAGGTGAAGTGAAAGAAGGCCACGAGTCAGGAACCCGAGGGCGCGCAGTTCAAAATTGAGTGATAATAATTAACGATGGAATTGATCGGATATGATTATCGCAAAAAAAATGAGAGGTTCACTAAGGGCTGTCGGGTATGGGATTTGCCAGGCCATTTTGGGATAAATGGATTTCCCAGGCTAGGATGACGGGATTGCTGACCAGCCCTGAGGTGCCCGCTCCGTGAGCTTCGTCTTGATTGAGGCTTCCAGGTTCCTGCTTTGAGATGTGACGTCGGCCCGGGTGCAAGCGCTTCGAGGTGAGCTCCCCAAGCAGCTGTGAGGGGCAACCCTCGCCCCTCTCGAGCCCCTGTAATTACAGTTTCCTCCCTTCCCATGTCAGCACCCCTCCAGTCTGTCCCTTCCCCACCACGTGCCCACCTCCTGCCATCAACGATTCGATCAACACCATCAACAACATTAACAATACGAACATCACCACCGGAATACTTGCGACCAATTAACGGCTTGACCATGAATTTTGGAAGGGCGAGTCCCGTGATGGTGGCATTCCTATACTCCCCGTTCCACCATTCGAAGACTCGATGCCAAAACGTAACGTAACACGACGTTGGTGACTTGCAGACTGCTATGTCAGGTCAGACGGCTCGGATTGGAAAGGAGAGAGCAGTGGCCGAAAATGTTTGCAGCTCAACTTTGAACACTGCATCGGCCGAGGCAGCATGCACATGCCTCCACCCGGCACCCTGAACGACTGCCGCTTCCAGCATCGCCATTTGCATACCAAATGTTGGGGGCCAGGGACAGAGCGACCTCCGCACTCCAGAGTCATGGCCTCCCATGGCCGGACGGTTCATCATTACACCGCGGGCACTTGCCTTGAGAGAGTCGGAGTCTGGAGTTCGCCTGCGTGGTTGCTTGCCACTCGTCTCCCCAACACACGCGCCTTCCCACCTTTGACGACAGGAGTGGCACCCCGAGAGCCCTGTTCACCATTCCGGCAGCCGGGCTTTCCCATCCCTAGCATGAGACGAGTGTCCTTCCCATATTCTGCGAAACCCCGGCGGGTGCAACTCCAATTCGACAGATGAACCGCTCGGGATGTCCTGCCGAACGCTTCAAACACCAAACGCATGGCAAGCGCGCACCGGGCGAGACTCGATGCAGCCCCGAGGTCAAAATGCCGCGCGCCTCAGACCAGGAACTTCTCCCTTCTCTCCGTTCTCTCTCTTCATCACCGACATTACCGTCTCTATTATCATCTCACAAACACAAGCAACATGTTACTCAATAAATTTTCCCAATTTCTACTTGTCGGCTGGCTCTCCAACACGCTGGCCGAGACTGTCGTCCACGATGACCATTTCACCCCCGACCACGTGCTCAGGGTAGCCGTTGCCCCAGTGATCTCTGGTTGCGAGATGCGGGATAATGTGGTGGTCAATGGGACGTCCCCGGGACCAGCCATACATCTGCTTCCTGGGGCGAGAACCTGGATCCGAGTCTACAATGACATTCCAGATCAGAACCTCACCATGGTGAGCAAAGCCGGACACACCTACTGCAGTTCAGACTTGGCTAACGGGATTCCTAGCACTGGCATGGCCTCTCCCAACGATTCGCGCCCTTCTCGGACGGTACTCTCGCCGCATCACAGTGGCCCATCCCCCCGGGCCATTTCTTCGATTACGAGATTGCGACCGAACTGGGGGATGCTGGTTCCTACTTCTACCATTCGCACGTTGGCCTGCAGGCGCTGAGTTGCACCGGGCCGTTAATCGTTGAGGACTGCGGCTCATCGCCTTACGCTTACGACGATGAGCGAATCCTCTTGTTCCAGGATTACTTCCAGCAGAAGAACCAGGACATGGTTGAGGGCCTGACGTCTGTACCGTATACCTGGATGGGGGAAACGCGTGGCATCTTCCTAAACGGCAAAGGCGTTGCGCTGGGTATGGCGGCCACCGAGGGCCCGGGCGGTGAAGCGAATGGGTTCTTTGGGAGCCGTCGCTACTCGGGTTCCGGCGCCGTCAATGGCAGCCCGGACTCCTGGGATGGAGTATTGGGTGATGACCAGATCCAACCCTCAGCTGAATGCACGCTCCCGGTCATCGACGTCGAGCCGGGCAAAACATACCGATTCCGCTTCATCGGTGCCACCGGCCTGTCCCTCCTGTCGATGGGTTTCGAGGATCACCCCATCCTTGTCGTCATTCAAGTCGACGGCGGCGAGTACAACTCAGCAGTGCCAGTCGACCGCATCCAGCTCGGCGGAGGCCAGCGGTTTGACGTCATTCTGCAAACCAAGACGGTCGAGGAGCTCGGAGACAAGGCCACCTACTTCCTCCAGTTCGAGACTCGTGACCGTCCCGAAACCTATCGCGGCTATGGCGTACTCCGGTATAATGTCAACTCGCCGGTCCCCCCTGCGCCGGTCGTTCCGGTCCTCGCCCTCCCCGCCAGAGTCAACGACTGGCTCGAATACACCCTCCAGCCTCTCGACCCCTCCAACGACCCCTGTCCGACTCCCGAAGAAGTCACCAGGCGCGTCACCCTCCTGGCCGAGGAAAAGCAAGACCCCATCACCGGCCGCCTCGCGTGGCATCTCGCGCACATGACTTGGACCGACGAGAGTCGCGACAAACCCGTGCTTGTCGACATCTACGAGCGCGGCCAACCCGCCATCCCCGACTACGAGGCCGCCGTGGCCAACTTCGGCTGGGACCCGGCCAACAGGCTCTTTGCCGCCCGCAAGGACGAAGTTCTCGAGATTGTGATCCAGAACACGGGCTCGCAGTTCAGCGGCGCCGCCGGCATCGTCGAGACGCACCCCTTCCACGCCCACGGCGCGCGCTACTACGACATCGGCGGCGGACCGGGCCTGTACGACGCCGACGCGAACAATGCCAAGCTGGCCGCCCTCAATTACAAGCCGATCAAGCGCGACACGACGATGATGTACCGGTACGGCGACGGCCGGGTGGCGCCCGGCGCGCCGGCCGGGTGGAGGGCGTGGCGCATGCGCATGTCTCACCCCGGCGTGTGGATGGTGCACTGCCATGTCTTGGGCCACATGATCATGGGTGAGTTTTATGCTCGGCGGAGTCGGTTGTGTTTGTTTTTTGTCTTGTGCTGACCTCAGGTGTGTTGCAGGCATGGAATCCCTCTGGGTGGTCGGCGATGCCGAGGACATCATCACGATCCCCTTGCCCGCGAGTGAGAATTACTTCACGTACGGCGGCAGCGTCTACGGCAGTGAGGTGCGGGCGCCTGCGGTTTATCACTATTTCGACTGCTGCACAAACAAGTGCGTTGACGCGAGGGCCAGCAACTGCACAAACTGATCTCGGAGGCGAGACGGAAGGTCCCTGACTCGTATTTGTTTTGTTTGTGGTATATTTGTATAACAGCGTAATGAATGGAGCGTTGCTTGGTGCATTTGTGCAGAATAGATCAGGATCATAGCCAAGACACTACCCCTTTTTCTTTTTGCTTGTGTTTGTCAGTTGTTGATGACAATCTCGTTGGTTGGGGCCAGCCCCTGTTAGCTGAGTTTCTGGCGAGATGACTCTTGTGAGCCTGACCGCCTGACGGGGGAGCGGAACCTGTGTCTCACGGGTATTTCCTTCTCACCATCCGTGGGCTTTTGTCTGGTTTTGTTTCCTGTCCATCCAACTTGTACACTCGTTGCGACGGCACCAGTCACTCGTTTACAGCCGAACGACGACAGTCCTTACCTGGGTATTCCAACACCATCACGATCACTACGAGCATCACTACTACGAGGAATCAACAACCACTACAAACACAAGCAGACCGAAAACCAAAGAAGAAAAGATGCCACGCCCAACGACCCTCTTCACCGCCGCCCTCGGGCCCCTCCTCGTGCTACTCGCCGCCGGCCCGGCCGCCGCCCGCACCGACTACGAGGGCTGCGTCTCCACCGAGCTGCCCGCCGCCCACAGCACCGTCTGGTACGTCCCCGGCACCGGCGAGCTGTGCGAGCCCGTCGACTGCGGCGGCGGCCGCGCCCCGCCCAAGACGGTCCCCGGCTGCCCGGCCTACAAGGGCACCGAGACGGTCGAGCCCAAGTTTTGGTCGGGGTTTGAGGAGGCGGTGGCTACGCCTGCGCCGGTGCCGACTGGTTCTGGGGGTGGTGATGGGAATGGGAATGGTGGGGATAAGGGGGAGGATGAGGGTGAGGGTGAGGGTGGTGAGGATGATAATGGGGGGCAGGGGGTGGGTGTTGGTGTGGGTGTGACGCCGGGCGGGGAGGCGAAGGGCACGATTACGGTTACCCTCGGTGGTGGGGGGGCGGCGGCGTCGAGGACGGGGACAAAGACGAGGAGTGGTGATGTGGAGGAGACGGGGGCGGCTGGGAAGGGTGTGGATGATGATGAGGATGAGGAGGATGGGGATGATGCGGAGGCGTCGCCGTCTCCGTCGAGTGGTGGTGAGGGGGGCAAGAAGCCCAAGGCTACGCTGACCAAGGTTATGACGGCTGTTGAGACGGTGGATGGCGTGGTCAGGCCGGTGCCGACTAACCATCCCGAGGGTGATACGGCGCATGTGACTGTCTCGACTGCTGGTGCGGTGCCCACGGGTGTTGTTGGGAAGGGAGTGTTTGGGGTTGTTGCGGGTGTAGCGGTCGCTGGATTGGTGCTTGCCTAGGTTCGTTGGTTGAGTGGGATAGCAGTGTCTGTGGGTTACTCGTAGTAGATTATAATAGAAATTGCCTCTCGGCTTCGTAGGGACACAGTGGTCGCGAAACGGTACGGTTTTATTTGTGTATTTGCTGGTGTCGATTCAACACTGCATCAGAAAATAATGAAGGCGTCTCCAAATTTACTTTCTCGGCGCGGCACTGAAGCGCAATTGGAAAATGCCCCACCAGCCCAAGGCGGTGGCAGTTGGCGGTATCTCGGACCTTTTGGGTTAGCGGAGGCAGGCCAGCCCCTTCCGTTCTTGCCCTCAGCTTTCGTCCACTGGGCAACGGCCGGGCACATCGAGTAGGCTGGGGATTCTCCACCTCAATACTAGCAATTCCCGCCGCCATCCCGCGTTTGCTTTGGAGCGACTTTCGGATTGCCAACATCGTGAGCGCAAGAACTTGAGACGTCTCTATCAACTTCTGACGCTTTACGTGCTGCATATACCTCCCCTGCTCAATCCCTCGGTCCCCTTTTCTACCACTCACAGAAGGTCGGAGTGACGTGTTCCAGTGCCATTGCGCAGCTGCATTCAACGAATTGACAGCCGAACTGCTGCATCTCGCAACGACCGCTCGACATACATTTCTGGCCCCTTCACCATTCCCAAATTCCAACTGATATACTCGATAATTTACTTGCTCTCCTCGTTCAAAGATGTCACCAGACTCTGAGCCATCTCCGCCGATGGCCAATGGCCTCGCCGACGCGGGGCAGGGAGTCCATCTCGAGGAACCAACCACGCCGCTCGATGATGATTCCATTATTGCTTCGTCGCAGCAAAGCATCCCCCCAACAGAGGCGCCGGACTCCCCGATAGACCCAGGGTCCTCGTTCAAAACGGAGCTCAATGAAGATCGTGCAGCGTCGTCCGTCATCCCGTCATCGCTCACCCCACCTCCATCCTCCCAGGTAACCAACGCTGTTGGTGCGGGTGCCGTCAATTCACAACGCTCCGGTATCTTTTCGCCGCCGGCGACCGCTATCAACGGCGTCAAGCGCGAAATCGTGCCCGGCGAGTTTATCCCCCCGACCCAGTCCCAGATTGCCGATGCGTCGGTTGAAGAGCTCCGAAGCATGCTCCAGGGGTGCATGGCCGACCAGGCGCGACTCAAGATGGAAGCCGCCCACCACAAACTGCAGTTCAACATGCTCGCCCTCCGCGCCGAAGAGGACACAAAACGTGCCGCCGTCGAACACGAAATGACCAAGAAGGAAGTGCAAGTGTTGCAGCAAGCCGAGTGCGCACGCCAAGCCCGGCGTGAAATCACTGCCGCCTCTGAATCGACACAAGCCAAGTACCTGCAACTTAGGGCTTTGCATGAACTGGCGCTCGAGGAGAACGATGCTCTACACAACAAGGTCAAGGCGGCGAGGAAGGTGATACAACAAAAGGAGGACGTGATCGCCAGCCTGACAGACGAGCGGGAGTTGATGTTGAACCGCATCCGGGAGAACCGCGAACACTTCCACCAGCTCTGCAGCCCCGGAGGTATGTTCCATGGGGCCGTGACGCCCAAGCCCCAAGCTACAAGCCCTCAGCAGCAACGAGCCACCCCGCGGCAGACTCCTAGGGCAGCACACCGAGACAGCCATCGAGACCACAGCCAAGAAGGGTTTGCCGTCCTGCTTCAGGCGCTTTCCCAGGACAACAACAGCGCTCCCTCGACCCCGATCATCGGCCAACGCCCTGCACCCCGTGTCCCGTTGAAGCACACACGCAATGTTCAATCCATGTCTTCCCTGCCATCCACCCCGATGGCCCGTACCCCCGCAAACAACAGAGGACTCCTCCCGTCGATCGACCTCGTACCACAGACCGAGCCGCCACACCGGCAACCTCGCTTTGTGCCCGATGCACCAGCCACGCCCAAGCGCCAGGACCGGCGCAAGAGCAGAGAGAGCACGATCTCTGCCGAGGATAACCAGGAACTCGCGCGCCAGGCATTGCAGTCCTTTGTCTCTCGCGGCTCGCAGCATTCACAAAGCTCACGGCGGCGTCCGACAGATGAGGAGGCGGAGGGGGAAATCTACGAAAGCCAGGCCAGCCAAGCGGCTTCGGAGATGCTCCGCCGTGACGCCCGGGAGAGTTTCGAAGTCACCGGCTCAGTTGGGAACTCCAGGGATGGCACACCAGCGGCCGCAGACAGAAGCGCCAAGCTGCAGGCAAAATTGTTTGGGGGCCTGAATAAGGGCGGTCTGCCGTCGCAGGGAAAGCGGAAGTTCGGCGCGCATCATGGCGAGGTCGCCGATGGGTATTCGGTGCACGACCGCATCACGAGCCCGACTAAGAAGTTGCGGGAGGTTGGCGGGCTGAGGGACCCCGGCCGTGTTGGACTCGGGATACAGTATAGCAGGGACGTTTAACGCCGGGTCGTTAGGGAGTGGTAACAGAGGGGTGGTAACTGGGTTTTGGGTTCTATTCTTATGGGGGGCGGGGGGGGCCCACGGCGCAAGGAATTCTTATTCTCAAAATGGGCGTGATACCTACGAAAGGGTTCTCAGTTTTCGGCCGATGAGATTCAGTAGCTTCATTGGCGGAGTGAGGTGGATGGCTGCGGCGAAAGCGTGATATTCAAGGCGGCAATGGGAGGGTTGGTTTGCAGACTCGGTAGTTCATGGGTGATGCCCCTCAGACTGGCTCCGGCTTTTGTGGGCTTGTAGGGTAGGCAGATAGCAATTGAATCGCAATTGCTCTCCGATTAAGTACTGATATGCCATCTTGACCTGTTGTTTGTGACTTTGACTTGTTCCAGACCTCGGATATTGAATCCGGTCAACAATGCCGCCAAGAGCCCCTTGACTTCCGGACTCCGTCCCCTAAGGTGGGGACCCCGCGCTGCCGAATTGCATTGCCGCCGTTTGCCTCCCGGGTTTGTGTTTTCCCCTCTGCACTTGCCGGGAGGTTCGCATTGGATCTCCATCGGCTTCGCGGTCGCGAGTTGTCCCGAATGTAGTGCCGTCGGGAAGGTTTGTTGAATCTCAGCCTATTTGTCTTTCCAGCCAGCGTTCATTGTGCTTTTCCCATTGAGTGACTCGAGGTGTCAAGTCGAGTGAGTGTCTTGTAATTTGGTTGAACGCAACTGCCGAAACTCTGCATAATTACATCCATCGAAGCCTTTTCCCAGCTCACCATCGTCGTTTCCCTAAACACCAAACAAATTTCACTCACGACGGCAACATGGCCGCCCTCCCGAAAGGCCTCAAGGCCGTGCTGACCAAGGCACCAACCGACGTTGTCATCCTATCCTCACTCCGCACCCCCATCTGCCGGTCGTACCGCGGCCAGCTCAAAGACGCCTACCCGGAAGAGCTCCTCTCCGTTGTCCTCCGTGCCACTCTTGATAAGAACCCGCAACTTGATCCCGCTGCCATCGACGATGTCGCCGTGGGTGTCGTGCTCAACGAGCTCGGCGGGTCCAAAGCCGCCCGCATGGCCATGAACCACGTCGGCTTCCCGTCAACAACCTCCCTCTACACCGCCAACCGGGCATGCGCCTCGTCACTCCAGAGCATCACCCTCATCGCCTCACAAATCCGCACCGAGATGATCGACGTCGGCATCGGCGCCGGCATGGAGAGCATGACGCGCAACTACGGCTCCAAGGCCATCCCCGTCGACGTCTGGCCCGCCCTGCGCGAGTCCCCCGTCAAGGACGCCGTCGACTGCGTCATGCCCATGGGCCTGACCAGCGAGAACGTCGCCAGCCGGTACGGCGTGTCGCGCGCCGACCAGGACGCCTTCGCCGTAGAATCCCACGTCCGCGCAGCCCGCGCACGCGAATCCGGCGCGTTCGACGCCGAGATCGTGCCCGTGACAACCCGCTTCCAGGAGGTCGACAAGCAGGGTAACAAAATCGGCGCGGAACAGACCATCACCGCCACCCAAGACGACGGCATCCGCGCGGGCGCGTCGGTCGAGGCCCTCGCCAAGCTGAAACCCGCCTTCAAGCCCGACGGCGGCGCCAGCACGGCGGGGAACTCCAGCCAGGTCAGCGACGGCGCCGCCGCCACCCTGCTCATGCGCCGCAGCACGGCCACCACCCTCGGCCTCGCCGACAGCATCATGGGCAAGTTCGTCGCGGCGTCGGTCGCCGGGTGCGCCCCGGACGAGATGGGCGTCGGCCCGGCGCTGGCCATCCCCCGCGTGCTGGGCCAGCTGGGGCTGGGGAATGCGGACGTCGACCGCTGGGAGATCAACGAGGCGTTTGCGAGCCAGGCGCTGTACTGCGTGCGCGAGCTCGGGCTGGAGCAGGCGCTGGCGGACGGCAAAGTCAACCCCGACGGCGGCGCGATCGCGCTCGGGCACCCGCTGGGCGCGACGGGCGCGCGCATGGTGAGCACGCTCATGCATGGGCTGGGGAGGACGGGCGGGGAGGTGGGGGTGGTGAGTATGTGTATTGGGACGGGCATGGGGATGGCGGGCGTGTTCGTGAGGGAGTAAGTTGCTGCGTAGGGTGACCGGGTGGGAGGCCATAGTGTATATATACATTGTTCTTGAAATGCAATACCTTCGGGGGAGGGAAATGGAGAACTGACGGGTGCCGTCCGAATCTATCCACGTGTACAAACCTAGCATACACAATCGTTCCCAACTGTCATACCTAGGCATGATGGTACAGTAATGGGATTCTACCCCTGCCGAATGTATTCAGCCAACACCCGCCCCCCAGCCCTTCGGTCTAGAGTCTAGGTCCAGTTCCACTTTACATTTTAAGGGTTCCTTTTCACTAGTTGTGGCTTGGTGGTCCAACGCGGCGGCATAGCGCCTGTGAAGGCGTGGGTCAAGTGGTATGCGGGGTTCAAGTACAGGCCTAGTGGTGTTGTTTGAGTAGGGGGATGATAAATGGTTCGGTTTGGTTAGTGTGTAAATGGGGGTTGATTGGGACCGGGCTTTCTTACAAACGCCTTCTTCGTGTAGGACCATACTGCAAGGTAGACTCTAGAAGTACTGAATTCCGATTCGAGACTTATATACCATCGGCATCGGGGAAAAGAACACATAAGTGAAGGAGTGGTTTGGATCGTGATGCGTTTGAACGGCCAGGAGTACTGTATCATTGTAGCTTATTGGCTCACGTTTTGTTGTTGCCTATGTAGTTTCGATCTTACAAATTATCTCATCCATATGCTTCATTTTGTATTTCAAATTCATGTCTGCTATTTTCTTGATAATGTTTTCATTCCCGTTCGTGAATTTGGTACCCTGTACTTGCTTCACCAAACGGCCTTCTCAACTTACTACCAGCTCTGCGAAACATAATACTGGTAAGCTGTTCACATATTTATAGTATATTCAGAATCACATTGTAGATGCGGTCAACGATAAACCATGGTAGGAACATTGTCATAAACGGCAAGACTCAAAATCCAGACCACATTTAACTAGGCACACGTTCTCGTAATTCAGGAGAGCTGAAGGGGTGTCACTCATATGGCCAGATCTGACCCAAACGCGCAAGAAAAACGCTCTGCATTGAGCTACGAATACCAGGATATCTAACGCCTCACAACACGCCACTCGACTGACTCCCATCTTCATTCCAGATCAATCCTCGGGGTATCAACCTGTCCGAAACGGAACCGTCCGCCGCAAGCTAAAGCCAATGACGCCCATCCTAAAACTCCGGCAAAAATAGCAAGGATAACCACCCGTAGAAAACCGTTGGGTGGTACATGGAGAACTGCTAGACTCGGACTCGGAGTTCGAGCGCGCAGCCTCAGACGATATGGGTGAGCCTCATCCCCGCCCCCAAGAGCCCAACCAAGGGTGAATGGCGTAGACGGTTGGTGTTTGCCCGATGTACGAATAGACGTGCCGTCTAGGTCGACCCAGTAATTCGAGGCATCGTTCTTGGGAGGATAGTAATGCCGCCAACTGTCGCCGTCGAAGGCGCTCGCCAAAAAAAGGAAGGCCACGTTTCAACTCGGAATGGGCCTCGGTGTTGTGGATTTAGACGCAGTCGGTGCACTGGCTATGTTGGCAGTGGGAGCAAGAGGTGCTAATGACTAGCATGGACCCGCACTGGCAGCAGCGAGGTTGGTAGGCAGACATTGTGGGATAGATGGTGATGGTTGTTGGTTGAGGTATGGTTGCTTTGGGTTTGGTGTCGATCAAAGTGGACGCTGTTGTTTGGGATTTCTGGCAAGTTGTGATGCGATGTTGCAAGAAGGGACTCGAGGCGGGGAAGGTTTGATGGCTTGGTCGAGTGGTGTGAGGGAGGGGAAGAGGAAGAGAGGGAGGACTGAACAGATAATATATACCTTTACAGCTAGCCAGCCGCAGCGAGGGGAAGGGTGGCAAAGTTTTGCCCATGTCACAATGATGGTGGAAGGGTTCGGGGAGCCTCAGTCCTTTGTCTCATCTGGGAACGAATGAGAGAGCTCGGCTGCGGGATGGCGTCCCGGGGTACGGCAAAAGTCGGAACCATTTGCGCAAGGCACACCAGCTTACTGGCTGCCGTGCACTTGCCCCCAGCACAAGCTCAACGCCGCGGGATGTGTTTGAGACGGAAAAGGTGGCTCGAGGATTTGGGGGTGGGCTGCAGTCGTGGTCTGTTGCACTGCGCCTGCCTCCGGAAGCTCAGGGATCATCGTCGCTTCCCCACGGCCTATCATGCACCCCGGATTGGCTGGACTGACAAGCTGCTTCCAATGGGAGGAAGGCATGAGGTTTAAACATTTGCTAAGTGGTATTCTGCGGGGGCCGCGGCGGTGCTCTCCGCTGCCAATTTTGATGACATCAGTGGGGGTTCAGTACCCTGTCGAACCTGCCCGTCTTGAGGTTTTTCATCACAACTGAACAGAAAGAACAATTGGCACAATTGGAAACAGCTTGGAAAGTCTGGTGAGAGGCTGAAAGCTTGAATCGGTCACCCGGGCATGGGATAAAATTGATGGCTCGAGAGCTTGGGGCAGTGAATGAACGGTCAAACCACCAACCACCCGGGGTCAGGCTTTCGCTGCCTCGAGCCCGGACATCCTCCAAGCATTTGTTCTCAGGATGATCGCTTTTGACATACGGCGTCGACTCGTACCACTTTTTAACTATCACATGCGTGTTATGAGTGCCGTTCAATTTCGCGGTTGCTCACGTGCCAGGGGATGACGTCGCGTGGGAAGCTTGCCTGAAGGCCGGGCCAGAGAACCGAAAATCATCCGCCACGGTTCGGAAAGGTGGGTCTGTTCCTGTGGCAGACTCGAACATCAAACACACACACAAAGAGAGAAAGAAAGTGGATCCACCTCAAGACGGGAGTCCCCACCTGACCTTGTCCGGATTTAAGATTGCCACACAGAATCCTTCCACAGACTTGGAGGCACAAAAGATGGAAAATGCAAAGAAAGGGAACGGAAGGAACCACAAACAACTGGAATGAGACTCATTAAGAACCTCGGCGCGCTTTGGTGAACGGCCGACGGTATTTTTGAGTTGTCTTGTTGCATGCCTCTGCTTCTTCTGGCTGCCTCTCGAGTGGGGCGAGGGCGCCGGGGTTGAGGGGCTGTGGTCACTGGCCGGGTGTCAGACCGGCGAGACGGCAATCTGGCGACCTCGATTTGGCATTGACTCCCGTCGGCGGTATGAGTCGTCCCAAGGCAAGCGGCTTGGCGGCTAGGTTGGAAAGCGGTGGGGTTGCGTTGCCGCCTTGCGAAGAGCCACACAGTCAATGCTTCAACCAAATGTCGGCCAGGTTGTCAACTGTCGCAGAGAATGCCTAAAAAGCTGCCTTGGGCTCGGGGGAGAATTGACATGAGAACCCCTGGCCCCGAGTTCGCGCATTGCATGTTGATTCCGACGTGGAAAAAGTCATAAAGAAGGTTGTCTCCAAGGTGTCTCGCTCGGTCATTCCCCCGTTCATCGCGTCTTGCACTCCTAGATCACCAACGACATTGCTCAAGTCAACAACCTTGCTGTCGTGTAAAGAGAATCACGAGATCGACATTATGGTTCTTACAAGGAAACTCGGCAGTTGCCCGAACCACGGGGTCGGCAATGCTTTGACGGAGGACAACTTGACGCTCCCCCTCAGGTTGAACAAACCGAGCAACTCGCTCCAGCTCCAACTACACCCCTTCTCATCGGAACAAGAGACAGGGGGCCTTATCGTCAAGATCCAGCCGCCGAGGGAGCCCGAGGACGCAGACCTCCACCATGTTCCTTGCGACCTTGTACTGTCCATCGACGTCTCGGGTAGTATGCAAACCAGCGCTCCAGCCCCTTCCAAGCCCGGGGAGGCGGTGGGGGAGGATACTGGGTTGAGGGTGATGGAACTCGTCAAACACGCGGCCCGAACAATCGTGGAGACATTGGATTCCAGAGATCGCCTAGGCATCGTCACATTTACGAATCATTCCAAGGTGCGAATCCCTTCATGCTCGCTCCGCGATGCCTCGTTTTAACAAAAGAAAAAGGTCCTGCAACCCCTCACGCACATGACAGACGAGAACAAAGCCAAGACTCGTACGAATATCGAGAAGATGCAACCCGAGAGCTCGACGAATATGTGGCACGGCATCCGCGATGGTCTCGGCTTGTTCTCGGAGGCTGAAGATGGCCAGCCAGGCTCGACCGGCAGGGTACCCGCCCTGCTTGTGCTGACAGACGGCCTGCCGAATCACATGTGCCCCCCGAAGGGGTACGTTCCCATGCTACGAAGCATGGGGCCACTGCCAGCCACTATTCACACCTTTGGCTTCGGCTATTCACTCCGGTCGGGCCTGCTGAAGTCGATTGCTGAGGTCGGTGGTGGCAACTACTCGTTCATCCCCGACGCCGGCATGCTTGTGAGTCCAGGAGCTCTGATGTTTGACTTCCCTTAAGACTGACCAAACCCAGGGTACTGTCTTTATCCATGCTGTGGCCCACCTCCAGTCGACATTTGCCAACAATGCCAAGCTGCGCTTGACGTATCCGAGCTACCTTAAGCTTGAGGAGACGACAGGGGAAGCAGTCGGCAGGCAAGAGCCGGTTGAGCTGGAAGGTGACGTCCCGGAGCCCATGAGCTCGCTCACCATTCTTCTGGACAACATCCAGTATGGCCAGTCCCGTGACATCTACCTGCGCTATGGGAACCCCACAGCCGCCATCGAGAAGGAAGCCGGAAGCAACCCTCCTCCCGCCATCACCGCCGTTCTTGAATACCAGCATTTTACCCCGACCATACACCAAGCCGTTGTCCACCAAAGCGCTCTCGTCCCATCCCCATCCCTCGACCCAGCAGAGATTGCCTACCACATCTCCCGGGCCTCGCTCATCGCCTTCCTCGCAACGCTCTCCCCACTCGACGCCCAATTCGAGCACCAACCCCTCCGACTCCCACCCGGCGATTCCGTCGAACGCCTCCAATCCCTCGTCACCTCCCTCCCCGCCTCCAACCCCCAATTCGCCACCACCTCACCAGGCGGCGGCCACGCGGGCTGCCGCTCGCTCCTAACCGACATCTGCGGCACCACCACCACCACCACCACCACCACCACCACCACCACGGCCCCAAGCACCAACCCGTTGGAGTGGACGGGCCAGGTGGCGCTGGCCCTGCTGGACGAGACCTTCTACCAGCGGTGGGGGCGGCACTACCTGGCGTCGCTCGCGGGCGCGCACGCGCGGCAGGCGTGCAACTCGTTCAAGGACGCCGGGCCCTTGCAGTACGGCGCCGGCAGCGGCAGCAGCGCCCTCTTCGAGCGCTGCCGCGACCGCCTCGACAAGGTCTTTGATGCCCTGCCGCCGCCCGTGCCTGTGCTGAAGGGGAGGGGCGGGGTGCGCCATGCGCCGGTGCCGATGGCGAGGTATAATAACGCCGGGAATGGGTGTTTTGCCGGGTGCGTGCCGGTGTTGTTGGCGGGGGGGAAGGGGTTGGTGAGGATTGGGGCGTTGAGGGCGGGTATGCAGGTTGCGACGCCTTGCGGGCCAAGGAAGGTGGTGGCTGTGTTGAGGATGCCGGTGAGGAGGGCTGAGATGTGTGTTGTTGCTGCCAGCGGCGGTGCGTCGTCTAAGGGCAAGGGCCAGCTGCTGGTTACGCCGTGGCATCCGATTGCGCCGCGCCAGGGGAGCACGTGGGTGTTCCCCAAGGACGTGGCCGTGAGGTCGGTCAGGTACACCGGCGCTGTGTACTCTGTGCTGCTGGAGCGGCATCAGAACCCTGATGCCCACGCTATTCTGGTCGGTGGGGTGTGGGGTGTAACCATGGGCCATGGCCTGACGCAAGCGGGCAGTCGGGACGATGCGAGGGTGCACATGTTCTATGGCGCGTACGACTGGGTCAGCATCGCGTTGGCAGGACTGCCCACGAGAGCTGGTGTGACCCTGGGAGGGAGTTTGATCAGGGACCCCAAGACCGGTATGGTCAATGGGTTCAGCGCGGCCAAGGTGGGACAAGCAAAGGCATTGACGGTGAAGCCGAGGGTGGAGAGTCCCTTCGACCGTTTTTTAGCGAGCCTACGGGGTAATGTGCAGTTGCCGCCCATAGAAACTCAGGGGTAGAGAATGGTTTGTCTGAGGGACTGATACAGAAGAGCCTTTAGTTATTTGGAAATGATGTTTTCTTCAAAATGATCACAGGGCAGAACGATGATTTTTCACTGAAAGATTGTGTTAGTCCGCCTCAATATTCGCCCTGCCATACCTAACCCGGGAGAAGAATGATGATATTGAAACATTCCCTCGCATCTTGATACCATTTTGCTTAGCATATCAAGATCAATCTCCACAATGCATCATGTCTTGAGTTTTTATGCAACTTTTTCCCTCCATACAACCGGAGAGTAATTCGTTTTACTCCCGAGTGTGGCACGGCACCCCATGATAATCCAGACAGTCAAGACCAAACAACACTATGTCATGCCGGTTTTATCCGAAACAAGTGCCCCCATTTGGCTCTGGTTTAAGCACTGGCTGTCCGAGAAGAGGCTCTTCGTGTGAAGAGCCTTAAGAAGGAGAGTGGAGCACTCGCGGATATCGTAGGTATCTCTTGGTTTTAAGAGGCAAGGTCCAAGATACACATTGGGGAGGTCTTCTCCATCGATTGCAACGGTTGTGTGTATGATACGGGCCCGCGGAGTGAAATACAACTATCTCTTCAAGTCAAAACGACGGTTGAGGGCAGCAAGACAGTGGTGTGAGAAGAGCTAGACACTGCATGAACGGGGACCTTGACGTGCCTACTTAGTACCTGGTTCATTGTCTGGCGAGGTAGGCAGTGTAAGAAAGAACCCAACCGCACAACTATGTACAACAGCCCTTACGACTCCGGCTCTGGAGGCAACGGCACGCGGTGTCGAAACCTGGGTTGTGGTTGACGAGCGGCAACTGGCATCAGCTGGCACCAGGTGAAGCCCCGCCGCACCTGCAACTCGGGCTGTGGCTGCCCCACCATGGCTGATTTTGGCGAATTGGACCCACACACCGCCTTCATAGGGTTTCCAAGCCCTGCCAAAATTTTGGGAGCTTCCCCAAGCGAGTGACCTCCAAATTGCAACTGCTTCACGACCGGTGATTTATTCGACAACCAGAGGGACCGAGGGCTTGATCCACAACCGGCACAATGGTGAGTAATATGCTGCTCAGGCGATGGCAGATGCGATTGCGCATTCTATTTACTTCTGCGACGGTTTACTGATGCATCTCTGGCACACAGGCGATCAAGCACAACCAGACGATTCCCAACACCCGTGAGCACGACCCGACCGCGACGAGGGGTATTTTGCGCGAGGGACGAGAACGCTGACGCGAAATTATCAGACTTCCGCAAGCAGTGGCAGCGGCGTGTGCGGTGCCACTTCGACCAGGTTCGTAATATTGGGAAGCGCAGGACGACCAAGATAGACCACCATTCTGACCCGTGATGGAAAATAGCCCGGCAAGAAGGTCACCCGCCGTTTGGCGCGCCGTTCAAAGGCCGCCGCGGTCGCTCCCCGCCCGGTCGACAAGCTCCGCCCGGTCGTCCGATGCCCGTTAGTTTGCCCCGAATATTTGGTCGTGGGGAACCCGGAATCTAATTGGGATCCATAGCACCATCAAGTACAACCGCCGGACACGCCTCGGCCGTGGCTTCACGCTGGCTGAGATCAAGGTACGGATGACTGGTTTTGGGAACGGCGCCTGGGATGAATTCAGGAACGGGGTTCTAACATCAAAATAGGCTGCCGGCATCCCCAAGCACTATGCCCGCACCATCGGTATCTCGGTCGATGCGCGCCGCCAGAACCTCTCCGAGGAGGGCCTTGCCGCCAACGTTGAGCGCCTGAAGGAGTACAAGGACCGCCTCATCGTCTTCCCCCGCAAGTCCAACAAGCCCAAGAAGGCCGATACCCCCAAGGACCAGCAGACCGCCGAGACCACACAGCACATCCGCGCCTCGTTCGGCGTCGAGCAGCCCATCGCCGCCGGCCTCAGCGAGATCTCCAAGAGCGACCTGCCCAAGAACGTCGAGGGCGGTGCCTACAGGGCCCTCCGCAACGCGAGGTCGACCGCCCGCTACGTCGGTGTCCGGGAGAAGCGCGCGAAGGACAAGGCCGAGGCCGAGAACGCCAAGAAATAGAGGGTTTTCGGACGGGTCGGTGGCGACGGATAGGACGGTTCCCGGTGTTCGTTTGGCTGGTCTGGTCTGGTCTCGCTTTCTGCTTTTCCTGATAGTCCCGGGCGAGGAACGTGGATTCCTTCTGCTATGGCCGTGTAGTTTCGGGGACTTGCGTCAGGACAGGGTTCAGAAAGTTTACACGCATCATAGGGATTTGCTAGAGCATCGCAAATGAATGGACAGGAAAAAGCATGTCTGATGATGGCCAAGCAAGCCGCGTTGGTGTTGGGGTCTAATTGATTGATTTATGCTCTGATGTTAGATGAGTTGCACTATCTACATGGGGAACGTCTCGTCTTGCTCAGTTCTCCTGGTCTCGATCCAGAGCCACCAAATCGGCGCCCTTGTTGAGGACCGCTTCCAGGGGCCTCCTCAGGGTCGACAATTCCTCGGGAAACTGCCTCAGCAGCTCCGCAACCAGCACCATCCCGTTCTCCCGGTCCATCTTAGCAACCTGTGCCGGCGGCTGTGCCTGCCCAGGAACACTGAGACCACCACCACCAACCTGCTGCGGTTCCAGCGACAGCTTCTCCACCGTCACCCCCCCGTCCTCTTTATCTTCTTTCTTCCCCACCTCACCACTTCCCGCACCATCCCCATCCCCATCCTCCACAATCTCTTCAACAACCCCCGTACCAACCGCAGCCGCCAACCCCTCCACCTCCGCCGACCCAGACCCGGCAATCGCCTCGGCTAGCGCCCGCCACATCTTGTCCTGAGGTGGTGGTTGCGGGTGTAGCACCTGCAGCGCCGCGCGCGCGCCCTCTCCGCCCGCGCGGCTCATCAGCGCGAGCACGAAGACGGTCTCGGAGCGGAGCGATGGGAAGCGCGTGTTGGTGAGGAGGAGGCGGAGGGGTGGGGTCGTGGTGGTGCGGTCGTGGACGGCGTGGAAGCGCGCGAGGGCCGTATTGGCGGTGGTGGGGTTGGGTTGGGGCTGGTCTTCTGCTTCGGCTGCTGCTTCGGCTGCTGGGGAGGACCAAGTCCAGGATGGGTCGAGCAGTTCGGTGGTGGGCGGCGTGCTGTGCAGGGCGCGGCTGACCAGGCTTGCTGCGCGGGCGGCTTCGATCTTGATGGGTTCTTCGTCGGCGGAGGCGGCGGTTGCGGTCAGGAGGGCGAGGTTGCTGGGGGGGTTGTCATTGTCTGCGGTGTCACTGGTTGTGGTGGGCGTGCAGATGTGGCGGATGTTGGTTGGGCAGTTTGCGAGGAGGAGGCGGGTGAGGGAGACGGCGGTGAATTGGAGCTGGGGTTGTGTGCGGGTTGAGGTCCAGAGGCGCGGGAGGAGGCCGTGGACGGGATCGAGAAGGGGGGCACCTAGGATTGGCTTGTTGGTCTGCGGGATCGCTAGGTTCTTGAGGAAATGAAGAGCGGCGTGAGTCAGTTGGAGAGGTGGTGCCGGGGTCTTGAGGTCCTGGGGTTGGGAGAGACTCGGGGGGATGGCACGGGAAAGAATGGCGAGGAGGGGCTTTTGGACTCGCGCGAGAAGTGCTGTACTGGACTCGTCAGAGCGGCTGAGGTTTCCGAGGGAAAGGCATGCAGCTGCTTGTAGGTTAGGGAGGGTTGGTGATGCCAACCAGTCGACCAGTGTTTGAACGATTTTGCTGTTGAGAGGGTAGGCGGCTCGGAAGTCAGGGATGTCTGAGATATCGGCGAAGATGGTGAGGAAAGCCCCTTCAACCTGCTTGAGCTGGCTGGCGGTATCAGGATCCGCGTCTGCTGTGTCAAAGCGGGTATACAACTGATGGAACGCCAGTTGCAACAGTTCGATGCCCCCATTCTTCACAAGCACCGGCTGGAAGTCTTGAAATGTCAGATAGGCAAGGGCTGGTGCGCAGATCTCCATGAAGGTGTCGAGGTCGGCATCGTATTTCTCACCGGTTGCTAGACCGAGAAGAAGAGCGGGCGTATTGGGGTTGGCAATCTTGGGCTCAGAGTCTAGCTTGTCTTAGCCAGGCAATGTATCAGCATGTGGTGGGATTTGCTTACCTTGGTTGGAGAGCAGCTCCAGAATTGTCATAATATGGCTGAGAGAGTTCTGGCATGATGACAGCCGCTCGCCAGAGACGAGGTCAATAAACACTTTACTCAGACCGGCTTCCGACGCCTGTTCCTGGGCGGGTTCTGCCATCCAGTTAGCAATGTTTACACACGCGCCGGGGACCGAGTCATCTCTTACTGTAGTCAACACAGATGTTCAGAGCTGCAGCTATCGCGAATGGGAGAAAACCGTTTTCTTGCGGGTCCTCGATGATGCTCATGACGAAGCTGCGGAGTGCCCCGGTGCTGACAATGCGAGCTCGGTTTTCGTCTAGGGGCTATCAGTTCAATCATCAACTAGCTTCACTCTCCGGTATTTGTTTCTTACCGCAGTCTGCACAAGCATTGCCGAGCAGGCGAAGAGCCTGCTTGTTCAGGGGGTGCTGTGGCCCCTTTTTGATAGGCACGGTAGAGAGGACGAACTCCAAGAGTCCAGACTCCCCAAGAGGCTGTCTCCAAGATGCTGAAGATGAGGGATGGATTTTCAGCCTTGGACTCTCGAAATAAAACCACACGATCAAACTCACCATCTCTTGCTCCGTCGGCAAGCTTCTCAACCAAGGGAGCTAAGCCGTCACCACTTTCCTTCTCCAGCCCAGCAAGGACCTCTTTCAACTGAGCGGTACGGTCATCTTTACCGCCATCCTGGCCGCTAAGGACCGCCGAAATCCTGTCTGGTGTTAAACTCATTGGGAATTTAATAGCACCCCGCTTCCTATTTTGCGTGGTTTGTGGTTTTCTTATTTTCTTATTTAACAACTTGCTCGCCGAAAACCGGGAAGCCAACGATGCTGTTATAAGCCCGAATCGGCGTCAGTGGCTTTTTTGCTGAAGAGAGAGAGAGTTGGAAGTCGATGTAATTCGATGTGGTTGAGGTACCCCACTCGGGTTCTCTGTTTGGAGCACTCGTTCAACCCTCGCTGGTGGTGATTTTATGCATCCACTGTTAACCCTGGGCGAGCTTCACATCCAGGTGTCTTCAATCTGAAAGTGCCCGGGCTGAGGACTACGTCTGCTGTTACGAGAAAGAAGAATCGGTACACTTGGAGGGAAATAAAAAAGCAAAAGCCAGAGAGACAGATGGTGACGCCAAGCCCGTCCACAAGCGCACGATATTGTCTACATTATAAATGATACACGGGATGAACACAGCTCTCGCCGTGACATATACAAGGCACTTAGCAACCTGTCTTCTACGTGCGTCCCTCGATCCATTTCTTCTCGACCGGCGGGCCGTAGCCGCCTGTGCCAGTGACGGGTAACTCGCGCTTCTCCAGCTCCTTGACAATGATCTTCCAGCGACCCACCATCTGCTCCTTGTCGATCGGCGTGACTCTCCTGGGGAAGACACGGACGTTGGGCAAATCCTTGAAGACGTCCTTGTTCTCGACCAGCTCGGCGAGCTTCTTCGGCTTCTCTGGTGCGACGAGCTGCTGCAGGAGGTTCTCGATGGTGTGGGCGAGAACCAGCTTGCCGTCGGGGATACGGTGTCCCGTGAGTTGTAGGATCCGCTTGGCGGCCTGTAATGCCATGTTAGTAACTTTTAGTGCGATCAACGAGGAGCGACAAGAACTCACATAGAACTTGACCACCGGATCCCTCAGCTGGGCCTTCTTCCACTCATTGTTCCAGGCCCCCACAAAGCTCTTGGCTACCTGGGGAGTGAGTTGTGGTGCGGGGGCCGATTCTTTCGCCTCAACTTCTGGCACCGCGGCTTCCACCGCCTCACCCTCCACCTGCTCCACCGCCTCCGGCTGCTGCGGCTGCTGCGGCTGCTGTTGCTGCCTCGCCATCTTCACGGCCGACTTGAGCACATCCCACACCCTCGCCCAGTCCGCAGCCTCCTTCAGCGTCGCAGCCCCGTCCTCGCCAGCAACAATATCGACGCGGACGATCTTGCCCAGGCGGTCCATGCCGTCGGCATGGGCAAAGAGGCGGTCGACGGCCTTCTTCTTCCCGGCGCCCGCGAACCGCGCGACGACGAGCGCCTCCACGATCGCCCGCTTGGCTAGCACCTCGAGCACGGCCGGGTCGGTGACCCGCTCGGCGGGGCCGAAGGGCGTGATGACCGACTTGACGAACTCGGGCGCGCCGCCCTCGCTGCCCCAGTGCGCCGGGTCCTCCCACCACCCGGTCAGCCCGCCCACTTCCTCGAGCCCCTCGGCCGTCTCGGCCGGCTTGTAGGTCGGATCGGGCACCGCCGTCGGCGTGGGGGCGGTCCTGGTCTCGCGGGGATAGACGAGCTGAGTCTGAATCTCGGGGCCGGGGGCTGGGAGGTACTCTTGCTCGTAGGCTTGGTATTCTTCGGCGGTGGGTTCGGTCTGAGGTTCGGTCTGAGGTTCGGTCTGGGGTTTGGACGAGCGGATGGGAGTCGTGGAGAGGTAGCGCCGGGTTTGTGGGTTGTTCGCTCTCGAAGTCGGAGGAAGAGTTGAGGTAGAGGCAAGGGTTGCTGCTGCAGGTGCACGGAGAGCACTGCATGGTATTGACGTCGGGACAAGGCCCGCCGACACGGGCACCCGTAACCTTGGTACACGACGCATGTTGATATGTGAGGAAGACAACTCAATTGGCGGGGTGTTGGAGTCGGCGTGCTCTCGTGCCGCGGCCGCGAGCAAGTGAGCTCCAGCCAAAATTTCTCGAACACAGGCTGCCGGGGGGCAGGTGGGTCTGCCAGGGGTGAGCCACAGGTGGTCCCGCCAAATGCGCGTGGCTTGGCCCAGTCTGCCAGCTGCCCTCCATTGAACCAAAGTCAAAAACTTTGGCTTGGCATTGGATGATCCAAGAAGCCGACGACCAAGCTCCAACTTTTGGAGGGGAAAAGCTCGGAAGCTTCCAACCGACACCCTCATCGCACCGTCCCAATTCCCCGGATACACGGACACCACGCTATCCGCCCGGAAAAGACATAAGGGTAGAACGTGAAGATGAAACCCACGTTGCGGTTATGCGCTGCCCCGCGCAGCGTCTCTGACGCAACGAGATTTACGGCGACGACGCTGCACGCAAGCTCCAAAACCGCCACCCCACCACCCCGATTCACCCCGTCGAAGGGCGGTGCAGCACGTCCTCCCCCCAGTGGCGGCTCCGGGGGTTCCGGCGGACCGGCAGCAATGTTCGAAACCCCAGAGCAAAAGGTCGCCCGGTTACGGGCGGCTCACGACAGGGCAAAGGCCGCGGAGATCTCCAAGTTCGACAAAGTCGTCGACGCGAGCAGGAAGGTATTCGACTCGGCACACAAGGTGACGGTCGCGGGATTGATAGGCTTCACGGGTAAGCAATGGCCATTACCCCTGATTCCGGATCGGGCCCCCATGCTGACCCGCCCCGACCAGTCCTGGCGGGCCTCCTGACGGCCTACACGGCGGTCGACATGATCATGTACAACAAGAAGCGCAGCGCGGAGTGGGTGGAGGCGCAGAGGAAGCTGGAGGCGGACAGCCTGGAGACCGCGCGCATCGCCTACATGACGGGCAAGGCGGACGAGGAGCAGATCGCGCTGGTGGAGGAGCAGCTGGAGCGCGAGCGCGAGTCGGGCCGCAAGACGTCCTTCTTCAAGGACACGAGCGTGCTCGGCGCGCCCGAGGCCGCCGGCGCCGGCGCCGCCACGAACCCATCTTCATCCACCCCACCCTCCAGCACAACAACCGAAACAGTCTCCTGGTCATCCGCATCCCAATCCCAATCCCCACCATCACCCCCACAAGAACAACAACACCAACAACCACAAGACCCAGCCCAACAACAAAAACAAAAGTCCTCCCTCTTCTCCTGGCTAACCTCCAACCTCAAATCCGAAGAAGAAGAAGCCGAACCCTCCCCCCCCAACAACCACCCCTCCTCCCCGATCTCCTCGCAGCGCCGTCTCGGCTATGAATCCCTCAGCGACGACGACGGGTCCGCGGCGGGCGCGGTGCGCGACAGCGACGTGGTGCGGGCGGTGGAGGCCAAGGCGCAGGCGGCGCTGGAGCGGGAGCGCGAGAACCAGCGGGCGGGCGGGCCGCTGGATCGGGTGGGTGTTGATGGTGCTGATGGTGCTGCTGGTGCTGCTGGTGCTGCTGGTGAGGGGGAGGGGCAGGGGGATAAGAAGGAGGAAGGGGGGGAGGCGACGGCGGGGAAGAAGAAGAAGGGGTGGTTGTGGTGATGTGATTGGACTTTTTTTGGGTTGGGGAGGGGGGTTCCGTTCCGTCTGATGTCAGAATGGGAAGCTTGCTTGCTTGCTTGCAGGTTGTTACCGTCGGTTGCGCGGGCTGGAGGAGGGGGGGGGGGGGGGGGGGGGGGGCGAGCGTAATGCAGGGGCCGACTGTATCATAGTGTAGGGGATCTGGGTGTCTGCATTATTCGGCGGGGACTGGTGCATGTACAAAAACAACAAGTACGTGCGTTGCGAGGCATTGACGCTCTCCATGTGCATTCGATCTTGCTCGGCTCAGCCAGGTGCGCATTGTAATAAAAGTATATCAAACAGCAAACACGCATTGAAAATTGTAGCATTCCATCTCGTGTTGGTGTGGTGGGGTGTCCGTCCCTGTTCGCTTCCTCCCAATGATTCCATCCCAAACCAATGCGCCGTATCCATCATGAGAAAATACCCATCCCAGCCCGTAAAAACGCCGTTAGCAACCGTATCCCAAGCACGCCCTTTACGCTGTCGTGAGCGCTCCCCACGCTAGGGTATAAAATGAGTGGATGGGGGGGGGGACCAATTCGCCCATGTGCGATAGATAAAGATGTGATCCCTGATTGCCCCCTCCCGCTTTGCCTGAACTCCCAATTCCTTCCGATTCCCTCCCGATTCCCTCCCAATTCCCTTCCAATTCCTTGCAATTCCTTCCGTCTTGTCAACAAGCCACCGCAGGGCGGGCTTGTGGCCGTTTCTTCTGGATCCTGAGTGACGCCGGTTCAACCATACTCCGATACCGGCCGTCATAGCCTTCCTAAGAAATGATGATGTGGTTGAAGTGGCCCGGCACCTTGTTCCGGCACCGTTCGCAGTCGGTCCGGTACCCTATGCTGAACGATCGCGTCATGCCGGGTTGCAGTGCGGTCCACGAGTTTACTGTATGCTTCGACCTCGTGTGCCCCTTCTTCGGTGATGGTGTAGTTGATGGCTCGACGTCCATAGCGTTTCCATTCTGGCTCTCGGCCGCCGGAGTGCCTTCACGTACTGCCCGTGCTTCCATTGCCGAGCTTGCGCGCGGCGGTAGCCCGGCTACCAGGGGATGTTCGTGTGTGAGGTGGCTCAAGTGACCGCCATGCTGAGACATCGAGTCGAGCGCCATTCTGTTGCCTGCCTGACTGTCTTCGGCGCCACATTCGCTAATAGGCGAGGGCAGCCGCCGGTTCTGGATCATGCCCCAGTCCGCCATAGCCGGCGCAGCCGTCGCTGCGGGGAACTTCTGGTGCGACATGCCTACCAGCCCGTTGTTGCCAAACGCCGCCGCATTCGGCTCTTCTGGCGTTGTCGCAAGCATGTCCCCATGCGCAGAGTTGCCGCCTTTCCAGTTGTTACCCCGGACTTGCGCGGCAAAGCTGCAGTGAATGGGTGTCGGGATGCGACCCATGACGCTAGGACCGCTAGGGTCCGCCTGGATTGAACCCTGTTCGGACGGCGCTGCCTCTGACGTATCCATCATGTCCATGTCGTTGTCCATTGTGCTGGCCACGACACATGATTGTTGTGCAGAAACCAATTCGGGCTCATCGGCCCAGGTCTGTTCCTGAATTGGCTCTTGCGGTGTAGTGACTTGAGCCTGGGAGGCCATAGCAAAAGTCGGGGTCGGTTGAGGAAAGTTCGGCCGGTCGTTCCATCGTCTCGAGTTTGGAGATGTTCTCAGTGGGAGTGATTGGAGACGTTTCTGTAGCCGTGTCTTGTTAGTTCGCTGGTGTCACGGGCCCTGGAGGCTGCTACCCGGAAAACGACGTATTGACTTGCAGCACCTCATCTTTCGGACATTGAAACGCAGAGTGATGGGAGCCACCTCTAAGAGAACCCACTTACGCTTCTGTGTTCAGTGAACCCAACCGGATTACCGGCCGAGGCCTCTTCATCCTCCTCTCGGAGTCTTTTGCGATGATAATCTGGAAACGGGGCTTCAACAGACAACATGACGGTCAGCGGCGGAATCGGGTCGATCAATGGGACTGGATGGGCGGTATAAAGGAAGTAATGAATTGGATGGTATGGCGATGTTATAATTAAGTAGCGAACGTCAGCGTGAGGAAGCAAAGCGAGAAACAACGCGATCTACGATTGCAATGAATTTGTGGTGATTGTTGCGTGGTCTTTCTAGGGAGTCTGGGGTTTAAACAGAAGGTGCATCTGGTGGTGAATCGAGGTGGGGGGGATGGATGTCCGGGATGTGGAAGGCAGCAGCGAAGTGGGGCTGATAATGGCTGGAAAGGCGGACTGGGGCTGGCCTGCCTCGCAGATCGGCGGTTGAAATCCGACTTCTTTCCTGAACCACGAGACTTGGTCGTTCTTCTCTCTTTCCTTTTCTCCTTTTCTTCAGTAAATGAAAGCCAAAGGGCCATTACCGAAAGACCCGGTATCACAGATAAATGACGGTTATACTGTTTTGGAGGCTCTCGGTCGCCGCCAGCGCGTCTTTGAAGCAATTTTGAAACCGACCGCCCTCCGCCGGACAACTTCTTTGGCGGGCAGCTTCCCAGCCCGCCGGGCCATTGGTCTGCGACTCTGCGACCACGAGACGGCGCCCCCACCATTCCGCTCTGGGCATTCAATTGAGGGACCTGGCGCACCCTGCAGGACAAGCAAACACCTTTTCCATGGGGGCCATCTCGCTGTGAGTGCCGGAATTCGAGCTGAGATGCGTCTGGGTTTGCTTGGCTTTTGGGAAATTCAAGAAGAACGGCACTCAAACGCAGATTTCCCTCCTGTGAACCCGAGTCACCGCCCCCAAGGGGTTGCTCGTTGTGTCCAGGGACCCCTGCTGCGTCTGACGTCGATGTTCTCGGGCCTCCGGGTCCTGAACCGACGGGACCACTATCCATGCAAGAGGCCCCTCATCCCAAGTTTGCCCGCTGTGCCGCGCTCAAACGAGAACATCAATTGCCCTTCAAGCCTCGTATAAAAACAAAGCTGATATACCGTTTTCGAGGCCGCCCCCGGATAAGCAAAAGTAGCACTGTTCTCAAATGTTTCTAGGTTCGGGTATTCCGTCATGGGAAAATGCATAGGGTCATTCGTACCACGGAATAGTACTAACTCGTGGGCTTCAAGAAGTTTATCACGCAGGAAGAGTGCGCATGTGTTGTGTAGATTGTGGTCTATGACCGGCTAACCACCGACCATATCCAGTTATGCGGTTGACGGCTGAGTTACAAGCTCACCAGCAGGCTCCTTCGCAGTATCCTTCTCAGTATCCTTCGCAGTATCGTCCCCACCTTCAATTCTGCTTTTGATCTCGGACGGAAGGTTCTGCATAACGCCCTCAGCAAGGTCGGAAATAGAAGCGCCCCCGAGAATCTTCATCACAGGCACATCGACCCCCAACTCCTGCAGGAACCACGAGCGCATCTCGACGCCGACAAGGCTGTCCACACCCATGTCCACCAACGGCGTCGTCTCAGAAAGGGGATCTCCCTCGGGCAGAAACATGAGCGCCTGCAGCTTGGTCTTCAACGCCCCCGTCAAGATCACCGACACATCCTCCATCGTCTTGGCCGCCTCAAGCAGCTGTCTCAGGGGCACGCCCCCACCCTTGCCGCCGCCCGCGCGGTCCCGGCCGGCCGCCGCGGCGTCCTTCTCGCGGATGAGGAGGCCAAACTTGGGGTTGATGGCCCAGAAGGCGTCCTTGGCCTGGTCGGTCGTGATGGGGGCCATGCCCGAGATGAGCTCCGGGTCGAGGCCCGACGCGGGCCGGCCGCTGACGACGGCCTCGGCGAACAGCTGGTGCAGGTCGGCCTCGCTCATGGCCAGCGAGCCCGACCGCGTCGCCAGCCGCGCCTGCTGCTCGCGCGTCAGCCGCCCCGCCGCGCTCTGCTCCCGCTCCACGTACCCCACCCCGAGCACCCGGCAGATGTCGATGGTGGACCCGGGGAGGCCCCGCGCCCGCCGCCGCCGGATGAGCGTCTTGATGAAGACGTTGCCGGCCGAGTAGGCGGCTTGGCCGGGGTTGCCCGTCGTGCCGACGATGGAGCTGAAGCCGATGAACCAGTCGAGGGTCTTGCTGGAGGGGGACGAGGGCGAGAAGAGCCGGTCGAGGTTGGTGGTGCTCTGGATTTTGGAACGCAGGACCGTGCTGAGGGCCTCGAAGCTCATTTGTACGACCGAAATGTCGCGGAGGACCATGGCGCCGTTGGCGACACCGCCGATGGGTGGCATGGTGTTGGTGATGTCGTCGTGGACTTGTTTTACGGCGGTGAAATCAGTCAGGTCACTGAGGGACGGGAGAGGGTTAGTTTCCCAGCTTCAAAGTAATGGGGGAGAAAAGGGGGGAGGGGAAGCCGCCTTACCAAGCTCGGTATGCCACCGTTGCGCCTCGCTCCTTGTGTAGGTCAATCCAGCCCTGGTCTACTAGGGGCGTCCGGCTGCTAATCACAACATGCCTAGCATTGTGAGCGATCATAAAGTCGGCGAGGGACCGACCGAGGTCGCCGCCCAAACCCGCTAGCCAATAGGTTCTGTCTGGCCGGAAGAGATCCTCGCGTTTGGACACGGGCTCGATCGAGACGGGAACGTGGGAGTCGATCTGCCAATATATGAGTGTGTACGGAGTCCTCGGCGGGACTGGCCCCACGATTTGTTTCAGCGGCAGAACGTCGAGCGGCGCGCCGTCGGGGATGGAGTAAAGCTGCGACGAGGCAAACGCCGCCACCTTGCGCAGCAACCTCGCCAGGACCTTGGGTGCCCCCGACCCGGCGCTGCTTCCATATGTCGCGAGCTGCGTGGCCGTTGAGGCAGCCATTCTCGCGAGCGACAGCTTCTCGCACCGCTCAGACAGGGACAGCGGAATGCGAGATGCTACGCCATTGTCTTGGAGGGAAGTGTCAAAGAATAGCGTCACTTCCTCGCCCACGCTAGCGACAAGGGCGTCGACAGCTCGCTTGGGACTGCGCGGATGCAGATAGACCCAGTTGCGCATCTTTCTACCCTCAGCCTCGGGTTTGGATGTGATGAACACGGCACGGCGACCCATGTTGGAAAGCTGCTTGGCCAGCAGCGATGCCACGGTCGGGTCCGGCTCGTACGCGAGCACCACACCCGCGGGCGGCAGCATGCTCAGGATCTGCTGCGTCATGAGCTCGGCCACGACAAAAGACATGTACTGGCCGTCGACGATGTCCATGCCGTCGGGCTGGTCCTGGTCCACCCAGATGGCAGCCGAGCGCGGGACCGTGACGGTGGAGGTGTTGGAGTCCGAGAAACACATGTACTTGTGGCCGTTCTGGACATCACGGCCAACCTGGAGAAAGAAGTAACCCGCAGGTGTCTTGATCGATGAGAGGAGCGAACACGAAACCCGAATAGTGATGCGGCCGTCGCCATCTTCTACCCCGGAGGTGTTATCACTGCTGGCGTCGCTCTCTTCCGAGACGTCTGTATCAGTGCCGTAGTGCCACCCATTGACAGCCGTTGATGGCCTCCGCTTGCCTACCGTAGGGATGGCAAGCTTCTCACGCACCATGTAGGAGCCGGCGTCATTATCACGCTTGACGAGCTCCAGGACAGCCGAGTCCACGTCGACCAACTCCTTGATCTCGCGCTTGGCCGAGTTGTAGCGCGCGTTCTGGGCCACGTTCTGGCGCACCCGCGGCGTGTAGACACGATGGTCTTTCTGCAAGACCAGCTCGGGCTCAAAGTTCCATAGCACCTTCTCAGACGCGCCTGAGCGCACCATCTGCGTCGTCGACTTGAGCCGCAGCATCAACTCGGCCAACATGCTCGCCTGCACGCTGGATACCGACACCCCCGGCCCGAGGTCGAGCGTCTGCAGGAGCGTGCCGGGCAGCTCGTAGAAGAGCGTCCGGAACAGCCCGAGCGTGGTGCCGCCATGCGGGTTGTCGTCGTGGCTCTGTCGAAGGAGCCATAACATGCTGGCCGCTGAAGAGACGAGTGCCTTGAGCTTCTCCCATCGGGACTCGTTGATGTCTATGAAGAGTCCGCTGTCGCTCCCGGTCTCGATCAAGCTGATGACATGGACATCCTTGGGCAGGGTCTCCGGTACGTCGTCGAGTCCTTCCAGGCAAATGATGGGACTGAAGTACGAGCCCAGAACCAGCGACAGGTCTTCCACCATGCGAGGTGCCTCTTCCGCGCTACCGAGAATCACCAGCGGGCCGTGACTCGCGTCCGGAGCTGCCAAACTAAGCGGCTCGCGGAGGAACGCGACACGGTCATCCACGGCGCGCGCAACAAAGACCGACCCCGGAACGGTAACAGGATCTGGCATAGGCGAGCTGGTCTCGATACCCCCAAACCCCGTCTCGCGCAGCACGGCGTCCCACTCCTCGAGCGTCAGGCTGGGGCCCGTGGGCCGGCCGTCCTCGAGGCCGACCCACCAACCCGGCAGCCCGCCCATGACCAACCCGTGGCGCATGACATCGCTGCGAATCACCTCGAGCAGCACGAGATACCCGCCGGGGCGCAGCAGCTTGCGCGTGTGGGCGAGCGTCGTCTTCATCGACTTGGTCGCGTGGAGCACGTTGGACGCCACCACGACCTCGTACGCGCCGGCCTCGTAGCCCTGCGTCGTCGGGTCGTCCTCGATGTCGAGCGTCGTAAAGACCAGGCCGGCCTGGTCGCGGAACTTGGCCGCCGCCCGCTCGAAGAAGCCGCTCGAGATGTCCGTGTATGTGTATGTGCCGTACGCGTTGTCGATGGCCTTGAACACGGCTTGCGTTGCGCCGCCCGTGCCCGCGCCGATCTCCAGAATGCGCATCCGTGGGTGCTTGACGCATAGCTGTCGCATCACGCCTGATACTAGGTGGTTGAGGATTTCGAAGCCGATGGCGTGGATGTAGTACCGGTCCAGGTAGTTGTCCTTGGTCATGTGCTCGAGGATGCTGGTCTCGCCGGATAGCACCGAGGGGACGACGAGGTGCTCGCCCACGGCCCGGGTGAGGTTGAAATCCGCGTCTTGGGCGTCATAGCGGTCCATTATGGCCACGATGCTGTCGTGCGTGTCGTCCACCCACGACTTGGGTGCGTGGGGGTGGCTGCCGCTTCGGACTTGTTCGTACAACTTTTCCGCGTTGCTGATGAGTGCCTGTCGGTACCAGGGGAGATTCTTGCGGTCTGCGTGGCTGACGGAGAGGTGCAGGTTCTTCAAGTAGAAGAAGGCCACCCGCTCGGCATCAATCCCTTTTTGGCGGTGCTCCGCCGTGGACAGCGAGATGAAGTTGCCCTCCTCGAAGACGAGCTCGGCATCCGGTTCATCGAGACACATAAAGGCCTCCTGGAAAAGGTGACGATCATCATTGCTTGTGGCACCCGCGAAAGGGGAGAAGCGGACGCCCTCGATCTCGATGATCTTGTTCTCGTACCCGGCCGAGTACACGTCCACGTCGCCTGTGATGCGGTCGTTGCGAGGATCGGTGATGGTGCAGTCGATCTGGACCGTATCGGTCATGTTTGTGCCGCACAGCGAGGGTATCAGCGACACGCGCTGGAAGTAGGTCGGCGCCACGATGGACCAGATCCGGCCGTCACCAGGGGCGCTGCACGCAGCGTTGAGGCCCTGCAGAGCGCTGTCCAGCACTCCCGGGTGGAAGAGCAGATCCGTCTCGCCGTCCCCGAAGGCCGTGTTTTGGATCGTGGCCGTAGAGAACCCAGATCGACGTCGGATTTCGGTCAAAGCACGGAATGGACCATCATAACCATACCCAAGATCGTCCTTCAGAACCTGGTAAAACCGGTCCACGTCGACCTGGGACAGCGCGGTGACGGGAGGTGTTCTCTTGGCAAAACGTCCCGCCGGGTCCTCCGTGTCGTCCGAGTCTCCCAGCGTGACGCACACCTGCCCGGAGCAGTTGAGGGCGAGCTGCATAGCGTCCTTGCTAGTACTCGAGAAGACGGAGTAGTCGGCCGTGATGGTCTTGTCGGACTGCTCCTTCACTTTGGTCATGGACACCACCAACTCGGTCGCAAAAGCATCGCTGAGGGCGATGGCCTTGGTGATTTTTAGGTTCAGGAGATCGACGCACAGAGCCGGCCGGCCTTTGGCTAGCTGCATTCCGGCCTCCATAGCCATGGCGATGTATCCCGTGCCGGGGAAGACGGTCTGCCCCTGAAGCGCGTGGCCCGAGAGCCACTTGATCTCTTTGATCTTCAGAACATTGCGCCACCGCCGTTCGTCCGCCATTCCGTCGGCGGTGGGAACCCCGAGAAGATCGTGGAATTTTCCGGGCTGTGTTCGGAATAGCTTGCTCAACCGCGACTCGGCCCAAAGGGACCGGTCGTGGTCCCAGGGATACCGAGGGAGATGGTGCAGCATGTGAGGATCGCGGGAATCCGGGCCCTTGAATGCTTTCTGGAAACCCCCGAGGTCTACCGCGGAGGGCCCCAAAAGGGCCCAGATATAGCCCAGTGCATCGGCAAAGGCCTCGACGTCGTCACTTCCGCGCTTCAGCGTGCCATGATAGGGCATGTCGCGGCTGATGGCATCCCGGATCGAGTCTTTCGCCGGGCCCTGCAATGCGGGATGGGGTCCCACCTCCAACGCCATATTTATGGCCGTGGGAAACTCAGAGTAACTCACGGCCGCCTTGACAGCGGGGTAGAAGAGGACAGGGTTGGTCATGTTGTCAACCCAATATTGGCCATCAAGGCCTTCTGTGCCCACTCCACCATGGCTCCCCATGACGGCCGAGTCCGAACGAACGCTGGAAAACCAAAGCGGCGCATCATCCTCCGGCTCGGGCGACAAGACCACAATACGGCACCGCTTCAAGGCCGCCAAATACGCCGGCGCACAGCGCTGCATGTGCGCCGAGTGATACGCCGTATCCACACGCAACCTCCTCGCAAACTTGCCCTCCTCCTCCAGCATACCCATCGCCTTATCAACCGCATCACTGTCCCCCGACAGCGTGACGCTCGTCGGCGAGTTGTGCGCCGCGACCGACAACCTCGCATCGACCGCAAAAGCGTCGGCACCGCACAGCTCCCGAGCATCCTCTATCGACGTGCCCGCCGCCAGCATGCCGCCCTTCTGGCCGTCGCCGCCGGACGCCAGCGGCGCAAAAAGGCCGCGGTAGTAGGCGATGCAGATGGCGTCGGCGGCCGACAGGAACCCCGCCGCGTACGCGGCTGCGATCTCGCCCGAGGAATGGCCGACGACGGCGCGGAAGCGCACGCCGGCGGTGTGGAGCAGGTCGATGAGCAGGATCTGCACGGCGGTGCAGAGCGGTTGGGACAGGGCGGCTTCACTCAGGCGTGAGGTTTCTGCTGGGGCGAGGAGTTGTTCCTCGAGTGTCCAGGAGGGGCGGTGCGAGACGGGGAGGCGGGCGAGGCTCGAGTCGAGGCGGGCGAGGATCTCGCGGGCGAAGGGGATCGTTTGGATTAGACTCTTGCCCATGCCTGCCCACTGGGCGCCCTGTCCCGTGAACACGCCCATGATTGATGGTGGAGTCGAGAGGGACGCGATACCCAGCGTCTCGGGCGCTCGCGGCGGCTGGGTGCTGGCATCGTCGGCGTTGGGGAGACCAAGCTGAGCCTGTAGCTTGTCGCGTAGCTGGTCGATGGACGTGGCGGAGATAGAGAGGCGCCGCGCCAGTGCGGACCGCTTGCTGCTCAGCGTCCAGGCCAGGTTTGACAGGTTGACAGGACTATCAGGTGTGTTGAGATAGTCCAGCATGTCCTGAACGATCGCAGCGAGAGACTTCTCTGATGCGGCGGACATGACGCAGGGGATGACGCAGGCCGCATCTTTTGTGCTGGTGCCGTTAACCATGTGCTTGGTGTCATTCTCGGGCGTGTACGTCTCGACGATAGCGTGAGCGTTAGTCCCGCCAAAGCCGAAACTGTTGACGCTGGCCCTGCGGGGGGCGCCGTCAGGGACCTCAGGCCAGGGCAGGCTGCTGGTAGCAATATGCAGGTGGTTGATGAATGGCTCCAACGCCGGGCTGAGCGTTTCGAAGAGGAGGTTCGGCGGTATGGTGGCGTTCTGAATGGCCAAGATCGCCTTGATCAAACCTGCCAGCCCGGCGGTGCCTTCGGTGTGCCCGGTGACGGTCTTGATGGAGCCCACGTAGAGCACATCGTCCGGAGCAGCGTCACACCCTGGGGGGAAGAAGGCCTTGCTCAGAGCCTCGGCCTCTTGCGGATCGCCTGCGGGCGTGCCGGTGCCGTGTGCTTCGAAGAACTGACAGCGGCCCGCCTTGGTTGTCGGGTCTAGCCCTGCGCGAGCGTACGTGTCCCGGATTAGGGCAGCCTGCGCCGTGGCACTCGGCATGGTGAGGCCCCTGGTCTTGCCGTCGTGGTTGACGCCCACTTCGCGGATGACGGCCTCGATCTTGTCCCCGTCGGCTAGTGCCGAACTGAGCGTCTTGAGCATGACGCAGGCGACGCCCTCGCCTCGGGCGTATCCGTCCGCGCCGGCGTCCCACATACGCGACCGCCCGGCCGGGGACAACATGCCGAGCTTGCTTTCGGTAACGTACGAGAAGGCTGACAAGATCAGGTTCGTTCCACAAGCCACGGCAAGTCTCGAAGTACCGTTCCGCAGGGCCTGTACGGCCTCATGGACGGCTACCATGCTCGATGAGCAGGCCGTGTCAATGGTCATGGATGGCTGGCTTGGAATTAGCTTTTTTCTCGTGACATCTTCTCGGCCGGTCGTCAGTAATTCACTCACCCCGTGCCAGTTGAAAAAATACGAGATGCGGCTTGAAGCATTGCTAGCTGCGATGCCGGTGGCGGCATACGTCGGCACTGAGTTGACATCTTGAGCCTGCAAGGCAAAATAGTCTTGACACCTGCAAGTGCGAGGTTGTTGTCAGTTTCAGTTCTTGTTTCATTGTCATGAGGCTCAACGCGGAACACAGCTTAACTCACATGACTCCTACATAAACACCCGTATTGGAATCCGAGAGGCTGTGGATCGAGAGTCCCGCATTCTCGGTGGCTTCATAAACAACTTCCAGCAACAGTCGTTGCTGAGGGTCAATGACCTCGGCCTCGCCCGGGGGAATGGCGAAGAACTTTGTGTCAAAGACGGTCACGTCCTCCTGGAGGAAGTACGACGTGCCTGTGTTTGTGGTCCCGTGGTGAGTGCCATCCTTGTGATAGAAGTGGCCCAGGTTGAAGCGGTCCTCAGGTATCGTCTGGGCCACGTCCCGTGGCTTCTCGAGCAGCTCCCATAGTTTTGACGGATTGCTGGCGGCCCCTGGGAAACGACATCCGATGCCGACAACAGCAATGGGCTCGGACCGCCTCCCTGAGATATTGCTCTTTGCCATGATGGTTGGCAGAGGGGGGAATATGGAGGTGTTAGGATGCTACAATCCCAAATCAATGGAAGCGTACAGATCGGTCGACTGTTGAAGGACGCGTTAGCAGGATATTTCTTGGACACGAGGTCGAGTTGCAAGCATGCCGCATGCATGAAGACCCCCCCGCATGAGTCGGACCTTGGGGTTTTGGTTATCAAAGCCAACCAACCTACCTATCAGCCGGATACTGTTCTTTTTTGGGACAAGGTGTTCCGTCCTCGCTCAGTGTCGGTGATGGCGCAACAGCGGTGGCACTATTAGGCGTGCGTAAACGGAACGAGCAACTCGGCGAAGGAATGAGGCCGGCGGAGGGGGATATGTGTGATGATGGACGGAATCCTCCGGCTGTTGGGGGCTCAGCAGCCGGCCAAGCAACCAAGCAGGTACCTACAATAAGCGCTAGGTGGTTTACCGAGATTCATAAGGCCCTCGAATGAGCGGAGAGTTACCTAATGGCCGACCGAGATCGTTCGGCCCCCAAAGAAAACTTTCCGGTGCGGACCCGCCACTCTCCCGCTGCGAGGTAACTGACAGCCCGTTCGGGGTCTTGGGCCAGTGCTGTTTTGAATGTTTTTTTGTACGTTAGGCAATACATACCGCTGATGATATCGTATAGCGGCAGTGGTAACGCCAGTTGAAAGTCACCCAGAGCGCCCTCTCTCAATGATGGCGCTGTTTATGCTAGGTACTCACGTCGTAGTAGCATCTACCACAACATGTCTTCGGCAACCATGGAGCCCCAACTCCCCACCATTCTATGCATTCACGGTCATGGCACCAACGTGGCCATCTTACGCCTCCAAGCCAGCCGCATTGTGCACGCTCTCAGTGACAAATTCCGCTTCGTCTTTGTGGACGCGCCCTTCACTTCACTCCCTGGACCGGGCGTGGTACCCGTCTTCAGTGATTTTAAGCCCTTTTTGCGCTGGCACTGCGACGAGAACACGGTTCACAAGTTCGATATTACGCCCGAGGAGCTGGAAGAGGAGCGGCGGCGGGCGCGCGAGCTCTTAGCGGGGGTTCCAGGCAAGGAGGCTGGAGCCAAAAGTGCTCCGCGTCCGCGTGAGAGTGCCAGTGATCTGGTAGGAATCATGGCGTTTAGTCAGGGGACGCGTGTGGCGACGGGGTTTCTGCTGGATCCGGAGCTTGGATGAAACATCAAGTTTGCCATCATGATATGCGGCACATTTCCCGCGTTGCCCATCGCACCCCGGAGACGCTGTTGAGTAAGTCCGACTCTGGAGTCTCTAGACGGATCCCAAATCTGGTGTATATGGGCGGCCCGGCGCTGACAGCCCCAGAATCAACCAGGTTATCCATACCCTCTATCCACGTGCAAGGGTCTCACGACCCGTGGGCTGCAGAAGGACGGCGGCTGATAGAGACATACTTTGAACCCACGTTGGCCAAGACAGTGAAGTTTAGTGGGGGGCATCAAGTCCCTGCAGGAAGGATCGAGGTGGCACAGATTGCTGCGATCGTACGCGAGGTTTTGGGATCCGGGGTTAATAGGACTAGTTGGTGATGAGTCAAGAGTTACGAATAAGTAGTCAACCTAATATTTTCTGGGGCGGAGCAACTGTGAAGCCTCGCTGACAAAAGTTTGGGCTTATCACGCAAGCGAGTTGAGTTGGGAGAGGAAGAGGTATGGAAGAGATAGGGAACGGTCACCGTACGAGCCGTGCCTCCCCGCTGCGGCCTGGAAGGTGACAATATTGAATTTGCATCAGACGTGCAGGCTGCAGGACCGCCGAGATGCGTCTGTCATTGGCTACTAGGTACCAACAGCGAAAACGCCTTCCCAAGTTCTGGCTCCGCGCCCCCAACATGCCCGACGACCAGCGTCTGTTTAGCCGGTGAGTCCTACCCATTCGTCCATTTCCCGTATATCCCTGTCCTGATGTCTTGACGCCAAGAGAAAAAGCTGACTGGAGGCTGGAAACTGCATGGATGACATGGATGACACGGATGATGAAGCAACCTCATCCTGCGGTTGCAACCTACCATGGATACACTTGTCCGCGTTGCCCAACATGCATACGCGACCTACACAGTGCACGGTCGAGGTTCCCGAAGGAGCTGAAGGAACACCCAAATGCAATTATTCGGTGTTGAGAGAAAAGCAAAGTTGGGTTCGAACTTCCTTCGGGGCAATTCTGCTCGCAGTATTAGCCAACACAATGGTGATTGCACACCAATACCATCTCAGCCCTGTGCCGCAAGTCACCTCTAATAGTAATTATACTTGAATTTCCGGCCCCCCATTCTCGGCTGGGTCAGGAACCCGAAGGACCGGGGAAGAAGTGCGTCAATGATAAACGATACCAGAGCCAGCGGTATTCAACCCGGGATGCGAAAAAGCTTGGTTTGGTTCAGCACGCACCAGCACGCCAGTGCCCAGCATACGTACGTTCGACTTGCCAAGGGCACTGTTACCGTCTGACTCCTCCATCTCGAGCATCGCACACAGCATGCACCGTCCCCAGTCAGAATCCGTCCGGGAAGGCAAGCTCCGGGCAGCTTGTGACCGATGCCACGAACTCAAGAACCGCTGCGTGAGGATCGGGGGCGCTGACAGCCGCTGTGACCGATGCGAGAGGTTGGACATCGACTGCGTCTACCGGTACTCCTCTCGCATGGGCCGTCCGAAAGGTCAAAAGAAGACGTCTGTGACAGAAGCCAGACAGTTCAGCGAGACAGGCCGCCAGCAAACGTCCAGCCCCTTGGGTGACGTTGGGCTACCAGAGATGTCACTAACCGTCGGAGGATTAGGGTCTGTAGTTGGCGGCGGGCAAATGGAGACGGATACAATCCACAGCCAGAGTTCGACGCTTGTTGACCCGACGTCCAACACCATGATAGTGTGAGAATCTTCAGGGATTCAACCAACCGACGTCGACTGGGGCGTCGACTTCTTCGGCCGCCACATTACCGGCATCCACAGTTCTCTTTTCCCACGGAGCTACCCGTCACCGCAGGCGGTGCAACAGGTAGACGACGGTATCAGCTCCCCGACTCCCGGCGTCAACGCCCCTAGTCCCAACTCCACCAGGCCTAACGAAGTAACAACGACACTTGCGGACAGGCTGCTCGAACTACAAGCCCAACTGCACCGCCACTTGGCAGCAGCAGATGGGCAAATGGGGTCTGATAACGTGCAGGACGGTCTCGAGGTCGCAAAGACCTTCCTGGCGGTGCTCCAAGCCAGTTTCGCCTCGTCACAAAACGACATGGCCTCCACCGAACCACTGGGCTTTCCATCCGCCGACCAACTTCACGCAATGACAACAAACTGGCCCTCGGTCTCAGGCCACAATTTTGCTTGCCAAAACCGCAATTCCATACCGGACGACAACGACCCCATGTCAGCAATGGACGAAGACCCAACGACGGAAACGCCCTGTGCCGTGAGCTTCGTCACAGCACAGCAAGCATTAACATGCTACTCGTACGTGCTCCTCCTACTCGACCGCGTCGTGAGCGGCGTGACAAGCCCGGTCCGTTGTGCTGCCCCAACCAATGCCAATACGAGTGCTGCTCCTAAGCTGAGGAGCCCGAGCCAGGAGAGTCCCACAGTCCTGCGCCTGGGGCTCTTCAGCCTGGACTCGCAGCCCGCGCTGAATACTGAGATTGTGCTGCATCTGCGCCTCCAGATTCAGAAGCTGGCGTCTAAGTGTAATGAGCTTGGGGGGGGGGGCGGCTTGGGCCAGACTAGGTCGCCCGGGACGGCTGCTGCTGCTGTTGGCAATTCAGATGAGGAGGCGTTTGGGAGGAAAGGGACATCGCCAGCACCGATAGCCGCTATAGTGCATGCAGTGTCGAGCCTCATCGTTGAGCGAGAGAGCTCGTTGATTGATAGACTGTCATCCCTGACCGCTGGTACTGCTTGGGAATAAAATTTGAATTTGCAAACAGCTGGGAATATCGCACTATACTGTGTAGAAGCAACCGTGAAAAGAGACCTGCGTGACACTCCCGCCCCGGTCCAGAGCTTGCCAACTCGTTTCGAGTAGCAGTACCCCGGGCTGGCTACCCCGTGGAAGCATGTTGAGGGTGCTCTGGAACTGCTTGGCGGCTTGGCGACAGTTTGAGGATCCCGGTATCGAAGCTGGGAGTGATTGAAGCGATTGACACGGCATTGCTATGCATGAAGAGATAATCTTTCCGAGTTTGGACGCCCGATTCGTCCAATGGGTGATCGGACGCGTCATACGAAGTACATACGATGTTGCGCTTGGAGTTCAAGCGGCAAGCCCCGGTTCGGCTCTTGTGCGGCGCTGCAGAAGATCCGCGGAGAAGGAGAAAATCAGAGCCAACCGGTCGTGGATCCATTGACCCATGTTGCCATTCCCAATAATCTGTAGCAATAGAAAATGTAGATACACAGTAACGTTAGGATAAACGTCAGTCGCGGCCTCAGGTTGCCGCAGGCGCTCGGAAAAGTGAAGTTTCGGCTGCTTAAAAGTTGTGACGAAAAAGCAAAACTGCAACCGTCGAGTCCACGGATAAAAAAGGTTAACTCTTGCAGCGCTCAAGTTGGGGGTCACATTGCCCCTTTCCCCGTGGGGCATCGGATTTCTGATTGGGTGAACACACTTTAACCCCACATTCCTCAGACGATGCCTTGGCTCTCCGACTCTCTCTCTGATTTGCTCGTTGCTTCAAACCACGACGAGGAAGAAAACAACGACGAGAACTGGAACATGGAACCCCCAGAAATGAAACCCAACTGCCCTAACCTTGCGCTTTTTTTTCTCCCGTCGCAAATCACAACGCCCCGGCTAACACGCCATCACCCGGCAGATGGGACTGTGGCTTGTTTCAGAACCCCAGGGCTCAGGAGACGAATCGCGGATTTCAGACGTGTTTACCAGTCTGAAGTCTCATTCCTGAGTCCTGACTCGACGGAAAATGGCCCGCGGCCGGTGGCACCGTGACATTCCTACCAGAGTAAGCTTATACTGTGTACCCCGAAGCATGCGTCTGATGGAGAAAATGCAACTGCACTTGGTCTGGAACTCCCGAAGCGACCGCTAATTTTAGTTGGCCGACTAGGATTCATAACACGGTGAACCCTGGACGTGGTTTCGAGACACCGCCAGCGGAATCGCCGCCATGTTTGGTTCAGGCACGGTCCAAGTCAACATCCCCAAACCGCTTCTCTCTCTTGGCGCCGGTATAACCTCAACGTCTACCCTCCAACACGTGTATTGTCTTCTATTGCCTTCAACCTTCCGCAGAATGCTGCCGTTACGAACCACATAATCCGTTGCAGTGATTTGCTTTCTTTGATTCGACATCGCCCTGGTGGCCCATTTGACATTATTTTCGTTTCTAGTGCTAGTGGCTCATTAATCCTTTACGCCGGGCGTACCTTCAATTCATAATGTCGATTGCTTCCTGTCCAATGTCCGGCAGGGCCGGTGGCCGCTGTCCTGCTGGTTCAGTCGCTGGCCGCAGCCGGTCTAGCAGCCACATTGGGCCGCGTGGCTGCTCCTTTTCAGGGTACACCCAGCCTGGTGACATCCATGCTGCCTTTGACGTTGGTCTTCGTCTTCTGCAAATGTCTCATCGCAAGCTGACCATGGCAGATCCCCAAAGGAGTTGATGCGGAAGAATGGCTTCGGATGAGGTAAGTGTAGTGCGCCTCCCCTTGTCGTGACTTAATTAGGTACCTTCCCTAGGTAGCTAACCTAACTCGTCTAGGGAACGCAAGGCGATAAACGAAATCCTGTACTCAGACATTCCATCGGTCAAGGAGATCGGCACCATGAAGAACATCGATACGCTCAATGCTGCTGAGCATGACCTCCTCGCCGTCGCTCTAGGGGCTCCCGCCCGCCAAGTGATGATTAGAGCCGAGGAAATAGGCCCAAGGACGGGCTGGAAAGATGGATATCTTAGTTCCGAGCACGGCTTCTGTCCGCCGGACTACAACGAGGCCCCCGCAGCGCTCGCCAACTCGCCGGGGAGGATATGGTCCGATCTATGCGAGCGAATGCCCGGTTGTGTCGCCAGGGGCAGAATCCGGGAGTCCGTTGTCGCCCTACCGCTCGTCCAGGGAACCGAGGACGTCATCCCTGACCAGGCACTATGGGCTGCCGTTGTCGCCCTGGGTATGCTCTGTTCGATATACAGATACGAGGACAAGAATGACGGCCACGAAGGCGTGACGGTGAACGCCACCAAGTACCGGCCGAACTGTGACATGGGCGACGACCTCGGCGCCGAGCTTGTGGGGATCCCACGATGCATTGCTCTGCCATACTGGCAGGTCTCGAGACGTCTCGGCCGCTCCATCCCTCATCTGACCTTCTTCGACCAATCTTCCTTCAACATGAAGATAAAGGACGTTAACAATTCATACCCGTATCTTGGCAGGTTCGACAACATGGGGATGCGCTGGCCCGTCTTTGGAGAGAGGACGGAAATTGCCTTTCAGAAAGGTTGCGCAGAGACCTCAGGTAAAGCGGATCTTGTGCATTCATACTCAGGGTTACTTGCTAACAACAGAGTTCAGCATCGTTCCAGCACGGCGCCGATGCCATTGCCGCCTGCCAGGAACACGTCATGAACCGAAACATCGAAGGCCTCCTCCGCGAGATGGTCCGACTTAAGGAGATCCTCGAGCGCATGCCCAATGCGTTCCATTCCATCAACACGAATCCCAACTCTGGCGAGAACTACGTTCCCGGCCACCAATGGGTACGATGGGGCAAATTCTCGGCACCCCTCAGCAAGCGATGCCCTGCCTCTTCCGGCTTGCAATTCCCGCCTTTCCTCGTCATGGATGCCTTCCTGGGGCGGAAAAAGTACGACTCTTTCCTTGGGCGAGAAGGCCTCCATCTGCGGGCCTGGCTGCCATCGAACCTCAGAGCCTTTATCGCCGCTATCGAATACCACTACAGCATCCCCGAGTTCGTCAAAAAGTCGGGCGACCCGAGGTTGATGGGAGTCCTCGATGGTATTGTTGAGGCGTACACGGGCGAGCGTGGCTTCATGGGCACCCATCGGTACAAAGTCTTTGGTCTTCTTGAAATCGCGAGCAAGACGGGCCGGACCGAGACCAACGGCCTGTCTGGAGCCCCCGACGCCAATGCCAAGCCCTGGGAAGAGACACACAAGCAGTTCTCCGAGGCCATGAAGGAGCGCCTCGAACCCTACCGTGGTGACATCGACATTGAACCGCACAAAATGCGGGGCACCTTCGAAGAGTGCCGTTACAAGTCTCGGGTCCTCGGCCGTTCTTTTGTTGATGGGGACCCGGCCAGGTCCATTGCCATGGTTACTCTCGACCTCCAGGAAACGGGGATAACGTATCAGCCGGGCGACAGGCTGGCTCTGATGCCTCTGAATAGTTGGAACGAAATCGCCAAGGTCGCCGCTGCTCTAGGTCTCGGCGGTTACCTCGACTACCGGGTCACCTTGAACACACAATGGCAGCGTTTTGCCCGGCATCTGGGGTCTGTTCGACATACTTCTACCCCCCAGCTCACGGTGAAGGACATCTTGAGGCGCGGCCATCTAGCACCCATCACGCAAGAGTTGGCGCTCAAAGTCCACGATTTGCTCCGAGCCTCGTCCAACACGGTCCTCCAAGTCTTGGCTACCACCGAGTGGCCGGTTCGCGGAACTCTAGGGGATCTTCTGCAGGCTGCTGTCACCGACACAACCCCTCATATTTGGGACAGGGCGTTCGACCTCACCGGTGACCTGTCCTGGCTTACTGATTTGATACCCGTCGAGGTGCCGAGGACGTACTCCATCTCCAACCACTCCGAGGAGCTCCTTCCTTCCACCGTTGACTTGACCGTCTCCCGAGCCGAGTACAACCTGTGCTCAACATTTGCTGGCAATAGCGAAGTGACGTGCGCTGGTGTGGGGAGTGGCTTCCTGAACCCTTCCTTGTCATCGAATGATGAGCTCATCGAGACGGACGAGGACATCCTCATCGGTATCTCTCGGCCTCTGAACTTTCAGCTCCCCATTGAGAGGGCGGCGCCATGCGCATACTTCGCCGGAGGATCTGGCATTGCGCCGTTTAGGAGTTTCTGGCAGGCTCGCCTTGCTTCTCAGAACAATGCTGCCAGCCGAGACATCCTCTATCTAGGCGTGCAGAACCGTGAGAAGTTCTGTTACGAGCAGGAGCTGCGCGAGTACGTCGAGGCTGGTCTCATGGAGGTCCACCTCGCCTTCTCTCGTGACTCGCGTGGCCTTGTGTATGACGGTAGATCCCGAGATCTCGTCGAGAAGGAAATGCCTCCTCGATACATTGACGCCCTTATCGTGGAGCAGGCCGCCACAGTCGCGGAGCTCATCATGTCCAAGAAGCAGGGCGGACTCGGCGGTTATCTCTATGTCTGCGGTTCCGTTTCCGTCTTCGACTCTGTCATGAGTGGTGCGCGGAGAGCCATCTATAACCACTGCAGCTCGAGCATGGAGGCTGCCGATATGATTCTTCACAAGGCGTTTGCCGAGCGCCGGTTCATGCTCGACATCTTCATGACGCCGAAGCCCCTGCCTTGCAACCTCGCTACGATCCCTCTTTCGCAGTTGTCGCGCCATACCGGTCACCGCGCTGGGGGCCGAATGTGGATTGCCGTACATGGCAGCGTCTACGATGTCACCGACTTCGTCCCCTTCCATCCCGGCGGGACCACCATTATCCAGAGCAATGCGGGCGTGGATTGTACAACGACATTTGACAATCTTGCTCACACCAACAACCCGGAAGTCAGCAGTCTGCTCACCAAGTACTTTGTGGGGCAGCTGACTCCCAAGCCGGATTTCCATGGCTCTTCGGAACTCGCCGACTTGTATGACCTATGGGCCGCGTACCTGCGAACTACAGTCGAGACCCTGGTGGCACATAGGTTCGAAATGTACGAGATCATGGGTGCTAGCAACGACGAGAATGTCTGGTCACGCGAGAACCTTGTGAACATCGGCCTTGGAGTTCGCATGTTCTACGACTACCAATCTCGCCTGCTCCAAGGTGGCTTCTCGGCCCTATTTGGTGCCAAGCTCCAAGAACTGGTGCTCAAGCTATCCTTCTCGCTCGCCGATGCGGCAGCTTCCGGGACTGACATGCGTCTACCAGACGTGCTTGGCATCATCGCCCGAGCCAAGACGTCACAGGACGCAGTGGCAACGTCTCAAGAGGTCGCTCTTGTGGGCGAGTTTGTCTGCGAAAGCAGCAGCAACATCCGCTTCGCAGAGCGCGGCATCTTCCATTACGCGGCGAAGAGCGTCGAGCTCGACATTGAGCTGCTGGAGGACATCCGTGAAGAGGCTTGCCGCGGTATGGATGCCTTTGACAGCATCGGCGCCATGGACCGAAACAACGGCAGCCAGAGCCTCGCCATGCTTGCGACGGCCCTCATGCAAATCCTGGAGCGGATGGCAAAGCGTCTCGAAGTCTTCTACTCCAAGGTGTCCAAACTCAAGGTCTACCAGCCAGAGCTGGAGCGCAGCCCGGCCAGGGCACGCTGGAACCTGGTGCGGACCAAGATCCGCGACGGCTCCTTCTTCATCCTCAGCCAAGAGACCATCCTCGGTGCCGCGCCAGCTTTTGTGCCCTCACACAATCGCAATGCCGACGTCGACTTCGACGACGTGATCGGCCGCATCCAAGCAAGCCTCCGCAGCGCCCCCAAGATCAGCCCGGCACCACAAACACTCAACGCAATGCACCTCGCTAGAGCGGGCACGCGGCCACCGGCCGAAACAAACGCCATGGCCGCGCACGACAACAAGACAGCCATGCGCGCCATGTCCACCTTCATCGACGCCAACATGCGCTCCATCCGCCGGCTCAGCAAGATGCCGCCCGTCCCGCCGACGTTTGAACAGCTCCAGCTGCAATTCGAGGGCGGCAACAACAACAACAACAACAACAACAACAACAACAACCGGGCGGGCCGACCGCCCACGCCGCCTCTCACCCACACCACACCATCGCGTGCGAACTCTATAGAGCGCATGATGATGGCAGCAGCATCCTCCCAGAACGGACGCGCCCTCAACAGCAGGGCGACCACCCCTAGCGTCTACTACGGCAGCCAGTTCCCCGGCGGAGGAGGCCATGATCATGGGGGCCACGGCACAGGCGTGGGAAATGGAATGTATATGCGATCCCCGCCGACTCCGCCCCTCGACCCTGCTGCGGTCATGACCGCTATGATGAGCAAGCTGAATGTGCGGTCGAGGGGGGGCTCGGTGCCGCCGCCGTCGCCTGCCGTGTCGCGGAGCGCGAGCGTGAGGTCGCTGCCGCATGGTGGCGGCGGTGGTGGTGGTGGTGGTGGGCCGGGTGGTAATAGGGGCAATGGTCATGGGACGAAGCTGTCGACGACTTCGTTGCGGGCTTTTAGACTGGGGAGTGGCGAGAGGGGGGGGGTGAGGGTTGCTCCTACTTTTTAGTTGTGGCCGCCGAAGCTTCAACTGGGGTTTGAGATGTACTGTGTACTGTACTGTGTACGCAAGGGAAGATGGATCAGCGGCTTCCCTGGATGACGTTTTGCCTATGGGGGGTTTTGCTCCCGAGAGCACTGGTAGAGAGTACATGGATATTGGGAGTGCCGGCCTGTGCTAATTATACGTATTAGGCAGGTTGACGCTTCCATCCCCTCGGGTCCTTGCATCGTTGAAGCAGCAAGAGTAGGGCGAATATTGATCGAAATCTTGCAGAAGATTGTATTGAAGTCAGCGGTTAGGGTACGCAAAGGCGAGTGACGCACATGAAACAGACTGTCTCGAGCAACAGACACGAAAGTGGGGTCATGTTATATGGTAGGCCTCACTGCTTACATGCCTTAGTCGGGCATCAACATCCAGCGCGTCCCTCCCAACGTGAATTCTCGGCGTTTATCTATTAAACTTGGAAGTGCATTCTGGGACAATTTCAAGTTGCCCTCTGGCTAGGTATCCGCGATACACCGATCCTATGGCGCCGCTTCTTGAGTCCGTCTTCAACCACATCGTCCTGCCGCCCAAACTTCCGGCATGTCAAGAATCCGACCTCGACGCTGTTGAGCACAACATATTGACGCGTCTCCTTCATTCCTGCGACACCTTGGGCGCGCTGCCCGGACAAGAGACTCATGAAGCCTGGCAATCCGTTCGCCGGCCGCTTCTAGGGTGCCTCGATTTCCACCAGGATCGCTTCGACCGGGCGTCCCTACGTCATGCCTTCTCGAGGTTGGATGCTGGTTGCCCCGTGATTTTGCACATAGCGGAACAGAACTGTGCCATTATCATTCGACTTGTGCCGCAGTGAGTGTTGGATACATCAGCCCATAACAACACGGGCCAAAGGTCTAACGTACAACTTACCACAGGGACCTCGGCGAGGACGACGTGATCTTCGAAAGCTTCGAAGCCTCGGCGTCTTCCAAGGATGTCCTCGCTGCCGAGGGCGCTCTGCAGTGGGACTTCCCCGGTAGAGCTGCGCGAATACCGCTGGTCAAGTTCTCGGATCCATCCTTTATGGAGAGCTTGGCCACCTTCATCGAGCAAGCCAGCACTGAGTCGCTTGACCGTTTCGCGGCCCACAGTCGTAAGGCCAATGTGTCAGTTCCGGAAGTCAGAGACACGGCCGATCCTGCTCTGATCACCCAGATGCTCTTACCATTGCTCGAGGCAGTTGGCTCTTCTGTCGATGTTCCAAAGCTCCGGAAGCGGGTTCGAGACGACGTCAGCTTCCACAAGGCATTACTTCCCTGGCGCCGCTTGCCATTTTGGCTTGTTCTCCGCGTCGCCATCCAGCGTCATCTCTGCCTAACTCTAGGGAACGAGAACGGGCGCACTTGCTACAAGTTTCTGATCTGTACTCTGCTTTCTGAGATTCTGATGGACAGCGCCCGCCAGCTGTCCCCCGAGTTGACCGTCTTGCTGAGGGCCAAGCTCTGCCGCCGTCTCGCAAAGCTGGAAATGGAGAAGTCAAAGGCATCCCCAGAGGCCAGAATCACATACCACCGGCTGTTCGACTCCACATCGTTCTTCTTTACCGACGCTATCCGGGGTGCAACATCCCAAGTTGAAACGGCCTGGCGCCGTTATAGAAAGGAAATCACGCCGAGTGTCCCCAAACTTCCTCTCCGAGCCCCCGAGCGTAGCTTTCGTCTCGCTCTCAATAATAGCCGTGTATACTTGAATAAAGTCCTGCACTTGGCAAACCGGAGGAAAAAGGGTGCAGCTATGCAGGCGGCGGTGGAAGTAGACTGCAATATGATCACGGACCGGGTCCAGCAGTTTACCCACAGATGCTTCGAGCTGGCCCAGCTCGAAGAGCGCATTGAACAAGACCAAACGCCTGCAACGAAGGTTGCAGACTGTCTTGCCTTAGCGCAGAGGATCATCAACCTCGCTTGCGCAACGGAGGGTGCTTTCGACCCCGAATCCGGCCCGGGACAGGCCAGCATCTCCATCCTGAATCTTTTCGACTTGTGGACCAAAATGGACAGATGTGCCGTGGCACAATGCCCCTTGCTTAAGGAATACCACCCAGGCTTCCATCCCGAACTCCTTGACGTCCTACAACTCGCAACTCCCAAGGAGATGGAGCGCCTCAAACGAATCCAGAAGTACCTCCTGGACAGGTGTACACGGTGCCAGTTTGGCGCGAAAACCATAATGAGTGGCCCTGACAAGAACTCCTTTACCACGCGGTTTGTGGCAGCGTCGACTCCTTTGGAACACTTGCGAGGCCGGATCAAGGTCGCGTCCCAGCGGGCGAAGGATGTTGCCGAGTCCAGCTGGAAAAGGGCTTACGACGAGTACGACGTCCTCAGCGAAAGGCTATACGCTAGTGCTTGTTCCTGTACCAAAAAAGCAAACGGGAGCTATGACCGTCGTAAATGCGAACGATGCCAATGTCGCAGGAAGCGGAAGAAGTTGAAAGTCTCGGTACATGAAGATTTCCTACCCTTCGAGTCCCATCTTAGCGCTGCGGTCGTGTTCGAACTTGATCCCCCACGCTACCTCGCTGCCTATCGGGACGCGACTTGGATCCTGATTCGCGAACTCGCGCATCCAAGTCGACCGCCGGCGCCTTCGTCATCACCACATATGCATCTGAAGGAGTACAAACCGCTCAAACCTTTCGGCCAGCCCGAGTCACGAATCATCTCCATCGCCTCGGCCAAGAAGTCCTTTCTTCAGTCACACTACAAACAGGTCAAAATGAAGGCCGAAAAGAGCGCCGTTCTTCTACCACATGGTCCCGACTACCGGCTCTACGACGCGAAGGCAAAGACTTGGGTTGGCGATCTCAGCAAGCCACTGACATTCGGTCATCTCTGTGGCATTCACATGCCGCCCGCTCTGAAAAGCTCCGTCTTCCCGCCACAGGAGCACCCTCATCACGACCCCGACGGCCCATCATCGTACGAGGCCATCGCCAACCGAGTGAAATGCCCCACGGGCATGTCGGTGCACGAATTCGCGGCGTACCAGAGGCTGTTTTCAGGGCGCTCACGCCGCTGGCTGTCCGTGCTCGCCGAGCTGGGCTCCCCCAACCTCAACTTTAGCAGCGAAGACGCCATGCATGTTATCGGCCAGCTCGCCACCCAGGCCGGCCCTTCGCGACAACATAGCGGCGTTCTGAGGGATGTCCACGTGGTATTCCAGGACCGTTCGTTCTGTGCCCGCTTGGCGGAGCAAATCGGACGGCGTCTTCGTATGATATACTCCAACTGGCGGGAGACATGCTGCATGGAAATGCTCATCACCTTGAGTCTCCGACTCTTCCGCCTGGCCGCCGACCGGGCTGACCGCGACGCTGCGCACGAGCTGATCAAGACGGCTCGCGAGGCCACGTTGGGGTGGATCGCCCAGATCCGCGAGGACTTGTGGAACAGCGCCGAGGCGAGCGCGGCCGAAGCGATTGCGAGGTATGGTGTCTGGGCCTGTCTTCTCTGCCGGCGGACTTTTGCCACATTTGAAGACCCGAGCCCAGGGGAGATGTCAGCCGAGGAACTGGACGGGTTTACGCAGGCCTCGGTGGCTTTGCAACAGAATTTGGTGGTGGACCTCGGGAGACTCTCGCCGAGCTTGAAGAGCATGATGGCTCGTGATATGAAGATGGCATACAGAATTCGGCAGGTTGTGGAAGCAGCTATACGGCTCTGTCCACTTGGTTTGAATCGGGGCATCGGGAGAACTTGGTCAGACACTCACACTGACACAACCGATCCGGGGTCTGCCGCCGACTCCAGATTTGGCAGCTGGGAATTTGTCTCGTCTCGCGGCGGCGGCCAATGGATAACATGCGTAACCAAGGCGACGGGTACCTTGTCTTTGACTCAGAGACTCCATTACAATTACATCGATGGGCGGTTCTTGGTGAACGGCAGCCACATCGGAAAACTGCCACTTGCTATCAGGGATTCTGAGGACGTCAAGGAGCTCTTCGGGGACCGGCATCTTCTGACCTTTCCATCGTCGCGTTTCGGCATGAGCCATGTTCTGGCGAGGCGCCAAAAAGGGCAAACGATTCACTTTGGCCTCCGCGGGACGCGGGTGGTTATCCAGGCGGTTGTTGGCAGGGAGGCCTGGGAACACGTCCCCAGCCATATATTTTCCGGTTCCTCCACATGGGATTTGCCTCTCGGCCTCATCGAAAACTGCGTGCACTGGCTGAATCTGCGTTCGGGCTGCCTGGAGATCCGGAGGAAGACTTTTGCCTGGCGCACCAGGTCGAACGACTGGGTTCTGGATGTCAAGAAGCGTCAGGCGCGGCGATCCAACGTCTTATTAGTCAGTCCATACTCGGACCTTGGCCAGACAATTGCGGGCATATTGGGCAACTTTGAAGACGCACGCAAACTGACTATCTTCCAACCATTACACCCTAACGGCAGGCCCTCGGTCGAGCTCCGAAATCTAGCCCTCAGTTTCTTCGTCAACAAACGGTGCCTGCTACAATGCCGAGAATTGCGCGCCGAGATCGATCCGAACCAGGACGCGGGAACCCTTTACGGCTTCCGGAGCGGGCTTGTGCTACGCGGCGTCCCATGTCGTGATGAGAGGAGCATCATCGCGCCTCTCGGAGCGGTTAGTTGGAGACTTGATGGGATACATGTTAATGTCCGTGCGAGTAGTGCCGACCACTATGGTAGGTTCGGCATCGACGAGATCCTCGGACAACTGACTTGCCCCCCCGAACCCCGACTGTTGTACACCAAGGCACTTCTCCATGCCCTCACCTCGTTCTCCCTGCCCGACGACCTGACTCGGCGGACCGGCACCGAGGAAGCCCTGCGGACGCTTGAATCGGGTCGCTGTCAACCGTGGCAACCGATCGGTGGCGGCGCCATCGCAAGTCTCTTGGCCATCAAAGGACTGGCTCCGGATCGATACTACTACCCACCGGACAAGCGGTGTCTGCAGACCGTGGACTGGGATCACTCACTCACCATGACTATACAACATGACAGTTATGAGTCGGTGGTCAGCGGTATCCTAAAGAAGTCGGAGCAGCTCCGGGCCTTTGCGGAGAACAACAACCAGGCACTCGATTCTCCGGTAGGCCCATCCTCCTGGCTCAGGCGTCGTGCCGAAACCCGTCGTCTTTCCTACGAGCGTCGCTTTTCTCACCCATCAGACCCAGTCCCAGCCCGGAAAGACAGCATATACCAGCCTCGAGATCGACAAACGACACTGCCAGCGGCGACCCATGTCTACCAAGTGACCCGTCTTCTTCACCATAACACACGGAAATTTCACATGGCGATGCCCTTGAAAAACGTCCTCCAGGACTGGAAGTGGATTGGTGGCTTTCACCACACCCAGGAGAGCAACACTGTGCCCCCGCTCGCCGACCTCGTGAGCGGCAACATGGCGGAAAGATGGGGCACCTTGGTCGACGCGTTCCGCCACGCTGACCGCAAAGACCCATACAGGCCACTATTCAAGCTTGCCCTCCTGTCCTTTGCCCCAGACACAAAGAGAGACGTTCTGAGATTCCTGGCCGCTTGTTACGCTCTGGAGGAACTGGCGGTTGTTGAGCCACCTAGGTATCCTTCGTTTACCGGCTTCCAGGTCGGCGAGGTGCCGAAGCTGGGTTCGCTCGAGGTCACGATATCGAAGGCCTATAGCGAGTCCGACTTTGCCGTCGCTGTCAAACATACTGGCGGGACCTCCCTCTCCGCCGTGGAAGGAGTTCAAGCTGAGCGCCTGCGCCATTGCAAAGAAGACGCCGTCCGTCTTGCCTCCTTCATTCTTCGACAGTGGCCTTGCCCCAAACCGTCCATTGAGGGCTTCGAAGCCGAGGAGCTCGACGTCCAGAGAGCTGCCGAGTTGGTCTTGCCCGAGTGGCGGCGGCTTTACCGAAACCTGATGCTCTCGGAATATCTCGACAAGGTCCAGAAGATACTGAACAAGTATCAATGCAAAGCGGACAGATCTATCCCGGCGCCTTGGTGCTGCCGGCCCTCACCTTTCCTTGTTGTACGGAGCGGCGGGCCTCCCGTGCCTTCACTCGCTGGAGACCCTTTCCTCGAAAGAGCCTCCCATTTACACGCCTCACTTGCCCGTCATGGCGGAGGTTCAGCCCAGGAACAGGGACCCGAGGCAACAACTCAAATCTCTCGACGCATTCAGGGCAACGCGGCCGTCACGGCTCCGCGCAAAGCTAGAGAAGCAGATATGCTGCGTACTGTCTTGTTACCGTTTGTTGCTTCTTCCGACAACACACGGAAGGAGTACGGCAACAGTTTGATGAGCAGTCTCGCAGCGCTCGAGACGACTTCCCGCTGTGAGGACGTCGAGGAGGGGGTTCCCGGTATACAAATGATTCAGGCTCGAATCCTCTATGCACGATTTGACATGGACGACCAACTCAGGGCGGCCATTACGGCCTTTTCCAGCGAGGACTCACGTTTCCGATGGCTTGGGTTAGGCGATTTATGGGTGTGGACCAACCCGGTCTCGACTCTTGAGCTCTTACGATCCGGTGACAGGTCTCGCTTGGGACAGGCTGCGAGGGAGCTGCTGGTTTCGTACGGGTTGAGTGTCGTGCGGTTCCAGCGACTCCAGCGGATCAAGTCGGCCCAGCTGCGAGGAGACATATCCAAGGCTGCGAGGGAATGGAGAAATATCGGCCACACGGGGTGGAGTCCTTTGGAATTCCCAGACTGGTTGCTTCTCGAGATCGAGAGCAACATGCTCATCCGTCCGGAGCAAGTGGAAGTGGCACGCGCCATCATCGCGCCAACTTCGGGATCCAACTCGGTCCTCCAGATGAACATGGGCAGCGGCAAGACCTCGTGCATCGTGCCCATGGCCATGTCCGTCTTAGCGGACGGAGGCCAGCTGGCGCGCCTAGTCGTACCCAAGGCGTTGCTCTCGCAAACGGCGCAGATTATACAAACGCGGCTTGGTGGGCTGGTCGGTCGCGATATAACACACTTGCCCTTCTCCCGCCGTACCCCGACCGGCCAGGAAGCACCGACAATGCTTCCCTTATACTCGGAACTCCACGAGCAGGCTAGGCACCGACGTGGCATCATGCTAACCACGCCAGAGCATATCCTATCCTACAAGCTCGGCGGATTGCAGCGGTTGGCCGACATGCGTCTTGATGAGGCACGGGACATGATAAAGTATCAAGCACGGTTGTCCGAGACCTCCCGCGATGTCCTTGATGAGTCCGACTTCACCCTGGCGGTCAAGACGCAGCTAGTATACCCGAGCGGCCCGCAGCTGCCATTGGATGGACACCCCTACCGATGGGTGACGATACAGGCCATCCTGTCGCTGGTTGAGGACCACCTCCCGGGGATTCGGAACGACTTCCCGCAAGGTCTCGAACTCTCCGAAAGACCGGGTGGGTTTCCTGGGACGCACTTTCTACAGACAGAGGCTGAGGATGAGCTGAACAGCCGCGTTGCGAGGGACATCAGCAGCGGGAGGACCACCGTCCTTGCCCTGGCAAACCCGGAGCGGCCATTCCCCTGTGCTCTGGTCAAACGGATCCTATTAACACGCGACAAGGGAATCGACTCGAACTTGGTCGAGGAATTCGCAAGTCACTTTCCCAACCCAAAGATAGCGTCCGACAACATTCTCCTGGTCCGCGGGCTTCTAGAAAAACGCATCCTCCTGCTCTGCCTAAAGAAGCGATGGAATGTGCAGTACGGCTTCCACCCCGGGAGACCCCCCGTCGCCGTTCCGTTCGATGCCAAGGGAGTGCCATCGGAGCAGTCGGAATTCGGCCATCCTGACGTGGCCCTCCTTCTGACCTGCCTGTCTTTCTACTATACAGGACTCACCCCTGCCCAGTTCCGCGCGGGACTACAACACGTCTTGGGTTCTGGAGACCCAGCAACCGAGTATGACCGGTGGACCCGGGGCTTCAGTTCCTTGCCGGAGCATCTAAGGCACTGGAATGCTATCAACTCTGAGCACCAGCAACAATTCGATGAGCTTTGGAGCAGGCTCCGACTCAACAGGAGCGTCCTGGACCACTACATGAATACCTTTGTCTTCCCAGCCCACGCGCGGCAATTCGAGGTCAAGATCCAGGCGTCTGGGTGGGATCTTCCCCTGCTACCCCTATCATCGGGTCCTTCCCACCTCAGCACTGTGACTTCTCGTGCCATATCGACCGGATTTAGTGGGACAAACGACAGCAGAATGCTACTTCCGTTAACGATCAAGCAGGATGACCTACCGAGTCTACACCAAACGAATGCCGAAGTCCTCACTTACCTCCTACAGCCGCGCAATCAAGAGTACCACCACGCGCCGTGGCACATAAACAAGGAGGAAGGGCTGCTGGAGGAACTCTCACAAAAAGGGATCAGAGTTTTGATTGACGCCGGCGCCTACGTCCTCGAGCAAGACAACGAGACCCTCGTCAAAGCATGGCTTGCTAAGGACACTTGGGCACAAGCAGCCGTGTACTTTGGCGCGGATAGCCGTGCTTGGGTGCAGTATCGGAGCAACAAAAAGGCCCCCCTAGTTGCCACGCCGTTTGCCGAAGCCTTGGATGAATGCCTCGTCTATCTCGACGAAGCTCACACCAGGGGCGTCGACCTGAAGCTGCCCCGACACGCTCGCGGGGCCCTTACTCTGGCTCTTGGCCAAACCAAAGATCATACTGTTCAAGGTGAGTCTGCTGCCCCTTGGACTACTTGCCTCGCGATACCCGACTGTCCTCTAGTTCAGTGTTGACAAAACAAAACCTACAAGCGGCCATGCGGCTCCGGGAACTTGGCAGTACGCAAGCCGTTGTATTTTTCGCCCCTCCCGAAGTGCATCAGAGCATTCTCGATGTCTGCGGGCTCCAAAGCCACCAAGCCGTCAACTCGTCGCACGTCATCGCTTGGCTCTTGGAACAGACGTGCCGAGTCAACAGCCAACTACGGGACTTATATCTCGCCCAGGGTTACGACTTCTGCCGTCGTTCCAATTCCCAGCTTGTCCATGGCGACTTTCTCACAGACTCGTCCCACCGTAGCGCATTCCTGAACTCGATCCGCCGGCCCGAACGGCAGACCCTTGGGGAGATGTATGGTGCCGAAACAGGCATTGCTTCACAGCCTGTTGCAGAGCCGTTAGCCTCCGACAAGCTGAGTGAATTTATGCGAGAGCTGGATAAACAACAAGGCGTGGGTGACAGAGGGGTGGGGTGGGAGGGCCAAGATTCTGCTTTCGATGAGGAGGTCGAGCAAGAACGCGAGGTTGAGAGGTTCCAAGCCGAACATGTCCAGCAAAAGCAACATCGGCCGAGCTATGATGCTCTCTGCTTCCCCGGCCTTCACAAGAGCATTGTTCACTTTGTCAACACGGGCGAACTCAGTGGCGGAAAGGGTTATCGGCATGCCTTTGATGCGATGGCGAGCACGAGTACCGGCAAAAAGCATCGCGTCAAGCCAACAAAGTCGCAACTGTTCGTTTCGACCGAGTATATGCGAACCATTGCGCTTCAAGGCATTTCCGAAATCGATAGCTTCCTGGTATGTCCTCTTGTGTTTGGTTACTAACGCATCCCGGTACCTTCAATGTGAGTAACCTAAACTAAACTCTCCCCAGCGGCCCGTCGAATGGATCCTATGGAACCCAACCAAGCAAGTCGCGCTCATCGTAGTGCCCGAAGAGACGGAACTTCTAATCCCCATGCTCCGCGACAAGACGGGCGGCGGGAAACAAAGCTCATCAAAGGTCCATCTCATCACCTACATGGCGCCCCTCACCCGCGACATGTCACACTTCGACCGCCTGACCTTCTACGCTCTCCCACCTCTAGCCACAGACCACCAAGTCCCCGACTGGCTCTCAGTAGAGCTCGGCATCTTCGCCGGCCGCATGTATGCCGACTTTGCCGGCTGCACCGCCCTGCGGCGATACATGGAGCGCCCCATGTCGGCGGGCGAGGACTCGGACTCGGAAGCCGCCGCCGCCGCCTTCTCGGCCAACCCCGCGGGCTTCCTGCTCGAGTGGCTGGCGCTGCGCCGCGGGGGCGGCGGCGGCCAGAACGTCACGCACACGCCCGTCGGCTACGTCTGCCAGGGACGGCCGCTGCGCGAGGACCACCCTTTCTTCGCCGCGGCGGCGCGGCAAGAGCGTTGGGTGAGCACGAGCAGCAACGTGGACCCGCACGTCGCGTCTTTGAGAGCTGCTGCTGCTGCCGCGGGTGATGAGGATGGGGGGGACGACGGGTCGGATGAGGATGAGTGGGCCACGGTGGACCACGAAGTTTGATTTCCTTCGGCAGGCAGGGGAATTGGAAAGTTTCCAGGAGGAATATGCTCGTTCCAGGTCATGGCACACACCCTTTTTATGTTGCGCTACCCCATTACCTACGCAGAATACGTACGACGCGGGTCTTGACGGTCAGCATCTCGCTCCGCCGGTGTCCGAGGGCATGGGATACGTGATCGGCGTTTTCGCGATGGAGGTCATTCTCGCCCGCGTGCACAGCAACGGGTCGTTGGTTCCAGGTGTGACAAGCCGAGCAGGTCAACTGCCAACCAATCACGCCGTGATATATAAGAGTCGAAGAGATCTCCCCAACCAAAATTAGCCCAGCCTTGGGGGTTACTTGATTTCTTGCCGCCCCTCCTTCCATTCCATTCCCCCATCATTGTCCAAAATCCATCACTATCATCTTATCATTGCCATGGACCAGCCCATCGACGAGGAAGCAGAGCAGATTGCGCGTCTAGTTGCCGAATCTCGGGCTGTCATCAAGTCGCCCGTGTCTAACCTTCCGCAACGCCATCGGGATGTTTTCGAGCGGGCATTGCGCCGAGTACTCTCTACGGACTTGGCGCAAGTCACATACGCCCAGATCATCGATGGATTCCCCGTTGTCAATGTGGCCGAGGACATGCGTGGATGGGGCATCGACCCCGATCATCCTGTCTTTCGCGACAACCACGATAAGCTGTGTCCCGGGGCTTGGGAGAGATTGACCGAGTTCCGTGACTCGTTCGACATTGACGTCTTGAGCATGGACGAGAGAGTACGTAGGCACAGAGCATCATACGCGAGCGGCATCTTTGGAGTGCAAACTGTACAGTCTACTAACCCTTACCTCTTCCCTAGCTCTTACATTCCTATGCCACCGCAGCTGCTGACTCCCTTGCATTCGAGACGAGATTGATCGAGATTATTGCGGTAGCACTCCACCAGTTAGCTGTCATACTCTACAACTTGGGGGATCTGGGAGTACATGACGAGTGGAAGTCTTGGAGGCCCCCGAACCGCTATGTCGGGTCAGACTATTGGCCCGACCCGGAACCCTTTGCTACCCTGTTCTTCGTTTATGAATTCGAAGAGCACCTACAATACCCCGAGGGTATAGCCGACATGGTAGGGTACTGGGCTGAAAACCGGATCCTGGGAGGGGTGGTGCTCTTCGACCGAGGGGAGTCAGGCAATGAGGTGGGTGCCCAGGTATTTATACGACCTGGATTTGTTCCAAGAAAGCTGACGCAACCGTACTTAGTGTCGTGAGGTTTATTTCCATTCATGCCGCGCCAACGTAACGGTCCGTATATACGCTCTCACAAGCGGACAGAAGGAGAGGCTCTGGACCTTCTTGCTGTCGGACGGTTCGGGTGTCGAGACCAATGTTTTGCTTATTCTTGGCGACTCCAAGAACAGGGTCCGTATCGACACAGAGCATGCCATTCCAATGTTCCACGTCTACAGGGACAAGTGGGAACGAAAAGTCATGACTGAGTGGGAAGCAAGCTTGGCCCGTCGAGACTACATGGAACCGATAGATTACCCAGAGATTGAGGATTATCGAGACGGAGAAGGTAGCTAGATTCGAGTCTCAAATTAGGTAGTCTCGGAGATGTTTACTACTTGGTAGGTAAGCAGTTTTGTTACTATTAGTGTAGCGGGTGTAGCGGATATTGCTCCTTTTGTTTCTCGCCTTCCAACTCGTCAACCCCCGAAGCCTCAATAAGTCCCCCTCCATCTTTACATGTTTTCTTTTCTTACGGGGCTTGACTTGAACCAGTGCCGTCGGACAAGGGCTTTGGCATGGTCGTACAATCTGGTAGCAACTTCATTTTCCAGGTCGAGCGCGACATAAAGCCAGACGACGCGGCAAAAATGTTGAACCATTAGGCATGGGCCTCACCGAACGGTAGGAAAACCTGGTTATCAAAGGCGGCCACTATTCCGACGCGTTGCCGGTGCGAAGCTTTCGTGGGTTGTGAGAAGAGTGTCGGTCGAGCGTCTGGGACAAGCAAGTTCCTAATAAAGAACATTACAGCATGTAACTCAAGCCCACTAGGCCTAGTTGAGCGAGTAACACAAACAAATTAGTGGTGTCATGGCTGCCGTAATTCTACCCCTTTTTGGACGCCCGTGTCCCGCACTTCGGCCTTCGGAGACGGACCGTTTAACGGACCGGGTATTCACTCCGAATTGGCTACACAGTACATGCGTGTAATGGAAAGTTTCCGGTCTGTTGGCTGCAGCCACGCGCCGTCCATTGGTTTGGTATAATTCGGGGGCCATGCCGCCGCCACCCAAAGCAAAGAAAGAGGATGCCGGCCCAGATCCTCCCTTTTCCTTGACTCTCCGGCCAAGCCTTTTTTTCTGTCTTATGGTTCGGACTGGACTGGGGCCCAAACTGTATCAAACCTCGCCGAGAGCAGGAATTTAACAAGTGCAGCAGCCCAACCGTCAACATGCAAGAACCCTTGAGCGATGCCTCCAAAGAGGCTACCGAAAGCAACACCACTCCCCCTGACGCGAAATCGTCCACCGCATTGGGAGTCGTCGAGGATGGAACAGAGACAGCAGCCGTCCAGCAGACCATGACCGGCTTCCCTCTCTACGCCGTCCTCGTCGGTATCTGTGTGGGATCGTTTCTGATGTCCATCGACGTCTTCATCATCTCGACCGTGAGTCGAGCCTATTCCTCTCATCTTCTTACCACCACCACCATCATCAGGACGAACTACCAACACAGTCCACCCCCCCTCCCCTTCCATCTAGGCCATCCCCTCCATAATGTCCGACTTCCGCGACACGTCCAACATCGCCTGGTACCCGGCCGCCTACTCGCTCACCACGTGCGCACTGATCCCGCTCGCGGGCAAGCTCTCGTCCATCCTGCCGCTGCGCTGGGTCTACCAGGCCTTCTTCGCCGTCTTCCTCGTCGGCAGCGTCGTGTGCGGCGCCGCCACCTCCTCCAACATGTTCATCGTCGGGCGCGCGATAGCGGGAGTCGGCGCCTCGGGCGTCGCCACGGGCGGGCTCAACGTGGTATTAGCTGTCAGCTCCCCCGCCACGCGCGCCATGAATATGGGCTTGGTCAGCAGCATGTTTGCGCTGGGTATTATTCTGGCTCCCATCATCGGGGGTGCGTTCACCGAGCGGGTTACCTGGCGCTGGTGCTTCTATGTGAATTTGCCTGCGGGCGCCGTCACGCTGGCGAGCATGTTCTTCTTTTTTCGGCCGCGCGCCATTCATGCGGAGCAGTCTCTTCGTGAGCGGCTGAAGCATCTTGACCTGGTTGGGTGTGTGTTGTTTGTGCCGGCGTGTTTTATGGTGCTCATGGCTATGCAGTGGGGTGGTGTGAGGTACCCCTGGAACTCGCCGACTGTCATCGGTTTGTTTGTCGGCGGAGGGTGTTTGGTTTTGGTCTTTATTGCGTGGCAGTGGTATATGGCCGAGTACGCTCTCATCCCAGGCTCGGTCGTCAAGAGGCGTGCCGTCGCCGTCGGGTGCGTCTTTGCCTTTTGCCAGCTCGGCGGTTTGGCCGTCATGTCCTACTATCTGCCGGAGTGGTTCCAAGCTGTCCAGGGTGCCAGTCCGTTGGAGAGCGGTGTTCGTGTTTTTCCGTCGGTCATCTCGCAGATTGTTGGCATCTTAATCGTCGGTGTTCTTGGTGAGTGGACAGCGAGTGGGAGCAGCGTGACCTGTCTTAATGCTAACTGATGTGCGTGTGCCCTCCAGCGGTCCGAGCCCGTTACTACAACCCCTGGTTCTTCGTCGGCTCCCTGTTGATGTGCATCGCCGCTAGCCTCTACACCACTTTCACTACCTTCGACACGCCCTCTAGCGAGTGGATAGGCCTCCAGGTACTGCAGGGCCTCGGCGTCGGGCTGACCATGCAGGTAACGACCTTGATCCTCCAACAGGACCTCGAAGGCTCGCCGCTGCTTCCCGTCGGCGTATCGCTGGGCCTTTTCTCGCAGTACCTCGGTGCCACAGTGAGCCAAGTGATCGCGGGCAGCATCTTCAACACCTATCTCCGCGAGGCGCTACGTGACGCCGGCCTCAGTCCAACTCAGATCGGGCTCCTCCTGCAGGCAGGCACGGGGCATGTGCGTGAGACGGCCGAGCGCTACTTTCCGGACTTTGCCGTGCCGGTGCTGGATGCTTATAACCATGCTATCACCAGAGTCTACGTTCGTTCCCCTATTTCCTCTTCCCCTCCCTCCCTTTTTATGATCGTGGATTGGAGTATGCACTAACAAGCAAGGCAGTTTGTCCCGGTAGCGACGAGTGCTGTGGCATTTGTTGTTGCCCTCTTCCTGCGATGGAGGCCGGTTGAAACTGGAGACGGGAAGGAGAAGCAGTTATCTGATCAGTCTAATGCGCAGGAAAAGGGGGAGTCAGTTCCCTAATAGAAGGGTGGCGATGTAGAAAGTGTATCTGGATAAATAATCAAATGGTTTTCGTTTTGTTTCATGATTTGTTCGCTCTCAGGGGCCATCTGTGTCTCACTTTTGTGACTTATTAATATTGGGGGTAGTAACCAACACTACCTATCTAAATAAGCTTACTCTACCAACATCTTGGCCGGCGCCAGCTACGAGCACGACGGCTCCCGCGTACAACTGCACGCCGACGCCCACAACGGCACGACGCTCTTCAACGGCGGCGACGACGGCTGGGGCCGCGTGACGTGGGGCGCCGCCGTGCACACCAACAACAGCATCACCTTCGTGCTCTTCGACCGCATGTGGAACGGCTTCCCGGGCATCTTCGCCGCCTGCCTCACCCACACCGTCACGCCGCACGAATGGCGCGTCGCCTTTGACGTGACGCCGCTCCTCAAGACGGCGCCGCTGGACCTGAGCCAGCCGGTCTTCTTCAACCTGGACGGCTTCCGCTCAGGCGGGACGGGCACCGTGCTGGACCATACCCTGCACCTCCCCGCGGCGGGCCTGCGCTTCGAGAGCGACGAGCTCGGCATCACCACCGGGAACATCCTGGCGAACCGGAAGGGGAGGGAGTTTGACTTTTGGTCATCGTCAGAGCGGACGGTGGGGGACGCCCTCCGGCAGAAACCGGAGCTGCCGAGGCATTGCCCGTCCCAAGGCGGGTATGATTGCGGCTATGACGAGACTTTTCTGCTTTCGCACGAGGACACGGGGCGCAAAGACGAGCGGCCTGCCGCTGTGCTGTCGAGTCCGCACTCGGGCGTCAAGATGAGCTTGTTCACGGATAGGGACGCCTTACACGTGCATACCTGGAACGAACGGGATGGTAAGCCACTTTCAGCGTCCACTCGACTTGACTTTGTTACAACCTTGGCTGACTGGCTCGTGTGGTCTTGCAGGAGCCCTCGCTCTCAAGCGGACGCAAGGCCAGGGGCCGGTTCCGCAGCATGGAGCAATATCGCTAGAGATGAGAGACTGGCCTGATGCTGTGAACCATCCGAAGTGGACGAATAGGAGGACCATGTGGGGAATGGATGGCTTGTATACTAGCTTTGCCACGTACAGATTCTCTCTAGAGGAATAGAACGACGAAGAGGTCCCGTATCACACCCACAACAGAACAAGAGCGCGTTGGGTGTCCGATCCAAGAGTAGATGACTCCGAATCTACTTAGGTAGGCAAATGCAGAGCCTGTCGTTGTACTGTCAGAGTGAGCCAAGGGGTGCGTGATGAATAGGAAAGAATAACGAGGAACCCGCGAAGAAGGTATTTTGAAGGCTAGGGATAGTCTCCCCATGTCATTTTCTTTTGCCCGAAGAGAGAGTGAAGTTAATGCTGTACGGGCATGTGAGCGATAATTGCCTGCGCAAGTCCATTCTCGATAGGGGATAGAGGTGAGCGGGGTGTTGTTGCTAGCCTGTCCTAAAAGCCCAAAGGAAAAGGAACGATTTAGAGTATTCCCTAAAAAGAAAAAGAAAAAGAAAAAAAGAAAAAGAAAAAAAGAAAAGAAAAAACAAGGAATTGGCGACTGGGGAAGAAGTAGGTTGTATACAGGTAGGCAGCAGGTAGTCGCGCTTCCGTTTCTTGAGAACCATCAATTGCATGTGACAAGATGAAAGAGATGACCGCATCGGCTTCGCGGCAAGGGTCACAAACCTTGGAGGGGCTCCTTGGCGGTCGTTATCGCGATAAGAAAGGGACCCCTCTGGCAAAACATCAGGCGAGGGTCGAGCTGGCTTGCTCTACGTTAGCAATTGCAGTAGATTTTGTTGCCGACAACACCATGAATGAAGAGTTCCAAGGTCCTTCGTCGTAGCGTTACGTCGCCTTTCGGCGACAGAATGAAGGGTAATTTTATTGGTCCTAAAACTAGCTAGCAATGTTGGGGACTTCGGGTCAGCTTTCAGCATATGACTTGCATCATTTATCGAAGCACCCCGAGAATGGAGCCCTAGAATGGAACGCTGGATCGGTCCACGGCATCACGGAGCGGGACCGGAGCCGACCTGTATGTCGTTGACCGTCGCGCGGAACGCAGCGACCGGGCTTGTCTAGCCTTCCGCTGACTAAAAGAGTCTACCTCGGTGTAAACGCGTCTCTGTCAATCAGAATGCAGACGGGAAGACAACAACCATCCAACGCAATCGTTGAGTCAGGGCCATGTAGAACAATGCATAGCCGTCCAGTGTTCGACATGGCGCCGTGGAGCAAAGACACCCAGTGCAGCAAGGCAAGATTTTGTGTAGGTGGTACTGATCGAGGAACCCGGACCGATGCTCTTCGTCCCATCTTCACCGAGTCCGGCGCTCGAATCGGAGCCTGCGGTTGAGCGGCGTGTTTGCATTTGTGGCGTGGTTTAAAGTTGGAGCACACCAATCATGGCAACAATTTTACCAAGAAGAAAAAATGCGGAAGGCGGTGAAACGGGCACAAACACCAAGACAGAAATTGACCCCTCCCCCACTTCTCAATGCAACATTTCGATTGACACAATGGCGCCGACCGACCTCCAGCTGGCACTGAGCCTAGGAATTTGGGCCGAAATTCAGATCGAGGTACCTCCGTACTCGGCCACAAACAGAGACATGAGCTGAAGAAGAGGGTGCCAAGTGGTTGATCAACCCGAAACCCTCCGTCGGGCATCTTCCCTCCAAGTTCCCTCCTTCCCGCTTCCTTAAAAGTGCTTGCTTTGTCTCCCACCGTCCCTGCCGCTAAATTTACATTCTGGTACTCGCCTTCCCGCCCGGACCGACCTCCCCCGTGAACTGCTGGAGCTCTCTGAGTCACCTAAACACCATCCACAGCCCGCTCCCTGCTTCCTGCAAAGATCCCATTCCTGAACACCAACTCGTCTTCCCTCACAGCCCCTACAGCTTCGCCCCGCTCCCAATTCTACCTAGATATTCCCCGACATATCTGTCGAGCTCTTCTTGACTGCTTGAAGCTCCAATTTGTCCCGCCAGCCTCCCCTAAGGTCTCGAGAGCGCAATTCACACCGTGCTCTTGCTTTTCTTCGAAAACACGCCCCTACCTATTCGCCCGATATCCTCGACAAAATTCTTCACAATGTCCGGAGCCGAAATGGCGCCCCTCCAGGCCGATGACATGCGAGGTACCGTTTTCCCACCCGCTATGATCTTCTTGGCCTGCCCATGGTGGTCAATGTCACACTCCAGCCGCGCTCTGAGCGTTCCATCAGCCGTTGTTTCTTGTTTTGATCGCGCGTTTGGCTTTAAACATGACAGCTGCTGACACTCTCTGTACGAAAGTGTTGGGCCAGGATCCCCTCATCCCGCCTGCCCTGCTCATTTCCGAAGTTCCTATGCCCAATGCCGCCCTCGAGACCGTTATCAAGGGCAGACGGGAGGCCGTGGGTGTAATCATGGGTCGGAATGACCGCTTGTTGGTCATTGTTGGGCCCTGTTCCATCCACGATCCCGCCACCGCTATCGAGTATGCCACCCGCTTGAAAGAACTCTCGGACAAGCTCTCGGACGACCTCGTCATTGTGATGCGCGCCTACCTCGAGAAGCCGCGAACCACGGTCGGCTGGAAGGGCCTCATCAACGACCCCGACATCGACGAGACCTTCAAGATCAACAAGGGTCTCCGCGTTTCGAGACAGCTCTTCTGCGACCTTACCTCGACCGGTATGCCTATTGCGACCGAGATGCTCGATACGATCTCCCCGCAATTCCTCGCCGACTTCATCTCGGTTGGTGCTATTGGTGCGCGGACCACCGAGAGCCAGCTGCACCGGGAGCTGGCCTCCGGCCTCTCTTTCCCCGTAGGATTCAAGAACGGAACCGACGGTAGCCTCGGCGTCGCCATTGACGCTATTGGCGCGGCGGCCGCCAGGCATCACTTCATGGGTGTCACAAAACAAGGCCTGGCCGCCATCACCCGGACGAAAGGCAACGAGCACGGCTTCGTCATTCTGAGGGGCGGCTCCAAAGGCACCAACTATGACAAGGCGAGCATCCAGGCCGCAAAAGACACCCTGGTCAAGAAGGGCCAGAAGATGGCGATCATGGTTGACTGCTCGCACGGTAGGTTTTGCTAGGATCCAACTATGGCTCAATTGCTAACTTGAGCAGGCAACTCGAACAAGGACCACAGGAACCAGCCGAAGGTTGCCAAGACCGTCGCCGACCAGCTCCGCGAAGGCGAGAGGGCCATCATCGGCGTCATGGTTGAGTCTAACATCAACGAAGGCAACCAGAAGGTACCCGCCGAGGGCCCCTCTGCGTTGAAGAAGGGCGTCAGCATCACGGACGCCTGCATCAACTGGGAGTCGACCGTCGAGGTTCTCGAGGACCTCGCGGCCGCTGTTAGGGAACGCAGGACGCTGATTGCGGGCGCCGCGAATGGCTCGCCCAAGACGACAACCCTCGAGGAGGACTAAGCCATCCCTTTTGTTCGGTTATAGTGACAAGAGTGACGAGGGTAAAAGTGCTCCTAGTCTTCTAGACGGTTTACCGAGGTTGTTTCTTGGGCGATAAAAATGTGATCGAGATGAGCATGGCCGCGTGTCCCACGGTTGGAAAAGGGGTAGATAACGTAACCGGGCTGGACAAAAGCAACCTCGTATAACACCCTTTTTGGTAGTCTTATACGTATCCGAGGGGCCGACCTTCTTTATAGAGAAAATAATACAGTCTCCTGTGAGGCTCTTAACATCATGGGTTGGTAAAGATACCAATTGGCCGTCACAAACTTGCGCGCGTCATATGTGGAACGTCTCGAGCGGAATCCGATCCGTATACGCGCCTCGCTTCGAACTAAGCACAACAACCTCAACACCATTATTCATCCCGGGCCCCGTGTCACACCTTCGTCATGCCCATCCTGTAATGGATCATACACCTCTCTATCCGCCCCTCCTCCCGGCACAGCGCTAAAACCCCGCCCGCTATTGCCGCCCCTCCCAGCACCACCACCCATCAACCCCCCAAACCCTCCGAACCTCCCCCCTCCAATCCCCATCCCACCACCTCCTCCCTGCTGCTGCTGCTGCCGCCGCCGCTCCCGCGCCGAGTCGATCACGCGCCGCAGCGCCGCCCACCCCAGCAGGCCCGCCGTGCCCAGGATGAACCCCCACACAATCACCCGGTCCTTGGGGCTGTCCCGCTGGAAACAGCTCGTCTTGATGTCCTTCTCCTCGGCGTCCTTGCAGATGGGCAGGTTGTATTTCAGGCAGAAGGCCCGGTTGCATTGCTTGCAGGAGGTGGAGGATTCGCGGGGGTGGAGGGCACGGAGGGCGTGGAGGGGGTTGGTGGTTGCGAGGGTGGTTGATTGGGATTGGGAGGGGTTGGGGTTGGTGTTGGTGTTGGTGTCGGAGGGGGATGTTGGGGAGGAGGGGGCGGGGCGGTTCGAGGAGGGGGACGGTTTCTTCGGGGGTGGTGGTGCCGGCTGGTTGTTGTTGTTGTTGTTGTCGTGTTGCGGGCCGAGCGGGATGATAGTGCTGTTTTGGAAACAGGTGCATTTGCAGAAGGAGGGGACCGCTAGGTTTGTTTGTTACTTGCGTCAGTGCTCGTGTGCTTTGAGAGAGGAGGTTTGGTGGAGTGAGCGTGGATGAGGATCTGCGACGGGGGTAGGGATTGCGCACGCGAAAGCTGCGGACTCACATGCGCTGGCTAGCGTTGCCAGGACGGCTAGGAGGAGGACGATGGCGAGGGGTATTCGCGCCATGGTGGTTTGTTTGGGCTGGCCCAGTCGGCTGTGCTAGTCGCAGAGGAGAGGTGCTGTCGCCATAGCACGGCGGGCTCGGGATGGACAATGCAAGGCAGCTCGAAGCCGAAGCTGGTCCGTTCCAAGTTGGCCTTGATTCGCCGGACCCACAAGGCTGTCCTCGGCAGGGTGGCGCAGTGCCGCACAAAAGCGCCACATTGATTTGCTCACACTGGGATACGCCACTTTGCCACTCCTGGGCTGTGGCTTTGAGCGTTGTCGATTGCAGGTGAAATGCACAGGCCACTTTCTCGCCCATAAAAGAAACGTCCATCGCACCCGATCTTCCTCCTCTTCTCTTCTTTCTTTCCTCGCCCTTCGGGGCATTTGGTCAATTTGAAACGATACAGAGAAGATTAGCATGGCCCCTGCACTAAGGATGACACGCTACTCAAAGAGACGCTACCAATTTTTTCACTATGATCGCGGCCGCAGTCGCGACATGGAGAAGAAGATTTGGCTCTTTTTGGTTCAGACTTTGGTCTTCCCTTTCTGTTTGGTCGGCACGTCAGTCAATCGCTCCGCTGTTAGTGCCTCGTGTGTTGTGCCTCGAACTCATCTGATGGGAGAAACATTAATTCTTATCATTCGCCTTCGCTTCATGTCATGTTCCCTGACGCTGTCGCTTCTCGCGGAGGTTTGAAGGCGAGAACACCCGATCATCATCAAATCACGATGCCGTGCAAAACAACATCTCATTTTTTATTGTTTTCACATTTTCACTTCGTTAACAAAACAAGCCACCACCGTTACAAAAACCAACCATCCGACATAAGCTCCAGCTAATTAATGTATGGCGATATGATATGGCTCATCCGCAAGTCTTGGTGGCACCGTTTATTTGCCACTGCATCTTCGCCAACTCTATAACCACATCCCAACCAGATCACACATTTTCCTCTCTGCTGCCACCGTGGTAGTAATTATTTACGCACCGAGATTTTGGAGCGGAATTTCGTCGTTGTCAACAGGTCGCTTCTTGCTCACGTTCACCCATCCCATGCCGAGCGATGTGATCAACCCCAAGCTACTGACGCCGGCGGCCAGGTAGAAGACACGGTTGAGCGAAACAGAATACGCTGCCAACACGCCAGGTAAGTCCTGCTCTTCAACAATGTTGCGGAAGTGGGTTGCCCCGGCGGCGATGATAACGGCAGCGTCGGCGTGAGGGGCTTGTTGAGAAAGCTGGGATTGCAGGCTCCCCTGGAAGATCGCGTCGGATATAGCGAGTGTGATGGCAGTACCAAGACTCTGTACGAAAATGACAACCGAGTTCCCCATAGCGAGGTCAGCCGGGGACAGCGCCGCTTGGACTGCGAGGATTGCCTTCAATACTAAGTATCAGCTGCCAGCAAAACAGGGTGCAACGAGATGCGCTTACCATTGGCATGCCCACACCGCGGCCGATTCCGTTGAGAATTTGATACCCAATCCATTTGGCCGGGGGGGTGGTTGGGGAGAAGGTTGAGTAGAGCCCGTTGGAGATGGAACCAAGGACGGCAGCAAGCATGGCATATGGGATGACATAACCTGTCTGCTGCACTACCATGGTTGTTAGTATGACGCTCTGGTTGATCAGAAAATGTGAAGGGTGCTCACCCAATAACCCCGTCATGGCAACCACGATGAGCTGGCTGAGGATGCTGGGCAGCACATAGACGCCGCTCTTCATCGGGTCGGCGCCCTGAACCGCCTGGAAGTAGATGGGCAAGAAGAATGAGGCGCAGAAAATGTTGGTCAACAGGAAGCAATGTGTTAGGGCGCCCGACCACACCGCTCTTACGCCGATGATGGAGAATGGGATCAAGGCCTCATCTCCCCGATACCAATCCCATGCAGCCCAGAATAATCCTGTTGCGCCAGCGCCACAAAAAAGCCCTATTATGACCGACGAGTCCCACGCGAACTTGCTGCCACCCCAAGACAAGGCGAGTAGGAGTTGGAAGCAGGCCGGCGCGATCAGGGCGAAACCGAGAAGGTCGAGTTCAAGGTGGAGTCTCCGAAGTAATGGCCACGGGCTTGGTTTGCTGTATTGATCGGGGATCGGAAGGAAAAGCAACCCGAGGGCGAGAAGGCCGCCGATAGGGAGGTTGATGTAGAAGCACCAGCGCCACGTCGTGTAAGAAGTGAACGCGCCACCAAGAAGCGGGCCGATGGCGATACCGAGCTGTGCAACGCCCATGAGCATTGCAGTTAGTGGAGCGCGCTTCTCCAGGGGCACAGCAGACGCCGTGATGGTCAACCCTCCACTTATAAGACCGGCGCTGCCGATACCAGCAACGGCACGCCCAGCGATGAGCATTCTGGAGGACACAGCCGCCCCACAAACGAGTGATCCCACCTCAAAGATGGCGAGGGAAGTTAGGAACGACGACTTGTTGCTGAATTTGTCGTAAATCCTACCCCAGAGCGGTTGGAGGGCTGCGTTGGCCAACTGGTAAATGCTAACATACCAACCAACGTCTTGGAGAGACCGGAATTCATCTGTGATGCGGGGGATCTGGGTTGCACCAGTCAGCGTTGGCTTGGAGTAACGGTGACGGTGACACATACTGCGGTCGCGATGATGGAGGTATCGAGCATCATCAAAAACATGGCCACGACGAGCAAATTCGTGAGAGCGACGAGCTTCATGCCAGTCACCCATTGCGCCTCGTTCTTAGTTGCGGCGGAGGTTCCTTGCTCCGAGCCATGGCTGATGCGATGGTGCGAGAGCTCGGTTACTGATGGCCTTGGTGAAGATTCCTTTTCTTCATGTCGCTGCGGATAAGCGTCAGGATCGGTAGGCCAGCGTGTCGCTGACCGCGCCGTCGAATCCATGACCCAGGACGCGTATCTGCTCGGAGTAGATGTGCAGTAGCGGGGTATTCGTTTGGCGATGTTGGAGGTCGAGAAAGAGGGGTACGCAAGTTCAGTGTTTGACAAATCGGTAGGTGTGTGGAATTTGTATTTATTTATTTGTAGGTTGGATCGCAACTTCCCAAACCGCGACCTTTTGGTGCGGGCACTGTACTGTGCGGTGCTGATGCTGTTCTCCCACCTTTTTAAACTCTGAGTCTGATACGATGGGATAAAACCTGCTTCCGCTGGGTTGACATCTTAGGCAAGTTCTTTGCTATCTATTCAATTTGTCAACACAAACAACACACCACAACGCGACATCATCCCCAAAGAGTGCTGCGCGGTCCCCTGCTTGCCTTTATTTGGCAAGAATGGCTGATACCTTTCATGAAAACTCGCCATGAAACTGTCGCCCATCAGATTCCATAAGTGATCAATAATCTCGCGCCAACTCTTGAGTTTATCACGGCCGTGTTCGACACCCCGTCACGGCGTCGCCAGCCGGGGGGTTGGATGATGGACGGCTGTTCCGTAGCATGTCGTCGGCAGAGATTCTGGTAAGCGTATCCATCTTAACAACTGATAGATAGTGAGAGAAAAGCTGGCCCATTCGCCTGGTCACTAACAATCGCTGACAACACTCGCAATTCCCTGCTTGATGTTGTTGAACGTTGATCCGACAAACTTAAGGTTTCTTGGCATGCACGGCATGCTCCGCAAACGACCCTAACCCTTCTGCCGACTTGGCAGCAAGGGACCGAGGCATCCGGAAAGGCCGCTAAATCTTTAGTGGACTGGGCGCCAGGTTTCCGACCCTTGAGGCCTGTCCAATCTTCAACTCGTATCCTCAACGCAAGAATCTTTCGGAAACACACTCGCTCTTGACAGGAGAAATTGGAACATCGACCGACTATCGTTACCACCCAATCCTTCGGCCAAGTGCAGCCGGTTACATAACCATCGCCATAAGTGGCATGCACACACGACATGAAAGCTGTTTCATCCCACGTTTTCGGACTTCGAACTGTCTCGTCTCATCCTCTCGCTCTGCCTCGCTCTGCGTCACGCTAGTCAACCCTAACCCTCGAACCTGTCGAGATAGGGAGGGAACCGCGCGATAGTGACACGATGGAAGCGGACACCAGTGAAGTACCAAATGGCACGCCGGCGCCTTATGGGAGGGCATGTACGAATTGTGCTCGCGCCAAGTGCAGGTGTATCTACCGGCTTGGCGGAACTGACTGTGAAAGGTATGGATGATATCACCCGCTCCTGGTTGTTCAACGCCGCAGACACCAAGCGTCTTCCTCCATCCTAACAAACGCTAGATGTCATCGGTTGAGGAAAGAATGTGTGCCTTCAGTCACGATCCGGAAGCGTAATGGCAAGAGGGCTCATGTGTCCCGCGCTGCCCAGCTTGAGGCGAAGCTCGAGGACCTCGTCACCCTGCTCCGACATCAGGCCGCCCCGACAGACAAAGTGCCGCCTCTCGGTGACACCGCCGGGAATGTTGGCACTGGCACTCCTGCCCTGAGTTCTCGCTCAACGATGAGCGAGTCGGAAGAAAGCACTCCCCACTCAGCTTCTCACGCCGTCCTCCCGCCTCAGCAACCCGATTATGGCTCTGAGAAAGACCTCCAATCCCTACCCCCCCGCGGACCTCTCCTAGGGGTTGGTTTCCAACCCCCGGCGCCGGGCCCGTTGGCAACTCCAAAAGAACCACCCTCCATGCCTTCTTGCATATACCAGCCGAACCCTTTTGAAGCCGTCGAGGACCTCAGGACCTTTCGCAAATACATGCTCATATTTTTACCCCTGGTACACTTGCCCGCCACCATGACGTCCGAGGCGCTGAAGGAGTCGTATCCCTTCCTATGGTTTAGCATCATGACCGTCACCTACAAGCATGTAGATCGACGTCTTGCCATGAATGAAGCGGCAACAAAGTTCCTGGCCCAGAAGATGGTCGTCGACCACGAGAAAAGCCTCGACTTGCTTCTTGGTCTAATTGTCATCATGGGATGGTGAGCTAGCTCCCGGCCGTAGGCCTGCTCAGACTGGCAATGCTAACTCGCTTGCGGTTGTAGGGCGCATTATTACCTCAACAAGGATAAACCAATACTCTCCGTTATGGCATCTCTCGCAAAGTCTCTGGTCTTTGACTTGTCCCTCAACAAGCCCCCGGCCGAGTCATACATTTCCTCCTGCTCGAAAATTCCGGTCCCCCCGGCAAAGGAAAATACCCTCGAAGAGCGGCGAGCCGTTCTTGCATGCTTTCTTGTTACCTCACAGTTGGTTGCTGACAATCTGCCATTCCGAACTGGCCGGCTGACATAAGCGCAGAATATCTCAATCCATCAAGCGGATAGATGGGCTGGCCTGGACACCGCACATGGACGACTGTCTCCAAATCCTCTCACAGCAAAGAGAATGGGAAGGGGATGACTTATTGGTAGCCCAAGTCAAGGTCCAATTAATAGCCGACCAAGTGACGCGTGCCGCGTCCCAGTCTGCGGATGGCATTCCTCCAGGCTACGTCCGTTCTTCACTCCGGACCCAGCTGCAAACCATGAGAACTCAACTTCCAGTCCACCTACAACACAACGGTATGTGCACATGACAACGCATCTCTGTCCGTTTCTAACGAGCGCAAGACACTATCCTCAGTCACATATGCTACAGTGAGCTTGTCATTCAGGAAACTGCCATCACCGAACCAAAATCGGCTTTCAACCCCACAATGTCCAACATGCAGCGTTATGAGGCGATGGAAGCATGTCTCGATGCTGTACGCGGCTGGTTGGACAGACATTTCTCCATCCCTAGCTATGTGTACATCGGCATGACGTTTAGCTACTGGTGGAACTTAGCCCACTGCCTCCTCGTGTTATACAGGCTCTCGATACTTGATGAGCCGGCCTGGAACCGCCGCGCCGTGAGGGACCGCATAGATCTTCTCGCCACCCTCGATCAACTGGGGGCCGGGTTCGACGAGCTAGCAGCGCAGCGGCAGCCCAACACTGGCCCAACACTTGACGACGACCCGTTTTCCAAGTTTGCCAAAATGATCCGGTCGATGAAGACAAACTGGCTCCCCGGGCTAGCTGCGACTGAGGGGAACTCGGGCTCGAGCGCGGCCACAGCGACCGAAGCGTTTATCGACAATAGCGCCGAGGGGCTGAGTGTGCCGTTCTTTCAGCCAGCAGAAGACTCGGAGACGTGGATCGCTGGCCTCTCCGGCCTTTTTGATATGAATTGGGATGCCTGAGGTACCGTTCATGGCAAGAAGCCAGAGAAACAAAGGAAACGGGATTATCATTGCTTGGGTATCTCAACGCTTTCTATTTACGGGCACAATGAGCCCGCCGCTCAGTGCAATTATGCGTGTCACCCTCATGGTATCCCAGCGTGGCTGCGCCGTGTAGGCGGTTCTCCCTCGACGATAACCATCATCGACGGCACTGGTGGCGGTGGTGACCCAACCAATTCCGCCACACGCGGCCCACCGTTAACATGAGACACGCTCGAGAAGCTCATAGCGCGCGCCCTATTGCCGCCTGGTATCAAAAATGCCGGAGGACCAGGGCTAGCCGGGTCGGGGTAATACGACGGGATGCGCGACTGCGGCTGCTGTCCCGACATCAGGATACTGCTCTCGGGCCGGTAGGGCGTCATGGGCGACACGGGCAGAATCGGGCCCGGCGACGGGTACACGGTGAACGCGCTGACGGGGCGCGCTTCACCCAAGTCGCCACCCCCCAGCCATAATTGCTGCGGCGGCGGCTGCTGCTGCTGCTGCTGCTGCTGCTGCGGTTGCTGTGGCGGCGGATACACCCCTAGCACTTCATACGCTTGCTCGGCGGGAATGGTGCCCGCAGGCGGTATCCTGAACGCCACCTCACTCCCACCACTACTCCCACTACTCTTGCCCTCCCCCAGATCCTGCTCCTCCACCCCCTTTGCCGCGTACCCGACCCCCTCCCCATACCCATACCCGTACCCAGCCCCATCCCCGTACGTATCCCGCGCCCCCGCCATCATCATCTGCGGCGGCGGTGGGACCGGCGTCTTCGGCGGCCCCCCTGCACCGTTCTCCTCCATCCCGCGGCCCCGGCTGCTGCTACGGCCGCGACCGCCCATGCCCCGCGGGTAGTCGGCCGTGATGATCGCGCCGCGGATGCCGCCTTGCCGCCGCCGCCATACGAGGAAGGCGACGGCTGCGATGATGGCCACGCCAGCGACGGCGGCGGCTGTGATGCCCGCTGCGGCGCCCGCGGAGAGGCCGCCTGTGCTGGTGTCGGTTTGGTTGGAGTCGTTGGTGGCGGTGGAGGTTGTTATTGTTGTGGGGGAGGAGGTTGGGGTTCGTGTTTGTTGGCGGGTGGTTGTGGCTTCATCGTCGTCTTCGTTTTCGTCGTTGTCGTCGTCGTTGTCGTTGTTGTCGTTGTTGTCGTTGTTGTCGTTGTTACCGTCACTTGTAGGTGATGGTCGGCGGGTGTTTTGGATTATTGTGCGGGTGATGATCCGTCGGACGGTTTCCATGTGATTACGGGCGGCGAGGGTTGCTGCATCGTTGTGGCGCGGGGCGAGGTCGGGCTGGGTTGGACAGGATATGTTAGTGGTCGGCGGGATACTAGACGAGAAGGGGGAGTTGGGGACGCACAGCCGGCGCCGTCGACGTGGTGGACTGCGCGGACGCAACACCAACGCCCGCGGCGGCCACGGTCAGCACAGGGAACAAGGCCCGCGCTGGTCTCATTGATCAGGTCCCCTCGCGTCGAAGCTTGGGGCGGGTTGCTGCTGCTCTTCACGACAGCGTCAGCCTTTGCGGCTGCATCGTCTGTCGATAGCTTCAAGTATCGGTTCCTGTCGTGTATGCAATCTCAAAAGGTCGGGGACAAGACCGGGGCAAGTGTGGACGGGGGCAGTTGGTCACTGCCTATACATAAGAGTGGCTGTGTGCGATCCTACATGTTTAACTATAAATGCTGGGCCGCCGGGTAGGGCTGGTCACGACCCTCGAGTGAAGTGTGTTACCGGCCACGACTGGCCGGCCACTAAACAACTCGGAATGTTCTACTTCTGTTCTACGCAATGGAAGCCAATTGGGGGGTGATGGTTGGGTTTTAAAACGTGTGTGATGGCTATGATCCCATTAAGTGATACCTGCCCCGTTCTCTCCAATCCCGCCGCCACATGTTGGAAGTGGGAAGCGATGGGTTGGTTTTGCCCGTTGCACGTGTTGAAACGCCCTCTCCTGGCCAGACCGTGGTTTGTGTCTCAGGTATGGTCCGTCGGCGACCGGGCGCCTGGCCGGATAAGTGGGTCATTCGGAAGACCGGGCGCGGGCCGCCTAGTGGGGCAACCAGCCCGGGTTACTCGGCAGGAAATTACACCTCTTGTGATCTTCTTCTTCTCCTTCCCAATGTCATTTTTGTGCTCAGGGACCTGGGACCATTGTGTGACTCCCACTCGTGTGACGAAAGGCCTCCTTCTTTGGTATCCCGAGAACCTGACCAATACCAGGTTCAATTGTGTCCTTTTCGTGAACTTGCGCGCTGACGCCGTTACTTCCTTGGCGGTTTGCTTCCAGAACGACCGGGATATTCCGTCCAGAAAGAAGTCAATCACCGGCTGGAATGGACAGCCCCACCCGGCATTGCTTTCTTTGGTCCGTTCAGTCCCTTGACGCGTTGAGAAAATGGAAGGATCCCTTGCGATGAACCACTTCCTCGTTCAAGTTCCTTCAGAGATGATTTCAATTGAGCCAGTGCCAACCAAAAGGGAAACGGCAAGCAAGTAATGGAGCCGGGGTCGAGATGTGAGGCAGGTGCAGGCGAGACAGCAACCGCATCTCTGGGACCGTGGCAAGCAAGCATTGCGAACGTGGGACCGACGAGTGAGAGCGCAGCGCGATGAGTCTGGCCCACCCTCATCCCTGAGCTTCCATGCCAAGCACTTGCCGATCTGCAATTTGCCCCAAGGTTTCTGCGAGCTTGCATTTGTGCAATTGGGGAATTTGGGGGTGCATCAGGGTCGGCGCCAACTTCTTCTCTCTTTGATCAAGTTCGGTGCACTTTCCTCTCCCGTCTTCTGTTTCTGACACTTTTGACCACACCGTCTTGGATGTCGCCTGTGTGCGTATCAAAAACAAGCGACTTCATTCCATTGCTTGAGCATGAATGCGCTAGGAGCTCCCTAGTAGTGCGTTGTGAAGCTCCCGCTACGACCATTCGGTGCAAACGCTTTCGCTGTTTGTAAATAAACAACCTCGCCGAAGTTCATTGCAGCATCAAACATGGACGAGACTCGCCAAAGCAGGCCGAGCGGCATCCCTCGGCCGTCCAAGATTCCCGTGCAAACATCTAAGCTCCCGGTTCCACGGACGAACTCGATTCGAACCTCCCCATCGCGGGAAAGCCTGTCAGCCACCGCGGGGGGAGGAAGCTTGCGCAACCCAAAACTCCGGACTGCCGCCTCGCGCGACCAGCTTGCCCCGGCAGCCGCCACGACAGCAACCGTTACAAGTCGCTCCCCGACCAGTACTGCGCCTCTGCGTGCCGTATCATCACCCCATAGTCGAGCGGGTGTTGGTCAACATGCGGTGGGCAATACGCGAACGGGGAGGCTAGCGCCGAGCTCGGCTGCGCAGCCTTCGAGGCCGGCAAGAGGAGGTACACAGCCGGTTGGCCAGGGGACTCGGTCGAGCTCGGCTACTGCCGGTTTACGCCGTCAGTCCTCGCAGCAATGGATATCCGCAGCAGCCATGCCAGAAGAGGAGACCGGTTTGGGAGAATCCTGGACCATGGTGGCTGAGGACGCGACGGAAGGCACCGTTCCAGAGTCTCCCTCCAGCCTCCGGCCGTCGCTCGCAGAAAGGACGATGGAGACGCTCGCTCGTTTGCCATCCTCGCCATCTGTAAAAGGAAGAGGCGCGCCGTCGTTTTACGACCCGGCCACGGGGAGGACGCCATCCCGTTCCGCAAGTCGGGCATCTCGGCCGGGATCTAGTCACCAGTCGGATGGATCAGGCGAGCGACCTAGGACCGGTAGCAGGCCTGGTTCCAGCTCCGGTTTGGAAGAGTCTATCTCCAGCTTCCGCTCCCAGGTCGCCACATACGAGAACCCGCTCTCCCCTATTGAGGGCACGCCCCTGCGAAACCGGCGTAGTATCCAATCGTTCCAATCGCCATCAGTAAAAGCCACGCCGTCGAAACCGGGCCGAACATCAGTGTACGGGATGCCGCCGCCGAGCGCCTTTGCCGCTCCGCGAACGAGGACACCGAGTCCGGGAAAGCGCGCGCCTGAGGTCCCGGTGCCCAATTCTGCCACAAAGTCCTTGGCCCCTCGGCCACTAACCAAGCGGCAGTCGGTCAACGGATTGTCCAAGAAACCGTCGGTTAACGGCTTGTCCAAGAAACCGTCGGTTAACGGCTTGTCCAGGAAGCCGTCGGTGCCGGCACTGCCTAAGGCAAACGGTGGGGAGGCTCCCAGAAAGGCGTCCGTAGTCTCGCGGGGCTCATCCGCGGCGTCTTGGGAAGGCACGAACCCTTCCAGCGCGTCTGTTGCGTCCGGTAGCACAGGCATCACCGCGGATTCGACTGAACCTGGTCAAACGCAGAAGAAGTCATCGTCAGCTCTGCGTGAGCAGATTGCTAAGGCGAGAGCCGCCAGAAAAGCCGCATCCCAACAGGCTTCTTCCAACGCCGCTGCCGTCTCCGGAGAATCCGCCTTGGTGCCCACAGACTCTAGCTTTGACTTCGGCCTATCCGGTGATCCATTCAACCAGAACCGCGATGACAAGTCGCAAGCCAAGATACTCCAGAACCGGCTCGAAACCGCGAGGACAAGCGGCCGGCTCAACATTGCTGCGATGGGCCTGAAAGACATCCCGACAGAGGTTCTCAATATGTACAACCTCGAATCTATCGGCCAGTCTGGCGGTGCATGGGCTGAAAGTGTGGACCTTACTCGCTTTGTCGCCGCCGACAATGAGTTGGAGATGCTCAGTGACTCTGTGTTCCCAGACGTTGATCCACAGGAACTGGCCGAGGACGAAGACAGCCAGGGGAATATTTTTGCTGGCCTGGAGACCCTCGACCTGCATGGAAACATCTTGGTGAACCTGCCGATGGGTCTGAGGCGCCTCTCTTTCCTTACGTCTCTCAATCTGGTTTGTTGCGCCTCCATGGAATTCGCGGCGGATGTGTTGCTAACCTCTGGTAGTCATTGAACCGATTGTCGAACAGCTGCCTCAAGGTGATTTGCCATATTACCTCACTGAAGGATCTTAAGCTTGGAGGCAACCTCTTGTACGGCCCGCTCGACCCATGCTTCTCCAAGCTGCAGAACCTGGAAATTTTGGACCTCCACGGCAACAATCTCTCATCGTTGTCCGACAACTTTAGCGCCCTCGCACGCCTTCGGATCCTCAACCTCAGCGAAAACGGCTTCGAAGAGTTGCCCTTTGGTCTTCTGGCTGGCCTGCCATTAACGGAGTTGGTTGCTCGCAAGAACCAGCTCCACGGCACACTGATTCAGGACACTGTTGAGGCTCTGCCGACGCTTCAGACATTGGACGTGGCATCCAACCAGTTGGCCCATATTTGCTCCTTCGGAAAGACCGTGTCGATGCCCGCCTTACACCAGTTCTGTGTCTCCATGAACCGGCTGCAGGCACTGCCTGACGTCAGCAGCTGGACCGGCCTCCTTACCATCGCGGCTGACGAAAACAACATCAATGCCATTCCAGAGGGATTCACCAGCCTTGGGCAGCTAAGATCCGTCGATTTCTCTAGCAACGATATCCGCATTATTCCCTCCGAGATTGGGAAGATGGTGAGCCTGGTCAATCTGCGATTGAGTGGCAATCCGCTGCGCGAGAAGAAGTTCAGCACCATTAGCACAGATGAGATGAAGTCGATTCTCGCCCAACGGCTAGAGCCACCTCCTGAGGAGGATGAACACCGGCCTCGTCCGCCGTCTGGGAGCGTTCAGGACGAATACTTCACCGCTGACGATACAGCGGCGAGCGCAGCTACTGGCGATGACGATAGCCGCTCCGAACTGGACAACTTTGCCACGCCGCCAACATCCACTCCGGCTTCACCGGCCCGAGCGCGCTCTCAAACTGCTACATGGCCCGTCAAGTCCGGCGGCGTCCTCGATCGGTCCAACACGCAATCCTCCTCGCTCCACCCGGTCATTTGCTCCAAGCTCGCCGCAGCCCACAAAGTCCACGAGATCCAGCTCCACCACAACCTCTTCACCGCGCTTCCCGAGTCGCTCACGTTCTTTGCCACGACACTCACTGCGCTCTCGCTCGCCCACAACCAGCTCATTGGCGAAACATACCTCGGCGGTGCCAGCGGCAACGAGAGCCTGGACCTGCCATCCCTCAAAGAGCTCAACCTAGGCCATAACCACATCACCGGCCTCGCCCCGCTGACCACCCACCTCCGCGCGCCGCTGCTCCAAAAGCTAGATATCTCCTTCAACCGGCTCGCCGCCCTCCCGCAGGGCAGCACGCTGCGCGACATGTTCCCCAACATGACCGTCCTGCTCGTGTCGAACAATCACCTGGCGGACCTCGACCCGGAGACGATCAGGGGCATGAAGATCGTGGATGCGGCCAACAACGATATCGCACACCTAAATCCGCGCATCGGCTTGCTTGGGACCCAGCAGCAGGGCGCCGGATTGGAGAGGCTGGACGTGAGCGGGAACCGGTTCCGCGTGCCGCGGTGGAATGTGCTGGAGAGGGGCACCGAGGCCACCCTCAGGTGGCTGAGGGGCCGGGTGCCGGTTGCGGAGATGGGGGCTTGGAAGGGCGAGGATGGTGAGGATGGCGAGGACGTGGATTGATCTATTAGGATTCGTTTGTTTGCTTTTTGGCTTGAGGTGCTCTTGGTGTTCTCATTTTGGTTTTTGCCGAGGGTTCGACGTTTTATTTTCCTTGCTTCGGCCTTCCAGCGTTTCGCTGTTTGTATTAATTTTACTGATACCAACCAGTCTTTTGTAATAGGTCATGGCCGGATACGACTCCCACTTCAGGGGCTCGATGTCACCATGCTTTATGTTGTCGACGCATTCAAGATGCCGTTGTTTGTATTATTAGCTTGGGATAAACGGATGGATTTGGAGGTTTGGGACAGGAGGGCCAAGCCGGTCCGGATACACTAAAGATGGAAAGACTAATTGTTCAAGACAACCCTCGTCGTTGCCGGTAGTAGTAGTTGCAAGGCAGGCACTATCCTTTCCCTTATTCACACAGAAGTCTATAAGGCAAGAACTTTGCAAAGCCTACAACAATCCTCACTCCCCACCCAACGTTCATCTCAAGTCTCATCGGTATCATCACCTAGAAACCTCAGTTACCTAACACCATCATGTATTCCACGCTCCAACCCGCCGAGCAACCGCTCATCACCCAACCTCCACAACTAAACCTAGCGGTGCCATTCCTTTCCCACGAGCAACAACTCTACACCCACCACCATCCATCTCATGAATACAACCAATACAACCAATACAACCAATACAACCAATACAACCCAACTCCAAAACCAAGACCAAGACCAACCCCCCGACCTCCACACGCCGCCGGCCCGCCAACACCCTACCCCAACCACCACCACCAAACCATGATGAACCTCTTCCTCCAACCCGAGTCAACCCCACCACTGCCCACCTACCCGGCATTGTGGACGGCCGTACCGTCGCGCATCACCACACAACCAATCCCAATCCCACCACTACCACCCGCGCGGCACCTCTCGGTTAAGGCGGTGACTGTTGTCACGATTGTTACGGTGTTTACTACTGCTGCTGCAGCTGTTGCCGGTGGTGGTGGTGGAATGGTGGCAGCGTCGGGGGTGGTGATGACGTCTGGGCTGGTGATGACGTCTGGGCTGGTGATGACGTCTGGGCTGGTGATGACGTCTGGGCTGGTGACGCCGGCGGCGGTTTGGACGGGGTCGGGGTCTTAACTCCTGGGTGGAGTGAGTGAGTGGGTTTGTGGTGACTGATGGATGGGTGGGGGGGGGTGGTGGTATGTCTCGGTTGATTCCGCTGAAAGGGGAAGGGGGGTGGTTGGCTAAAGAGGGGATGGATGGCTTACCTACCAAGTTATTGTGTGTGTTTGGGGGTTGGTAGTTAGGATTCTTTTGTAGCGAAGTCTCGAAGACGTTTTTATGCTTGGCGAATCCGAACTTGTGGTTCAGACACTGCCGTGACTCCTTATGGTGAGAGAGCGGCACCATCTCACTTTCGTGGATCTCTTTGTCGTGCCGTAACTGCTCGATTGTCTTATCCCGTACCTCCAGGCACCGGGAGTCATTGTATCTGATGTGTTTTGACTGGGGATACACTGGAAACTGCCAACACTCCTTCAGTTTAAAGATTATTTGTGATATCCTTTGCCACCACCGGGTTAGAGTGCAGACATCGGGTCGAACAAGAACAGACGATCTCTTTTGGTCTTCGATTGTGTTAAGTTTGTGTTATTCAATTTATACCGGCTTTACCCTATATCATCTATGACTCGCTTTACACTATACTATTTATCATTCTGTTACATGATTCTTATTATATCTCTTAGTTTAGTTTTGTCTTTAATATCTCCGACACATTCGGTCGAGTGCATGGGACATGCCTTCCTGCTGCTCACGAATGGCGGCATGGATCGTGAGCGGTCTCCGTTCGTCGACACCACGGGCTGTTGGTCCCCCTCGAGGTTCTCCGGCGTGAGTTCCCATGAAAGCGGTTTCTTGCACGGCTGGCCGGCGTGGCTGGTGAATGACCTCCAGGGGCTTATTGGGTGCGCCCCTGGCTGTACACTCACCAAAGTCGGAAGAGCGCCAACGAATGAAGGCGTCGTTATAGTTTTTGATCTTTTGTCTGGTCACTCAAGTCAGTCTCTCGTTGTTTAGAGTAATCTTGCGGGTTACCAAACTTACGTTATGTTCAAGTAATATGCGCAGAACTTGACAACCAAGTAACTCAGCCCATGGCTAAACCTGGCCCAAATCCAATAAACGTCGCTTTTTGGAGTGTTGCATGATAACGTGAGAATGCTGGCCTCGACCGCTCGACTTTTAGCCTTGGGCTGGCAACACTCTTGGCTGCAAATGTCGGATCGGGCAGGTGCACACTGCCGTCGTCGGCGTCGAGGCCCCCAACCGCCCCGGCAGGTGAGAGCATCAGATTGACCAGGCGGTGTCTCGGGCGGAAGAGCTAGGGCGAGCGGGACGTCGAAGTTGTCGTTAACGTCGTAGCTCAAATTATTAAATGCCGATTGATAAGGAAAATACTGGGAAATGCCGATGTGTATGTAACCAGCAGGGAAAGTGTGTAAAACAAAGTTTGAACAATATATATTATTATCATAGTCATCGGTGCTCGAGTGGCTTGGTCGGTCGTCGAGCGCCAAATGACTAGATATACGATTAAAGTCGACATTAGGAAACAATTTATTCAAGGTTATTCTCTCGCTGAGTTTGGGTGGCCGCATGCTTGCGTTTTTTTGAAGTGCTTGCTTGCGCATCGAGGTGGGCGAGATGAAGGGGGAGAGTTGGGAACATTCTTGGCCAACAGTTGCAGGGACACTGCCTTCCTTTTCAGCACAGAATGAGGACCTGGTAGGACAAGGTCCTTGGAAAAGATCGAACTCAAAGACACCAGCTGAGGGTGGGAATACTGTCAACTCTCTGTCCCAAGGCATGCCTGCAAAAGAAGAAAAGACCCTGTCTAGGGAATGAGAAACCCACCACGGCGCTCGTATTGTCACCATACCACATCGATGGCCTACCGCTTCTTTGCTAACTTCGGAATAGAACAACTGAGCAACCTGCCAGTCCTCTCCTAGCCGTTCACCGAGATGAGTCTCTATCTCTTGCATGCTCTTGCCCCGGGCACAAGTAAAGACAATGATACAAAACGCAAACTCCTGCTCCTTCACGGAAGAACTGTCTCCCATCGAGGACAACACCTGGTCCTGCACTGCTCCGGCTTGTCGCGTAGTATCATCCTGAAACCTAATAGTCTCTAATCCCGAGACCTTATCAAGAAAAAGTCTACAAAGACAAGAATCCATATTCTTTTGTTCGAAATACTATCCCTCTTCTGTTTTGGTTGTGTCGGGAGTGGGTTACGGCGCGTTGCTTTTAATCGTGTGCTTAGGCAGTTGTGTTTGCGATGCAAAAACAAAAAGAGAAAGAAACGATCTTTCTGGCTCCTCTCGTCGGATATTCCTCACGTCATCTGTTGCGGGGCCATCCCCTTTTACCGTCCCGTTATTGGGTGCATGTGTCCATCCTCCTGCGTCGTCGTCCAATGACATCCTCTCGCATGGCTCGCTCGGATTTTCCTCGTCCCGGCTTGTAATGGAGGGTTGGGGCGCGGGGGACGTGGAATCCTTATACAAATTATAAAGGAAGGATTCTCACGCGGCGAGGCAGAAAGTCGATTCCTACGCTCATCGCTCTCGTCCGCAGCAAAAGCCACATTTTCTGCACCGCCGTCTAGGATAAGACAGTGTGGGGTGCGTGGGCAGTGTGGGGGTGCGTGGAAATCCAGTTCAAGATGCTTATCGACGGACAGTGTTCACAATATTTTCAACAATTTGAAAAGAAGGCCGCTTGTTAAGTTGTTTTTGTGGCGATGCTTGAGGATGTTGAGGGACCACCTCTCACACGGCCAGCAACCCTAACCCTGTTTGCCCTGCCCACCCCCTGAATCCGGCAACCAGAAACGCGCCGCGCTTGGTGAACCTCGGGAGCTCTTGGCAGAATTTCGAAAAGTGACCTGTCCTTGACAACCACCACGTCGCCGTCTCCATACATTCCGTACATCTTGCCCGCTCCCCGATTGTACCTCAATCGCATTGACAACGAGTTACCAATAACCCAATTGACTAACCGGACCAAGCAACCACCAGCCATTGCATCTCGCAATCTCCTCTCTTCACCTCGTCCATTCTTCCAACAGACGACACCATGGCGCGCGCGCAGCAGACCATCTCCCTCGCGCTCCTCGTGAGCTCGGTATGTGCCTAACTCCCCGCTCTGCGAACCACCACCAATGGCCCAACAACTAACCATTCGCGCGCGACAACCACAACAGTTCTACCTCTCCCTCTACCTCGGGCTCCTGCCCCTCCCGCCCGCCGTCCAAGAATTCATCGTCCCCGTCGTACGTCGCACTCCCTCCCTTCCACCCGACGTACCCTCCCCCCACTGGTGATTTATAAAACTGACGCTGGGACACCCCGCCCCACAGCTGCCCTTCTGGGCCCTGGTCACGTTCGGCGCATGGCTGCTCTTCCGCCTCGGCTGGGGCATGCTCACCTTCCGCGACACCCCCGACGCCTACGCCGAGCTGATGGACGAGATCAAGACGGCCAAGGCGGATTTGAGGACTAAGGGTGTGGATGTTGACTAAGTAAGGGGTTGATTGGTGGGGGATTGGTTGGGCTGTCCAGGGGTTTTGGGGTGGGCTGCGAGGGGGGTTGCTGCTACTGCTGTTGTACAACAGACAAGATATTTTATAATAATGCCCATCTACGCCGATGGCTCGACATGGAACGGCCGGTTTTTAAGGGACGACTGTCGGCCGTCTGGTACAATCACAACGGGCTGGGGCAACCGAATCAGGGGCAGAGATTCTCCTGCGTGTTTTGGGTTTGGTATTCACTTATTTTAGAGCGCTGTGTCATCTGAAAGAAGCTAAGACGATCCGTACTCTGGACGGCCCGCTCTGTCAGGGGGCAACTTCCTGCGTACAGAATAGAGGAATCATGTCTCAACACACTCCAATAACCACATCCCACGACTGCGGCAACGCAGGGATCCGCAAGCCGGTGTTTATAACCTCAGGACCTCTGTTCACCCGCGAGCAAACACACCACCGTCCTGACAGCATCGAGGGGTTCCTCGCCCGCCTGAATAAGCTCATCAAACAGCTTCGGCAGACCAGACAACTGTCCCCTCTCATCATGATTATGCCCTACCAGGGGTTAGCACTCACAACACATCCCAAAAAACTCACAAAAAGGGCGGAACTCACACTTCCCCGGCACGCCCACCAACACGCCAATCTCACTGCGCGCCTCCCCCGTCCAGTCAAACCCAATCCGCCACTGCACCCTCAACATCGACACCTCCCGCTTCCCACCACCCCCCAGAACCGGAATCTCCCAATCCGTCGCCGTCCGCCCCATGAACGGCAACAAACCCGCCACCCCAAGCTGCTTCCCCATCCCATCCACACTCCCCCCACCATCCCCCTCACTACTCCCATCATCACTCCCCCCCTCCTCCTCCTCCAGCTGTTGCCTCACCCTCCCCTTCCCCCTCCCACCCCCCCTCCTCCTCCTCCCCGCCCTCGCCCTCCACCGCCCAACCATCTCCCCCAACACCTTCTCCCCACTCCCCACCTCTTTCTCCAGCGCCGCCCACACCCCGGCCCGCTGCCGCGCCACGCGCAGCCACTCGCCCATGGCCCACGCCAACACGGCAACATTGTGATACAGCCCGCTGCTCCGCGGCTGCCCATCCCCATCGCCGGCCGCCCCGACCACGCGGTCCACAAAGGGGCGCAGCTCGGCCTCGGCGGCCGGGTCGAGCGCGGGCACGGCGAGGGTGGAGATGGCTAGTGTCTTGGTGTTGACCGTCATCTCGATGCGGGCGGCGAAGAGGCCGCGCGGGGCGCTGGAGGATGCTGTGATGCTGTGCTGTTGGAGGAGTGGAGCGGTGGGGTCGGAGGAGGTGGGTGCGGAGGTGGAGGTGTCGGTGGGGAGGGGTGAGACGTGCGCGGTGAAGGTGAGCGGGGTGAAGACTTGCAGGTAGGGCAGGGCTTCGGTCGTGGTCATTGGTAAGGGGTGGTGGGAGATGGGAGGGGGGAGGTTGTCGTCGGGTTGGGGTTGGGATGGGAGGGTTGGTGGCCCGGTTGTGGAAGGTTTGCTGAAGGGGAGGAAGGCGATGGGGTTGAGGGCGGAGGCGAGCCAGTTCTCGATGGGGTCTGGTTTTGGAGCGGCGGCCTCGGCCGGGAGGATGTGGCGGACGAGGAGGTCGAGGAGCTCGTCGCCGTTGGTGGGAGGGGAAGGGTTGCGGCGGGAAATGCGCGCTTGCCGGATGCGTTCGTTTTCCTTGCTTGCGACGTCTAAGTCTCGTTCGAGTTGGCTGATCTCGGCCAGGAGTGAATCGCGGAGCTTCTTCTTGTCCGAATCTGGGTCAACCGGCTTCAGACCGCGCAGCTCGGCGTTTGTTGGGGCGGCGTCCGTTGGGACTGCGGCTTGGACTGGAGGTGTCTTAGTCGGCAACTCCAATGCTAAACCGCTCTTTGTAGGTAGTTCCGGCGGTCGAAGCGGCGGTTGCTTGAGCGGTGAGGAACTCTTAAGCCTCTCAGCCAGCGCGCGGTTCCGCTTGGGTCGCCTTGAGGGAGTGTTGTGTATCCCAGAGGGAGGTGTGCTAACAACGGGGTCGGGGTGCTGAGGCGTCGGTGGAAGCTCTGGTTCGGGGGCGACGACCTCTGGGAGCACTCCCGGCGAAACACCCGGCCGCAGCCGTGCAGAAATGACCCTTAATAACTCGTCCTCCTCCTCCGGGGCTGGTGGCGGAAGTGGTCTCGGCGCCGGTCTTGTGGGTGTCCTATCCGTGTCCAGCTGTCTCGGAGGAGACCGCAGAACGCCGTCCCTGTCCGAATCTGCCAGTCCACCACCATCACGGGCTGCCGAACGCAGCTCAAGTTGAATCCGCATGGCTCGCGTCAAGCTTCCCGTGCTATCGGGTGTAGCGGCGCGCGAGGCCGAGGGGGGCGCATCGGGCGAGGATCGCAGCCGCCTAGGCTGGCTCTCTCGACGTCTCAGGATGTCGGGGTTATATCGCTCAAGGGTTGCCCTGGTCGGGGATGCAAATGAGGGCCGACTTGGCGATGAACCGGTCTGAGGCAGCGCATCTTGGGGCGTCGTCGACTCGGATTCTGGATCAACTGGGACTGCGTTTCGAGGCGATGTTCTTCGCCTTTTAGGCGCCGGAGATTCCATCGCGGCGCAACCTACTTCCCGTTCATACAGTCATAGTCGTCAACGTTCGTGGCGCGAAATATCTATCAATGACGCGTCGGAAGGGGTGGATTGGTCTTATTTTTGTAGCTGATGGTGGGGGCGTCGATGTTTTGTTTGGGGCAGTTGTACCTTGGGGGTTGCGAGGGAACAGTGCGCTAAGCTGAATTAAACACTGGCATGACCCGCATATCTCGTCCGAATCGAGCAATTTGAGATGGAGGTTTCTCGATGTACTCCGTAGTACTGTATAATTTGTACCTCGTCCAATCTGTGGATCAGACGGAAACCAGTTTGACCGAGGGTACCAAATAACAACCATGTAATAGCTAATATCGCAAAAAGGGCTTGTTAGACCGACGATGTCGGAATGCCACAGATGATGGATGTACGACGGCACGTGACCTTCTTGTATGTACCTGGGTGTGCACCGATGACGTTGGCCTCGGCAAAGTTCGATTCCACATTTCCCTTTTCCCGCAATCGTGGCGGGCCCCTGCAATTTCAAAAAATCGTCAACTGAAATCGTCCGAAAACGGTCAAACGAACCTGTTCGTCGCTGCGCTCACTCCATGAGATCGCAATAACGTGCCATCCGCAACTGCTACTAGCAGTTCCATAAAATACACTCAAATATGCGGAGAACGTTCCTCAGCACCGGGCCGTCGCGCGCCGTTTACCGCGCGTTCGGCGGCCAACAATCGCGGCGCACCTTTGCGACGCCCCCCATCAAGTCCGACACCCCGCCCTCCCCCATCGAGCCGTCTAAGGAGCAGGCCCACCCGGTCGGACCCTTCTACGAGGCCATTCTGCGCACCCCGGCGCCCCTGCCGCAGGAGAAGCCCGAAGCCCCGCCGGTAACATCCAAGACATCGCCCGCGCAGACGCCCAAGCCGACGCCCAAGCCGGCGCCCGAGCAGCCCAAGCCCGTCCAAGAGAAACCCGCCGCCCCCGCCCCCACCCCCGCGGCCGAGGAAAAGGCTGCCCCGGAGCCGGCAGCCGCCGAAGACAAGAAGCCCGCGCGGCGCCCGCGCAAAGCGAAACAGCCCGCCGGCAAAGACGAGACCAGCCCGAGCTCCAAGGCCAAGTCCGTCCCCTCCTCCTCCTCCTCTCCAGACACCTCCTCCCCCCCACCACCACCACCACCACAAGAAAACCAACCCCAGCCCGAACAAGAACAAACCCCAAAAGAAGAAGAAGAAGCGCGGTCTAACGACTCACCACAGGCCGGCAGCGCCCGCCGCGTCGTCTTCGGGGCCAGCCTAGCCGGGCCGGCGGAGCGGGCGGAGCGGCTGGCGCGGGTGCGGGCCGAGAGCCGCGTGGTGGCGGGCGTGGTGGTGCCCCCGCGGCCCGAGGAGCCCGACAACTGCTGCATGAGCGGCTGCGTCAACTGCGTGTGGGACCGCTACCGCGACGACGTCGAGGAGTGGGCCGCCCGCGCCGCCGAGGCCGAGCGCCGCCTGGCGGCCGACGATGCGGGTGCGCAGGTTGGGGTTACCGAGGATAGTATGGAGGGCGTGGAGAGGGGCCGGGTCATGGAGCTGGGCGTGCATGACGGGGATGTGGATCGCGGGGCGGTGGGGGTGGATGATGATGGCGGTGGCTCGGTGGGGAATTGGGAGGCTGGGTTGTCGTCGTCGCCGCCGCCGCCGCCGTCGGGGAGGATTGTAAAGGACTTTTGGGATGAGGAATTGTACAAAAACGTGCCGGTGGGGATTAGAGAGTTTATGAAGCATGAGAAGAGACTTAAAGAGAAACATCGGCGGGAAGGGACTGCCGGGGGATAGAGGCCGCCGGCGTGTATTATAATTCTGGTTTCCAGACGGTCGATAGACTAGGGGCTGGGAGAACATAATAAACCGTCATCACTCAGTGTGGCACGGCAATGGTCAGGTATGATATGGTATTTTATCCACGAGCGTTATCGACACTGCTCGCGTCACCCCTCTGTCTATCCCGAAACCCAGACCTGCTGTGCGACCCCCAAAGTGTTGTCGCAACATGCTTCCCGCCCAATAACTCCGCTATAATGCTCACCATTGTCAACACACTCCGCCGAGTGCCCGACCAACTGCCTCATGGGAATATATATCCCCGACGCCGCGACGCCTCTTGAGCTTCGAGGTGGCGGGCGCGGGTGACCCAAATTGCGCCGCGTTTATACCTACCATGTACGGCGTGCTGCAGGCTGTTTTTATTCCTCTGTTTTTGTTTCCCTTGAGTGTCCCTCACAGGCCGTTCTTAGCTTTAGCCGCGGCCGAGTTGCTGTCGTGCTCGTCAATGTCCATGGCCTCCCACGGATAGCAGATCCACTCGTCGCCGACCGTCCGAGCGGCCAGGTACCGGCCGTCCATGATGGACTCGGGCAGGATGCCCTTCTTCTTCTTGTCCTTGTTCTGTTCGATCGAGCCATCCGGTCAGCACGCGCCCAACCAAGGAGGGGAACCTTGAGAAAGAAACAGACGGGGGGCAACGTACATGCAGGACAAAGATGGCAAACTCGGTCTTGAGATCGCTGCCGATCTTCTCGCGGGCCTCCTCGACGTCCTTCTGCAGCTCCTTGACGGCGTACTCGAGCGTGGTGCGGGTGTCGTCAACCTCGTCGACGATCAGCACGCGCTTGCCGACCAGGTTAGCCATCTCGCCCAGGGCGGTCAGGTCTAGCCACTGGGTGCGCGTGACCTTGGTGCCGGCGGCCTCGACCTCCGTGTCGGTGGCGCCGGCTAGCTGCTCGTACAGCGAGAGGCCGATGGCCTGGATCGGGATGTTGGGGCTGCCGGGCTGCTTGAGGAACGAGCGGAGGATCCGCGCTGGCACGTAACCGCCGCCGCCTATGGCGATCATCAGTTGCGGCTTGAAATCGGCCAGGATCTGCGGCGCAGCCTCCTGGCACAACTTGTGCACCTGTTTCCCAGAGCACCGTTAGTTCCATGCCGTCCCCACGTGGGAAATCAGCGGCTCGGCGGGCGGCTCACATCGTTATACGTGACGTAGAGTTTCTCGACCATTGTGGTGGTTGGCGGGGTGACTTGTCTCAGCAATAGCAAGGGGATGGCGGGGTTGTCTGTGTTTGTCGGGCGACCGAGGTCAGCGAAGGTTAGGGGGATCTTTCGCGTATTTAAGCGACTCGGGTGCGACTCACTCGAACAAAACACTCGAAGGAAGAGATATATATTCGTGTGGGGAAACGAAATACACAGTCGAGAAGCCGTGAACAACAAACATGTCCTCGAAGGAGAAAAAAAAAGTTTCCCTCAATCCTCTGAACCCCACCATGATTGGGCCCCGGGCTTCAGAGGGAAAGGGGAAAAAACGCGGCGAGCCCCGCCCGAGCAAGTTGCCGCCGCTAGCCTCGTGCGTTTGCCCGCGTTGTTCAGGTCGGGTCCGCTCGCTCGGAGCTCCACAGTGTCACTCGGTGCAAGCGGCGCTAACGGTTAGTGGAAGGTGTCGGTTGATCTGCAACTCCCAAACCAACGGCGATCGCCGAGCTCCTCCACCCTCCCAAAAGAACTCAGCCGAACAGCAACCAAACCCAGCGTATGTACGCACGCACCCTACAAGAGAGAAAAACCACCTAGTGTCAGACACTCCAGAATACCCAACTCCTCGCGTAGTCCCACGCAACAACGCTTCCAATGTTAATCGATTTACTTGAAGGGTCGCCCTTGGTACTTTTGCGTTCTGATTTAATGATTTACGAGACCGCACAGCTCTAGTTGCTGATTTATAAAACAACACTTGATCTACTATTTATGCGAATAGCATCACAAACTTGCGCTAATACTGATACGCAGGTAGCGTAGAAGCCAAACCGGGGCTATTATGTAGGTAGTTCGGGGGGGATCCGGCGGGTTACTCCCAGCTCATGAACGGTGATCCGATGTACAGGGCTTTTATCGAAGCATGCTACCACAGTATTCACAGGGTAAATCTACGGATGAGGGGGGTAATCAAGCATGGCGATCAGACCACTCCAAAGGACGCCATGTGATGTGTCTGTTGTTGACAGTTCAACTGCCTACCAGGTGTCCAGCCCCAGCCTACCAAACGTTACCAAGCCTGCTCGGTCATTGCTCGCAAAATTTCCCCTGCTCGAGCGTTCGTTGTCATACTGATCAGCGTTCACCTTCTCACTTATCCCCGCTTGCTCCATTGCTATCGCCGAAGGCTTGTTAACGACTAACCCCTTGGCCTCTGTGAATTCCCCATCGTCATTGAAAAGGAACCGACGACGGGTTCAAGTCTTGGGCCTATTACGTCAATGTGTTAGCGGGCTTTGCCTCAGGATATGAAAGGTGGGAATGGCAAGCAAAGGAAGCAAGAGTGGCAGGACGGGGCATGGGATCTAATTACTCAACCGTGGCTGTCTTGGCCTTGGTCTTGCCAGGACTCTCCCGAACTCCATCGACCGGGCGTACTTTAGCATCCACTGCTGCCTCTCGAATCCAATCGGTTTTGGCATTGACCTCCTCTTGGAAACTAGGCTGCTGCGACGGCTTTTCCGGCTTGCGGTGTAGGAGACCGCTAAGGAACGACTGCAGCGTCATGACGGATATTCGACGGGGTTTGTTGGAGGCGGAGAGATATCAATGATGTTGTCCTCGTGGTCACTGCGGCCTATCGAATGTTCAAATATAGTGACCCGTCGAGAGTAATTCATATTGTGTACTCGTTTGCGAGGGACGTTGGAACCGTATATAACCGGCTAGATGGTGACAACCTCCCTCCTTTCCTCCGTCGACGTCTCAGTCCGGCATGATCGGCTGTGTGACGTATCTAGAGAATCATACGTCCAAGGCGCCGAAGTTTGTAACGGGTGGCTAAATTATATTTTGAACCTGATCGGATGGGCGACCAAGGGGCCTAAGATTACGGGGTTTGTAGGTCACGACTCCAAAAAGGGAGCACGTCAGCATCCCGATCTTCGGATCGTTAAGTCTATGCTCATTCTTTGATACATTCCGTTTCTAAACCATCCGAAGAGCATAAGGAAATGGACTAACTTGGACCCGCTTAGCAAGGCTTAGAAACCAAGGGGTTCATGGCTACGTGGCATGCTTTCCGGCCTTGCCGCTGAATGCTTCGGATCAATCTAATGGCATGAGCTCTATTTCCCTTTCCTCGGCGGGCCAAGCACGGTCTCCGCCGTCAACGGCCTGCTGCGCCTCAGCAAGCCACTGTTTCCATGGCGTTGTTGGCGGGACATAGTATCCCTCCTCCACCCACCCAGTAGACCCTACTTCCCGAATGGCAAACCAGAGCGCTCGAGTTGAGCCCGCTTTTTCATCGGGAGAGGTTGGGTTAGCCGTTGTATTCTCGTGAGCGTCCACGGAATCCGATGGCGTCACATCATCCACGTTGTATCTGCTCTAACAGTTATGTCAGCCATTTTCTTCCCCGAGCTTATGGTGACTGGGGCGTAGAATTGAAAACTCCGTCATGGGACGCCTACAGACCACCGGCAAAGGTGGGACTGTTCACGGAATCGTACCACGTATGTATGTACATACCATGTCCCAAAATACACGACGGGGTAACATGCTGACAGTCCAATGAAGCGAATTCAGCATGATGTATGACACGGCAATGGAGACCTGCGCTCGCCAGCTGCAATTTCCCAGCATGAGAACCGAGAACATCAGAGAAATGCTTCCCACCACCATAAGGGCTCCGTAGCGTAGACCCCGGGCTCGGTACTGGCAGCGGTCGATGCAACCGAGGTACAGTTCCTCACCGACGGCCTCGTTGCATCTAATGACCAGTAGGTTGGAGCGGCGGTTACCGATGACCTTGGTGACGCGGGTGGCCTGCTGGTCACGCCAGGCCTGAGACTCCCTGTAAGGACACATCGGCCGCCAGCTGCTAGCACAGCCCATGAGAGAGCTCGCAAGTCCCATGAGGGCAATCGCCAGCGCGGCGGGCGCATCATTCCAAGCCATGGCAGCAATGAAAAGGCCAAGCGTAAGGACGGAACCGAAGATAAGCACGCCGCGGACCAGGCGGCTCGGGGGAACGGTGGCGAACTTGAAATTTGCAAACCCGACGACTTCCTCGTCCTTTTGTGTGTTGTGGCTGACTTCGAGGACGCGGAAGCCGGGTTGGTGCATCTCGTCGACGCCGTGAAGAGCGTTGACAAAGTACCCTATAGTCTCATTCCGTGAGACCTCGTCCGGAGTCGGCCCGTGAATATCGGAAAGGATGGCTTTGGTTCTGGGCAAGCGCTCGGGGCGAACAGCGCTCAGCAGCTGCATTGCGGGGACCAGACGAGGTAGCATAGCAAGTCGAGTTGCGGTCATCGCACGAGTTAGTTCCTCGGACCTGGGGTCTCCGATGATGGCGAGCAGAGCAAGCGTTGCTGCGTCTACGCGCCAGCCCCCGTTGGGCTCTACTTCGGCGGGAAACCAGCCGCTGTTGTCGGTGGTATTGGCTAGGGGCGCCATTGTGGTGGCGCTTAACTCTGACTGGGAGAGAGGGTTAAACGAGTGTGGACTCGTTGCGTGGAGTCTCCGGAATAAAGTTTTACCTCGAGACAGAAAATGAGTCTGGTCGAGATGGTCTGGCTGGAAGTAGATTCGTGATATGAAAGGTAGCTGTGCCGCTGGGTGGGGAAAAAAGGGAGAGAACTTAGCAGTCTAAGTTGTGGCTGCGTTAGAATGATAGTTGTAACCAACGCCCGGCGATGGCACCAGGGCCCTAGGGAGTCCACTGCCCAATACGCAGTTATCCGAGACCGTGGTACCCAAACACACGGCAGTGCATTGTAGGACATCCAATCGCGCAATGATCAAGGTAACGTAGGCGTATTTGATCGTAACATGGCCTGTTAGCTCGGGTACGCATCTGATCTATCTCTAACATCTGGTAACATCCTCCGACATATCGGCTTCGTCTAGATGGGCCCTAGGACAGCGCGAGTGTTTTCCTGGATAAAGACGGGGGAGCATGAGGATAGCGGGCTGGCTTTAGATCTGTACTTTGAGCGTTTACTCTGGCGCGGTGAAATATTACTACCCCGTCTTCTGATCACAAGGGATCATGTTCATCGGACCTGGTAGGTCTCGAGGTAGGTAGGCAACTTGATCGAGTGGTTAAGACAGATGTCCGGCTTGGCTTCTGACCCTAGGTACACAGGCCGCGTAGAACACGGCCCTGACTATTTGTAAATGGGCACTCGTGCCTCATCCCCTAAGTTGTAGAGATATCATCAAGCGAGAGCCTTCAAAAAGGCCTACACGCTGCATGATATCTTATTCTAACTATAGAGGGTGATCTGTTAATATGTGGAGATTGAGATCCACCTATTTTGGCTATCCGGGATGTCTTGACACACCTCAGGCTGTGGATTAAGGGTTGGAGGGGATGGGAGTGATCGCTGACTGCCTTAGGTACTTGCCATAACGACACGCGGTCCGGTTCGAGAATTCGGTAGGGCGCTCTCGTCCCTGCGGGCTTCGGCTTCGTAGAATGCCCGGATGCGCTCTACTTCCTCCCAGTTCCAATTTAGGCGGGAACACGAAGTGGTAATACAGGACGTCCCAGGGGAACCTGAGACTTGTGCACCACCATTAGGCGCGCTGGCCAAGACGGAGTCCCGGAGAGCTGTTCTGATCACATTCTTTTCCCAGCCCGGCAGATCACCATCACCACCCAACTGGTGATTGCAATCCCAATAGGGGCCTTTGACCATGCCGTATATGTTTTGTATGTACCCAGCCCTGGTCCACGATTGTCGCCATCGCCCTCGTCTTTGTCTTTCCGTGTGCTCGGCGATGACACTGGGGGCATGCTGTCTTCGCCGTCGGTGTCGAGATCATCGTAAATGATGACGGTAAATCTTGAGGCTACCTATGCCGTGGCCAAGCGCGATATTACTGTACAGCTCGAGACTATCGCCAGGCTCGAGATCATCGTCAAGTCCGAAATTATCGTAAGGAGCCATGTCTTCAAATTCTTTGTCCTCGCCACCATTCCTCTCGCCCGCGCATAGCATACAGCAATCTCTTCCTTCACGAATTGCCTGCTGTGCCATTTCCGCCCGCGCCATGGCTTCAGCTTTCAGCAAGTTCCCTATAAACAGCATTTTGAATCTCTGAAACAACCGTCCATATATGTAACGGGGGTCTTTGCAGGGGTTATGCTCCCGCACGTCATTGAAATTTGATTCGAAATCTTGGAGACTTGGCCGCGAGGTTGATGGTTCGCGGCAGGGTAAGAGGGTGTTGCAGGTCCTGTTGCAGGTGAGGGGCCAGCGGCCAAGCGGAAGCGACTTCAGTAACGTGTAAATAGGCTTCCGAAGGGGAACCTGCTTATCATTGTCAATGGGTAGTGTATTTGGACTTTATGGGGTTAGGTTTACCCGAACGGAGGGAAGCCGGATGAAGACAGAAGTGGAAGCGACAGGGCCACTCCAAGGACCCTCCCCCTCCACAAACTCAGCAATGGCCACCCACGAGTACCCAACATTTGCGCCAGGCGACCACAAAGCGTACATGGGGTACGCGGTCGAACAGGCACGGCTATCACCGCCATCGCCGTCCAAGTTTTGCGTCGGCGCGGTTCTCGTCGACGCCGACCGGGACGAGGTCCTCTCGACGGGCTACTCGGAGGAGCTGCCGCGGGACCGCCCCGGCGACCCTGGCTCGACACACGCCGAGCACTGCTGCTTCATCAAGGTGGCCGACCGACACGGCGTCCACGACTTTGATATCGCCGACGTCCTCCCGCCGAACACGGTGCTCTACACCACCATGGAGCCGTGCAACGAGAGGCTGAGCGGGAGCCGGACGTGTGTGGATAGGATCTTTGGATGGGCGAAGCCATCAAGGTCGTCTATGTCGGTATTCGGGAGCCCGACACGTTCATTCAGCGGAACGAGGGAATTAGGCGCTTGGAGGAGGCTGGAATCAAGGTCGAGATGCTGGATGGTGACGCCGAATTGCGGGCGCTCATCCTGGATGTCACTTTTGCTGGTCACGTAAGGGAGAGCTAAAGGGGCGTTTTGCTGGTGGTGGAAAGCTTGGGTTGCCGGTCGAGCTCGATGGCTCGGACCCCTCGATTGTAGCACCAGAACCTCGGCGTGCGGACATAGGTGAAAATATTATCCCAGCCGGTGCCTCGGCCACTATCATAATGACCAATAGCCGTTATTCTCTCGGTGTGCAGGCCGGTCGAAGTAGCCGTTGCATATATCATGTGCCAGGTGGCGAACGGACAGCACGTCATGGCCGGCCAGACGCCTCGGCATCGGTCGAAGACGCACGAGACGTGCGCTCTGATCGCAGGAATATAAGGTCGAGCGTCTCTCCGCAGCTCTTGTCCCAGCTTCTAGGGTTTCTTCCGTTTCTCCCATCACTCGTACACCGAGGAACCATCTTCATTTATTGCACCTATTCCACGGTTGGAACAATGGACAGAACAACACGAACACTGATGGCATTGGTCCTCCTGCGTAAGCACACAATTCCACACCTTTTTAATCGTCGATGTCTAGTATGCGTCAGGATCAACTGACAAAACACCCGACAACAGTGTTGGTGGCCGTGGTCCACGCACAGCGGTTCGGGGGATACTACGGCCCGAACACCAACGGCAACGGCGCACCCGGCTCCGGCTACGGGCCCGTTGGAAACCCTGGCTCGAGGCCCGGCAACGTCGGCGGCAGCGGCGGTTTTGACATCAACGAGGTCACGCGGGTGCGGGCCATGCACGGCATCATCGCGGCCATCGCCATGGTCGCCCTGTTCCCGAGCGGCGCCATCCTCGCGCGCCTCGTCCCCGGCCGCGCGGGACTGTGGCTCCATTCCCTGGCCCAGCTCGTCGCCCTCGCTATGCTGGTCGCGGCTGTCGCGTTGGGTATTCATCTGGTGAAGCAGGTGCAGGTGGGCACTGGTAGGGACTTGGTAAGGGTTTTGTGTTTTAATTCTCTGTACTTTCCCCGTCTTCTTCGGTCCTGGATGGCTGGTTGCTGACGGGGACGTGTGTGTGTGTGTGTGTTTGCTGACTTTGCTATTAGATGGGTGATTCGAACCCCAACTACCACTTCATCATCGGTATCGTCGTCATGGCGTGTCTGGCTCTCCAGCCAGCGTTCGGGCTCCTCCACCACGAACGCTTCAAGATCCTCAGGCGTCGACAGCTTTGGTCCTACGTGCACCTGATCAACGGCCGTGTGTTCATCACGCTCGGCATCGTGAATGGCGCGTTGGGGCTGTGGATTGCTGGAGCTTCGAACCAGCTTAAAATTGCGTATGTTACGGCGGCGGTAGTCATGTGGGGGCTGTGGATGTGGGTGGCGGGATGGAGGGAGTATCAGATCTGGAGAGACAACGGTATGCCCTGGAGATGGCGGAGGTTGATGGAAAGTGGACTTCCGTTTTGAATTCGATTCTAAAATTTGAAGTTTAGGGCCACCCAACGGATCAAAGAGGCATCGGAAACGCCCAAGTTACCGATTGGCCACGGAGGTCGATAGGAATCTAGCGGAATACTGACGGGAAAGTCTTGGAAACAAACAGTTTTTGTTTATGGGATGATGCAAGTTGGGAACTTGGGAAGTTGGGCGGGAAACTGCTCCCCTTCGCATGCCAGCAGTCACAATGTACAGTGCGCTACACCGTGCGTTAGGCAGATAATATAGCGGACTTACAGTACACCCCTGTAGATCTCACACGGTATGGGCCTGAAATGAAACGAAGCAAGTTCCCAATTCTCATCTTTTCATCCTCCAACTAAGTTAAGACGCAGCATCGATGGCCGCCGTTTCATCCTCCCGCGACTGATCTCCGGCCTTTGAACCGGTTGGTCTGCTCGGGGTCTGAGCCGTAGCGGCGAGACCTGCCCTTGGCGTCACCGGCGACATGACCTCGGATGAAGTTGAGAGATTTGGGACCCCGCGCCCTCCGGCAGCGGCCGACAAGTGCCCCGAGGATGCTGTTGCCGACTTGCTGACCCTCATCATCACCACGTCGCCAACCCCTTCGGCGCCCTCGACAGACTTGATCTCCCAGATTCTCGCTTCATTCCGTGAATTCTGTCCCGACTTGACCCGGTGTAAAGTCATCCTGGTGCTCGACACGTACGACCACATCAGCTCGACTGCACGGCTCAAGAAAGGCCATGTCACGACAGAGGGCGCTGCAAACTATTCCGAGTACAGGGATAACGCGAAGCGGCTCATCCTCGAGGAATACGCGCCCGGCAGGGAGAGCCACCGCTTACAGGACCTGGTGGAAGACTATGACGAGGCCGAGTACGGCTCCACCGCCTACGCACAACAGACGAACGCGGTGCCGCTCGCAATCACCAAGACTGAGGATGAGCGTATCATCTTCGTCGAGCCCCTCCAGCGCCTCGGTTTTGGGCTCGCCGTGCGCTCAGCCCTCAGGCTGACGAGAACACCCTATGTCTGGATCCAGCAGCACGATTGGGCCTTGGTGTCGGACATTCCCCTGCGCCCGCTCCTCGCCACTATGAAGCAGCATTTACAACCCGGCGCTGATGGCTTGGGTGATGTCGAGATCGCCAAGGTGCCAATCAAATACGTCTGCTTTCCTTCGGTTCGGATGCTCGAGTATGCCAAGTCCGACCATGTCATGCAGTTCCCGGCCCTGCGCGCCCTGACCAACCTGCACAAGCAGAACTTTACCGTCAAGTCAGACGATGGAAGCACGGCCAAGGTTCCGCTCACCCCTCTCTTCTTCTGGCACGACAAGCCTCACGTCGCCGAGACGGAACACTATCTCGCCCAGCTGTTCCCGGACCGCGCTGCGCTGCCCCGGGGCGCCTTCATCGAGGATACCATCGGCCACCGTGCGAGGACAGAAATGAAGGACGGCCAATGGAGGAAATGGGCCTGCTGGCTGTACTACCCGGACGAGGGGAAGCGGCTTTGCATGAGGCATCTCAAGGGAAGGACCTGGCGGGGAGCCGAGGGCGAGCTGGCCCAGAAGCTGGAGTACATGCGGCTGAATCAAGGGGGTAAAGTGCTTAATGTGAGAGTTGAGGAGTAAATTTAATAGAGGCGGCTACTGAATAAACTCAGTTGTAGACCATCAGAGCACCTGATCTGAATGTCAAACCAATACCCCTAGAGGACCCTCGTCGCGATGGGCTTTCCCCACTCCGAGACGGGCTTGTCTGTTGGTACCAGCCACACCACGCCGCCATCCCATCCATCCCAACTGGCCTTCTCTTCTCCGCCGGCCAGCGATTCCTCTGACAGCTTGACTCCGGCCTGCATCACTAGTATTGTGATCTCTCTCAGGGCGCCATCCATGATGGCCTCGTTCCCGCTGACACTGTGTTAGTCCCTATTTCTCTGAAGGGGCGAGAATCACACTTACTAGACCAGGCTAACGTGCGGTCCAAACTCCTCTCTCCAAGAGCTCAGCCTGTACCAACGTCAGCACTGCTCACCGTTCCACGTCAACCAAGCTGACGTCCTCCCCTCCCTTCGAAACACGCCATGCCACCCCAACAACAAAAGCACATGCAGAACACAAGATCGCAACCTAAGAAAGTAAACTCACCACTTCTCCGTCTCCGCCCCAAACTTGACCGCCCCCTCCGCATCCACCTCAACCGCCTCGCCCGCGACCCCCACCGCCCTCGCAATCCCCGCCAGCGCCCTCACCCCCTCAAACGCGACCCGGATAAAGCACCGCCTATAAAACACATCCTGCCCCTCCACCCTCTCGAACCTAACCTTCACACCCCCCGCAGCAGAACCCCCCTCCTCCCCAGAAACCCCAGAATCACCCCCAGAAGAAGAAGAAGCGGCGGAAAAGTCAATCCGATCCAGCCAGCCCTGCGGATCGTCGCCGTACGTCGTGGCCGGGTCGATGCCGCTGGTGAGGGTGAGGTGGGCGGGGAAGAAGTGGGGGACGACGCGCGGGGCGGAGGCGGCCTCGCGGGGGAAGCGGGCGGGGAGGGTGGCGGTGATGAGGGTTTTGAGGAGGGCGTGGAGGGGGTCTTTTTTTTTGTTAGTATTTTGGTTGTTTGTTTTGGGTGGGAGAGGGGTGGGATGGTGGGAGTATGTGTGTGATGGGTTGGGGTGGGCTGGGTTGGTGAGAGGAGGGGGTTAGGGGGGGTTGTGATGGGCGGGAGTTGAGAGGGGGCGAGGGAAAAGGGGGAATGGGGATGGGGTGACGTACGGGATTCGGGAGGCAGCAGCCAGAGAGAGGAGCCGGCCATTTTGTTTACTTTGCTTTAGGACGATCGTCAGAGTCGGTATGGTGTTTTGGCTGATGCTAGTTTGAGTTTATGCTGAGGTCTAAAACGCGCTTGGGAGCTCCGTAGTCGGGGTGAATGTGCGGAGTTGTGGAGTCGGGGCTGAAGTGCTTGGTTCTCCATCGGGCCGTGCCGCTTCGCCTCCGATGACTTCACTGCTACTGTTAAGCTTAATATGAGAATTGTACATGTAACTTGGTAGAAATAGTCGGATCCCATGATACCCTTTTATTCATATGAAGTAACCAAGAGTTGGTTTAATTATTCACTCCATTTAAATATCAACGATAGGTATCCAATCCATTTTTCAACGTTTGTCTCATCATAAAGACCATCTCCCTCTGCACTTTCCCTTTGGAGAGCTTCGGCATTCACGTCCAAAGTCAACAGGCGATTGACTTACATCTCATTTACTACCTATGGAGGCACCATGCCAGCGACTCGCCTCCTTCACATTCGAGGCGAGATGCCCGATTTAATGAAGACACACCCCCAAACAATCCAAGCAGGTGGACCGGCCTGCCCTCGAATGCGTCGTACTAGCCTCTTGCTCCCTCGATTTCAAATAACCAGCACAGATGTCTTTGCGAAGCCCGGTGTGGACTATTGATCTCTCCGGTGGAGCCATGCTCGTCCTTGCCGTCAATGGAATGCGCTGGGGACTTGGCTCAGGCGAATAAAGGAAAGCAGATGGAGGACGGGCGGGTCGGATCATGGGAAGTTTCTCCTCATTGCGCTTCGCCCACGCTGCGTAGTCGGCAGCCACCTCGGCGACAGTACCTAGGCCTAGGCCTCCCGAGCTGGAGCCTTTGACTTGACGGGCGAGAATCGGAGGTCATGGTCTCACAGTATGAGTGGAAGTCAGACAATGCCGAAGGAGTTGATCGCCCTCTTCGGCGGGCTGTCTTTCTTTTTTTGATAGGTAGATAGTGAAGACCTTGAGATTGCGGCGAGTTAATAGAGCGGACCCGCCGCCCTTCGTTTCTGATGATGTGTTGGGCATGTCGTTGCTACAAAAAGATTTGAAGAAAAATGGCACAAAATAGCGATGAAATGTTTTGGAAATCAATGGCGAGGCGTACCAAAGGATATTAATGTCGTTAATAAACGTGAGAGCAGATCATGCGATGTTGAGCATGAATGCGGGCCAGGCGTCTCCCCCTCCCCTCGTAAGCGCCCACGGCACGCTCTCCGATTCTTGCAGGCTTGGCATCACGACCTCCCGCGCGCTTAAAGTCGGACACTTCGGGGCCCAAAGGTCTCGGGGCGAAAGATGAAGATGAATCCTATCATGAGATTTATTACTGGCTCTCTCGTTATTAATACTCCACAGACAACCAGATCTTCGACTTCTTCTGTACTGCCCCTGTCTGGGACACTCACCGAATTCAATTTTCATTCCTCCTTCCGCTTTTTCTTTCCCTCTTCTCTTTCCCCCAGTGTCTTCAGTCTACCGCTCTTTCACCATGCCTCCACGGGACCCTCCCCCTCCTCCTCCTAGACCTTTCCGTAGCCTGCTTTTCACCCTTATTCCGCAGGACGAAGAGGCCAAACGCATCGTGAGCCTGAATCCCGACCATGTTACGCGGCGTCTTGGGGCGCCAGTTCTCGCCTGCTACGCCGACCGTCCTTCTAAGGTCCAGGGACGTCTCTTGTCATTCGGCCGCAATTCCACCAACGATATCCAGCTGCCATCGGGTGACCCTACCCCCGAGTCGAGGCATGCCGTCACTACCAACACCGCGAAGCGCATCCGCAACGCCGGAAACTACCGCAACCATCACTTTTTCTTCTTCCTTGCCCCATCCGGCGAGCTTATCCTCCGCGACTTGTCGCCGCGTCTGACAGACATCGAAGTTGAGAATGCAAATGTCTATGAGGCGTCGCTGTACCGCCTTCGTGGCATTAACCCGCGGCAGCGGGTCATTCCACGAACCTCGAGAGGGGTCTATATCATCTTCGGCACGAGCACCTGCTTCAAACTCCAATGGGAGCGTGTGTATCAAGGACATGCAGACCTAGACGACTCTGAGATCCAGGGGGAGCTTGCTGGTCAGGCTCTGGCCCGACAGGCGCACGGAATGACTCTCACCGGCCCGGATGAGGACACCCCCGTGCCTCCCCCGAACCATTCCCGCGAGCTCAGAAGCCGCTACACGCCTTCCGGCGGACCCTCGCTCTCCGGCCGTCTGATACCCATTCACAAATACGGCGTGATAGGCTCGGGTAGCTTCGGCAGGGTGTCCAAGTCCGTCGAGCTTAGCTCGGGTGAGCTCTGGGCAGTCAAGGAAGTCAAGAGCGGCACGGGTGACGACCAATGGAAACAATCCTTCGTCAGAGAAGTCGAAGTGCTGAAAACCCTCCATCATGTGAGGAAAGGCCCGCACAATACTACGGTTTAGGGCGACTTGCTAACTGGCACCACCCATTAGGAACATATTGTCCATTTCGAATCATATCAGGATTTTCGGATGGGAGGGAGTTACCAATTGTTCTTTAGATTCTATAGGGGCAACCTAGGAAGCCTGATCCGGCACACTTGCAACCAGCCGGAGAGGCCGAGACTTCCACACAATTGGGACAGATTGGTCACCCAGATGTCTTCTGCACTCGACTATCTCCACACAAAGGGGGTGGTCCACCGAGACATCAAGCCCAGGAACATCATGTACGACCATCGTAAGGAAAGTGGCGACGTGGATTTCTTCCTCGGCGACTTCGGCCTCTCCATGCCCGCTGCCGCGGTCCAGAAGGCGGCGCTGGGCGGCGGGACTGCTTTTTACAACGCACCCGAGATCAAGGCGACTCGTTCCCATACCACAGCGTCTGATGTCTGGGCCCTGGGCGTTACCCTCTGTCAATTCTGGGGTTTTTGGTGCAGCGCCGAGGCGGACATGTCCGACGCGGCCTGGAAGAGAAAGCTCGCCGTTTATGGGTGTGTTGGCTCTACGGATAGCAACAGCATTGTTGCAAGCACCGAGTCTGACAACGACATCTGGGCACATCGGGTCGTCGAATTCGCCCAGAATACCACCATTCCCCTCGCCCTCGCCCGCATGATGAGCGAGGTCGCAGACGAGCGCCCAACAGCGGCGGAGCTGAAGCAGACCCCCCTCGTCCGGTTTACCGAACTCCCGCCTGAGTCCGCAGCCGCCAGAGGGGCAGTGGGCGCAGCCCATCCCACACCCCCGGGCAACGAGGCAACTCCACTTCCAGCCCCCCCATCACGATCCCCATCCCGATCCCCATCCCGATCCCCATCCCGATTCCCATCCACCCGATCCCCATCCCGATCCCCATCCCGATTCCCATCCACCCGATCCCCCTCCCCATCTCATCACCAACCCCCACCTGACAGTGACAGCAACAGCAGTCTGTACACGCACGCGCGGGAGCCTGAACCTACCAGCGCTACAGTTACTTATGAGCGGGGCGCAGAGCAAGCCCCGGTAACTGCCCTTTGATTATTATAGCGCCTGCGGGGGGCAGCGGTGGGAGGTGGTGAGGGTGCGGGTGCGGTAGGAGGGCGGGGTGTTTGGTAGCCGGCCGCAGGATGCGCCGGGGCAGAGGCGTTAAGGTTACCCCGTGAATGTGTACATATGATAGGGTGTGTGTTGGGGTTGGGGCTGTGTGAGTACCTAGGTAACGTTAAAACTTGCCAAACTGCGACCACCTGCGACGAATCGCGCCAACCCCGGGGCCGTCGTCCAGCAACGCATCTTGCAGCCGCTAAGCGTCTTCCGTAGGCCCCGAACGCAGCACCCCTGCCTCCGTCACGGACTTGATAGCGCCATTCCCTAGGCCTGGGAAACCCTCGTCATACATTTGCTTGGTGAGAAACTGCCGGTGAATGAGTTTGTTCTACCCCGGTACGTTCCAACCGGCTCAGGCGGCCGATATCTTCCGACCGACATTCGCCCTGCTCAGGGCCTGTAAGAGAGCGTTGTTGGCCCGGTCCGCCACCAGGCAGGCGTTGAGAAGGGGCTGGGGTCTTGCAGGTCGGTCAGGCGGTACGGTCGAAGGACTAGTAGAGCCAGCACGACACGCGAGCCTACTTATCTTGGATCAGGGATAAGAGGAGTAGGAGAGTAGCGGGAAGGACGAGAGGAAACGAGACGAAATAGACGAGCGCATCCGCTCCGTCGGAGTGGCTGTACGCATCACGAATCTTCAGCTGCCGGATGCATGCGCCGCTGCAGCAGTCAGCGTCGATGTCGACGGGGGCGTCGCGTACTTCGTCCCCAACATCCCGACTCAACTGCAGGCCCATGACGGCCCCGGCCCGTTGGACTCCCTACCTGCCGACGGAGATCAGAACTGCCACCGGGGCTGGAGCCTTACCGGATCGTCATCACCCTCCCGCAACTTCGCAAGCAACCCCCGCCCCCCTGCGCCTCTTGATAAGCCTGCCGTCAGTCCTCATGAAACTCAAGGTCAGGTCCAGTGCAACAAGTGCATAGGCTTCGGACACTATGCAGAGAGCTGCTACGACCAATGGCGATGCCCAGCGTCGCGGGGCTTTGTCACCCAGCCACAAACTCCGTAATCCCATATGTCCAGCCCGTTTCCCATCCCCCTCAAACGACTGCCCCGACTCGCCGCTGTTCATCGTCAGTCTCTATCGTACCCGCCAAAGACTAGGCGATGCTGGACAAGATTTGGCATGATGAGCATCCCCCTCGAGGGGCGTGCGGTCTGAGGAGTTGCGGTACCTGCTCGCACCGGCCCCGCGATCGCCGGTCGGGGAGTGGACCCGGCTCGAACCTGAAAGGCCTCGTTGGTGGTCTCCTGGGGTGGAAGTACATAGAACGCCTACAAGTACGGATGCGCGTTGTCGGGACAGGAAGCCCAAAATTACAGTGGGCTGTTCCCTCTTGATGTCGGCGGGCTTTGGCGGATGACTACAACTGCGGAACCACGTCACGCGTCCTGTGCCTCTTGAGGCAAAAGCTTGGCACAAGGGACGGGAATCGGGGAATAGAGCTGGACGCAAACCCCAATAGTCTCCGGGCGTCCCGAGCAATGCCTGGCAGTCATCTGACCGCGGCATCGTGTACCTAGGTACTAGACGAGGGTAACTTAGCGACCCGCGCGCTGCCACTGTGACACCAGGTCGTTATCTGCCATGCCAGAAACCAAGCGCCGGAAGGCTGAGTGTGGAGTTGAGGAAGAGGTGGCATCGAGTAGCCGCTAGTAGAGGGTAGTGGGCGCTCCTCTTAGGTTGTGGTTGTTGCTAGTAGGGCTTTACGATACGCCTCCACACTTGCTGCTTGCTTTGGGTATATGTTGGTAGGAACTAACCTGCTAGGTGCAAACCAGAGCAACATACAGGGCTTCGGGCCACTCGGAATATTTTGACATGGATAAGAAGCATCAGAACCCTAGCATCAACACGACGCCTATTGAGTGTTTATGAAGGAGAAAAGGTCAACAACGTCACACCACCAGATTCATTCCCGAGCGCGAGCTGATTCCCATCCCTCCTCCAGCAGTTAGGTCGGTATTGCATCGGAAGCCAGAGCACTTCCTGCCCTTTTAGAATAACCCACTCTCGCTGAACACGGATCGGACTGGCGGGCGAATACTGGTCGAGATTGAAGCTGGAGGCGACAGCATTGGCGCCCGGGCTGCTCCCAAGAGTCTAGAAAAGTCATGAGTCGGCAAACGCAAAGATTTATAAGAAACCAACTAACCGTTCTCCATGCTCGCCTTGCTTTCCCGGTAACCACATTCCATTTCCAGACTGTCCCATCCGTCGCAGTCGATAGCAGTGTTCCCCCTCCTGGCAAGAAAGCCATCGACGTAACGCGAGAGCTATGACCTTTAGCTACCCGTTTACTAGTTGTTACCTCTATATCCCACAGCCGTATAGTCGAGTCGTCTGAGCCCGATGCGAGGGTTTTTCCATCTGGCGAGAAGGCCATAGACAAAACCATATGAGTATGGCCTCCAAGGGTCTGCCTTTCCCTTCCTGTTACCCCATCCCACAGCTGTATAGTTGAGTCGAGTAAGCCCGATACAAGGGTTTTTCCATCTGGCGAGAAGGCTAGAGACCAAGCCCCATAAGTATGGCCTTTAAGGGTCTGCCTTTCCCTTCCTGTTACCCCATCCCACAGCCGTATAGTAAAGTCGTCTGAGCCCGATACGAGGGTTTTTCCATCAGGCGAGAAGGCTATAGACCGAACCGCACGAGTATGGCCTTTAAGGGTCTGCCTTTCCCTTCCTGTTACCCCATCCCACAGCTGTATAGTCGAGTCGTCTGAGCCTGATGCGAGGGTTTTTCCATCTGGCGAGAAGGCTATAGACCGAACCCAATCATTATGGCCTTCAAGGGTCTGCCTTTCCCTTCCTGTTACCCCATCCCACAGCCGTATAGTCCGGTCGTCTGAGCCCGATGCGAGGGTTTTTCCATCTGGCGAGAAGGCTATAGACTGAACCCCACGAGTATGGCCTTTAAGGGTCTGCCTTTCCCTTCCTGTTACCGCATCCCACAGCCGTATAGTCCGGTCATCTGAGCCCGATGCGAGGGTTTTTCCATCTGGCGAGAAGGCTATAGACTGAACTCTATGAGTATGGCCTTGAAGGGTCTGCCTTTCCCTTCCTGTTACCCCATCCCACAGCTGTATAGTCGAGTCGTTTGAGCCCGATGCAAGGGTTTTTCCATCCGGCGAGAAGGCTATTGATACGATGGAGGTATTATTGTTCACCTGCAGTATTTGTAAACATGGGTCCCAATTTTCCTCGGTACCCCAAATGCTCTGAAGAGCTGGGAGCCTCTGGTTCCAGAATTGTTTCCGTATGAGACTGTTCACGGGAGAGAACACAAGGGCCCCAGAGTACGTCTGCAACGGCGTTTGTTCTATCACCAGCCCATGAGCGAGGACAAATTTCAGAGCATCGGCGAGGAATTCTGCGAGACGGTCCATGGTAGCAATCGGCTTTTGCGTATATTAGTAGGTGTAAGAGATAGAGTCAAGGCATTAGATGTACATACCTCGGATGTTTGGACCACGGACACACCGAAGATATTCCTAAATGAGAGTCCCGCTCTTCCTCGGGGGCTTGGGCCAACCGCCTGTAATAACTTTTTAGTAAGAGGAAAGAGTGCGTAAGACTTCCGCAGCATACCTGGACTTCGCGTAAGAGCCTTCTAATCGATAATATCCCATCTGAAAGCACGCCTAAAAGGCTTATGCTCTCAAGCCAATGAAGCAAATGGGTACTCAGAAACCGCAAAACGCCTTCTCCGTCGAGCTCCCACGAACACGAACGGAGAAAGTGGTCGATCCAATAGACACAGGCGTAGCGTATACGGTTGAGTGGATCAGGATCCGGGCGTACCACCTCGGCAATCAGCGAGCCGGGTTGGCGTAGGTCGTACATGTCTCGATGCAGCGAGGTGGGCATCACCTGTAGCGACCGTAACAGGATGGCTCGATGGGCGCCAGCTTCACCATCTGGGAACACTGCTTTGGGTGCATGCTCGATCAGATAATCCTTGGCCGACTGGTGGATAAGATAAACGTTGTCTTGTCGGATAGTGAGAAACGAAGCGCATTGATTCACAGCCCTCTCCATGTCGTCCGTCTCATCCACGGCGGCTAGGGTTCGCAGCTCCAGAAGATGGAGCGGACGTCTGGTGAGCGTAGCGGTCGAGAGAATGCGCCGACAGGTTGCGGCATCCCGGTTTTTGCCGATTTCGTCCATCATCCGGCCGTAGAGCGGCTCCAATCCGGGGGGCATTGTTTCCAGCAGTGGGAGAAGCTCCGAGGGTAGCTTGCACGTCAAGAGTTGCTGAAATACGAGAGCTACCCAGAGGAAAGTTCCCTCCGCCTTCTTCTGCAGTTCCTTTCCGATTTGGCGTTGCAGGTCTTGGTTGTGCCGTATCAGCTCAAGCTGCGAGACTTTGTGGTGGATGTAGACGTTAATGGCTCGGGATACATGGTCTGCGTTGAGCTCGAGGCTCAGTGTCGTGCGGGAGTCTTCAAAAGAAAGCTCTTGTTGAATATCGTGCCAGTTCCGGCTGGTGAGTACCCATCGGACCTGTGACGTTGCCGTCGAGGCCGTCTTCCTGATAAATCTCAGCAGCTCCGATAGCCCGTCTCGACACTCATCCAAGGCGTCGACTAACAGGTAGGTGGGCGGGAGAGCTGGGTCACGTAGCAAATTGTCAAGGACGCCGGACAATGCTGAGAAAGTGTTGACGTTGGCGTCATCGAAGAGCTGTTTGCCGGCGCGCTTGTGCTTGGCTTCTAGGTGGTGAGTGAGCGGCCCATGCCGGTCAAGAAGAAGATACATCAAGCCCTTCAGCACTGCTGTGGAGCTTCTGAGCCGAGGGTCGGTAGCTTCACAGAAGAAGTACGAGATAAGGCCGGCGTCAGGAAGAGGACCAGAGCCGATAGCGGCCTCGAACTCGTCGATGATACCACACAGCAACATTGTCTTGCCTTTGCCTGCATCGCCCTTGATCCAGAGCAGCCGAGATTGGTCGTCGCCGCGCCAGCGCTGGAACTCCGAGTGGTCGAGAATCCATTTGTACGAGTCCTTTAACAAGCCGCCCTTCCTGTCCTCGATGCGTCGCTTGTCGTCACTCGGGTCAGTACAGCTGGAACGCAACTCGGCCAGGCATCCGCCTGGAGCATTCTGGGATAGTGAAATGTTTCGGAGGCTGTGCTGGATATTTTCGAGCTGCTTCCCGCCCAATTCCGCTGCCTCTCTGTCTAGGTGTCAGCCAGGGGATACAACGCTAGGGGGTGGGCAATGAGAGGGGGGGACTGACAGATGAGCGGCTGTGATGTAGACTGTGAGTGAGCTCTTTTCCCTCTCCAAGTCGTCGAAGAGGGCCCTAATCTTGCCCTCTTGCGCAACGCCGTTGATAGCCGCCCACGTCTTCTTGCCGAAATTAGCGTCCGTCTCGCAGGAGATGGCGTCAAGAATGGCATAGAGACTGCGACTGTGGCTGTCACAGCGTCGTAGAATATCTTCGATCTGAGGCGTCTGGAGCGCCGCTGTCCGCTGCACTACGGTGGCGATGTCCTTGAGTGTCTCGATCTCTTGGATCCATTGCTGTGTCTCGGCCGGGGCGTTGCGCGATTTGCTACGCACTTCTTGGACTAGCCGAATGACCTTGAGAGTCACCTCGATGAATTGCCCAGCGGCCGCGACGATACCAATAACCTCGGCTCCGGACATGTTTGGTAGGATCTGAGGATTTTCATTCCAAAGGCTTGTTCAAGCAACTGTGCCCGTCATGGAGAATGATAGCAGCGTTTGCGGGTTTGGAGGGCGCGATGAAATATTTGATTTGAAGTCATAAGCGTTATAGGTGTTGGAAATGGAGAAGTTTGAGGACGGGGAGGGCTCAGTAGCGTTTGGGCATCAAGCGGGGGCGGCTTGATACCGCATCGAGAACGGTGGGCCGGTGGCACGACAGGCACACCCCCCCATTTCAACCCTACATACAGCTCTTAAAGCGAAAGTTCATGGTCTGGTTCCTCCATCCCAGTTTTGCAAAAACTTTTAAGGCAAAAAGAAAACCACAAAAGACGCACGCACACGCAGCGTCTCGACGGCACTCCTCGCGATGGCTTTCCGTGGCGAGTATCGCGATACAGAATTGCCAAGGCTCTGCCTTCCCCAGCTGCAGACTCCACCGGGTCCATGTGGTTCAGTCCATCCTTCGGAATGTGCTAAAATAGTCGCCTGTGAGGGCACGAGTCGGTGGTTCCAAAACGAATAGCCCAAAGTGGGAGGAGAAGAGTCTGATTTTCGGATAACCGATCTCGACTGTCGGGTGGTTCTGTACAGTAGGTAGTTAACTCCAGAATAAGAGGAAGAGAATCCTTCAGGCAAAAACCCCCCCCCAAAAATTGGTTGGCTGCGCACGGCCCCTCTCAAGCGAACAAGGCCCTGCGGATCCGGATGGTCTTCAGGTCGCTTCTGATTGCCCAGTGGGAGGTTCCGGTGTGATATCTGAAGATTGGTCGGTCCTGGTGGCATGCCTTGTATATGACCCACAGCCCCCTCTGTGTTGGGCCTGCTGACTCTTTTAAGCTCGACGATGTTGGTGCGAGCTGAGGGACTGAATGGGGTGTGGATGAAGGAGAATGGGCGATGCCTTCCGGCCTCCGTTGTCGGCGCCGTTTGTAGTCGTTACGGAGCCGGCCGCCCCTCGGGCCGCACTCCGGGAACGCGAACGGGCTGGTTAATATGGATAATATTATGGTTTCTCAATCCCACATAATTACATGCTACTATTCCAAATCAATGATCCGGAGTTTGTGAATAAGTTAGCTGCTGATGTTGGGCATCCAATCAACCATGCCCCTGGTATAAACAAACCCCGGCTACTCGACTTCCTTGAACCATGAGCCCGGAGTAGAATCTGACCAACGTTCTTCGCAATAATTAGAAATAAACTAAATTTGAGGATCATTAACGCCACGGAAGAGATGTGTTACACGATTAGGAGCTTGTCTATAGGATCTGGGAATAAAACATTCCATCAGTTCCTCAAACTAAACGGGGACTACACGAACAAAAGTTCCTGGGCTCACACGAACCCATCACACACCCTGAACTCCAAGAACCGAGCAAAGCCGACCACGAAGCCAACCCACCCACCCTCAAACCCCACTCTCAACGCAAGACCTGAATAGGTAATCACCCGATTAACTCTCCTCATAAACCCTCATCTTCACCACACCCTCACTAACCGCGGTATTCGGTTGCACAAACTTCCACCTCAACTTCGGGTTCGAGCAGACACTCTACCGCCACAGCTCATACTCGCCCTGGACGGCGCAAAGGGGCTCGTAAAATTATGTTTATTTCCTATTTCTTTCTAGTTTTTATTTTTTATATCATTCTTTTCAATTCCTTCATACACACAGTATATTCCGGAGGCAAATTCATTGAAGCTTCGCTTCAATTATGTCTGCACCTCGTTGACAGCCGCCCGTGGATGCCGGACACCCGAACCTTGCCCCTGAAGGTGAACAACCTTGCCCACTAGTTAAGGCCCGACCCTGTGAGCACTCGACTTCTTTGACCGCGATGTAGATAAGTAGCCATGCGCCTACAACCAAGTTCCTGGCCACAGATGCTCTTTTGCAACCCCTCGGGTAACTGTCATATGGCCGTTGGAGCCAGCCCGGGGTCTAGAACAGAAACCGCCGGGCTCTGGATGCACAATTGGGGCATCAATCGTGATGCGCCAGCTGAATCAACGTCATCTGGTCCAAAAATCCACATTGGCGTGATCATTGTTCGGATCAGCGGTCAAAACCCGGTCTGCTGCGCCGTACCGAGGCCACCACCAAAGGCCCCAAGGCGGCCACTCCGCAACTGGGGGTATGAAGAACGGGCGATTCAGCGACAGGAAGGCCGCGGCCGTGGGAAGCGGCCCGATAATCAAGCAAAATGAAACTGAGCAGAAAGCCGTTGTCATCAGCTCAACCTCCACAAGGGCATGTTTAAAGTCTGTCTCCCAACTTGGTGTAAAATAGTTCGACTCTCCAGACATCAACCGCCTATTTTTATATTTACACATTCAAAACCAATCGTTTTCCTAATTCTACCTTAATATAATCCCGACTCCTGATCCGGCTGCTACACATATAGACTGTCTGGGATAGTCGGCAGCCAACCTTGACAACAGCACCACCACACAAAGGAAGAAGAAAAGAAAAGAACACCAAAAAGAATCCCCCTAGTCAACCCGCGAGCGGCATAACCACCCCCCACCAAACAATGCCCCTCGCGAACACTCTCCCGACCGGCTCCAAGCCCAGCACGCCCGGGCTCTCGGCATCGCACATCACGCGGGTGACGCTGGCCAACGGCTACCGCGCCTACCAGGGCGGCGACGGCGACGGCGACAAGCCAGCCAAGCAGAAGAAGACGGTGCGCTTCGTCAAGGGCCACACCACCATCCCTAACGTGCCCTACGCCCAGCTGTGCGCGCCCGCCGCCACCCACCACCACTCCCACCCTACCCCCACCACCTACGACAACAACAACAACACCAACGAAGACGACGACGACTACCTCTACCCCCTCGACCCCGCCTCCGACTCCGAATCCGACCAGGAAGACTACGCCCCACCAACGCCCCTCCCGCAAACGCCCATCCTCGCCCGCAAGCACGACAACCCCCACCCGCAAAAGAAGTTCGACCCCTCGGCGCAGCAGTTCGAGCGTGTCGCGCGCGCCGACGGCAGCACGGCGGCCTGGCGCAAGCGCCCGCGCTTCCGCGGCAGCGGCTTCGTGCGCGTGCTGGACGACCCCGTGGCCGAGGGGCTGGCGCTGGCGAAGGGGGAGGGGGTGCGGTTGCCGAGTGATGGGTGGCGGGTTGCTGGTGGTGGGTTGCGCGGGGTTAAGACTGTGGAGGATGGGGAGGGGGTGGGGGCGGGTATGGGGATGGGGATGGGGATGGGGATGATGGCGGGGTTGGGGGTGAGGTTTTCGATGGGGGATGTTGGTGGGATGGGGGCTTGGGGCGAGGGGGAGGGGGGGTATGTGGTCAAGGTGGTTGCTGCGGGTGGGAAGAGGGCGAAGTGGGGGAAGATGGGTGCGAAGGTGGTGACGGAGGAGGAAGGGTCGGTGGAGGAGGCGGCTTCGGAGGCGGCTTCGGAGGCTGCTTCGGAGGCTGCTTTGTCGGAGGCGGGGTCGGATTCGGAGGATGACTACGACTTTGTTCACGACTTCTCGCTCGAGGAGGCCGAGGGGTGGGTGCCGGTGATGGTGGCGGAGGAGGATCAGGGAGACGATTGGATGTCGCTGACGGGTTCTTGGATCAAGATGGGGGACGTCGGCGATGTCAAGAAGACACAGGAGAAGACCCAGGAGAGAGTGGTCGCTGGCTAACTGCTTGTTTGGGTTAATTAGCAGAGTTCAAAAGTGCTCGAGATCTCACCCGTCTAAAAGTCAAGATCACGGATGGGGTTTGGATGAGTTGTTGAGAAGCACAAGTTGAGAGTTGACAAAATAAGATGAATCGAATTAATTGGCTCCAATAAATCCAAGGCGTGGTTGTTGGCGGTTCGCGAGCTGAGTCGCGAGCAGAGGGAAACCAGGCAGCAGGATGACAGGCTTCAGTGCGGACTGTGTTGACGTTCTTTCCCGCAAGTCTTCAACCGCGACCACCAAAACCAGGCCGGTAGCTCAACGGTCTGGTTACTACCCGCGGTGGTCCCGCCCACGGGCAGCTAATTCACCACCATCGGTAACCTGAATTTTAGCAGACTGGAGGATCCGGGAGGAGAGTTGGAGGCCCGCTCTTTCCTTGCCAGCTACCCTTTCGTCTGAAGGTTCAATTTCTTGAGCATGAACACAACAGCGTCGTGTTCCATCAAAGCCAAATAGCGCCGTGTTTCAAGGCAGGGAAGAGTCTTCGCCGATGCCGATGGATACTCCAAAAGAACAACGACCATTACAAACCCAAGACATTCTGACATCATGAGGGCTCTGCCCCGGTTTATCAAAGAGATCGCCGGTGACGGTAAAAACATCTCTCACGCCGAAGGTCCGAGGGCTGTTCCCCTTCCTCGACATCCGAGTTCAATGTTCAGGATGAGAGTTCCCAACCTCAAACAAAACGGTCGCCAATCTCGGAAATTCTCAAGAAACCTATTTCTGGAAAGTCCCAAATTGAAGCTTGGAGGTTGACCCGAGTTGCGACATGGCCTCCACAATCGACGAGGTGATCTCCCCGATCGTCAACAAATGGCCAACGATAAACCGGGGATACCACGGATATGGGCGATTGGCGAGATGATCCAAAACGGTCAAGCCGCGACAGTTGGAGAAAGCAATGCGAGCGAAAGCATGAAGAAGGTTGCAAAGCGGCTCTGCGTGGTCAGACGGCATGACCTTCTCGAAGATGAGCGATGCTAATCTTGGATAGCCGATGCAAGCCACCAATCCGGGGGACAAGAAGAGTGGCGCCCTTGCTGCTGGCAGTGGTCCAGGTCTCGCATGTGGCCGAGACGGGGCTTGCAGGGGAAGACGCTTCACAACCTGTGTGTGTCTGGAAATTTTAGGCGCGTGAAGCCGTTGTGGGGGAGTCTGGAATTCTGGATTCCCCTGGCTCGTGCAGCAACAAAATAAGGACCCCCAGCAAAACCAAACAAAAATATCCCACGCGCCGGTAAGACGGGGTTCGAGTCGGCCTGACTTGCCCCGACTCCCCTCTGCAGCGTCCCCACTCGGCAGACCGCAGGGCTGAACTGGCGCGCTGGGACCCGCCGGCGAGGGCGAGCTGCGGGCATGGTCAAGCGAGTCAAGCTCGTTGCCGTCTCAGCCCTGTCCGGATAAGCTCGCCAAGCGTGATGGCACAGCAGTTCTCATCTCCACCGCCCCACAGTCCATCGTGGCCGTGGCCAGTCATGGCCGAGTTGGCCAACACCATGTCACACAGTCACAAGCTGTCAAGCTCGAGGAAGGAATCAGAGCGAGAACGACATGGGGTGTGGGGGAACGAGCGAAGGACGGGGAGAACCCCCGATATAAAAGAGCATGGCGTCCCTCAGCCGTCTTCTCCTTTGTTCGTGCTCTCACCATCCCATCCATCCAAGGCTATCAAGCAAACAACAGTTTCAAGTCACTCATTTATTCTCTTTCCATCTCCAGCAGTCAACATTGATACCCGGCCTTTGCCAACCCTTTTGATTCCTTCTCCCACTTAAACCAACCTTTCAACCACAACAATCAACACAATGGCCGCTCCTCAGCAACAGCAGCCCGCCGCCGCGGGCCCCGTCAACAACGACGACATCGCCGACTGGACTGCCCGTCTCAACGATGTGCTGGCCCGCCCCGGCGAGTACGTCAACTCCAAGTCGCCGGCGACCGCCCAGCCGTGGTACAACGCCTTCTTCGGCTGCTTCGCCCCGATCGACACCTGCCTGATGGCGTGGTGCTGCCCGTGCGTCGTCTTCGGCCGCACCCACCACCGCATGCGCAAGAATGCCAACCTCGAGGGCTACGAGCCCATCAACACTTCTGTATGGTTGCCCCATCTTTGGCTCCCCTCTCTCTGATGAGACACCCCAACTAACAAGCATCTCCCAGTGCCTGCTCTTCTGCGGCTCCGGCTGCGTCGGCCTCCACTGGGTCCCCATGGCCATGCAGCGCGCCGACCTGCGCACCAAGCACAACCTCGAGGGAAGCTGCCTCTTCGACATTGCCACCGCCTGCTGCTGCGGCTGCTGCCAGATCGTCCAGGCCGACAAGGAGGCCGCGCACCGCGAACCGCTCCTTGTCCAGCAGCAGGGCTACCAGCCCCAGGGCGGCATGGCCTTCCCCGGCGCCAAGCAGTAAACTACCGGAAACCTATCTATTAAGGAATGATAATGGGACAAAGAGACGGCTGCGGTTGATGACTGCGGATAGTTAATGCGTTGCTTGGTGGATGCTTGGTACCTGCCTTGTTTTGGCGGTGTTGGTCTCTCTTGGGTCATATTTTTCAACTGCTCAGCGCATATGATACCTTTTCTAGCCTCAATCAAAAGTGCTTTCAACTCACATTTTCAAATGAAATTTTTGGGTGCGAGAATCGTGGTGCCCAACCTTCATTTTCTCGCAACACCATCCCGTCACCACCAACACGCTGAGATAGATGGTGTCAATCTCAAAATTCTCCAAATGATCAACAGCCTCAACCCCGATCCTCCATGCATTAGCTCGTCTTGGCATATTCCTAGCGTTGATGGGCTGAGCAATCCCTGTCCGGTAATTTAAATCCGGCACTTGAACTCGTCCGGAAACGGCATCCACCCCGACAACCTGCAAAGTCCCAGACACGCCAGTCAGGAAGTCTCAGACATGGCCCAACGGCCAAACGGCCCATCTCAGGGTCTCCACGAAGTGTGTCCTTCGTCGGGACCTAAAATTTCCCCGCGCGCGGGACCACCGAGATTTGGGGGCAGTCTTGCAGTGAGTGGCGTTTCCGCCCCGTCGTGACTCGTCGCTCCTGCTGCGGAGGAGCATGAATGACGGGCAGTCCGAACTGCGAATCTCTTCGTTGGATGTGTGTGAACTACCTAACTCAACGTTTGTCTCCAAGTGGAGTGCTCCCTGCCAACCGATACTAGGGAGCGTATTGTCTGGTTAGGGCCTTCGGGAAATTCCTGGCGGAGGGAATGTGCCCAAGGGTGACTGTCGAGGTATGTACCCTGAAAACAAGGAATGCATCATGGAACACACCACAACATCCCGGTGCATCTAGAATACTCTTTGCTCCGTAGGGGGACAGGTGAATCCAGAGTGATCCAGAACTGCTCCGTGATTTTTGATAGAATTCAATATTTGTCTTGAGCTCCCTATCCCCTCTCATTCCCAAAAGCATACACTTCCGTGAGGACCTTATACTTGAAAAATGTACGGTTAGTCGTGAAAGACCAGTCAGATAGCTACAGATTAGAGGTAGCAACCAAATGGTAGGGAGTTATCATGTAGTACATACAAACGTAGAACAAATATTGTATTCATCCGCCTACCATGAACTCTCGGTCTAGTCAAGCAAATCTAACTGACAAAGCCGGGGAGCATGATTCTGCCAACGGCGGGGGCGCATGGGGCGATGGAGATTGAGTCCACGGTTACGGGGTGTAAGATAATATACGCATAAAGGAGCTAAAGGAGCGGCCGGTATGATGACAGGGAGAATACGTCCTGGAAACGCAGTAGGTCATGTTGTTTGGATGGACACGGTAATAGGAGTACTTAGGTACCTAGTTTCAACGAATGACACCCGAGAGCCATTGTAAGCCGTTACACTTTTGCACTGCTACGGAAGGCGACGTCTACAGCATCAGCGCTGTGAGCCTCTTGCGCTGCTCATCATTCTCATACAGTGCCTCATAATCCGCCCTATCCACCGACCAGACCTGGAACTCAGGGGGGAAGTATCCAGCCTCGTCCCAGTCCACAATCTTCAGAACATGCAACGTCTCAGCATGCATCAAGATGCTGTGCCCATGCAGGTTACCGTGGCAAAACACATATTCCGACTGGCCAGATTCAGACTTCTTAGGTGGCCAGCAGGCGGCCTTGTCGTGAAACATAACCCAGAGCGGCGGGATGACCACCCCACCCAAGCCCGTGGTGTCCGAGGTGAGCGAGTTGAGCTGCGGAACGACCTCGTCGGCGACGAATCGACGGGCGTTGGCCCTGGCAATGCGGTCGCACTCGTCGCACTCGTTGCCGTCGTCGACGTGCGTTTTCCCGGCCGGCATCCGGCATCGGTCCCTAACGACGTCCAGCCACACGCCGCCGTGGGTGCGCTCCGTCTCGATCCATGCCGTTCCGTCGTCGTTCTCACCGAAACCGATGAGCCGGGGGACGGGGATGGTCGTTCGTTTGGAGATGAGCTGCAGGGCTGCGGCCGAGTTGAGGATCCGTTCCTTGTCGTATAGTCTTGAAGCTAACTCGCCGTTGGTTGTCTTTTGCCAGGGTTTGACGCTGTGTTTGAGCTGCGTCGATTTGGTGGTGATGAGATTGTAGAACGTGGTGAGGGACTCGCCCTCCTTTTCCTGATATCCTGAGACAACCATGATGAAAGGCAAGGATGACAGGGAGGAGTCAGAAGTGTGATTGTTGTTGATCTTGAATAGGACTTGGAGAAGAGCGGCAGAGCCAAGATGATGGAACTTGAGAACGCCAAAGGACACTCGATCTCGGAATGTGCCGGGATACATACGCAGTTGGGTCTGGAGTCCGTAGCCTTCCTCACGAGTCACAGCCTCGCAGGGGCACGGCTCTCGGCTCATGTTTCAGATACCACCCACAGGAGGTCGGTACATATGTACATGTCCGACGCAATGCGGGGTCGCACACACCTGCCTTGGCAGGCGAAGATTACCAGGTAGCCCATCTACCTAAGTAGGGAGGTATGTAAGGGAGGGGGACTCACGCCTTTGCCGCCAAAAGTTCTGTATTTGAAGCCGCATAGCAGCTGTTGTTTAATGAGTTGGCCTGGTACGCATTCTTCTTCGGCTTCTTCGGGAATTACCTAATTACCAGGTACCCAACATGGTTTAACCAGCCCCTCTGTTGGGCGGCTGAGGCCCCAACCAACTCCCAACAGTTGGACCACAACCACCGGTTTGAATGGGGGTCACCGTTTTGCGGCTGATCACTCCTTGAGCCAACCAGTCAAGTCCTCGGCCTTGAAACGGCAACGCAGAGCTGCATGTTCTAAATAGAGCTCGCCTATGCCACATGGTCACGCCTTACTCCGGCCTCGGCCCTGTCGTTGGTTTGAGGTCTTCTCCCTGAAGCAGCCCGGAACGACCTTCTTGGAGTGTACTTGGCATCAATATACTTCCTGCGTGGGCCAGCTTGCTAGGGAAGCCGAGTAACTAGCTACTTGAGCCGATGGGCTCTGCCCCCGGGTCGGCCGAGTTTCATACCCCCCACATGGTGGTCTGTTAACTAACCCAAACAGTTCACCAACCTCGGCGGCGTAGCTTGATGCCCAAGTTTGACTGAAGGCCAGGTCTGGCCGATGTTGAGACAAACGGAAACCAAATGCACTGATGAGAGTGGCAGTGGTGGAAAATGTTAGTCGTTTGAGAAAGGCACGGGAAGCTGGAATTAAGTATAAAGGTTTGTCGGACCGCCAAACCATCTCACCATATTCTTGACCTCCCAGTCGCTGCTCATTTCTTATCTGCGAACACTTCTCGCCCATTTACAGTAAGCTCTCACCACACCGGCTCCCGATCCAGTTCACCAAACTCCACGGACCGCCAAAGAAAGCTGACTTGACCTTTGGCTCGACTAGACTCACAATTATTTCTAACTTTCTTATCATTCCTCATTGTTCTGTGAACACGTCGGGCACATTTCCGGTAAGCGACTTCCATAACTGCTCCTGATTCTCTCTACCAAACCTTCGGCTCAGGGAGGAAAGCTGACTCGGCGGTTGGTTTATCGAGACATCCCTATACAATCTCTCGAAGACCTTGTACTTTGCCATCAACCCCACCTTCTACCGCAATGAGGAAGTCCACGAGTGGAACCAACTCCAAAACCTCGGCCTCCAAGGGTACGAGGACAGAAGCTTCTTCAAGCGGAAGGGCGGGTGGTGGTGGAGCCCCCGTCAACTCGAGATATTTGGTACCCAGGGCATTTGACTGCTGGCACTGTAAGACGAATGTCGGCGTCTCAACTTCCGTGTGCCCCGGAGATGGTTGTGGTGTCAGGCCCTTTATAATGTGCGGATACCTTGGCTGCGGTCCGAACAGCCTGCGCCATGATCCGGTCTGATCGTGGGTGGTCTCTGTGTGTACCATAAGCAGGTCTTGTGGTCCAGTCTTGGTCCCGGCGGGTTCCGGCCATGTTCACTTGTTTGAGTTGTACCTGAATTGAATGTACATCACCAGGGAAAGGCGTGATGGGCGTGATTGGCTGTCTTAGATACTAGTATCAAGATGATAGAGACAATTACTTATCTCAATCATGTTCCTACATATAATTCGGACTTCATCGTACTTTCTGATTGGGATCGTAATAAGATCATTATCCTGGGTAAATCGAAAACTTGAGTTGCTAAAACCGACTTAAATCGTCTCTTCATAATGACTAAATAATTCCATGAACTGTAAGTGCAACCGCTGTAAGCCTGCCCTTTACTGGAGTAACACCAACGTCTCACCCCCCGCCCTGTATCTACACAGCCAAAGCAAGCGGTGCTAAACCCGGGCCTGAAATAGCACCATCCTATCCGGATTCGTCAAGCCCGGGAGCCGGAATGCCGGTGTTGCCAAGTTGAGTCCTCTTGATACCGGCGAGCCTTCATTTTCAAGTTCAGGGAGAGCCAGGCAGCCAGTCAATTCCTCCCTTCCACCGCCGTCTTACCGGCCTCCGTTACCGCCGCCTGGTCAGGTTCCGTGGCAGTATCCTCCTCATTCAACCACGAGGGCATAATGTAATCGCTGTCCCACATGCACACGGCCTTCCTCTTCGCCTCCGCCTTCTGCCGCTTCAACCTGGTCCACTCGGCGATCTGCTCGCTCTTCAACTCACAACCGTGGCAGTCCTCGTCGACGTACCGTAGACAGTTGCACGTCTCGCACAGAACCTGTCTGTGGAAGCGCGCGCGGGCGTCCGCGTCGGCCAGCTGCGGGTGGTAGAAGCGCCTCAGACACTCCCAGCACCGGCGGCGCCAGTACTCCCCGGAGCAGAGCTTGCGCGACAGGCGGTACTGCTTGTCCGAGAAGTGGCGCTTCTCGCGGATGCGGAAACACCCAAAACACGCCCTCGGATGCGGGTGCCATATCAACGACCGCGGCCGCGGCCGCTTCGCCCGCTCCATCACAAACTCCCACATGCCATACACATCGCGACACTGCCCAACCGGATCCACCACCCCCCGAAAGAACCGACTGACCCTCTTCAGCGCCAACAGATCCCCATACCCCAACAGCCCACACACCCTCTGCACCACCTCCCTCGGCAGCCCTTCCACCCCCACCTCCCTTTTCACCACCTCCCCCTTCACCACACACTCCCCCCCCTCCACACACTTCTCACTCCCCACCCTCGCCACCCCACACCCATGACACGGATACCACCTCACCCCCCCCTTCACAACCCCCCTCAGATGCGCATACCGCCTCTCCCTCACCCCACACTCAAAACAAAACCTCCCCATCTGCTTCTCCGCCCCCTTCCCACCCTTCCCCCTCGCCCCACACCGCTGGGAATCCCCAAACGCCTCCCGCGGCAGGAAGCGGAAACACGTAAAACAGACTAGCCGGTTCGCGTGCTGCGGGTAGTGCTGGTCGGCGTGGTGGTAGAGGGCGAGTTTTTCCGTGGGGGGGCGGCCGAGGGTGTCGGGGTTGATGGATGCGTGGAGGGCGCGGGAGGTTAGGGGGAGGGTGAGGGCGAGGGTGGGGTAGGGGAGGTGGGAGGCGATGAGGTGGAGGAGTTCGGGGGGGAGGGTGGTGAGGGTGGGTTTGGGTTTTGGGTTTGGGGGGCGGGTTGGTGTTGGTTGGGTTTGGGTTTGGGTTTCGGTGGGGATGGGGGTGATGGTTGGTGTTTGTGGTGTTGGGGTGTTGGCATCGGCGCGGGACTTGGACCGGAGATGGTGGAGGGTCCTGCGGAGTCGGTTTGGGTACCACGACGGTCCGCCCCGCCACGGGAAGTTGGTTGGGTTGGTGGAATGGTAGCCGGGAATGCCAGCCACTCGTCCGGGGCCTGCTGGTACTATTGCTGTTGTTGTGGCTAGGGTTGTTGATTCAGGGTCTGGGTCGTGGCCGGTGTCCCGGAAATCAAGGGTGCGATCCATTGTGGTTGATATTGTTGGACCGGCACGGCCCGTGGTTGTGTGATTTATTGATGTGTTGATGGTAAACGGTGGGTGATGTTGAATAGTTTGTGCCATTTAACCTTCAGTTAGGTAGTGATAGGAAAACCACTATATCGTGGAGCTTCGATGCAGGCAGGGAATGGGCGATGAACTTGAGAGTTGAACAGCTCCGTTTGTCACAAGGTAGCACCTTTAAAAGCATCAACGCTATTCTGGCTCCACGGGAGTCACCGTGTCATTCAAGGGGGTGGGCACCTCAGAAACCCTGTTTACCAATCGGATCTCTGTTTACTCCAGTACAGACATATCAGCAATCACGGTATGACTCGACGACACGATGTCGAGTCATTGATGACCCCGGAATCCCGCATTGAGGACGGCTGCCAAGAGCTGCAGTGGTCCAGAACAAGGCGCAGGAAGAACCCGACAGGGATACGAATAGGGTAAACCAGCCTCCCGATTCAGGCAACGACGCCGATAAGTGCGAGAAAACGCGAGAAACGTTCAATTATGGGTATCGTCCAAAGGCGAAAGGCATCCATCTACATACATCGCGCGCTCAAAACATATCCTTCAAATGCTGGTACACGCTCGCATCCTTCTGTCCCGCCAATCCCTCGCCTCCCGCCAAAACCCCCGTAATGCCAAGCCCGGGGCTGCCATACCCCATGTCCGCCGTCCCCGGCCCCGGCCCCGGCACGCCGCCGCCGCCGCCGCCGCCAGCCACTCCCGTCCTGCCCGTGTAGCCCTCATAGATGCGCAGCATCTCGCTCTGCAGCCGCTGCCCATTGCTAAGGGGGTCGTCTATCTGCATCGGCTGCGACGTGCCTGGTGTGGGCGCAGGCGGGCTCGCCACGCTGGCAGTGCGGCCTCGGCTCCCGGGCCGGCTGGCGGCGCCGCTGTTCAGCAGGCCCGGCACGCTAGGGCTGTAGCCGGAGCTGCCGCTGCTACCGCCGCCGCTGGTGTGCGCATACGGTGATGCCACCGCCGGCAGGCGGGTTGAACTGTCCCCGAGGCCCAGGCTGGGCGCATACGCGCGCAGCGACCGGATGGTGCGCCATAGGCGGTGCGAGACCCATGATCGCGATGACATGTCTTTGACGAGGTCGAGCGCCATGTAGAACTCGTCGCGGCACATGGCGCTGAACAGCAGGGGCGCGTGCGTGGAGGCGAGGAACAGCACCGCGATGGACGACGTGAGGAACTGGTGGTAGAAGACTTGGATGCGCCGGTACAGATCGGTTTCGTTGTTGAGCTGCGCGAGGAGGCGGATGGTTTGCTGGGCTAGGTCAACTACCTTGCGGGCGAGTGGCACGTTCTCGGAAATACTAGTTGCGCTGTGTAGAACGGGCGTGTACAGCCAGATTCGCACCTGGAGCGGTCAGCCAAGGACGGTGAGAACGTTCGGAACAGACCGCGACATACTTGGTTCAGTCTCAGCCAAGTCCAGACACGCAGCCGCTGGAGGTCGTACCGCCCCGAAGGCACCGACGGCTCGCCGTTATCCAGCCGCTGGGTTTGCATCTCCTCGGGCACGCTCTGGTACCAGTCCATGATCTCGCGGTCGAGTTCGTCAAAGTCGTGGGGCTTCAGCTCCCGGATGACGGCAGGCTCAAAATAGTCGACGAGCCTCCATATCTTGGCACCGAGCCGAGAGTATCCGATCATGGCAACCAAAAACGGATGGCCCTCCTAAAGCATGTCAGCGAAGCGAAGCGACAAAAAACGGGCGGCTGGCGACGTCTCCTACCGGGTACGGCAATTTCGGATCGATCTTGTCGTCGTGGCACACAAACGGCAGGCCGGTGCTGAAGCTCCACCGCCGGTCCAGGACGTACGCAGACCAAAAGGTATGCAGCGCGTTCCGGCGCAGCTGCGGGTCGGAAATCTTCTGCAGGCCCTCCCGGCGGTGCAGGCCGAGCTCGAAACACAGGCGGGCGACCTGGCCGATCAGACGCCAGGCGAGCACCTCGTCGTTAGAGAGGTAGCGATAGCCGGCACACAGGGCGAGGAAGGATAGCTGGGTCACGTCGGCGGCCTCGCTTGTGAGCATCTTGTCGACGGTTGGCTGGACGCTGTCGTACAGACGCACGGCCCTGTCGCTGTTGCCGTGCTCGGCCACCACCAGAGCGCAGCACAGGAGGATCTTCAGCAGCAGTGTCTTGGGGTCGATGACGATCTGATCCAGGCCGGGTGAAAGGGCGGCGCCGGTCCGTCTGGCCGTGTCGGTCCACGAGGCGATGTGCTTGATGTGCTGTTTGACCGAGTTGATGGATGTCACGGGGTACATGACGTCAATCTCCTCGCAGAAGACGTGCAGCAGGCGCGTCATCTCGGTCTCGTCGAACTCCCAGATGGGGTCGATGGCGCCCTGTGCGAGGGCATCGGAGAACACGGGGGGCAGCGAAGGGGACGCATGGGGCGTCGAATCGGGCTGCGTCCCGCTGTCCTCGTTGCTGTCTCCTACGCCGGAGTAACCCATGGTATGGAGGGTGTTCTTGGCGACACCAACGGTGAAGGCGAGGCTGGTTGGGCCGTTGAAGTAGGAGGGAACTCGGAAGGGGAGGGCAGGCCGCTGGTAGGTGCCGGACGAGGCCGAGGGAGAGGGCGTGGCGGCGCCCGAAGGGGGTGGGAGCACACGGTCCTGCAGCGGGGCGAGGCGCGCCGTCTCCTGGCGCAGCGAGTTCATGGAATTGAAGAGGGTGTCGACATGGTCCTGCAGCTGTCTGATCTGATCGGCCATCTCCCGGAACTCATCCGAGTCCTTGAAGTTGGCACAGCAGTTCGGAGCATAGAGGCATTGAAGATTGAGATGACCGCATCGCTGGCACGGCGTCTGGCCGTTGCACTTGATCTTGCGGCGTTTGCACTCGTTACTGTGAAGGGGGCGGGAGGGCAGGGTCAGGAATTCCAATCTCTGCTGTATGTCTCTCGGGTTCGGAAGCGAGATGCGTGGGTTGGATGGGTGGGTGCTTTTCTTCTGCCGCTGCTTGGTATGCACCAACATGCGGGTAACCGTCGCACCAGGGGGACCGGGGAACAGGAACAGGAACATCAAAAAAACTTAAAACTCACCATGCAATCGAGATGTACTATTTACGGAGAGAGGAGCGATAAGTTCAATGGTTAGCCAAGTGACCCAAGCCAACAACACCAACAAACAGCGACAATGGTGAATGACAGGAACAGGAATCGTGCTTACTCGATTTCTTTTGCTTCTCTGCTGCCTCGATGGGCCGTCATCATCCTCTTCAGCCCTCCTCTTCGCATTGGCACTGCTGCTGCCGGCGGCATGGGCATCGAGCGGTGACTGGGGGTGGTGGTGCTGCGGTGCGGAATTGTCTCCGGGGGCGGAAAAGGGCGATTGATGACTGTTGGCGCGATGTGGACCAACATCATGCGGCGACACGACCTGTCGGGCTGTTTCTGGGCCCTGCGGAGCCGTTGTCGTCTCCAGGAAAGAGCGCAAATCGCTGACCTGGTTTTCGAGCTGATCCATTGACACAGGCCTTCATACCTTGGAGTGGTTCAATTGCGCGCGCTCCAGTGCCAGAATCACCCGCCGCGAGGAGTTTCGGTTTTCCGCACTTGCCGAGAACCGCGCTGCGAGCCGACTGGAAGAGCGCGCCCATCAGCAACACAAGCTCGCACTCCAAGTGGAGAGACACGTGATTGCCTGCAAGCCTACCTCTTTTGGGCCTTTCATCTTTGTCGATCATGCACTGGCTTGTTGGGAACGAGGGGGATGGACCCTTGCCTTTTTGACGATTCTTGGCAGATTTGAGATTCGGGGTCGGGCCGTGTCTCAGTGTGTGTGTGCCATTGTTTGCTTCTCATGCGGGTCACTCCTAATTTAGAACACCAAACTTTCCGGCATCCATTTTAACTATCATTTCAGAACCGGATGTTAATCCAGGCGTGTCCCCTTCACTTTTGCAAAGCGCTGTAAATCCGCCCGCGGCATTCCCCAAACCCAACCCGCGCACCCTCCTCCCCACAGAACCCACGAAGCGTTACGGTATCCCCATCCTTGAGAAATGTCCGCGCATCCATCCCAGCTAGCAGAACCTCCTTCTTGCCGTTCTCCGTCATTTCCAGCAGGCTGCCGCGCTCGTCAACGCCACCGGGCCCGCTGATGGTACCAGACCCGAGCAGATCGCCGGAGCGCATGGGGCAGCCGCCTAGGGTGTGGTGCGCCAGCATCTGCGGGAATGACCAGATTAGGTGCTTGGAGCTGGTGCGGCCGATGGTGGTCGTGTCGCCCTCGGCGGCTGGTCAAGCGGTGTTAGCAAGTAAGTCCGTCCACAGATAGGTAAAAGAGAACAAAAGAAAACTGCCAGGCAGGCAGCACACGTACTCGTCAAATCCACCTCCAACCTCACATCAAACACGCTCTCGGCCCTCCCCTCCCTCAAATACCCCTGCACCTCCGGCCGGCCCTCCACCTCAACCCCCTTCGCCCGGAACGGCTCCAGCGCATCAGCCAGCACCACCCACGGACTCACCGTACTCGCAAAATTCTTGCCATTAAACGGTCCCAGCGGGACATACTCCCACGTCTGCACATCCCTCGCACTCCAGTCATTCAACAACACATACCCAAAAATATACTCCTCCGCCTCCCCCACCGCGATCCCCCTCCCCATCTCATTCCCCCTCGCCACAAAACACCCCAATTCCAACTCGATATCCAGCTTACGCGACGGCGCCGTGACCGGCTCCGGCTTCCCGTCCAGCAGGATCTGCCCGACCGGCCGGCGCACGGGCGTGCCCGACACGACGATGCTGGACGCGCGGCCGTGGTAGCCGACCGGCAGGTGCAGGTAGTTGGGCTGCAGGGCGGCGTCCGGGCCGCGGAACATGGCGCCGACGGCGAAGGCGTGGTGGTAGCCCGCGTAGAAGTCGGTGTAGTCGCCGATGGCCATGGGCAGGTGGGTGCGGACGGCGGATTGGGGGAGGAGGGCGCGGGCGCGGAGGGTGGGGTTGTCGCGGAGCAGGGAGGGGTGGGCGGTGGTGGTGGAGAGGAGGTTCTGGAGGGCGGTGCGGACCTGGCGGTGGATGGGCCGGCCTAGCTCGGCGAAGGTGTTGAGGGTGGGTTGGGCGAAGGCTTCGGGGAGGTTGGGGATGGAGGGGAAGAGCTGGGATGAGAGGTCTGGGTTGGCGGTTAGGACTTTGAGGTCGAGGGCGTATGAGCCGATGGCTACGGCGGCGTGCGGCGCGGGGTCGTCGGGGGTTGAGATGATGCCGAACGGGATGTTGGCGAGCGAGAAGTCGCTGGCCGGGTCGATGTCTGGCACCCACGAGCTTGCCATCTTGAGTGAATTTTGTGTGTATTGGCGTTGGTGTTGGGGGTTGTGTATGATGCCGCACCGTGATGTCTCGGGGTGTGGTATGTTGATGTATGTGGTCTGCTATGTATGCTATTGCCCGTCGGGCCCTCCGCGGGGCAGCCCGATGCAAGCCGACGCCCCACCTGCCCGTCCCGCACCGTTCCGCGCCCTCGGAGCCGGATCCTGATGGGCACTCGGGTTGGGGTCCACCACTTGGTTGCCAGCGGTTAAAATGGTGGGTGTTCGCGGTCAACAGGATGGGACATATATGGCATATGACATGACCTTCAAGTTCGAGGGGCTGCCAAAGCAGGGTAACAGAATATCACCCATGACGGATGGTGGTATCGAGTGATGTAACACCCGGCACTCTCCGCTCATACTCGTCAAATCTTAATAAAGATCTCCGTCGCCTCGCATGCCTTTCTCAATATCGTCCGATCCTCACCACAACTACATATGACGTCCAGAAACAGGATGAGCTCATGAGCAGCAAGCCCCTTACAGGGGCTCAGCGTGGGGTGGTGGGCCTCACCATACCGTTGGGGCCAACCGGGTTTGTCCCTGCAGCGCCAAGGGGAGGGCGTCACCATGTCGGGGTTCTGGATAAGATGAGATGGGCACAAGTCGTTCGTCCGTCTCATCACCCCATTGACTCTGTCACCAGGTCTGGTCTTACCAGCCCGTCATCACACCGATTGCCTCCCATCAATCCCGCCACAGCCACCACCACCCACCACGCCATGGAAACAACCACGGCCACCCTCCCCCTCGCGGCAGCAGCCCCCGCGCACCGCCCCGCACGCCGCCTGACCCGGCACGCGCGAGTGCAGCCGGCCACGATCTTCCACCCACAGGACCCGAGCCTCTCGCCAGAAGCGCACTTCCCGCTGCAGACCGTCTCGGGCCCGGACCGCGCCCCCTTCCCGCGCTTCATCAACCGCTTCGACAGCCGCGAGATGCTGCTGGTCGTCGACGGGTCCTGCGTCAACAACGGCCGGCACGCCAACCGCCTCGCCGACCCCACCGGCGGCTGGGCCTTCGTCTTCAAGGGCGCGGGGTCGAGCACTCCCACCCCGCCGGGCATGCCATCCCACCACCACCACCACGAGCCTGGGACCACCCCCCCTAACGCCGCCACTTTACCACCCGCAGCAGGGCGCGTCGCCTTCCCGCTGGAGCGGCACGGCCCGTCCGGGGAGCGGGCAGAACCCACATCCAACCGGGCAAAACTGCGGGCGGTGATCGGGGCGCTGCAGTTCCGGGCGTGGGGCGACGAGGGGTGGCGGCGGGTGGTGGTGCTGACGGACCTCGAGTACGTGGTCTGGGGCGCCACGCGCTGGCTGCCGCGGTGGGTGGCGCGCCGCTGGCGGAAGCCGCGCCATTGCCCTGGGGGTGGGCGGCGGTATGGGAATCGGGATTTGTGGGAGGAGCTGCAGGCGACGGTGGAGGAGTTGCGGGTTGGGGGGTGTGAGGTTTCGTTTTGGTTGGTGAGGGGGGGCGAGGTGGAGGTGGGGGATGGGGGGGATGGGGGGGTTATGGCGCGGGCGAAGGAGGCGGCGAGGCGCGCGGCGAGGGGGTTTGAGGGGGAGGAGCCGGATGCGTTTACGAAGATTTCGGGGGCTATGGTGTGAGTGAGGGGTTTGGCGGCAGGTTTGGGAGACTCAAAAGTTGTGTTTGTTTCGTCCTGCACCGAGGAGGAGGAGGGGCGCTTTTCTTGCGTCGACCGTTCTGGGTGGAATCAGCAGTTATCCGGGTACCAGCACCGTTCTGTTGACGAAGGGCCACCTGGTTTCAGTAAGGGAAGACATCCTATTACTTCGTACTATTTGATCTTTTATCTGTTATTAATTAAGTGGGTGGTAGTTCTAGGTACCGGTCGTTTTCTGAATGGGTCAAGATTTGCAGTCAATACTCATCTACGAATGGCCAAGGCCGAGTCAACGGAGTGGCCGACGTTGGAGACAAGCTTGGTTGGAGAAGCATGACCTATGGATGCTCTGGCTGGCCTAGCATGGTTACACTGCGCAGTCACGGCAGAGATTCGCATGCCGATCTACCACACCAACTTCTCGGACGTCGCGAGGCTGTCGAGCGGCGAAATGGAGGAAGAAAAATCGGACCATGGCGGCGGGCCCGACAATATTGAAATGGGCGGGCCTCGGTATGCAGACAGGAAGCTCCGGTGGACCGGTTGCAGTGGAAGGATGGGCAAACCCTGAACTTGGCGCTGTAACTCGCTCGGCGGTGGTCGTATTCCGTCGGCGAGAGGCTGCAATGGAACGCTCAAAATCTGCACACCCGACGGGAAACAACGACCCACAGCCCCGCTATCGGTCTCAGGTGTCACGCGCCCTCAATAAACCAACAAATTCACCATCTTTTCGGGTTGGACCCAAGAGTTACCTTAGTTATCAGATCCTATTTCTGTGCAACCTCCGCTGGTTTTCGCGAGGGGAGGAGGGGTAGCCTCGGCGAAGAAGGTGAGGGCTCCCTGCTAATTCGGCCCGTTTTGGAAAAGAACTGCTTATCAGATGGATCTGATTAGATCTATTGGTCGGCCGTGACAGGGCCTTTCCGGCCTGGGCGCGGCGAGCATCGGACTCGGCCGCCCCTTCTTGGGTTTTCCGCCGGGAGTGGTCGCGCGTCAATTGGTGCAACCTTCCACAAGGAATCCCTCGCCTTGGGAATAATGCGACAATTAAAATTCTGCGTGGGCGAAGATGCCCAGATGGGATGTTTTCCACGTGGGAGTCGCATGGGGGTTACCCACTTCCCCCAGAACATAAATATTGCCTGTGGGAACTTGAGCTTGGGCTTGCTGATCTCTACTGCATCACAGTCGTAGTTCCTTACAAGTAAACGTTCTGTGTGTGACGGTGTGTTCGTTGTTTTGCTCCTGTGCTGCATTGACAACTCGACCATGGCTCGCGGCGGTGACAACAACCCGCCCTTCGAGGCCACCGCGACGGCGGACAGCGCACACTCCGACCTACCCGGCCGAGCCTCTTCGGTCTCGATCTCCCCCTCCGACGACAAATCCCCCGGTGTCCGCCGTGCTGAGGCTCTAGCTGCTGTCTTGACCACCACGGACCGCGTCTTCATCTTCCTAGGCGTCTTCCTCGTCGCCTTCGCCTACGGCCTTGACGGTGTCCTCCGCTATGCCTACCAACCCAAAGCGACCGCCTCCTTTTCCCAGCATTCGCTGCTGGCGACCGTCAACGTACTGCGGTCCGTCATCGCTGCCGCCGCTCAGCCCACGTCGGCCAAGATTGCCGACATCTTCGGTCGCGCCGAGCTGGTCGTCCTCTCCGTCTTCTTCTACGTCCTCGGCACCGTCATCGAGACGGTCTCAACCAACGTGTCGACCTTTGCGGCGGGCGCCCTCATCTACCAGATCGGATACACCATGATCATGCTGCTCGTCGAAGTCATCGTCGCCGACATTACATCGACGCGCGCCCGTCTCATCTTCAGCTACGTCCCGGCCATGCCTTTCCTCATCACCACGTGGGTCAGCGGCAACGTCTCGCAGGCCGTCCTCGAAGTCACCGACTGGCACTGGGGCATTGGCATGTGGTGCATAATCTACCCCGTGTGCGCCATGCCCCTGATCATAAGCCTGACCCTCGTCGGCCGTCGCGCCCGGAAGCAGGGCATCATGGAGAAGTACTTTGAGGACGTCAAGGGCATGCCGTGGGGTGCTTTCCTCGTCGACCTCTTCTGGCGCCTGGATGTGATCGGCGTGATCCTCCTGATCGCCGTCTTCGCCCTCATCCTCGTCCCCATGACCATCGCCGGCGGTTTCGAGGCCTCCTGGACAGCCCCGCAGATTCTCGGCCCGCTCATCGTCGGCGTCTGCACGATTCCCATCTTCGTCTTCTGGCAGCTGCGCGCGCCGCACCCTCTGGTGCCCTTCTACCTGATCAAGGACCGCGCCGTGTGGGGTGCGCTCGGCATCGCCATGCTGCTCAACTGGGCCTGGTACATGCAGGGCGACTATCTCTTCACCGTCCTGCAGGTCGCTTTCGACTTCGACGACATGACGGCCACACGCGTGTCGTCTTTCTACAGCTTCTTCAGCGTCGTTTCGGGCTGCATCCTCGGCCTCGTCGTCTACAAGGTTCGCCGGCTCAAGATCTTCATCGTCGCCGGCACCTGCCTCTTTATGGTCGCCTTCGGCTTGCTGATCCGCTACCGCGGCGACGCCGACACCTCCAGCCGGGCGGGCGTCATCGGCGCCCAGGTCGTCCTCGGTCTCGCCGGCGGTATGTTCCCCTACCCGGCGCAGGCGTCGCTGCAGGCCGCGCTCAAGCACGAGCACCTCGCCGTCATGACCGGCCTGTACCTGGCCACCTACAACCTCGGCTCGGCCTTTGGCGGCGCCGTCTCGGGCGCCATCTGGACCCAGGTTCTGCCCGGCCAGCTAAACGAGCGCCTCCTCGATTTCAACAACGCCACCCTGCCCACCCTCGCCTACGCCGACCCCTTCACCTTCTCGAAGGAGTACCCCGTCGGCACCGACGAGCGTCAGGCCGTCATCGAGTCGTACAAGTACGCCCAGCGCCTGCTGACCATCACGGGTATCTGCCTGTGCGTGCCGCTGATCGCCTTTGCCGCCGCGCTGAGGAACCCCAAGTTGAACGACGAGCAAACGCTGGCCCAGGACAAGCAGGCCGTCCAGGTCCCTGCCGCCGAGCAGGCGGAGAAGCGCGGGGATACCAAGGAGGTTGCGCCGTGATTTGATGATACCCCCAAGAGAGATTCTTGTTTTATCCAACCAGAGTAGTAGTAGCAGCCTATCTGTCGTTGGAAAGCAATTTAATGTTAATGATTAACTTACTACGAGGCGAGCTGTGGCTACCAAAACCTAACCGCCGCCTCCACCACTATTATGCTGGTGATAAAAGCCGCCCAAGGCGCACCGCACCGGCCATGAATGAGTTTGAGGTTGACGAGACCGCCAATATGTTCTATTCTACTTTACATTCTTGCCCCTCGCTATGTCCCCGCCGTAAAGAACGAGTCGAAGGGAACACGATTCGTGCCACGGAGTATCCGTCCAGCCGACGCCGACAACCGCGTAGGGAGACCGGGTACGTTCTCTCTCTCATGGGGAAACAAGTCCGGCCGTGCTCCTCGCGGCCTTCCACGGCTTGATGCCAACTGTGACAAGCGACATCATACATGAATAGGGGAACTGGTGATTGGGCTCAATCGGACAGCCCAGCTTCCCGCTCGATGGCCTCCTTGCTTGGGGACCACTTGTCTTGAAGTGCCCTGTCCAGCGTCAGCCCGTAGACTTCCTTGGGCCACCACTGGCCCCAGCTGGTGAGAAGGATTTGCTCCGGATCCGCGGGGAAGTCGTCCCGGGTGAATGCTCGGAGGATGCTGTGCGCGCCTACATTCGTCAACTTCGTCACCCTGCCTACCAGACGGGGCTCCAAGCACCTACCTTCAGCAATCGACTGAGCACCGGGCATATCCTCACTGAACAACCCCGACTTCTTTACGAGGTTCGTACCGGGGATGAAACCCGGCGAGACAGCGACGACGGTGCACTGGCCTGCCAACTCCCGCCGCCACCAGTGCGCGCTGACCAGCTGGACGAACTTGGTCTGGCAGTACGTCGTGTAGAGGTCGATAACTGTGTCCGCCCGGAGGTCCCTCTCCAGCGATTCTGCCGCTACCGTCAGTGTCAACCTTCTCGTTACAACTCCCATGTCAGATACTCGGACTGGCACGTACCTGTCTGACCCACGAGCCTCACCGCCCCGGACGAGACGATGACGACCCTCGACTTGGACTCAACCAGTTTGTCGCGGAACAGATGCAGCAGGTAATGTTGCGCTACAACCGCTCGTTAGCAAGCCCATCCCAGTCAACTCCCAGACAACCACCCCTCCCCTCCCACCCCTCTTCCTATCTCAACCCCTTAAGGACACAACAAAAGAGACTCACAAAGATGGTTCACCACCGCCCCCTCCCCCCACCCCCACGGCCCGACCTTCTCCTTCCGATTCGGCTCCCCCAGCGCCGCATTCAACAACAAATAATCCACCCTCCCCCCCTTTCCCTCCTTTCCCTCACCCCCCTCACCACCACCCCCTTCCCCACCACCACCACTAACAAGCCTTGCCAGCGCCTCCCACGCAAAGGCGCGCGCGCCGGCGAGGTCGAACAGCTCGAGCGGCAGCACCGTGACGCTGTGGCGGGCCGCGTCGTAGCGCAGCGTGTCGAAGGCTGCCAGCGTGCGCGGCACGTCCCGCGCGCCCAGGATGATGCGGTAGGGTTGTTGGACGGGGGAGGGTTGGGTGAGGAGGTGTTTGAGGAGTTCGAAGCCCTGTGCGGTATTAGTGTTAGTGCTGGGTGGGGGGCATGGGAATGGGATGGGATGGGTATGGCGGATGGGATGGGTAATGGGTATGGGTGTATGAGCTGGGGAGTGAGGAGTGAGAGTGAGGGTTGGGGGGCAAGGAGGGCGTTGAAGGGTGTCGATATTAACGTACCATGCCGGAGGAGGCGCCGGTTGCGATGATGGTTTTGGCGGAGAGCATTTTGGAAGTGGCTTTTTGACGGTATTAAGCGTTGTTCTCGGGAGGTGAGGATGGTGGAAATGATTGAGAATGAGATGGAAAACAACAATGGGAAGACATGGTGAACGAAGTATTGGTATATGTATCTTTGAGTTTGACGTTGAACTCCCTGATGCTATGTACACCCTGACGTCTAAGTCCGTAACGGTGGGGCTGGGTTATCTCCGAATCTCGAATTGCGGTGCCAACAGTGATTATGAATCAGGGGACAGCCGATATTTACTACTTTGATCCTTTTGGGAAGTGTTGCGCGGTCCGGAAGCAATGCCTGCCGCTCCTTCATCTGTTAAACGGACCCATCAGCGATGTAACAAGCCTGAGACCGGAACCAAAAGGGCAGACGGTGAATACTATTTGCAACTATCCAGGTCGTACGTAACCAACACACACATTACAGCTCTCTCGTATCCGCATTTACATCATGTATCTCTTTATGAACAAAACAAGGAAAGACATCATCAGATCGTCGCTCATCGCTGCCATGTCTCTGCAACCCAAACCCCCCAGACCCCATCCAGCATCGTGTTTACAACCAACATCCGAATGCACTGTAGCCGTCCAACTCTGAACACGAAACCGCCCATCAAACCCAACGTCTCCCTCTCATGTTAAAGTAGCCAACATAGCCCTCATCAACTTCGGCGGCGGACCTATTAACACAAGAAATCAGCAAAAGGCGTTCCCACACCCCGTGGCCCGACCAGGATATATCCATACCCATACGAAAGAAAGAAAGAGAAAGCGATAAAAAAGGCACAGCACCACACACACACAAACGAACACACACACACACCACACAAACAAACACAAACCAAAACCCACCATCCACAAACAAAACACCAACTACCGATACCTCGGCATGCTAATAGACAGCCTACCTCGCTTATCCCTCTCAATGCGCGGGCCCCCGCGGCTCGGTTCCTGGATCTGCTCGATCTCCTCCTCATACAGAACCAGCTCGCCCGTGCTGAGGCGCTCGGCGCGGACCAGCTCACCACCACCACGGCTGAGGCTGCGGCTGCGGTGCCGACTGTGGCTGTGACTATGCCGGTGGCGGCTGCGGCTGCCCTCGCGCCGCGCCAGCTGCGTCTCCAGGTGGCGGATCTCGGAGCGCAGGTCGTCCGTCTCGTACGCGCCCGAGTGCCGGTGGTGGTGGTGGCGCCGCTCGCCGGCGAGGGCGACGGGCCCGACGGGGACGTGGCCTGATACCTCGCGCGAGCGGTCGACTACGATGGCGGGCGGGCCGCTGGTGCTGGTGTAGGTGTCGTAGGAGGAGGTGGTCGTATCGTATGTGTCGTAGGAGGTGGTGGTGTAGCGGGCGGGCGAGACGTCGCGGACGACGGTGGTTTTGACCACGTCGACGGGGTGGTGGTGGTGATGTGGGGGGTTGGCATCGATGATGACCGGGCCTGTGCCGCCGGGTATGACCTGGGCGGCGGAAGGTGGGGGGAAAGCAGGAGTGGCAGGGCTGGATTCATAGATCTCGGTCCGGCGCTCGATGCGCTCTTCGATGATGTCGCCTGCGCTCGAACGAGCAGTGACGATTTCGAGTTCACCTGTGGGTGTTAGCCGGGAGGGGTGTAGGAATGGGAAAAGAGAACGAACCCTTCTTGTACTCATCGCTGAGCTTCAGGAGGTCGTCAATATTATGCTGGCCGAGAGCCTTCTGCACGATGACCACGTTGCCCTAGGGCCGTCAGCATTCTCCGTCTGGCCCTTCCTCAGCGCGGATGGGAACCCACCTCCTCCACATAGGGATACCCCAACTCAATCAACGCCCGCTTCGACACCAGCCGAGCCGGGATGCGCGTCTTGCCCTTCTTGGGGTACTCGCTCCTGGTCGTGAGCGTGGTACCGCCACTCTCACTCGACGAGCTGCTCGAGCTCGAGGACCTCGACCGGCCGCGGCGGCGACTCATCGCTCTCGAATCACGGCTCCTCGTACGGCGCCGCGTCCTCACAACCTCCCTCTCCCGCACGCGCTCGGGATACGCATGGAAATCCTCGTCCCCATACCGGTGCGGATCCGACACCTGGATCTCATCAAAGTGCTCCCGCTCCCTCTCGGCATACACCCGCGGCGGCGGCAGCGCTTTGGTGCGCGGCAGCGGGATATCCACATAATGCGGCACGCGCGGCGGCTCATCCCTGCGGGCAGGCGGGCCATACTCCTCATCCCTCTCCCAGTAGCGCTTCGCCGGCTTGCGATCGAACGTATCCAGACTCGACTGCCTGCGCATCAACCTGCCCGGGCGCGGCCTCGGCGAGGGGCTCCTGTACCGGTCCTTCTCGATCACCACGCGCGACCTCTCCAGCTCGGGCGACGGGGGCGAGACAGGCCGACGCCAGAACTCAGGCGGGGGCGGCGACGGCCGGCGGCGAGCCGGCGGCGGGGGCTCGTCGTCGTACACCACGCGGCGCCGCTCGCGCGACCGTTCCCGTACCATCACCGACTCGCGGTCATCATCATCGTGCCCGCGGAACCGCCGTCCCTCCCGCTCCCTATCCCGATCCAACGGCGGCAGCGGCGGTGGGCCCACGGATCTGTCATCTCTATCTCTCTCCCGATCCCTCTCCCTTTCTCTGTCTCGATCCCGATCCCGATCCCGATCCCGATCCCGATCCCGATCCCGATCCCAGTCCCTCTCGCGCTCCCTCTCCCAAGGCGGCGGCGGTGGCAGTCGCGATGTGGCCGACAGCGGGGGCCCGCCGCGGCGCACATAGACGTGGTCGTCGTCGTCCTCGAAGCGCTCGCGCACCTCGCTGTAGCGGTCGCGGTCGCGGTCGCGGTCAAGGTCGCGGTCCCAGCGCTCGGTGCGCTCCGCTGTTCGGTAGGCCATATCTTCTTCTCTTTTGGCGGAATGGGGTTGGCCAAGTCAGGCCGGGCCTGGTTGTATGTATGTACCTGGTTTGGCCGGTAGAGGAAATGGAAGGAGGGGTCGGTTTTGGTGGGGCCGGCGGTCGTGGGGTGCAGGGCTGAATGGGCGCAGACTCAGAAGCCTGGTTGGGTGGGTGGGTTTGGCTCCGTCCTTCAGCGTTGTTGGGGATATCGATGTCCTGGGGCGATATCTTGATATGGGACGAGGTTGGTGGTTTTGCGGGCGGGTGTTTGGATGGATTTTTATTTCGGGTGCAGAAACGGGGAGGGGTTGCAAGGAGAGTGCAGGGTTCCCTCGGCGGTCCCAAGTCCAAGATGTTGGTCCTATGACGACACAAAGTGACCGGGGGCCACCTACCAAGCGAAGAGGGAGCCAAGGCTCTCCAGCTGGCACACGAATGGTCTGTGTGCCGCCCCCTGCCTGTTTCACGGCAGTGCAAGGCGCGCGGAGCTTCGAGACCCACTCGTTGTCTCGGGAAGCCTCCAACTCTTCTTCCTCCGGAGCTCAGGTTCAACGAAGAATGCAGCCATTTGAGCGATCGACTGGGTCTAAAACTTGGTACTTCAGCGTTCGTTGAAGTCCGAGAACTCTCGTGGCATGTTTCTACCCATTGAGTAGATTGAGACATCAAATCGACAGCAGGATCCTCGGACAGAGACACCCCCGAACTTGGCATGTACATACATGTACAATGCCCAAGAAGCCCACACAGTTCGATCCGGTCACAGAAGATCTGTCTACGTACATGTAGATTTTGTTACATTATTAGGTAATTTGCTATTTTGCTGGCGTTTATCGTCGTTGTATTGGGCGGCCGCTTTTTACGAAATCTCGGGCATCTCCGTTCCATCCATCTCCAATAACCTTTGGCGGAGAACTCGTCGGTTTACATGCACAATGACGTCCGCGCTCAATATTGTATTCTTCGAAACGGTGAGGCAGTCAACCTTGCGTCACCATCTTCACCTTTCTCCTCACAAATGAGATAAACAATCAGAGCAATACGTTAAGACGGACAACCGCGGTCTTTTAATCCTTATTTTGACTCCCTCATACCATGCAGAACTTTTGACGTCCCGGATCTGGTGCACTATGCGAAAATATATGGAACCCAAGCGTCACCTTTTCCCAATCAACTCCGGAATGATGTGACTAAGTAAAACATATGGAAACCTTTCATACAACCCAAAACACTCCGCTGGAGGCCTATTGCGGAGCACTGGATGTTGCCTCGGCGGGGCGTTCATGTAGCGTAAGGTGGAAGCTGCGGATAATGGAATCGGCGTCGTCGATGGCAATCGGCCGCACATCAGCCATCGCCTTGATCTTGGCAGTCCTAGAAGAAAGCTGTCAGCTTTATACCTCCCTTCACTGCAGGGGGGGTCTACATACACCTCCTTGACTTGGTCGTCAGTCATAACGAGGCCGAGCTGTCCGACTCTGGTCTTGACGGCGTTCCAGCCAGTCAGACGCGAGGCAAAGTGGACGTAGCGGGTCAGGCCGAAGTCGGCGGGGTTGAGAATCTCATATGTGCTGGGGTTGTTGAGGATGGCCTTGGCGTGGATGCCGGCCTTGTGGGTGAAGGCGCAGAAGCCGGTGATGGGGTTGTTGAAGGGAGTGTTGATTTCGACAGCCTCGGCAACCAGATCCTCAATCTATAAGGGGTCAGAGTGGCTCAAAGGTACCATGCTGAATGTGTGACTCACCTCCTTGAGCAAGGGGAGCTTGTACTTGCTCTTGACGTAGTCAGGGGCGCTCACGACCATGCGGGCAAGAAGACCGCCGAGGGGCGTGATACCATTACGCTCACCGACTGCAATTTGGTTAGAAATGGCGACTACACGGTACAAGTTCTTGTGCACTTACTGCCGAGCACACTGGTGTCAATGTGGGTAGCACCAGCCTCGAGGGCGCAGTAGCTAAGACGGAGTTAGGAACTGCAAATTGGAGAGGGCAAGGAAGGCGGCATACGCGTTGGCGATACTGCAGCCGGTATCATCGTGGAAGTGTGTTTCAATATCACAAGCTAGCAACGTCAGCATAATCCTCCTCCAAGGTGGATCAAATCAACATACAAACAACGCCTCTGAGCGTCCGGACGAGCTGTTGCGCCGAGTCAGCACCAAAACTGTTTAGTCATACTCGAGTTACTGAATACTTACGTCGTAGACCTGTCTGGGGGTAGCACAGCCAACCGTGTCGGCGATACCAACCCGGTTCACGCCGACCTTGTCGACCGCCCTGTACAGAGATAGGAGGTCGACCAGGTCGGACCGGAAGGAGTCCTCGCTGGAGACTGCTGGTCGTTAGAACTCAAAGCATCCAAGCAACCACGAGCCAGCTATCAGGAGGTCAAGCGGTAGTGGAGGGAGAACACCGGGCTTGACTCACAGCGCACTTCAAGGCCCTTAGACTTGATGTACTCGATCACCTCGATCGCTGTCTTCTCAATGTAGGCCATATCCTTGCCATGGCTGTGTTCCCGAAGGAAGCTAGACGTGCCAATGACGACGTCCAGGCCGTCAACACCAGTCTCGACCGCGAGCTTCGCATCGCGCATGTCGCAGCGGACGTCTGGTTGCTTGTTAGTGGGGTGGGCGTGGTGGGGTGGACCGCCGAAACCGGTGACTCACGTGTCAGAATCTTGGCCTATGTGCGCTGTCAGTCGGCAAATCCAATGCGTTCAGGCGCGCGCAGGGGAGCGTACCTTCAGGCCAAGCTTGCAGATGGCTTCGCAGTCCTTGCGCGACTGCTCGGACGCGGCCGGCGAGGTCAATTCGATGTAGTCGACGCCGAATTCATCGAGGGCTGCACGGGGGTTGCGTGTTAGTGGGCGGAAGAATTGTCGAGCATTGAATGGTTGCGAGAGTCATACCCTTGGCACTGTTCGCGAAACAAAGTCAGCAACTGGTCTCCAGGGGCCGTTCACGGGTCTGTGCTTGGGAATACTGACATCTTGATCTTGGTCTCGGTGTCGAAGTAGGCGTTGGCGAACTGCTCGCCCTCTAATCAGGGGTCAGCGGGGAAATCGAGGGGCAATTGTTCGCCGGTTACGGACCACGCAGAGTCGACTCGATGATCTTGAACTTGTTGACATTCGACAGGAAGTCGCCAACCGGCTGGTATGGGCTCGACGGCTTGAACGAGGCACCCTGTAATCGCAGGCATGAGTATCACGACAGTAGCTAATAAAATGACCAAGTGCGAGGTGCTGGTGGTGGGTGGTGTAAATGTGTCGATAAGGTGATAAGGGGGCTTGATTGATGCAGGGCAGGAGAATGGAACATACCCCATTTGTGCCATTGGCACTGCTCGCGCCGTTTGTTGTGTCTGTGCCGCACATTGTGACTGCTACTTTTTCTGCCGGGTTGCTGGCTTGTGTCTGGGTATCTGGTTGCAGGGACGAACGCAAATCTGGGGAAAGAGGAGGTTTAAAGATGCAAGGAAATGGGAAAGAAGCGGGCAGCTTCCCGATGTCGCTTGAAATAGTCGATTTCTCTGCCCCTCCCAGTGTGAGTGACTCAAGCAGAGATTTTTTCGTCGGCACCTGTAACCGCAGCAGGTGCCCCGCAGTGGCACTCAACATCGCCCTGGGGATCTGAAGACGGCCCTAAAACGACTGACTTGATTGGACAGCTGTCTGGAAACGGCGATTCGCCTCGCGTCACAGGCCGCGCCCTGCGGGCTTTTACCGGGCCGTCATGCATCTTTTCAAGATCCAAAAACCTTGGATCGGGAAGCCCGTTGCATTGGCACTCCAGAACCTGCAACCGGGCTTGAGTGCTTTGCCCCATGGCTGCAGAACCCCAACATCTGATACAAAAAAAATAAAAATAAAGCCTGGACTCGGGCTTGACAATGATGTTCCCAACTGGGTAATTTGTTCGCCGGTTGGAGGGTCCCTGGGCTGGAAGACGTTCGGTTACTGGTAAACATGCGGGGGTGGTAGAACCTAATGCGGAGTAGTCTGCAGCTGCTCGTGTGTGTGTGATTCTTCCTCCTATTGAATAATGCCATCCCGCACTTGTCCACCCCGTTGTTGCTTCCGGTGCCGGTATGTATTTGGCCGATGTGAATGACTCCCAGCAACACCCCTCCGTCCCACATGGGCTCAGGATACCTTACCGCCCCGCACCAGCCGATTGGTAACCCCCCCGACCCGCTTCTGGGCCCGCTGTGCTGGTCTGTGCATTTGCGAGATCCGGGGCCGGAATGCTGTAACTATTCTCCGACGGTTGGAGACCGGGCCAGCACCCGCAAGAGAGCAGCGGTCCAGAGGTTCCATGGCCACAAGTCTCCATTGGCCCTCCCGTGATCCAAGTGCCTGACCAACGCAACGGCAACCACATTCGCCAGGATCCAGCCTCAACCGGCTGACGTTCCATTGCAGCCCGATGCCGCTTCCGCCACTTTGGCCGCACGAAAACTGGTGTGCTGTCAGGTGATAATTTATGGAGGGATTGTTGTGTCTGACCGAGTCTAGCTCGACCACAACGCATTTCGATGAGAGTGGTCTGACCGCATGAGGCGTGACCCGGCGGTCAGATCCTGACTCTCAGGGCCGCTATAAATTCAGCGAACGGTGCTGAAATCACAACCGGCGACCAGTCTCGTGCCAGTCGGGTGTCGATCGACAGAACCCTGCATTCTCCCTCCCTGCCTGGTACATACCCAACAACGGCCCGCTTGGGAACTCCAACACTCCAATACCGGACCACCGCTGTCACACACATCCTCAGGCGTATCACACCCTACTGTTCAAAAGCACTTGCATAATTTTTAAAACACGTTCTACAACCACCTACCTATTCCACTTATCCTAATTAATAAATATGTGCATCGCCCTCTTTACAACGGCGCATCCCGATTACGCGCTGGTGGCGATCGACAACCGGGACGAGTACATCCTCCGGCCAACAAGCCGGCCGCAATGGTGGACGGCCGAGGTTGATTCGCACACCACGGCAAACGGGTCAGCAAACGACACCGATGATGAGTCGACAAAAACACAACCAAAAACGTCAACCAAGATCGAAGCCCTCTCCAGCGTCGATCTCCAGAGACCCGAGCGGGGGACGTGGATGGGCATCACGAAGGGTGGCAATTTTGCCGTGCTGACCAACTACCGTGAGACCGACACCGGCAACGCAGAACACCCCGTCAGCGGCATGCGCAGCCGTGGCGGCATGGTGACGGCATGGTTAACGGCGGATCCGGCCGAGTCGACCGAGGAGTTCGTGCACCGCATGTTGAGCGACGGCGGCGTGAAGGGTGTTGGTGGTTTCTCGCTGGTCTGCGGGAAGCTACGCAGAGTGGCGGGCGGGAAGAACATCAACCCCTTGGCCATCATTTCGAACCGCTGTGACCACGCCGGCCAGGTCCCCTGGATATGCGAGGAGCGAGGGTCTGTCTACGGCCTCAGTAACGCCATTTATCTCGAGCAGAGCGGCGAAAACAAGGAAACGCTATGGCCCAAGATTCGTGACGGCAAGGAATTGTTAAGCCGCGCGGTGGCCGCCGGCGGCAGCGAGGAGGAACTCATCGCTTCTCTCTTCAAGATCCTAGACACGGATAACTTCCCCTCCGAGCACACCATCAACCTAGAAGAGGTGATCCCCCTCCTCAAGAACTCCATCTTCATCCCGGCGCTCGGAGGCAAGGATCACCAGCAAGAGATGTGCGAGGCGCAGGAATCCGGCAGCGTGGAGATGAAGGGGCGCAACCCGTCCGCCGCCGAGACGGTGACGCCGGATGAGCAACAACCGAACGGCTTCCAGGCGGGCCTCTACGGCACCCAGCGGCAAACCGTCATGCTCGTCGACTGGGAAGGGAATGCCACGTACATTGAGCGCGCCCTGTGGGATTGCAGCGGCAATGCGATACCCAGAGGACAGGGCGACGAGACGTTCAGGTTCAGGATCGAGGGGTGGGAGCAGGAAGACGAGTTGTGCAACTAACGGTTGCCTCTTTAACGCCACCGCTGTTGATTTTACGACTTCCATGGGAGCAAGACGGTACTTTTTGGCTTGGAGGGGCTGGTTCGGAGCGTGGATCGGGGGTACTCGTTCGAGGTGTTCGGGGGTCAACGGTTCGGTCGAGTTCGGATGGAAATTGTGGGTTTACGGTTGGATTTGGTTGGTTTGGAAAACGAGCATTTTTGGGTGAATATCATTATAGATCATGCTCCCCTTTCCTTCCCACGTCGACTTCGATGATGAGTGATCACTTGTTGGAAAGGCGAGGATGTTGGTGTGTCGGAAAAAGGTGGTGTGTCACTTCCTCCTATTTTCACACGGCCACCACCTCCTATCGGCGCGCTTGTTTCCTCGAGGAGCTGGTTTCTTCCATCTGCAGTATCGTGGACTCTTTCCCTCACTCTTTCCCATCCGCCACTTTATTCTTGTCGACCTCGCATTCTTCCCCGCCAGCGCCATTGCGACCACGTCCTCGCAACTTCTCCATGCCCAGTCTTTCTCCTCATACATGAGCGATCAGCCCGCATTACAACTAAGCCATCTCTTATTGTTGTTTTAGGAAAGTACGTTTGCATTCCCACCTTGGAACGCACACATGGTCATCAGCCGAGCCGACTTGACTTCCATCCACCGCACCTGGGCTAGTTCACAACTTTAAGCACAACACCAAGCACTTGTTATTAGCCTCCACAACGTCCGCTCTGGTCTTCATATTAGTTTCACCTCTATATTCAGTTCCCTGCTAACCTACCATGAACACAAGATCGCTGTCCAACGCCCGGCGTTCTGAGTGGAACTCCCAGTCCAAGCTCAAGTCGAGCGATTCCCTCACCGATTGTGACATCCGGATCATCAAGGCGCGCTACCGAGCTCTAAAGAGTTCGATTGACTCGAACTGTTTGGCAACAGCGCACAGCGTACGAGAGCTTGGGAGCAACATCGACCACTTTGCACCGCCCGTATGCGTTGCCCGTGAGATAGATCCTTCTATTTCCTTGCGCAGTACGTGTATCCCCAACTACATATGCCTTCTGGTGGCCTCGACTCGCTCATGTCTACACAGGAATGCTCACCCAGAGATGCGGGACTGTATCTGACGATATCTTGGTGAACATCAAAGAAACCACGACCCCCTCCCGTTCAACACCACATATCGACCAGAAGCCCGTCACAGCGGCTCTACTTCAGTCCCAACAGGTCACTTCGGCCGCACAGAGTACGGCTTCCCACCAGGACCGGCCAGAAAAAGCAAGACGGCGTGCTGCCGTTACACCGACAACTGTTGGCACTCTCTGCAGTTTATTCGTCCTCTTCGTCCAGCTCCTTTGGAGCTCGCTCAGAGTCGTGGGAGGCGGTGTCGCTTCCACATTGAGATTGCTTTTGTATTCGATCACCTCCGACTGTATCATCTTCACCGAGGTTTTCCGGCTTTGGCACTCATTTGCCTATCATAGCTACGCAACACTCGTTTTCAGTGCGGCCATTATCCTGCTCAAGGCTCTATCCATCCTCAGCTGGCTCGTTGGATTCTGCCCCCGGAAAGGATGCTCAATACCACAGGAAAGCGAGCTGGTTGGGACCCCAGCCAGCAAACCTCCTGGGCTCGAAGACATGGCTCCACGGGCGAAATCAAGCTCGGTGGAAGACCAGTGATGGTCAACAACAGGACCACCAGCAACCAGGCCCGACCTTTCCATGTCAATCGTTTCCCCGGTTCTTCGTCTTTCCTTAGTGATATCAGCAACGACGAGGGGCAGATATTCGAGGCAAACCCAAGGGGTATCACAGTATTGCAACCCGGCTTAGGGATCCCAAAGTCTCGGACATTCAGCGTTATCTCCAATCTTACTCAATCCTTTTCCCATGGCTCCATTGCCCGTCAGAGGACCAGCCGCAACGTCAGCGGTGAGCCTCGCCACCAGGCTATTAACCTCCAACCCGTCCCTCGGCGTACTCTGAACGCGAAAACCCAACAAGATTCAACTTATGCAACGCCAGCAACACCGACTTTGCCTCCCGGCCAGTCTAGCAACATTGAGGAAGTCTCAACAGCCATGCCACCGCAATACTGGGCCGGCCGTTTCATGGCATTGCACGACCGCTTCCACAACGAGCTACTCGAGCCTCACCACCTCACTCAGATCTGCGAAACCCAAGCGGCCCATCCACTCGCCGATTTCACACGCCCGGCGTCAGCCGCAACCCAAAACAACCCATCGACTTCCGCCTACGCCATCACCCGATCGACCGCGAACCAAGTCAGTCCTTCAAGGCAGCCAAGCCGCAGGCGACTCCCCCAGTCTGCTACGAGCGGTGCCATCTTGCAAAGCACATCTTACAACACGCAACCCGATCCGTCCTCTGATCTCCACGCTGTATCAACACTCTCTCCAGTCCACAAACCCGCTACCACAACCTCCTACCGCCGCCGACACAACCAATACCACCTCCCAACAACGGACGAAAACTCCATCCCCGAGCATTCTCCTGCTCCCACCACCACAACCACAACCAACTCCAACAAGACCACCACCACCGCCCCATCACAAACAGCACCAACAACAACAACAACAACAACAACAAAACACACGCACAACACAGGTACGCATCACCGCATCGTAGCCACGCACCTCGCCGACGACGACGAGTCCCGCGTGCGCCGCGTGCTGCTGCGCCTGGAGTTCATGTGCACGACCGACGCCGCGCGTGTGTCGCTGCGCCAGTGGCAGGGGACGTATGCGCGGCGGACGGGGAGGGCGGAGTTTTTGCCGGATGCGGATCTTAGTGTTGCTGTTGGGGGTGGTGGTGTTGCTGCTACTGGAGGTGGTGGTGTTGCTGCTACTGGAGGTGGTGGTGTTGGTATTACTACTGCCTCTGGGGGTGGTGCGGGCCGTGGTGCTGCTGTTAGCGTTGCTGTTGGTGGTGGTGCTTCTACTACTGCTGTCTCCGGTAGTTCTGGCGACGGTGATAAGGGGACGGAGGTGAGGCGGAGGAGAGGGGTGGGCTTAGGCTCCGAGATGGGTGTCGACTCGAAGATGATTAGCAACAGAGGGAGAAATCATTCCGGTGGTTTAAGTGTGGGAACAGGAGGAGAGCATGGGCGTTCTGGAAAGGGGGGTGAAGGGGTCGTCAAGACGGGAGTGGCCCGTTGTACCAAGGGGAAAGAAGTTCAAGAGGGAGACGCTCGGCGCCTGGTGAGCGGATATCTGATTGACGGGGCGGGTGGGGGTGTTGAGCATGACGAGGGACGTGCTGGCGCTGTGGTCGGGGAGAATGTACACGGGAACATTCATAGCCACGGGCACGGGCACGAGTTCGGCAGACGTGGGAGGGAGATGGTGAGACGGTTGAAGCGGAGTTTGGTTGGCGGTGGCGGTACGGATAAACTTGAGGATGGGGAGAGGGAGACGGTCGGAACCGGCCACGGCTACGGACCGAGCCGTGCAAACGGGGAGCCTGGGGAAGGGTACCTGGCGGACTTGGAGAGTTTGGCGATTGATGAAAAGGAGAAGGGGAGAAAGGGCGGGAAAAAGTTCAGCTTCTTCTGATAGCGCTGGTTGGGGTGTTTCATTGTGTGGTATACGGGTCAAGTTGTTTGTTTATAGAGGACTGGTGGCATTGCGGGTTCTGGTGTTAGGTTTCCTCATGAGTTACGTGGGCAGTAGCCGCGAGTCGGGGCATGGTTAACTGGTGCATTCTAGGGGTGCATGATAGTTGAATCATGGCGAGTATAACCACGGCTTTTGCTGTGGTCAAGCGGAATGGGATTGTGTTACAATAATCGCACCTGGCTTGTTATACGCAGCTGGGTTGACAACAATATTACATCAGCAGGTCACAAACAGCCACTTCATCAACTCATGATTCCCTAGAACTTGTCACTAAAGGTGACGACAAACCTCTTTTGAACGCCCCACAACTCCATGTAATGCGGTAATCCCAGCTTCCAAAACGCTACTCCGCGGGCCCCTCCACCCCAGATTACTCCGCCTTCTTCCGGCTCTTGAGGTAGTCCCTCAGCTGCTCCATCTTGATGGCGTAAAACATCCTCTTCTTGTCGTTCCGCCACACCAGCACGCCGATCTCGTCGGCGTAGCTGCTCAGGGACACGTACTCCTCCAGCGAGTCGAAGTCCTTGAACAGGAAGCCGGCCGACGTGCGCATCCGCTCGTTCTCGAGCTGCCACAGCCGGATCTGGTCCACCACCGTCGGCGGCAGCACGGGCCGGCCGGTAGCCGCCGCGGCGCGCACCATCTGGTCGTGGGCGTGCGACGCCAGGTAGCTGATGATCTGGTCGGCCGTGATGCCGAAGCCGATGGCGCGGCGGATCGAGTCACGCGTCAGGCGGCCCGTGGCCATGCCGGCGAAGCGCATGTTAAGCTGCGTGAAAAGGGCCAAGACGGCGATCTGGAGCGGCGACGAGGTGTAGGCGTAGAGGCGGTAGTTGGTCTCGATGATGATGGACCCCTTGCTGGCGGCCGACGTCTCGGGGGTTGTGCCTAGGCTGGAGGCGTCCCCGGGGTTGTTCGCTGCTGCGGCGCTGAAGCCGGACGAGACGGAGCGGAGGGACGAGGCGGAGCTGGTTAGGGTGGTGGCGAGGCGGGTTGGGAAGTACTGTCGGGTGTCTTCGCGCGGGACAAGTATCAAGCCAAAATCGACAAGGTGGGGGAGCATGTTGCGGCGGGTTTCGGTGAGAGCGTCCGTATTATACGCGCGTCCGAGCTCGAGCGACGCCAGCATGAAGAGGAATGACAGCATGTCGATGCTGTCGGTTTTCGCTGCTGCCCCTTTGGCTTCTCCCTTAGCGCGGTCGGCCGCTTCGAGCCAGAGGAGAAGCAGCGTCCAGACCTGAGCGTTCGCTTCCTGAAGTAGAAAGGTGAAGCCGGCCTGCGTAATTCCAACGCCTGCCCTTGTATCACGCCTGAGTTCGACCAGTCGCCCGAGCAACAGAAGCTCCTTCACACTGGTCTTGGGCCCCGCGGTAGAAATACTGCCTCCTCCATCGCCCTGCGCCGGAACACTGTTGACGACGTAATGCAGTATATCCTCCCATTTTTTACGGGCGTAGTGATCGAGGTGGGCAATGTCGATCCGGGGGTCGACGGGCAAGGTACTCGGGACGCCGAAGCTGTTGTGGGAACCGCCTCCCTCGAGAGCCAGACGCAGGCTGTTCTTAAAGTTTGTGGTGAGCTGCATCTCTTGCGGCTTGTCCTTCCCGGGCGGGGTAATCTGGATGATATGCAGCGATCGAAGAATCGAGAGGGCGCGGTCGCGCTGCATCTTGCCCTCGGCGCGTACCCAGACATCGAGTTCAGCGAGGAGTAGCGGCGACGGCATGTAGAGAAGAGCCTGGACGAAGACCTTTGCCAGAGGGGGCAGCATGCGGCGGAAGATGGCAAAGGCGGTCGAGGGCTGCTGGTAGAGCTTGCGGAAGGTAGTCCCTGGCAACTTCTCCAGGTATTCGGAGAGCTGGTACGATTGCTGGCCGCCCGACATTTTGGCGATTGCTTGCGTGGCGCAGCAGAATCAAATCTATACTATCGCATTATCGGTATCGTAGTAGTGGCCCGCGCCGCCGGAGTCGTTATGCGGCAGCGCGATGTGATGAGATGGACTGTGTTTGTTGTAGATGGATGGTTGAAGTTGAAGTTGAAGTTTAGGTCTCAGCCTCGCTGGAGCCTTGCTCAAATGCAGGGAACCACAAGCCTGGTGAGTGGGGCTCTGTAGCGGAGCGGCGGAGTGCTGTTGACAGGGCCGAGCGACCGAGTTCCACCGGGCAATCGGGCATTTCCATGAATCCCGCAGCGTCACAGTGGGGACCCCTCCCTCACGCCTCAGCGGCTCGGCTCAGATGAACCATTGAACCTTCTGTCAACCGTCGATTCTGTGCCGAGCTAAACGCAGCATCAAGATGGCAACCAGTGCAGGCACCAAATTAAAACCCCTGAGATTTGTCAGGACGGTATGTCTTGTCTTTTCATGTAACATTAAATAACAAGCAATTATTGACCAATTCTACAGGTCTGGAACTCGTTCATGGCCGATTCTGGGCTCGAGCCTCGGTAAACAACTGCCCCTGAATTCCGGGAACACACACACAACCACCGAGCAACCCAGAACTGACCACGACCTGTGGCTCTAGACTGCTAGGGAAACATGTAAGCCAGCACACCCAATAAATAAATACCACATAAAATTCCCAAGCTCACCCAGCCTAGTTCCGCATCTCCAACGCCGTGGAGGGCACCGTGGATTTCGAACTGGACATCGCCAAGGATCATACGGTGCGTCTATCCCGCTCACCCCCCTTACAATCAACGTTCCCATGACACTCTCTCCAGAATCGCCTCAAGATCATCCACGGCGGCACCATCGCTAGCCTAGTCGATCTCGGAGGGTCACTCGCGGTCGCTTCCAAGGGGTACTATGCCACCGGTGTCTCGACCGATCTGAGTGGTGAGTCTACCTCTTTCCCATAACTATCCCTACAGCCAAGGAGTGACGTTAGTTAACGCAACCTTTCAGTCACATACCTCAGCAGCGGCGGCAAGGTAGGCGACAAACTCCACGGAACCGCCGTCTGTGACAGGAGTAAGTCTTCGGTCCCCCAAGCTGACTACAATCATATCGCTCAAACTGACGCCCCGCCGTAGTTGGGAAGACGCTCGCCTACACCACGGTAACGTTCTGGGACGAGAAGCGGAATATGGTTGCCAGGGGCAGCCACACAAAGTCAGTGACCACGCCTGCCCAAGCCGGCGCCGAAGCCCAAGTGGGTGGCGGATGTAAACCGGACGTCCTTCGCTAACATTGTTAAAGGTTCGTTGCCCAAGCCGTCGCTGCCAGCATACCCTTTACTCCGCCCGAAGGGGCACCTATTGCCGAGAACGGGGAAGTGTGAGAGCGTTGTCCATGTGAACGGGACCACGGAACCGACCGATGTGAAGTGAACCTGTACTCCTCACCCAGCTCATCACCAAAACCGCGATCCAGCGGTAAATAGAACTCGTCCAGAAAACGATTGTGGGCAAAGATCGATTTGTGGGAGCCCCCGAGCCATCACCGCATTGCAGTAATGTCGTTTTCTCCCTCTTCTCCTGCGCACCTCCCAATAAACTCTGGGCCGCACGTTCAGGAATTTTCACCCCCGGTATAACTGCACGTCAGCGCGTCCCCGCCCAGCTTCCCGCACTCAATCACCGGATCCCCGGCCAACCCCTCCTTGACCCCCTCCAGCTTGGCCTCTTCCACGCCCGCCGTGACGCCCAAGTCGGTGGAAAACATGGCCTCCACGAACTCGATGCTCCCAAAATCCACCAAGGGCACCCCGTCCGAGTCCCAAAAGTCCTCGACGATCCACTCGGCGCTGAACCCGCAGATCAACGGCGCCTGGTCCGCCAGCGTCGAGATGCCCGTCTTGCCCGTGTTGTGGTTGGTGATGGAGAAGGTCGCCGCGCTGAGCGAGCTGGCCGAGACGTTCATGGTGACGGAGTCGCCGGCGCTGATGGCGAAGTCGGTGAGGTAGGTGGATAGGTTGGGGTACCACTGAAACCTGTGACGATTTATTAGCACCGGGAGCCGACAGATTCTTTCTTTCCAGCGGAGGAGCGGGGAGGAGATGGAAGTGGCTGCTTACCACGCCCAGTACGCCGGCTCGCTGTGGTTCATGTACATGTCGACGCCGACCTGCAGCATGGCGTTGGGGCAGGCGTGCTCGCCGTCGATGCCCACCCAAGCCGAGACGGCGTGGGGCGTGTCGGCTTTGGCACCAGGAGGGAGGCGGAGGGCGGGGACGCGGATGGTCGCCGCCACGGTCCGGTAGCCGACGGCCGTGACGACGGCACCCGCCCAGTTCTGGGTGTAGCTGACACCGGGTGAGTCGGCGGAGGGTCCCTGTGGGGAGAGGCTATTGAGGCGGTCGGTGAAGCGCGAGCGGCGCACCACGGCGGGAAGGGAGGGTTTGTTAGACGGTTCGGTGGGGAGAGAGAAGGCGGCAGTTAAGCCCAGGAGGACAGTATGCAGGATTGCGGTGAACTTCATTGTGACGGTCTCTGAGAGTGGTGAGTCTGAGAAGGTCGAAGTTGTCTCCGAATACTTTTACGATTTTAGCCACCCACCAATTTTCCAGCCTTATTTCGAAGTCGAACTTGGATGTGGGATTCATGGCTACCAAGCATCAGAGCAGGTACGCTTTGGGGGTAGGGCATGAACCCAAGGCAAAGACAGAAACCAGCTCAGTTAATTCATCTGGTACGTTACGATAGCGCACCTTCCTTCAGTCCAGTTGTAGCCTGGCTTTCCTCTGAACTTCCATCAAGAGCGGCAGTGGAAACGGTTCCCAAGATGTCCCGATACGGCAAGCTTGATACGTTTCTTTCAGGGCAAAGACAAACCTCGACTCGCGGCCAAGACGTTCTCGCGCTGGGAGAGGAGCGAACCTCTCAACACGATGGATTTAAGATACCTTTACCTACCAACGATGGAAACATTATAACAAGCATTATGCAAAGGAGGGTCACCTCAGGTTGCCAGTCTTTTGGGAAGGAGGTCTCGCTCCGGCAAGATTTGCAACTTTGTCCGGGAAGGAAGGGCATTTTGATCTCACATTTGGCTTTGAGAGACGCGATTGGGACGTGCCAGAAGGCCAAGCGCGTCGTCGGGACCTTGGTGCCGTGCAACACCCGGGCCGCCGCGGGCTCGGCTAACCTCGAAAAGGATTGGGTCACTCGCGCGCGTGCTAACTCTATTCCGGTTTGGTGCGAGGCGCAAGGTCTCTTGGCAGCACTGGCACGGCTGGGCAGCTGCGAGTTGTGACCAATTTTGCCAGCTGCGTTTGTTGAGGCGTTGCGGGAAAGAGGGGTTTCCAACTCACCCAAAATGCTTGGGAGATGGCCCGAACCTGCTGAGACCTCTTGAAGGGTGCATTTTTGCAAGACGACCCTTACGATGTGCCTCCCACAACATGGTTTCTCCAAGTACACAGTAACTCCCTACTCGTACAGACAGAGTTGCTCTGCACCTCGCCCTTGCAGAGAGAGACCCGACTTTGGCAAAGACCCACTCATCCTCGCGGAATGTTACCCAGCCACGCTAACGTGCCATTCAACGAATCACGAAGAGAACCTTGGGTGGGTACCTGATTCTATACTTGGTCACTCCCGGCGAGACATTGGGCCGCTTACCCTCTTGGGAGCTGTCACAAGCTGGACATGTTTGCTCGGCGCAGAGCCGCAGGCATTCAGCTGCCGGAATGGTCAGAAGTAGAGGGACTTCTCCTCTCGTCTGGCCTCGCTCTGCATTCTCTTTTTCATCCATCAACCAACCCCTCGACCAGCAGCCCCTCAAACTTGCCTTCTTGCCTCCTGACGACTGGGTGAAGAGGTTGAAGAATCACGATTGAATCCTCGGGCGACCATGGCTTCCCCGAGTGAATATACGGGCTACTTTATTGGCTATACTGCCCTGTCCGGAGTGTACATCATACCCTTGACTGTGCTCTGGTTCATTACTTTCTGTCTTGCGCGCAAGCACCATGACCCCGCGCGGGTCGGTATCGTATGGTTGAAGGCGGTGTTTCCTGTTTGGCTCTCGTAAGTCACAACGCTCTGAGTTCGCTCTCCTGAGGACGCGCAGCTGACAGCCATGACTCGGCGCAAAGGGGGTTGGCGTTAGCTCTCGGCAGAGCGTGTGTACATATTTATATACAATTTAACGACGACGCCACCTATGCCCAAAGCTTCAGGGTGCAGCTAGTTATCGGGCAACTTTTGACCACCGCCTCCTTCCTATTTTACCTCGCCGACATCTTCCTCTTCATCACCTTTGTCGAGCTCGCCGGTGGCTACACGGTCTGCCTTAGGAACCCCGCCGAGACAACTCGAACCCGTAAATTCGGTCGCATTGGTATCTTCGCATGGAGCGGCGTTCTCTTCGTCTTAATCCTATCCCTCTTCGCCCTTCGCCACTCGTTTTACGCCAGAATCACTTCATGGGCCGACTTCGGGTCATGGTCTGACATCGACTTCCATGTCACCAGCTTACGCCTGGAAGGCGGAGTTAAAATACTCTTATGGCTCACCAGCATCCCCATGGTCGGTTTGGGTTCGTTTACCGTCCACAAGGCCAAGAATCACCCGCTCTTCCGCAGCGTGAGTTTTTCCCTCCCTCTGCCATGATGGAGCAAATACTGATTATTCCTCACAGGGCTCGGTCCTCTTCCTGGTGGCCACCATCCTTGACTTCGTCCGCCACACCATCGCCATGGCCATTTTTGCGCAGGGCTATCTTAGCAACGCGCCCAGGGCCGTTACCATCGGGCCCGCTATCGAACCGGCCGTCGATTGGATTGTCGAATCCTTTTTCAACTTCACCCTCATGTTCGTCCTCCTCGTCATCCTCTTCGCTCTGGCCATCCGCACGCACAAGGGCTTGTGGTCGCAACCGCAGCCGGGGTGGGGCCACCAGACCGTGGTGTATGGGCCTCCTATGCCCTATCCTCCAGGGCAAGTCCCGGTAGGCATGGTACCGGCCCAGCCACAATACATGCAACAACAGCCGACGCAGGGTATGCCGGCGTACCTCCAGGTTGCGCAGCAGCAGCAGCAGGGGCAGGGGCAGCAGGGATACTATTACTATCCCCAGCCAGGGCAGCAGCAGCAGCAGCCCCAGCAAATGCAACAGATGCAGCAGCAGCCGCCCCAACAAACGCAGCAGCAGCAGCAGTCCGACGAGCCGCAGCCTGTACCCCAACAACAAACTAGGGACCAGCCGAAGACAACTGAGGATGTTTAAGCCTACCCGGATGGTTGGGTTGGGGCGAGCCCGGTATCGACCGGCGAAGGGAGGGGAGAGATATGTGTATAAGGATTATGAGATGGGCATAAGGACTTGCGAATTAATGTTTTACGGAGGGGCAGGCCTTTCTTACGTATGCGAGGGGCGTCACATAGCTAAGATACCAAACGAATTGTTTTTCTGTTTTGCTCAAGTTGACCGGATCTGGGTCCCGATTGTTGACAACACCATTCTCGCCGGGGGACGAGCCGGGGGTGGGTGGATGCTTAGAGCGTCGGGATGTGTTCAATGGACTTGGAGGGAGCCGACTAACAACGGGCAGGGTCAACTTCCACGACAATGCTGTATCTCACCAAAAGTTGGGGCTGTTCAACAATTCTCCATGCCCCTCTTGTCTTTTTTGCGTCGAACACCCTCCGATTCCCTCTTCTCTCTTTTTTCTAGCCCCCTTTTTATTCTCGTTTCTCTCTCTTGGCTTTGCTCTTTTCCTTCCTTCTTCTCATCCGCTATACAACCAACAGACATGAGTTCGGCAGACTTGCGTGCGTATCAACCGTGAAGGGGGCCGATGGCCGCGAAGAAGCCAATGAATTAGGAAAAGGGTTGCCGACGGCAGGCAGTCCTGATGAAGATTCTTCCCCACAACCCGAGGATAAACATTCTGCCGCCTCGCACAACCGCAAGCCAGCCGAAGAGTAACAGCCCTCTGGAAAATGGCAGCCGCCAGCATGTCCGTCGAGCCAGAAGCAGAGGTTGACATGATGTGTCAGATCGCTGCGGGACGTGCCACAGCATACGCCATGTTGTCATTGTCCAGGTCTTCGTATATTCATGTATATTTGCAAAGAACACCGGCCATAATATTACAGACCACGAGAGAGAGGTCCATACCGCTCCCCAGATACACATATCGTATGCATGCATATCCAAGTAAACTGCCCAAGTACAGTGATTTATCCAAAAGCCCTCCCCCCCAAGCGTGACCGAACCCTCCCTTCCACAACCCATAAACAAAACAGAACCCCCCCTTTCCAACACACAACCCCCCAACCTCCACCCCACCCAACACCCCCTCAAGGCCGCCACCGAAACCCCGGATGCCTCCAATCCAGATCCTGCACCTCCAGCCGCGACATCCCGGCAAGCTCCTCCTCGGGGCTGCGGCGCTCGCGGCGGGCGTTGTCCCACTGCATCCACAGCAGTGTGGCCGAGGCGATCAGCAGCACGGTGCAGCAGGCGGCCAGGTTGAGGCCGTTGCCGATCGGGTAGTTGGGCGTGTCCCAGGGCAGGTAGCTCCAGGTGGCGATCAGGCCGCCGACGTTGCCCATCATTACTGTGATTGGGGGGGTTAGTATGGGGGGGTGGTGGGTGGGTGGGGGGAGAAGGGGGGTTGAGGGGGAGTTGAGGGGAGGGGAAAAGGGGGGTTGAGGGGGGGTTGAGGGGAGGGGAAAGGGGAGGTGAGGGGAAAGGGGAGCGGAAGGGAAAGCGGTGGGGAGGGGATGGAAAAGGGGGCTCACCGTTCATGCCGATGGCGCTGCTGCGGGCGGTGTCGGAGACGACGTTGGCGCTGACTTGGGAGTTGGCTAGGGGCCCCATGGCGAAGAGCGAGCTGGAGAGGAGGAAGGTGGCGGCGTAGCGGGCGGTGGAGTTTGTGGTGCCGAGGAAGATGCTGTAGCCGGCGATGACCAGCGGGGTGGTCAGGATCATGATGATCTGGCGCTTGTCGAGGTACCAACTGAGCAGCGGCAGGGCGAGGGTGAAGAAGCCGCCGACGACGTAGGGCGGCACGGTGAACAGCTGCTGCATGACGGTCGACTTGTCCGGGTAGATGGTGCGCACGATGGTGGGGGCGAAGAAGGCTAGCCCCTGGACCGTGATGTTGTTGAGCAGGAATAGGAACGAGGTCGACAGGGTGACGGGGCTGAGGATGCCCTGGAGGAGCTTCTTGCTGTCCATGCGGTCGAGCACCTCGGTGGTGGCCACGCGCTCCGACCTGACGCGGGCGATGGCCAGCTCCTTCTCCTCTGCCGTGAGCCACCTCGCAGTTTCGGGCCGGTCGGTGAGGGTCAAGAAGCTGGAGTGTTGCGCATGTCAGCACGCGACTCGAGGAAGCGCTGTCAGGAATGGATGCCAGCCCGACTCACCTGATGACGGAGAGGCCGATAGTGATGATACCCTCGACGACAAAAATCATGCGCCAACCGGTAACGCTGCCGACGCGATCAAGGGTAAGGATGCCGGAGGCCAAGAGACCACCAAAAGCACCGGCCATGGGCGCCATGACGATGTAGAGCGACAGACGGAAGGTGAGCTCGGAACGGCGGTACCATCGTGAAAGGTAATATGCAATGCCCGGCATCATACCCGCCTCAAAAACGCCGAGCAAGAAACGGACACCGGCAGCCTGAGCAAAATTGTTCACGAAAGCCGTAACCAGAGAGATGACACCAAAGCTAAGTGAGATGGCCGGGATGAACCAGCCTGGCCCGACCCATTTGCACATGATGTTGGACGGGATCTCGAACACGATGTACGATATGTAGAAGACGGAGAGGAGCGCATTGTAGTCGTAGCCGTGCAGGCCCAAGTCGGCTTCGAGGCCAGCAATTTTGGCATTTCCTGTAACACGAAGTCGTCAGGAACAAGGCGGCGCTCGGGCATCAAGTCTGCGCTATCTTCTTACCGATATTTGCTCTATCAATGAAGCAGAACAAGTAGAGGAGTGACACGGTCGGGACAAGATACAAGTCTAGCTTTCTCCGGAGTCTAGCCTCAGACTTGGGATCGAACTGGGGGATGGGCTGGCCATTCCTGGGTCGATGAGTCAGTCTCTATGCCGCACCCGGGCAGTGAGGTATGGGCCCGTATGGGTGCAGGTGGTTCTCACTGATCCGTAGCGTTGGTGTTCACGGCACCGGGAACCTCGGCATGGTGGGCTCCAACCTTAGAGGAACCCGACGAGGAAGCTCTCTTCTCGTCGGCCATAACGTGCGTGTGTGGGAAAGAGAATCACCGAGTCCTAGGGCGGCGTCGGTTTGGCAAGGGTGCAACTCAACTCAGGCTTGCTTGTCGGATTGGTGGTGTGAGAAGAGCGGACAGGGAGAGAGAGGCTTGATAATGGACGGGCAGCTGGGGCTCCTCTTTATTGGTTTGAACTTGCTGACCCTCCATGTTGTGACCTTGCCTGCTTGCCTGCTTGCCATGTGGGTGAATCCTGGTTCCCTCCACAGATCCAATGCCCTGCTCCATCATGAACCCCATTCTGAGGAAGTTACTCCATCGAATACCCCATGGGGAATTGCAATTTTGCCCCCATACTGACGTCCCCAGTGGCCGAGTGGAATCCCGGGGTTGTTGATGGTGTCGATGGTGCGTGTGTGCGGCAGTCAACTTCGGCAAGGCTCAGCGTCGGATGCGGGCTACGGATGGAGACTTTTAATATTTCTCGACGGGCCCCGCCACGGCCATGTTGCTGATTTACGGTTAGTAAGGCACGCCTTCCAGGTTGGACTGCCATGCGGAGTTGCCATTTTGAAGCCACTGACGGCCAACCCCGCAGCCCCTATCCTTGGCGCCCTACCCCGAATCTGCCCAACTCTGAGGACCCACTGTTCTCGCCCGAAAAGAGCCGAGCAAATCCCGGCTTGTGGGAGGCGGCACACTCCATCTCGAGCCCATCCATGGATGATGCCAAGCCTTCTGCAACCTCGATCGTTTTCAATGGCAAGCTTCTGGATGGACGACACCCTCCCAGAACCCCATCAGAACCCCATCGTGCCCATCCCAGGTTCCAGACCCCGCGTTGCAAACGGGTCGTGTTCTCTCAGCTCTCCAATTTCTTTTCCCAGGTTCCACGTTCCACAAGGGTCCGCCGACGTCGGTCTTTTCTTGGCATCATTCCGGAAACCTGGCCCGCCCCAACTTCACAGTGATTGTCGAGACCGTCTCACAGCAACCTCCCTGATAATTGCTGCCGCCAAGTTCGACGGCGCAAAGACATTTTTTGACGTCAAACTCTCGTTGGTCAATAGCTTCCCATGTCCTCGAGCTAGCCACGATGAGCACCCCCACCCTGCATCCGACTCAACTGCCGTCCGTGTCCCGCTGGTTCCTACCTACACTGCAAATAGACAATGTGTACGTTTACAGTTTTGCCTCCTGGGCCCATGACCTGGTGGGCCGCCTCAATGGCTGAGCTGTGGTGGGCCAGGACTGTTTGGCGCTCTCGGACGTTGGATTTCAAGTCACTTTGTGAAGGGGCCACACATCGAAGTTGTCCAGGGCTACCTCGGGTGTGGTTGATGTAACACCCCGAGCCATGTCTAGTGTACATACAAATGCTTCAGAACAGCTTGGCAAAATCAGTACTCCCAATGACTATCCTAATTGCTCCCAAATAGCTAGATCCCATGGACCGTCCCTCGATACCCTGTAGGCTCCTGGCGACCGAGACTCGTCGTTTTTATTCAGTCGTCTTTCTAACGTAGATAGCTATATCTTCATAAGACCAATCGGGCGGAAACGGCAGCTCAATGTATTCCTCCAACATCCGATACACACGCGGCGACTCGGGGTCGGTGCTAGCGGTCGTTAGATCATAGCATGGTAAAAAAGAAGAAATGAACTTGCTAGGTTTTCTCCGGGTCTGGATCTCTGGGCCTGTTCCAAATCATCACAGCAGGCCTGGCAATATCCGCCACAATCTGCCGGACTGGAATGTCCGGGTAGACGGAAATGACGACACTTGCTTCGTCGATTTCGAGGAAGGCCCTCGGATCATCTACCAAGGTGAAACCGGCTTCACCCAGGACTTGCTCATCGGTTGGCGTGTACATTGGATCCTGGGCATAGCATTTGATTTCGGGACGACTTTCACCAGGTGCCTCCGTTGCGTAGCCACTGGCCAAGAAGTCTCGTATCGTCAGAGCTAAAATGTGTTGAGTCATGCTGGTCATGGCGCGCGCCTCGTTCGGCCAGGCCATCGTAGAGCAGCCGAGCGCGACAATCTTGTTGATCCCAGGCGGTATTGTAACCGAAGCGAGGGTGGACTTGAACTGGGCAAAAAGCTCGCTGCCTTCCAAGGATTGCTTCGCCTGCTCGAATTTCCGGCTCGCCGTGGCATAGTCACTGGGTGGCGCGAAGCTTACCACCTCGTCGGTTTCTCTGTTCCGTATCTCAGCTATATAACTCAGCTTGACTGGCAGATACGCGCGCCGTGGCATGAACCATTTCGGATCCACGACAGTTAGTAGCCGTTCCAGAATTCGGTATTCGAGCACCAGCTTTTTCCTGCTCAACGTTAGAAAACCATAAGAGGCTCGACTGAGCGGTGGAAGAAGGCCTGAGAGTAGCCGCAGTTATTCAATTGTATCCATACATGATGCAAATGTAGCCAGGCCCACACATAGGATGGGGATTCTCCTTTCCGGTCTCGATAGGATAATCGACGGCGACCCCGTTAAGGCCAGTTATAGAAAGGGTGTCATTGCCGTCCTCTTCAAGTTGCCGGACCACGTCCCGCAACAGATCCTTGGTGATAAAGGGTACCCCAGCGTCATACTTCGCTTGGATAAACCGATGCGCTTCCAACTGTGCCTCACGCCTTTCGTCGAGGCTGGTGGGAGGGCCCGTTTCCACTTCGAAACGAACGTGGAAGGGGTACCACCTGTAGCGCTGCTCATCGCCACAATCAGACTCAGACTCAGACTCGGACTCGGATGACGAGGACATGATTCAAGATAGGGTGTGGGAATGAATGATCGGATCAAAGCTCGAGGTATGAGGGTCTCCTGGGCTCGGTGAGAGTGATGTTGGCAACAAGAGGAGTCGGGGGCGGGTTGACTGTTTAATGACCAGCGAAGGGATTTGGGGACAAAGAACATTGCGACGAAACGTTTGATTGGTTAGGTACCTAGGGATTGCTTTCAACGCGGGCTGGCGCCACTTGGTTCTCGACGTTTCCGGAGTATAAAGTAATGCCTTCGGCAAACACAAAAGCTTCTTGATATAGCAAGGACAAAGGGGAGAGAGCAGAAAGACGAAGGACGATGTCAGCTGCAAACGCCACACAGAATGGCGACATCGTTACTGTTCAGCCCCATAAGTATTGTACATGTACGTTCACCAATAAGGCCTAATTTGATTTCAGATGATAGAGTTCTTTTTATTATAAGTACCTACCTTACCTAGATTACCCATGTAAGTACCCAGCAGTGGGCATGGGACTAGCTATTTGAATGTGTACCGCTCCGCAACTTCTCCCCGCCCAAGCAGAGTCAACTACGATATTTATCCCATGATGGCTTCTCGTGAGGATCTTCTGCAACAAGCTTTAGACAAATACAACCAAGGCGGCCACACGTTACAGCAGATCGCCAAGGAGTTTAGGGTCCCGGTTCATACTCTCAAAAAACGACGCAAAGATCACCCGCGCCGCCCGGTGGTTTTGAACAGGTTTGATGTTCTCCCCCAGCCACTGGAAGACGGGATTTACCACTGGATATCCATACAGGCGGATTTGGGCGTTCCACCAACGCAGCTCGAGCTCCACGCGTTTGTCGGCCGCGTCTTGAAGGCCCAGCCGGGCTCCCGGGTTGCTTCGCTACAATGGATCGACCAGTTCAAGATAAGGCGCTCGATCGTGTTGTCGGGGGACACCCTGATGCTACACAAGGACCACAGAGTAGACAGGGTAGAGGGGGACGACACCAAGGAGCCCAAGGAGCCTCAGCATGTTGAAGAAGAAAAGTCTCAGCGTGTTGAACAGGGCGAGTGCGAAAGTTCGGATTCAGATGATTCCTGTTTCATCGTTCGGTGGAACAAGAAGCGATAAAAGACGGTCCGAATGGGGACGGCCGACTTTGCCACCTCATCACAGGACGGGTAGGTGCCTAGGTGCTTTAGTTTGAGACCCTCTGTTGTGAAGATCCGACGTAGCCCATGGTGTGTCGCTGGTGGACGCGTTATGGTGTTGCTAGGTAATATTAACACCAAAGACTATATAGTTCGTCTCTGATTCATTCTTTTTTCCCCTTTACTTTGTGCGAGTCGGATGTTGAAACCGAAGCCAACAGGTGAAAGGCCGGGGTCCCACTTCCAATCCTGTCTGGGCTAAAAGTGGTAGGTAGGTATACTGAAACTGCACCTAGCCATCTTGATGCAATACCCCTCGGCCAAATTACGTCCAGATTTAATGAAAAGAAGTACAATAAACCCCTTAACCATGCCTTTCTCAACCTCCGAAATATGGCCTTTTGAATCTATTTATTGGTCTATACACAACCTGTTCGGATATGGAGCAGATGTCAACGGTACTTCCGGTGGAGGTGGGACCACGAGCTCCCATGCCCCGCATTCCGTCCCGTCGATGACCGCAGGGTGCCACTCTGTGGGGTGCTCCATCGCGGGGCAGCATGGATGGCCCATCAGGCCGCGACGCAACATCCAAACGACCAAATGTTTGATAGGGAACGACAACAGGCGCAAGATGTGCAATCCCTAAGCTAGAAGCTGGACTAGACGGAACCGCAAAGATTTACGCGCAGAGAATATTCTTTTTAACCCACGAAAAGGATCCTGAATTGTTTACACGCATTCTCCCCACATGTCCCCGGGCCTGCTGAGTGGGGCACACCGCATCCGGCCCCTGTTTGGGCTTCCGTCAGCTGGCTTGCTCCCGTGCCGCGCTTCGCCCTGCCTGCGTTTGTCCGTTGCTCCATTGCTCGAATTTCAGGACCAACCTCCCCAGGCGTTCGGCACGCCGCGGCTCTTTGTTGTTCGACTTTACACTCTTCTCTTGCTACTTACGACAATACTAAGGTAGATACCTGCTAGCTAAATTGACAAACCTCAGCGCGCCGACGCGACGGAGCCGACACCATGTTCGACATCTTCGCCAAGTTGCTTTCGTACGTCATCATGGTTCCCGAAACGCATGTACCGATGTTTGGACTGACCGCCGTTTGCACAGCTCGATCGCGTCCTTCCTCTTCCCGCTGTTCGCCAGCTACAAGGCCCTTAAAACATCCGACCCGGCCCAGCTGACACCATGGCTAATGTACTGGGTTGTCCTCGCCTGCGGGCTTCTGGTTGAGTCGTGGATTGACTGGTTCCTGGTCTGGTGCGTCCCCCCCACCCCCCCGCCTCCCACCAACACTCCCGTAACTATCCTAACACCGGTGCAGGATCCCCTTCTACGCCTACATCCGCCTCTTCTTCCTGCTCTACCTCGTCCTCCCCCAAACCCAAGGCGCCCGCCTCATCTACGAAGAATACATCCACCCGCGCCTCGAGGAGAACGAGACCGCCATCGAAGAGTTCATCGCCTCGGCCCACGAGCGCCTGCGCAGCACAGGCATCGCCTACCTCAACCGCGCCATCGAGCTGCTCAAGACCAACGTCCTGGGCATGGCGCCCTCCCCACAAGCCGCCGCCTCTGCCGCCGCCACCACCCCGCAACCACAAACCGCGCAATCCTACACCCAATCCCTCCTCGCACGCTTCACCACGCCCTCCCCGCGCTGGAACACAACCCCGGCCCCCGCACCCAGCAGCGGCACCGCCGGCGGGCTCACAACCGATTTCTTCGCCCTCCTCACCTCGGCCGTCGGCGCCGCAACCACCCCCTCCTCCTCCACCACTACCCCTTCCACCAGCACCACCACCGCCGCCCGAGACCTCTCCGGAGCAGGCGGTAGCGGGGGCAGCATCATCCCCGACGCGATCCGCGCGGCGGGCGCCGCAGCGCGCGTGTCCTTCGTGCGGGCGCAGCGCGAGCGCCTGCGCTTCGTGCTGTCGGCGCTGGATCGCGAGGAGGAGGACGCTGCTGCTGCCGCCGCTTCTTCTGTTTCTGGTGGGGGTAATGGGGGTAATGGGGGCAATGGAGGGTCGTTGAGCGAGCAGAGCGTTGGGAGCGGGCTGAGCGGGCTGAGCAAGAGCCGGTCGGAGGGGGATTTTGAGAAGCTGGATGCGCCTAGCGGTGGGGAGGAGGAGGATGGGGAGGGGGGTGTGAGGAGGAGGGGTGCGGAGGGGAAGAGTGGTGGGTGGATGCCGTGGGCTTGGGGCGCTGGTGGTGAGGGGGGGAGGAGTTCGGGGATGGAGAAGTAGTAGGAGTAGTAGACCTTGCTTTTGTTTGGGTTTGCATGGATGGTTGGGTTGCATGCCGCGTGTGGCTGGTATGGTGATGGTTTACACTGCACTTTCGGGAGTGTGCATATGGGTTAGGACAGGTATTTGGGATGGCGTTTTCTTTTGTGGGGGTTTGCGCATCACATATGGTTCGGGATAAAGGTCGTGGATAGACCCAGTCACATGACATCGGTTGATATTCTTTTCTCCTGCGACGGGCATACTCTCGCAGTGGCATTTGATGGATGAGATTTATGTATTATACAGTAATGTACAGGCCGTCAAGAAGCCGGTAGCACTATGCCCGCCTAACAGATCCCTCTCTATGCTAGCCCCAGACATAACGACGTGACGAACCCAAAGCACTACACCATTTTATCCCCCCTCCCTTCCGCTTTCATAGCCACATTCAAGCCCTCCCCGCCGGCTTGTAGGGGTACCCGGGCTCGCCGTCCTTGCGCGTCCAGATCTGGCGGCGCTTCTTGTTGACGACGTGCTCCACCCACAGCTCCTGGCAGTGGGCCTTCTTGAAGTCGCGGATGAAGCGCGGGTCCCACAGCTCCGACGCGATCCCCAGGTCCTTGCAGCACCGCAGCAGCGCGTTCGACTTGCACCCCTCGCCCGCCGTCGGGATCGTCTCCTCGGAAAAGTACTGGCACTCGCCGCGCGCTTGCGCGATGAACCTGTTGGATGTTGGTTAGTGTCACTGTAGTTGGAATAAAACTGAGAGAGGGAGGGGGGGGAGGGGTGGCGTACCGGCCGTGCACGACCAGGGCGTACTCGCGCGTCACCACCTTCTCGCCGACGACCAGCTCGCCACGCGGCGCCAGGCCCCAGCCACCGGGGCCGAAGGCGCGGTTCAGGATCCGCCGGTACTTTATCTCGGGCAGGTAGATGATGCCGTCGGGCTTGACCTCGATGTCGTAGGGGTCCAGCCGCTGCATCAGCACCGACGCCGTCTCGGCGCTGAACGGCGTCGTCGACAGCCCGTGGAATGACGACGACCAGTCGATGCCGTTGCCGTTCGGTCCGCCTCCGCTCAGCGCCGCCGTGAAGGCTGCCGAGGGCGCTCTCGTGCTCGACGACTCGGGGGTCGGGATCTCTGCGGCGAGTTGTGGGTCGACGTCCGCGACGGTCGCCGGCGGGGGCATGGCGGCTTGCGGGTCGAGGACGGGGTTGGCCGGGCTGGAGGACTCTGCGGCAGCGGCGGCGGCAGCCGGCGCGGAGGGTTTGGCCGCCGCTGTGGGAGGTTTGGCTGCTGATACGGGGCGGGCACGGAATGGGGGGGGTGAAGGTGCGGCGGTTCGGGGTCTGGGGGTGTACGACGACGACGACGCGGCGCGGGCGAATTGCCTGAGAATGGGTGACCGTCGAGTAGGCGATCGGAGGTATTGTGTCGGTATTATGCTGGGCGATGCCACCCGCATCGGGCGGATCGCTTGGAGGACATGGGACCGCATCTTTTCTGGGTTGTGAGAGATGGAGTTTTGGAGGTTGCAGTTCTGGAATTTCTCATGCGGTCGTCAAGGTTGGGAAGGTTCGAAGGCTTGGCGGGCAGGGTGGACACCTGCTTGGGCGTTGTCCGTTTGCCAGCACCGTTTTTCGTTGCCACTCAAAAAAACATGTAATTTTTTACTCGAGAGACGCCGCCTAAAAAATTGACATTTATTTAGAATAGGATTTGGCGTTAGGTTCTCAGTTTATGAACCCCGACCTAATCAATACTGGTACATGCTTGATGATGATACAGATCAGTTACGGGCTTGAATTTACGCATCTTTTGTGCTGGTGCGTTTGTCGTTCCCCTGCGCTTTCCAACACTCTCGAAACCTCTCCATCTGCCCCCCCAATCACATGTTACCAATCTTGTCTTCAAATGAGATTTCGGTTTTAGGCACATACCTCCTTCTTACAAGCCCTCCAGTCCTTCGTCTCGTAATAGCAGTCGGTCATTTTTGCATTTTCATCTGCCATGCACATCCGTCAGTTGCGGGCCCGTTGTTGCTGTGTGTTGGGAACCGGCATCCCCGGCAATCTCCGGGTTTCTGGCCCGGATCTCAACAATCGGTAACAGGTCGTTGGGAATCCGGACATGCACAGCCTGGGGATACTTTACATACCAGCACAGCCGGTGCTGAATATCCGCTTGTCCCTATGAGGTTTCGATTTTGAGTGAGAAATAGAAAACCCAAAACGGCAAGCAGCGACTCAGAGCCGCACTCGGAGACACGGCAACGTAACGGGGCACCAAACGCAACACACTCACCACTCATCCGGCTCATCCTCCTCCTCGTCAACGGGAGGCACCTGCTGTTCGGCCTTTGCCGGCGTAACCTCTTTTGACGTTGATGTCCCCATTGATGATCTCATTGAGCTGACGAGCCGACGCAGCTTGTGGAGAAGGTTTTCCTTTTTTGTGTCTTTTGGGGTTTCTGGAGAGTTTTGAGTGGTCTGCCGAATCGGAGCTCCCATCTCAACGCATTTCCACTCATTTTCGCGCATTCTCATTTCGAGTCAACAACCCCTCCTACCGGATCGGGCAATCATTCGAGATGGCACCACAGAAGCTCAATGTTCTGGTGTACACAGGTTAGTATGTCTTGTGTGACTTTTCCTTTATTTTCCGCTAACTTGCTTCAGGCACCGGATCAACCCTCGAATCTGTTCGTCACTGCATCTACTCCCTACGCAGGTTGCTAGGTCCCAACTACGCCGTGAACCCGATTACCGAGTCGGCACTTCTCAAAGAGCCTTGGGCTCCAACTTGTTCCCTCCTTGTCTTCCCCGGCGGCGCCGACCTCGGCTACTGCCGTGTCCTTAACGGCGCCGGCAACCGCAGCATCACCCAGTTCGTCCGTCTTGGAGGAGCTTACCTAGGTTTCTGCGCTGGAGGCTATTATGGGTCTCGCCGCTGCGAGTTTGAGGTTGGGAATCCTGACCTAGAAGTCGTCGGTAGCCGGGAGCTGGCCTTCTTCCCCGGTACATGCCGTGGTGGCGCGTTTAAGGGGTTCGAGTACCACAGCGAGCGTGGTGCAAGGGCTGCCAAGATCTCTGTGTCGAAGGATGCTTTCCCTGAACCTTCATCGCTCCCGGAGGGGTTTCAGTGCTACTACAACGGTGGCGGGGTGTATGTGGACGCCGACAAACTCACAGGCGGCTCCAGCAAGGTTCAGATCCTTGCCGAGTACGCCGAAGACCTTGCAGTTGAGTCTGGCGCGGCGAAAGCCGCAATAGTGTATTGCAAAGTGGGCGAAGGCGCCGCGATCCTTACCGGGCCCCACCCAGAGTAAGTACTGTGTTCTATGGCTGTCTCACCCCCTTTTAACATGTATAGGTTCGATGCGGTGAACCTCAGTCGCCAGTCCGACGTCCCAGGTTATGATGACCTCATTGAAGCCCTGAAGGCAGACGAGGAAGCAAGAACCTCCTTTTTGAGAGCGTGTCTCACAAAACTCGGTCTCGAAGTCAGCCAGGGAGCATCACCCGTGCCCAGCCTGTCCAAAATCCACCTCTCTGCCCTGAAACATACCGACGTCGACGAGACTCTGTGTTCCTTTGACGAGATTATCACCCGGGATGGCGGTGAAGAGTACATCAAAGGGGGCAATGATCTGTTCCATCTCGAAAAGCCGGATTCTAGGTGGTCCTTGGCATCTCTGAGTGAAGCCTTACAGAGCGAAATCGGCGAGCCGAAGAAGAAGACCGGCCGAACATCTCCAGACCCCACAGCTGACTACAGCCACGTCCCTAAACGTATCGTTTCTCACACGGATGCCTGGCCGGAACCTAAAGAGACGCCGTACTTCAACCACTCGGCCTTCTACTCGAGTCTTCGAGAGTTCAGAGCGAAGGAGGTCGAAGCCGAAACGTGGGGCAATGTGCTAATGTACGGCGAGGTCGTCACAAGTACCAACACCCTTCTTGAGAAGTAAGTTGTTTCTGGCCGTGGAAGATCAGTAATCTAACCAATTCTAGAAACCATCACCTCCTCTCAAAGCTGCCCACAGGATTCACCCTTGCCGCAACAACCCAAGTGGCCGGCCGCGGCCGAGGTGCTAACGTCTGGGTTGCGCCCCCTGGGTCCTTGATTATGTCCACGGTCATCAACCACCCCGCCCACTACGCAACATCTCGCCCCATAGTCTTCATCCAGTACCTTGCTGCTATCGCCATCGTGGAAGCGGTAAAGTCCTACGACGAGGGCTACGCTGATGTGCCCATCAAGATCAAGTGGCCTAACGACGTCTACGTCAGAGACCCCAAGAAACCAAACGAAGTCTCCTACGTCAAAATCGCCGGCATCCTAGCGAACTGCGCCTACTCCTCAGGAAACTATCAGGTGGTCCTCGGCATCGGGATCAACACCAACAACGGCCGACCAACCACCAGCCTCGACGCCCTCTTGCCCCTGCTCGAGAGCGGCAGGAAGCTCGAGCCCTTCCGCATCGAGCGGCTGCTCGCACGGATCCTAACCCGTCTCGAGGCCCTGTACGGCGAGTTCTGCCGCAACGGCTTCTCGCGCGAGCTGGAGGGGAAATACTACCAGCACTGGCTGCACACCAACCAGATCGTCACGCTCGAGGCCGAGGGCGGGGTCAAGGCGCGCGTCGTAGGCATCACCAGGGACTGGGGCATGCTGATGGCCGAGGAGGTGACCGACAACGGCATCAACGGCGCGCTGCGCTCGACCGGCAAGGTATGGGCACTACAGAGCGACGAGAACAGCTTTGACTTCTGGCGCGGCCTCGTCAAGAGGAAGATCTAAGTCCCCGTGCGCCGTTCAGGGGCGGGCATGTCGGTGTCATCGCGGCTGGGTTGGGGTTTCGAGCACGGGCGTCGCTACCGAACGGCGAGCCGTGTGCTCGTTCGTCTGTTTGAGGAGGGTAGTGGCTCTGTGGGTTTCCACATGGGGTCCGAGGTGGGACGTCAGATCGGGGGTTGCTGTTGGGCGAGACAAGACTCGGTCAGAAAGAGACAGGAGCTCTGACCTTCTTCCCCGCAATGGGCCGTGAAGTGCTTGCATGAAACGGTTGCATTTGCGGGGACACGGGAAAGCCTACCCATGTTCATCCCGATCTGGCCATCTCAGATATTCCGGGAGACGTTATGGTGATGAATTCGCGATTTGGGATGGTGTGAGGTGGAAACGGGGTGAGATATGAACGGCATCGATGAGTCAACTACGATCTGGTACTTCCTACAAAAGCTCCAGACCTGACGTTCTCCTGTCATCATCGGGGAGATGCTTCATAACAAACGGTACATCACCCGCTGGCGATCAAGATACCAGCGGGGCACAGCTGCGACCCTCCCGCCCATGTGCCGAACGCTTGGATTCCGGGAGCCGTTGCTGCACCCCAGACCGTCCGTTCCCATCATCGAAACGTGGTTGAACACATTGGCACCCAAGTATGCGCACACTCATTGTGTCCACATCCAGGAGGGATCTATCGCAATGTCACGATGGGCGGCGAGTGGAAGATATCCCCTGCCGACTTCGCTTGTCATCTGACAGATCAGCTCTATGACCGACATTCCACACCATCTTCCTGTCTGACAGACGAAGCCAAGACACGACGAATTCGGCCCGCCTCGGGCTTACTATCGCCGCGCAATGGGAAAGTTGTCGGAATGGCCTGCTCATAATACGGTCCCAATCAAGCAATGACGCAGCTCTACCCAGCCGATCAAAAAAGAATTCCTCCCCGCTCCGGCATTGACCTGTATATTTTCCTCGTACAGTAACACCTCGCCAGTCCCCGTCCCCGCATGCTGAATTCTTCCGTCGTCCCGCTGCACCCCATATCGGCTGCCGAACCGAGAGCCAATTATGTCGCGCTGATTTGGCCGCACGAGGTGCTTCTCGTTCCGTGTCTCGAGAGATGCAGGGCATGGTAACATAGCTGCAGGTTTCTTGTCAGTGCTCTTCCGTGTTCTGCCCGGGAATGGAATGGCCCGGATTAGACAGGTGTGTGCGGATGGGCACTCTACGTTGATGGCTTAGTTGGTGTGGGTATGATGGGAGGTCAAATACAATGTGGTCACCGTGTCGGCTTCTCTGGTTGTGTTATCCCAGGTTGGCCACCGAGATTACAGTCGCTGAACCGCAAACCGAACCATACACACAACGAACAACAACCGAATTCAGTCCATAAAACAACTGACTCGATCAGCCGGATGATCAACCGAACCTAATATCACAACCTGGAGCTCCAGGTCAAGACCTCGATGAACTCTACGCCCCGCTGGGCTTTCCAGTCAAGATGTCTCCCAAGATGATCATGGAGCCGGGCTATACCAAGTTCAACCTCACTTATCCACTGGGAACGGGAGATGCCACATCACTAGCCGACCTCAATGGAGGAGGCGAGGTAAATATCGCTCGAAACTCCTGAACTAGCCGTGGCATTGACACAACCAGGCCCTTCCCAACGCTCTCGTCGGCATCCTTGTCCCGCACATAGTCTGCACCCTGTTTATCCTAGCCAGGATCTACTCCCGCCTCTTCCTGCTCGGCAAGTGGTTCCTCGACGACACGCTCATTCTCCTGGCATGGGCCTTTTCTACAGCCGTCTGCATCATCTACAGCATGGCGGTACAACCCCAGCAGCCCCCCTACGGCGACCTCAAGTTGATCACCACCGCCACCGCAACCACAATGCCCACCACAACCCGCGCCTACGTCTCCCTCCTCCTCTACCAACTCACCCTCCTCCTCACCAAACTCTCCATCCTCTCCTTCTACTACCGCATCTTCTCCCCCTCCCCCCACAGCCACAACAACCACCACCCCCAACATCAGCAAAACCAACAACAACACCCCCAACCCCACCAAAACCACCCCCCTCAAACACCCCCCCTCTCAAAACACCTAACCCACCTCACAACCACCCTCCTCCTCCCCCTGCTCACCCTCCCCCTGCTCATCCTAACCCTCCTCCAATGCAACCCGACCCCCCACACGCTCTTCAACCGGCCCAGCACCCACTGCACGCCCTTCCGCCCCCTCTTGATCTCCTCGGCCGCGCTGCACGCCGCCCTCGACCTCTGGCTGGCCGCGCTCATCCTGCCGTGCGTGGCGCGCCTGCGGGAGGTGGAGCGCCGGCGGAAGGTGGGGCTGGGGGCGGTGCTGAGTCTGCCTGCGGTGGGCGGGGTGGTGGTGGGCGGGGTGAGGTTGTGGGTTGGGTTGGGTGGGGTTGGGGATGCTGGAAAAGGGGGGTGGGGAGGAGGAGGAGGAGGAAGAGGGGGGGATGGGTTGGGGGTGGTGTTTTTGGTCATGACGGTGTTGGAGCTGGATGTGGCGGTTGTTTGTGCCAGTGCGCCGACGCTGAGGCCCGTGTTGGCGAGGGTGTGGCCGCGGTTGGGGGTGTTGGTGGAGTTGGGGAGGGGGATGAGGGGGGGTGGTGGTGGTGGTGGTGCGAGGGAGGGGAGTGTGGATTTGACGGGTGTGGTCAGCTATCATGGGTATCCGTGGACGAGGGAGGCGTCGTTGGTTGGGGTGTCGAGGGCGGGGAGTAAGAGGGCTAGTGTGGTGGGTGCGGATGGGCGAGCTCCTGTTGTCCCGCCTGTCCCGCCGACACCGCCGGCAATGGTTATGCATCGCACGCCGACGACGTTGAGCTTGAAGAGTTTTGTGAGTGGCATGGCGCCGAGGAGCCGGGGGCGGTTGGAGGGAGAGGACAGGACGGGGTTGCTGGTGGAGGATCAAGGAGGCGATGGGCCCGGTTCGAGGAGGAGGAGCTCGGTTGGGTTTGAGGCGTATTACGAACAGTTCCTTGGAGATGTTGATATGGAAAAAAGAAAGAGTCGTTGCATAGCGAGGACAGAGGCACGGCGCAGTCGAGGGAGTCAATGCTACAGCGGAGGATGGACGTATAGCCAGGAAAGCTTCGTCCTTGGGATGAACGACCCGCAGAGTCCAAAGCGGTTGAGCCCAGTATCAGGGCTGAGTGAGCTTTCGAAGGCCGAGTTAAGGAACACTGGAAGCAATTACGAGAAAGACACGCTAGGGTGAGAAGATGGGATTTTAGATACATGAAAAAGAATATTCGTCAGTCCCTTCAGTCCTATTACCATACGATACCTAGACTCCATGATAGTATACCCAAATAGTCGTTACTTGTATCAGTTAACTTACACGCTACTAGTTGGAAGCCAGACAGGGCTTGGCAAAAAGGGGTAATTGACAGCCGGGGCATGAAGATCACAGCTGCCATCAGATGGATGATGTGCATCTGAGATGCATGAACCGCGAGATCGGGCCGCTCTGGGTTCATGCGAAGGCCGTAGATCCGTCCGAGCACCGGTCGGTTTCCATGACTTGATTTCCCATACTCTACTCTTAGAAGGAACCGGGACCTTGACTGTCCGAGCCGAGTGTCAAATTCCGACCAGGCGGCGCATGCTGCCGTGTACCAACAGAGCCTCAAGTTAAGGGTAGTTCAATGACAGACTCAGCAGGGCCTTGTGATACTATGACGGCAGATTCCAGGGAAATCTTCTTACCAATCCCACACCAGCAGCTCTTCTCCTTTCGATCACACTTTTCATGCCTTTGTTGTCGTTGGGCCCGAATTCGGGGAGAAGTGGTCACATCCCATCCCATCATGCCGGCTTCTAGAAGCTTATGAGGGAACACCCGGATGCCGGTCACATCTTTACGAGCACACCCATTATTTGTTGATCTATTATGGAGTGTTGCCAGCCGATCTACCGCCACCTACGTCCCCCTCATGCCTTAGATCCTACGAAAGATGGTTTGCAGTCACCGTCCACATTCCATCTGGCGTCATTCTGATCCTAACTTCCGGCCCCCCTCCGGCTCCGGCATCCGGGATTGGCTTGAGGGCCTTCATCACATCACGACTTCATGCCTGACCCCTGTCCTTCCCGCTCTCCATCAGGTTGTCCCTCGTGGTAAACTCTTACCCGGCCCGAAAGCAAGGAACCATTTGCCGTTCATATGGTTGGATATACCCGGGCCATCAACGGGTCCCGTCCCCTGCTGTCTTCTTATTTTAATCACAGGGCAAGCCTCTTTCTGATCTCGTGGCACCTTGCCTGCACGATGAGCTTGTAGGAAATGTTGGTTGCGCTGGGCCTGGTACCCCTTCTCTTGGGAGGTCTAGTTGCGGCATCGAGTGACTCGGCGGCATCAGCGGGAGATATCCGGCCGGGTTTCGATGGGGGCAACAGAAAACAACCAGCTCATAGGACGGCGCAAGAGCTGAAATCATCTTTAGCCCTGGGTCCACAGAGAACGGACTATGACTACGGAACCGGCTGGTCACGGGTCATTAGGAGAAATGAAGGGGAGGGCACGACATGTCAGGAAAACGAGTGCCCGCGACCATCTTCCATGTTGTGAGTTATGCCAACCGAACCGCCTCTCTAGAGTGCTAACGGCCGAACGTAGACATGCTACGCCGGCTCTGCCAGATCCAACGACCACCAGCACGCAAACTATTACCTCCACAGTCACGTCGTCCCCGGACACAGCAGAAACAAGGGTCATTGTTGTCACCCAGGTTGAGGTGATTACCATCATCGACCCCATCAAGCAGACGCAAACATCCACCACCACAACTACTTTCTCCAAACGAAGAGTGTCTGCCACTCCTTGCCAACCTTTGCCGTCGTCAGTACCATCCGTACTTCGCCGACTGGAAGCAGCAGTCCCTACCTGGTTAAGCAAGGCCCAGGAAATCAGGAGGAATGGTAGACGAGCTGAGGTTACTGTCACTTCTACTGTGACCGTAACAACAACAGTTCAGAGCCCGAGGATCGTTACTGAAACAGTCACCACGACCGTCTTTTCGACCACGTTCGTCGCCCCTAATGCCCAAACTACGGTTACCGTCATTGAAACGGTAGTCTTACCATCTCCTTCAAATACGGGCTTGACTACATCATTGTCCCGGAAGACAACGGCCTCCCGACTTCCCAGTAACTCCATTATACCCTCCACGTATTCGTCTTCCACGACGACCCGATCTTCTCTTTCCAGTTCCTCCTCGACAACAACAACGCCTACCGGCCCTCTTTTACCACCACCATCATCACCACCACAAACAACAACAACCCCTTTAACAACCGCCCAAATAGCAGGCATAATAACCGGCGCCGTGCTAGCGCTCTTCCTCCTCCTAACGCTAATCGCTTTCCTACTCCGCCGACGCGCACAGAAGTTCCGCCGTGCGCGAGCACAAACCAGCATCAGACATCAGCTCTCACCGACCACACTACCCCCCACCGCCACCACGCCTACCACCACCACCACCGCCAGCAGCAGCTCTAGAAAACGACGCGGCACCCTCCCCCACAGTCCGCACCGGCCCCGGCCGCGGCCCCAGTCACAGCGCAGGTCGTATCCCCGCTCCTCTCGTAGCCAAAACCGGACCCGGAACCGCTCCCAAACCCGCCCCCACCCCAGCCGCCGGCTCCGACTCCACCACCACCACTTCCTCCTCCTCCTCACAGGACAACCACTCCGGCCTCACAGGAGAAGGCGAAGTCCGCATCATAATACGCGCGGCACCGGCCGGCCGCAACCAGAACCGGGCCCAGGCCCGGGCAACGCCACCACTAGCAAGGCGGACGATGGTATCGCGGCAGGGGGAGAGGGGGTACGGCATGGAGGCACTGAGCCCTGAGGGGCGGACGACGAGGGGGTCGTCGAGCCCAGATGGGGGGATGGATCACGCAGGGGGGTGGAGCGTGGCGAGTGAGCGGGGGAGTGAGGTTGATTTGGGGCTTGGTGGGGATTTGGACTTGGGAAGGGTTGGGGGTGGGGGGGAGAAGGCTTGGTGGAGGGTGTAGGCTTGGGGGGGTGGAGGGGGATGAGGGGTGGAGGAGATGGTGTGGGAGGTGGTGTGGGGGGTGGTGTGGGATGGGAGTTATTTGGTTAGGGGTAAGGGGCTTTGGATATCTATCGCATATTATGGGGTGGTGGAGGCGGAAGATGACTGGGTACTGTGGATAGAGTTGCTTTCATTGTAGATACTGTTCCTTGTAGATATTATAATGTATCGTGAGAATAGAGTGTAGGATACATTGTACTTTCTTCGCCGCCTCTGTTTCGTACAACCTGTGGGGGTGTTTGTTCACAACTGGTTTGAACTCCTATTCGTGATTGAGACCGCCTTGGCCAGCGCAGAATGATTTGGAATTCATCAGCGACAGCCCAAATTGACCGACGACATCATCTACTCAAGACTCGTTGCATGATCGCCGGCGAGTCCGCGCGGTGGCCCGTGGCGTTGAATGGCTGTTTGATCGCCGTGTGGATGAGACTGGGTCCCCGGTTCCCGGGTGCCGCCCGCCACGCAACATATTCCAATAGATCCCTGTGGGTCATCTGCTGGAGCAAACGGTGTATGGATATAGTGGTACATGTGAAAGGCATTGCTCTGAACGACACGCCGGGGGCAGGCGGCTCGAAGCCTAGTTGCTTCAAGTGTGATCGTGTCTTTCGTTATCATCTCCGCTAGATCAGCCTCAACTCCGGCCTCCATCTGTCTAGATGCACCCTTCCGTCCGGGTTTCGGCTGCCCCTCGCCCAGCTTACACCGGTATATGATACAACTATGAAAACAAAACGGTGAATAGCGGGCGGTGCATGGCAGTCTAACCCAATGCGCTCCAAACGTCCACCGCCGTAAATCCCAACCGCAACGCCAGGCCTGCCCAAAGTCGAGTGAAGATGTGTACATTGGAACCGCAGGTTTTGCTGCCCTGGGCTCCCCTGGATACGCCGCCGGAAACCGTTTCCCGTCGCTCTTTCGCTGGGAGATATCGTCGTTCCGCGGGTCGTACCTCTGTTCGTTTTTTGTTCGCCGTGTCTGCCGTCTTGGGCCTAGCATTCAAATGCTGCCGGGACGAGAAGGTAGGTATGGCGGTAAATGGCGAACCCGGCTACCTGTCCTTGTAGACCTTGGGGTTCCATCCCTCCTTCGTTTCTGCCTCTTGTGCGGCCTTCTCTATCGCGGGTTTCACCTCGGCCTCGATCCTCTCGCGTGCGCGCAGGATCTTGCTCTGCAGGTAGAAGGAGCCGCCCTTCTTGGGCTCGTTGTTGTCGAACAGGCGCTTGAAGCGGTCCATGACCTCTTCCATGTCGGCCTTGCCGCCTTGGGGTTGCTTCACGTTGAGGATCTTGCACGCCTCCTCCAGGGTCATGCCACTGCTAAGGCTGGCCCGCCCCGACACGCCATTGCCCGACTTGGCCTGCGCGCGCTGATACTGGCTCGAGGCTGATGCTTGCTTGTATGCTTCGGCGAAGGCGCGGCCAACCACGCGGGTGCCGATGATGACGACTTGGGTTATCATGCGGTAAGCCTGGAAGGAAGACGAGGTTAGTTGCTGGCTGCGGGAAAGGGGAGTGTGGGGTCAAGAGTTGCGCTTGCGATGGCGATAGCAATAAGGATGGCACAGTGTGTCGTCGGAGATGCGTGGAAGGTGCTCATGCTCACTCACCATTGTGTATTAATCGCAAGCGTCGGCCGCTGTGCTAGCCTATTGTTGATAAGAGAGTGTGTGCGGGGAAGCCTTGGGGCATGCGGCCGTCGTGGTGTCGCGATGTTTTTTCGAAGCCCGTGGAACGGCAAATGGCATGACGGAGGGTCTCGCCTTGGCTCAAAAAATTGTCGGCCAAAAGAGACCCTGCCGCCGCCGATTGCCGGGGGTGTCCGGCCGGCTGGCGTTTGGATTGGTCGGACTGGTTGGCAGCTGAAAGCGACCGTTCGGCTGCCAAGCCTTCAGCTGCCACGCTCTCGTTCGAGTTGAAGGGAGCTTGTGCTTCTGAACATGGCGTAACCTTTCTGGAGAAGCAAGATCGCAACTTGACAGAACAACGAAGCCGTCAGCGCTGTCGACCACAACCACCGCCTCCAATACCACCACGCTCATTAATTCACGATTTCCTAGTACGACTATTTCGAGAAGATAGACCATCCAATTAACGGGATAACCACTGGTTGAACCCCCTGACAGCTTCTCCTTACCACACTCGCCACGATGTCACAATACTACGGCGCACCGCCGCCGAACCAGGGCTACGCTCCGACCGGTGCCCAGAACCTCCAGTTTTACTCGTCCAACTATGCACCACCAGTCTCGGGCCATGCGACGCCATCACAAGCATCCTACGGCTACGGCGGGCCCTCGTCAGGAGCCTACGGCGCATCTGCCTCCTTCAACCAGGGGTTCGGGGACCCAGCAGACGTGTCCGGGCGCATGGGTGAGCAGGGCGGACTCCGAACAGGCTGGCTCGCCGCTTTCTCAACAGAGGGCTACCCCGGCGAGCCACCGTTGCTAGAAGAGCTGGGCGTGAACGTGGGACACATCGGGGCAAAGGTATGCCTACCCTTCCCCACCACTAACCCAACTCCCCACGACCCCTCCTGAGGTCCCCCAGGCTAACAACCACCCCAATCCAGACCCTCGCCGTCCTCAACCCGTTCAGCCGCATCGACCAGCACCTAATGGACGACAGCGACCTCGCCGGCCCGCTCTTCTTCTTCCTCCTCTACGGCACCTTCCTCCTCCTCTCGGGGCGCGTCCACTTCGGCTACATCTACGGCCTCGCCGTGCTCGGCTCCGTCGCCCTCCACGGCATCCTCTCCCTCATGGCACCGAGCGGCGGCGACCACCTCGACCCGACCACGGGCGCGCCCGCCGGCGTAGGCGTAGCCACCCCCGCCTACGACCACCCCGTCTCCGCCATGGGCAGCACCACCACCACCAACCCCACCGGGGCAACAGCAAACGGCAACAGCAACCTGACCTTCGCGCGCTCGGCCTCGGTGCTGGGGTACTGCCTGCTCCCGCTCGTCGCGACCAGCCTGGTGGGCATCTTCATGCCGATGGACAAGCCCGCGGGGATCACGCTGTCGAGCGCGGCCATCATGTGGTGCACGTGGAGCGCGAGCGGCATCTTCTGCGCCGTGGGCGGCATGCGCGGCATGCGCGCGCTCGTCGCCTACCCGCTCGCGCTGTTCTACGTGGGGTTTGGTATCATTGCGGTCTTTAGCAGCCGCGGGAGCGGGTCGTTTGTGAAGGTGGCGGCCGCGGGTGGTGCGGCGGGGGGTGTTTAGGTTTTTGTCGTCGTGTTCTGAGGGCCGATGGGAAGATGGGGAGGGGAGAGTTGCGGATGGGAGTGTGGGTTGGCTAGGAGGTAGGTACTTGGCCGGGGTTGTAACTGTAAGGCTTGTTGTACGTTACGCTTGCAGGCAGGGGCCGCGTGGCAGCGACGGTGTTATATTCAGACAATGATGAGATGATACCGTCTTGTTATCTCTTGTTTTCCTCCCACCGTGTTAAGATAGAGAAAAGTGAGCAATGGGGGTATTCTGCAGATTCCATGGGCAGAATAGGAATGGATCTCAGTAGGTAAACACCGTGGAAGGGGAGTCGGTGATGGGTTGCCAAACACCGTTCGTGGCTTAGCCTCACCAACACGCATTTCACACACCAAGCAAGCACGTAGCAAAGGCACAATCGTAGCGAACTGAAATTCCATTCATCTTCAAACACCGACCCATGCAGTTCGATGCGCCTAGCAAAATAGCTCCTCCCTCGCGAACAGTCGCAAAGGAAGGCAAAAAAAAAAACTCGGATAACAGGCGATATAATGCCATATGCAGCGCGCCTGTCCCCAAATCCGAGATGAAAAACCGGCCCTTAGGCATAAAAAACCAGGCCAGATCTGATCCAGCCCTCCCCAAAGCAAGAGGTAGCAACAGCAAGAGAGAAATACAAGGCCCATTACCAGTCCCGGTCCGGAGACAAAACTACCACTCGCCAACTCATGAATGTCAAGGCGAGGGCGGGACCGTCGTATCTCCAACCCGTCATCCCAACCATGTACGCATGCGGGCTTGCCAAAAACCGACCAATTATCACCCGACTCCATCGGGGGAATCCGCAAGACGAAACCCGCGTCGACGCTTGCTTCGCGCCAGCGTTGGATCCCAACGTCAGCATCCAAGTGTCTTGCTTCCCAAAGACGGCGGGCCAAACGAAGATCTCCTGATATCCATTCCATCATTCCCCTTTTTTTCCTTCCATTCTAATTCGCCTGTGGCAGAGCGCCGACAATACCGTACTGCCCGCCCGCGCCAGCAAAGATGATCTTCCTGTCGCGGATGGCAGTGTTATCGATGAGCGTGGGTGACATGATGTCGTCAGTGGTGCCCTGGCCGGTCTGGTAGTTGCTGGAGAAGCCCCACGAGTACACCTTCCCGTCCCCGGTGATAGCGAAGGAGTGGTCGGTACCCGCGGCGACGTGGACGACGTCCTTGATGTCCGGCACAACGGTGGGCACGACGAGGATGCGGGGCTCGTTGCGCTCGTCCCAGATGACGTTGTTCTCGGAGAAGGAGTCGGCCGGCTGCCCCACCTGGTGACCGTCGATGCGACCCCAAGTGAGCAGCTCGCCCTTCTTGGTGCAAGCCAGCGAGTGGTGCTCGCCGCCGGCGACGCATGTCACCTCGTACGGCTCGAGCGCCGTGATCAGCTGCGGGCGCATGACGAAGCCACCGTCCTGGCCGGCCTCGTCCTCGACGCCGAGCTCGGCATAGTTGTTCAGGCCCCAGCCCACGACGCGTCCCTTAGTGTCAATGACGAACGAGTGGTATGAACCGCAGGCCAGCTTCTCGGCCTTGGCACGGCGGGGGAGCGCGCCGATGCCGGTCGGATAAAGCGCGGCGCTGTCATCGCGCTCGAGGAGGCGGCGGGCGAGTTGGGCTTGCTGGCCGGCGCCCCAGGCGTAAATCTTGTTCTTCTCGTCGAGGGCGAGCACATGGTTCAGGCCGGCCGCGAGCTGCTTGACCTTGGAGATCTCTGGGACGAGAACCGGAGTTGGCTGGACCAAGACGCTTTTGCTGAAGCCAAGAATTCCTTCGTTGCTCTAAAAGATAACTGTTAGATGGGGCAGTGCAAAGATGCTGGGTGGACTTACTCGGAATGTGCCCCATCCGTAAACCTGGCCGGTTGTGGTCAAGGCAAAAGTCGCGCTGTCGCTAGCGACAACTTGTACCCACTTGGTATCCTCGGGGACGTCGGTCATATCAACCTCTGCAGGGGTGCTCTCTTTGGGGTTCATGCCGGTGTCATCTTCATCATCAGAGTCCTCGCCTTCGTCTTCGACATTCCTCAGACCGCCGTCCCAGGTGGTGTCGCGACCCAGAGCACTCTGGTCGTTGACGCCCCAGGTTAGAATCTTGTTGTCGTTGGTCAGGGCGGCGACGTGCATTCCGCCACAGGCAACCTGCACGACACCTTTCAGGTTGGTGTTGAGACGCGGGCGCTTGACGTCGATGGGCTTCTTGCCGTCGACGCGAACACTACCGAGGCCGAGCTCGCCAGCGGTGCCCTCGCCGAACACAAAAATGTCCATAACCTGGGAAGGAGGTTCGTTGATCGCCTTGAGCACGCGTGCGACGCGCTTTGGGGCTGCCTTGGCAGCGGCCGCCTTCTTCTTCGGCGGCGCAGCTGCGGCCTCGGTCTTCTTCGCGCGCTTGGTGCCGGCGCCGTTGGTCTGAGCATCGTCCGCGACATCATCTTCTACCTCGCTGAGCTCATCGTCATTCTTGCGCTTCGCGCCATTGACCTTGGGGGCTGTGACCTCGTTCTCTTTGTCGGATTCCTCAGAGGCCCTGGGGGCCTTCTTGCGCGGCGGCGCGGCAGCCTTCTTAGGCGCGGCGGCTTTCTTGGGAGCAGCAGCTTTTTTGGGCGCGGCAGCTTTCTTGGGCGTAGGAGCTTTCTTGGGAGCAGCGGCCGTCTTTGTGGCGGTAGCTGTCTTCTTTGAAGCGGCAGCCTTCTTGGCCGGCTCGACCTTCTTTGTCTCTTCGACGTCTACCTTCTTGGTGACAGTGGTTCTGGTTCTCTTGGCGGCCGGAGCGGCCTCGCTCGCCGCAGCGGCAGCTCTCTTGGGAGGCATCGTTGCGGATAGTTCGATGCGCGGAATGTGTGAGATGGTACGATGCAAAAAATGCAAAGAAAAAAGGGTAGACTCGAGCGAAAAGACGCGATGCAGAAGTCGAGTTGGTCAATCGAGTCAAGAGCGCAACAGATTCTGTTCAGAGTGCAGTCGTTGACAAAATAGTTGGTTGTGCGAGAGAGGAAGAGAGTTGAGTAGGTCAAGAAGAGTTGGGGGATTTTGAGTTGCAAGGCGCGACCATTTTTTTGGGCCCCAACCCAAGTTTTGTTTTGGCTCCGGGGCATCAGCGCAGCGCCTCAAAAGGGAACGCGGGGTCCCACAATAACCGACCGCATCCGGCGAAAGCCGTGACAATGGTACCACTTGCAGCTGTTCAAAATTTGAACGATGGCGCTTCTTTTTCTGCACTTTGCGTTGTGGATTTTTCAATTGATCCGATTTATTCCTCAATCGATCCCAATCTCAAACCCCATCTTGTCCCAACCCGCCGACCAGATTTCAATGACCTTGACGGCGCAGGTACCCGAGTACCCCAGTCGTCTCCAAATTTGGAGAATACTGCCAGGCGGTGACGGAGCTCCCCTGCTCTGGCTCTTTGCCGGTTCTGGATCTCTGCGAGCGCCTGGCCTGAGCTTGGGCAAATGGATCCACCTTGGGCGTGACACGCCACGAAAACACACCACCGCCAACGCGTTGTCGTGCCTCTTGGAATGTTTGACATTCCCCAACACTCCGAGTTCTTCGCCGGAAAGGATTAGGGCCAGGTCGACACACGCGTCGGCGTTGAACTTATTTTAATCAAGTCATCACAAGTCGGTTTCTGCACATTTGCCCTCACCCCCATCCTTGCATCTAATTTGGAAAACTTGCTTGTGATTACGATGTAGCTAAAAAGAAAAAAAGAAAGAATACCCGTCTATCGTTTATCTCGCCGGACAGAGACGCGCATGCAACCGAGCTGGTAGCCGATTCTCTGCGCACTATTATTGTGCGGTTTTCTGACCCGGCCGATGACACCCCATGGCTTCCCTCGAGCTCCGTCGAGCCAGTATTGCAGACACAGCTCCCTATGCCTTTCCTGCTCAGGGGTCATGGTGTTAAAAAAGGACGCGACGGGCTCCGGAACGCCGGCGATTCTCAAGCCGCCCATAGGCGGGTCCGGCTCAGGTATTGGTAGATCCAGGTCGTCCATCGGTAGGTCCGGCTCGGGTTGGTCGTCAGGACGAATTGCCCAGATGTGTACCGCCTGCAAAACAAACCCTTCCTGATCCCCCTCCTAGGCGGCGTCCAGCAGCCCAACCAACGCCTCAAACACTCCTAACACCGCAAACACCGGCACCTCCGCCATCCCGTCAATTGCAGACCCGTAACCGAACACCAAGGGCTCGATTTCCGATAGTTATAGACCAAGCCTTAGTGCTTAGTCGTGAAGTCCGTCTCGTGCTCCGCCGGGTTGAATCCACCGTCCGAGCCCGTAGAGGAGCAGTCGCAGGAGCCGTCGCAGTCACCTGGAACGACCTCATTAGCCACTGTAAAACGGATGGTGACGAATGAGAGTAGAGAACAAAACACTCACCAGAGGCGCGGCAGCCGCAGTTGCACTCTTCACCGCACGCCGTCAGGTTCTCGGCCTCGGCGCGCGCGCAGTTGCACTGGCCGGTAGGACGGGCCTGGCACGAGCAGCGGGAGCCCTCAACCGAGTTCTCGGAGGCGGCCTTGTCGCAGTTGCACTGGAGAGCCGGTTGCTTGCCGCACGAGCAAGTTGCTTGCTGGGCTATCGTAGAGGCAAACGAGATGATTAGCTGGGGTGGAGAGGAAGAGGGAGATTATAGGAGCGGTGGTCGTGGAGGGCGGTGATGGGGGACACTTCGCTTCCGCTGTTGCTGGCGGCGATGATGATGTTGGGGAGAAGAAAAGAAGAAGAGAGAGGGATCAAGCCGACTTGGAATAAGATGTAGACTTACCACAGATGCACTCGGCGCTCTTGCCGCAGCAGGTGGAGGGCATGGACGCCATTGCTGTGATTGTTGTTGTGGTTGTTGCTTTTAGACTGCCGTTGGGAAGGCGAGAGTCGAAGTCAGGCAAACGTTACTGAACGCTTGATCAAGTCGAAGAATTGAGTTGAGTTGAGTCAAGTTGACCAAGAGCAATTGGCAGGCTGGATACAAATATGGGAGATCTGAGTTGATTGATGTGTGAAATACCAAAGGCTATTTGCATAGAGAATGCGCAACGGACTTCAACTTATACTTCTGTTTCCGTCTTTTGATGTCACACCTGTGGCTGTTGGCGGCGAGGCTTGCAGGCTGAAACTTGTGGGCCCCCAGCGCGCCGCTCTGGGCCAGGCACAACCAGATCCGGTCATCGCGAAAATCCTGATTGGCTGGATCGAATAGATTCAGCCAATGAGAGGGAATGTATTTCAGATCCTGTTCAGCTCCCAACCAAACCTCAAAGCTGCCATTGGCCAAGATCGCAAGATCGCGCTTGCCACTGGCATGGTGGAACGAGACTTCGGCATCTGGGCGCTGTCTGAAGCAACTGCCAAAGCCGATTTTCCAAGCAAGGAGGAGGCACTTTCCATTGTGTTGCCGGGTAGTGGTTGCCTGGCTTCGCACGAAGGCTGGAGAAAACTCGCTCGTTTGTCGGGGCACTGCAGTCGCATGTGCCGCTGAGCAAGTTGTCACGGATATTTTGGCAGCGTAAACTGTTCGCGCCGTTTTGGGAGGTGAGAAAATCACCAACATGGAGGGATAAGCATTCGGCGCATGAGGTTTGGGGCTTGTGACACTCAATCCTTCCTTGTGCGCCCGCAGCAAGAAGCCAACTCCAACTCACTTGGGGTTATACGTGCTTATCCACGCCACGGTTGTGCCTGTTGTCAGTCATGGAAAGCTGGCTGCCCAGGTTTTGTGGCGCTATGGACCTCTCGGCCCCTTTTTTCCCACATCGTCGTCCCTTTCCCAAAAGACCTGACCCGCATTGTCGCTGAGCTCGCTCAGCTCGCTCATCCCAGGAGGTGCCATTTAGCAACCGGCTTTCCCAAATAAATAAACTTCGACAGTCTGTCCTTCGCCATCGAGTACGGGGAGTGGCAACACCGTCTGTTCCCGGATAGCCCATCCATCTTCGGCCATTAGGTTGAAGAAGGCCTTTTCCGATGAGTGTCTGGTCTTGGTGGCAACGAGAACCTCGGTTGTGGTGGGCGGCCCGGCGGTTGAAGGATGCTGCGCAGACCGGCTGTGGAGCGCAGAGAGCGTCTTGACGAGGGGCGGCAGCGTGTCGGTGTTGTAGGTGCAATCACACAAGACGACGAGGTCCCATGGGCGAGAAGCGGCCTTTTCTCCAAAGACGCCGTTCTTCCCATCTTCCCAATCCAAGGCCTCAAAATCGAGTCTCGCTGGGGTGTCACCAAGTTTGTCTGCCTGACGGGCCATGTTCGCTCGAGCCTTCTCCTCTGCTTCGGGAAGATCTGTGATGAGAATATGCGGCGCTCCGCCGGTCGACTTCAACGACATGATGCGCGCCAAACCAATACCCATGACTCCGACACCACATCCAAGCTCCAAAATCCTCAACGGGTGGCTTGGTGTTTGCAGGATGCTGCGAAACAGAGGCAGCCTTTCTTTGGCACTGGCCGTGCTGTCCAAGCACATATCCGCCAGCAAGGAGACCATAACAATACCCGAATCCCAAATATGGCGCGCAATGCTCTCGCCTAGATCCTCCTCAATCTGCAGTGGTTGAGGAGCCATCACACCAGCGGCCATATCCCCGGTGGACAGTCGCAGGCTCCGGAAACATACCGAAGGCGCACCTCCATCACCCGGTCGCGGAATATCCGCATAAACTGCCATGATCAGACCTTGGTTCCCGGGAAGAACGTCGCTCGTCCCCATCGCCGTGAGCTGCCGATTTAAGGGGCGAATTTGGATCGTCTCGATGGGCTGCAGCGGCAATGGCAAGTCCAGTTTAAGCACTCTCATCCCAGCCTTCCACAAAGGCGGGTTGCCCTGCGTCAAGACGACTGGAACAATCCGATCCTTCCCATCCTTGTGTTCAGTGTATGCGCCAATGACAGCGAGCTCGATGGGATTGCGCGGAGAGAGGAAGGCGTCGCTCAGGTCGGTGGTGATGGTCAGCACCACATTGACTGTAGCATAGGGCCTGCCTGCCCAAATCTTGGGTGGCCGGCAGAATCTTATGTAATGCATGTTGGAGAGCCCGGATTCTCCGGGGCTGCTATCGCAAGCTGAATCAATTTATCGAAATTCTGACCTGATGAATAGGATGCGACTGGAAATCTCTGATAATCGGCCAGTTGCGGGAATCACTGGAAGTGGGTGCTGTCTGAGTGGGGGATAGGGGGTTAGGGTTTATCACCTCCCTTGTGCCCCTCGTGCCCCTCTCCCCAGCAACACCACCAACCACCACCAAGCACACGATCCCCCGATAAGGATGCTCCCGTCCTGCCCCCACGTTATGTAACCTCACTTGCAACCTCCATGATAAACCCAAAGGGACCCGGCACTGCCCGTCTACCGCAATGCGCCGCCCCCCGTGTCAAGTCACGCGATTCCATCGATTGGCGATGTCACGAGCCGAAGTCAACAATAACAAGTAAATAATAAACAAAAGAATCGGTTTCGCCCATCTGATGTGCTCTCGCGAGCGCAGGCAAACACTAGCCACCCAATCATTACCACCCTCGTCATTACAGCCATCCGAAGTTCTATTATTCTCATGTCCAACGCCTCGCCTCCATCATGTCATCAGCGACCACCCTCGTCTCCGTCCTTCTCGACATCACCGAAAATCGGATTGTGCCGCTGACCCGCGCCGGTGTCTCGTCCGGGAGTAAAGTCTTCGGTGCTGCCATACTTACTCGCTCAGGCCTCGCCCCAGTAACGGTTTCGACCAACAATGAGCGGGTGTCGCCGCTTCTACATGGCGAGGTCAACTGCATCCAGGAGTTCTTTGCTTCCGCACCCGAGGGCCGCCCCGCCACCAAAGACTGCATCTTCTTCTCCACCCATGAACCTTGCTCGCTATGTCTGAGCGCCATTGCATGGGCCGGTTTCAACGAGTTTTACTATCTGTTCACCTACGAGGACAGCCGCGATCTGTTCTCAATCCCTTACGATATCGACATCTTAGAGCAGGTCTTCCGAGTTCCAGGCCCCTCAGATACGCCCGAGACCCTGGCTGCTCGTCCACTCTACAACCGGAAAAACAAGTTCTTCGCTGCGAAGAGCTTGGGAGATCTCCTCCAGGACATATCGGACGATGTAGATCGGAAGCATCTGGCCGGGGAGGTTAGGAGGGTAAAGGAAATGTATGGGTCACTCGACGCAACCTACCAGGCGGAAAAAAGGTCTGGAACGGAGAGTGCAAGCATTTGGAAATGATGGCTTCCCGGACCGCACGGGCAGTGGCAAAATCTATGAGCACATAGCAGCATGGAAGATGCGTAGTAGGCTGTATAAATCCCAGCCCACACAGGCCAGCCTGTTCAGGACCGTTTCCCTCACCATCTTGACGCGCCTGCAGCTGCCATCCGTCGGTTATCTTCTTCTGCAGCCCCCGCGCTTTCCTCCTACGTACGAGGAACAACACTTGACCACCGGACTTTCTTCAATCGAATCAATCACACACAGTAACTGCGATGCCTCATTTTTATGCCTTGCTGGAAGGATCCGAGGCTCTTGATGCCTCGGAGCGGCACACCTGGCAGCAATTGGGAGCCATAGGGACCCCGGTACTTCGTCCTCCGTGAGTACCTCTCTACTGTGGTACCAGTCACCCACTTCCCTGCCTTGTGATTTGCCTTGCCAGAACACTACCCATCACTCTCTTGAGATTATCCCTACTCTGGGACTATTCCTACCTAAACCCCAGCGAATATTCGTCACTTATTCGGAGAGTATTGTTTCTCACACAGATCTAGGAGTGTTGATACGCCTCCGTCGCCACGTCCGGAGGAAGCCGGCGAACGGCCGGGCATGGACCCTCCCAACGACGATGCCGTGAGCCAACATCCTCCGGCGCCGCATTCGTCGTATGATGAGACCCAGCACTCGGATGCGAGCCCATACCATCCGTCCCTCCCCGCCCATCCGGCCACACTTTCACACGACAATGGCGTCCCCAATCACCACGACGTGTGGAGATATCTGCCTCTTTCCCAAGTCACGCCTCTCGAACTCGAGAAACTCCTGAATGCCGCCGGAATCCGCGTCTGGGAGGGTTCTACAGGTGCCTTACTACTCTGCGAATCCAACGGGAGGACGCGGGCGGAGTTGCCGGCGCCCAGGTCCAGGGACACGGATAGGCCGGCCCTCCCCTATACTCGCCTTGAGGAGGAAACTTGGAGGTGGGTCAATCTAGGAACCGCGTCGCCTACGGAAATCGTGGAGCTCCTCGTCACAGCGAATTTCGCCGTCCAGGAGAACTTGGGTGGTGACTTGCGACTGGCCGAATGGGTTGGGCCTCTGCGGGCGACACTTCCCAAGCTGGACCGGCCTCCTCTCGAGGCATCCGGCGCCTAGGATGGCACGCCTGATGCCCCTGCGGGCATAGATACCGGAAGGCGTGCGCAAAATCGAGCATCGCCGTGGAGACTCACACCACCCGGTCCCGTGATGCTTCCAACACAGGGTTTACCTTCACGCCGCCAGAACACCGACCCTATTTCTGGATCAAGGCCGTGGCGTTTGCCAGCTACTCCCCGGGGAAACAGTTGTACGAATACTCGTCTAGCTGCAACTGCCGCCCTCCCAATCATACCCCCCATCACAAGGGCATCGAACTTCCCTTTCGATTTAGAACCGGTCTCACGATCCTCATCCACTTCACCGCAAATACGCACCGCCCCTCACGCTTCGGAGCTCAGTTCGGCGAGCTATTCAACATGCTCCCCCAGCGGCACGCTATCAGCCTCGTCGGAAGGGCGTAGTGTCCCATGTTCTTCGCAACTCAAGCGGGATTGCCAGCCATCCATGTCCGGTGGCCAAATATTGAGGCCGATGCCAGTTACACGACCACGTCACCCCCACCGCGACGGTCATCAGCCCGAGCTCGAACCAACATCACGAGGCTCGTCAACGCGGCGGAAGTTCACCAAGCTTGCAAATATCTCCCGCATCTTCTCGGAAATGCAGCCATCTTCTGCATGCGTGGAGGCCTGGAGACAGACATGGCTTCCACAGCCACCAACTGCTGGAGCCTCGGTGCCTACAGAGCCAACGTCCTCCCGCACTAAGCCCCCCATGGCTGAACCACACGCCCGAGTTTCGGATATCTCACACTACTCGGGTACAAAACTGAATCGGCTCGAAGCGAACACCCAAGCACCGCCTCCCCAGGTAGAAGACTTGCCCCGGCCATCCCATCAAACTTTAAAGCCTAAATTGGAGGGCGCGAGCTCAAGACTAACACTAGAAAGCCGATATGCCGGGAACTATGCCGATGCGTCCACTCAAACATCGCCACACCCTTCAACAAGCTCCATGCGGTCGCTTTCCCCGACTCGAATGATCCCTCCCCAGGGTTCTAATCGCGAACCAACGACTGGACCAGCTCTAGCGCTCAACAATAACACCACGGAGCGTCAACCCTCGGCGGCTTCCCGGACTCCCTCTCCCCAACAGCTCTTGCGGCTCCTCTCGGAGCCACGGTTTGGTGGCGTTTCTACGAGCACTGGACGCATTTTGGCTAAGCAACTAAGCTACTTCCAGGCGCAACGACGGTACTTCAGAGAAATGGAACGTAAAATAGCCCTTTTGGCTCTCGAGCGGGCGTTGCCGGACGAATCAATTATAGCACCAATGGATGATGATCCCGTAGCTCCACGCTCTCCCAAGATATCGTCCCAAACACAACCACTCCACGAGGAGTTACAACCTGCAGCAACCCCCCATTCGGAGGAAGTACCGGGCAATGACCTGGTGGTTGGGTCGAGCTCGTCAGGTCCACCTCGCTCAGTTTTGGTAGAAGCACCCGTGGATGGTGCACCCAGAGACGAAGATTTATACTTGGTTGCTAGGCCCAAATCACATCCTCTCCTACCCCGTGATTACCTGAACACATCATCAAACAAACAATCTTTCCACGAGCCACGGCCGGTGCGAACTTTTGACAGTGTCATAAGCACCTTAGAAAGGATGTCAAGCGAGAATTGTCGGGACGGGCCGGCGGCCGGTGCCCGCGACACTGTCCACAAAATCTCCGGAGAGGTACCCAAGCCCCAGGGCTTGCTCGACTGCCCTTGCTCAACCGATGATCAACTAGCCGAACAGCCCAGCCTACCAGCAACAGGGGAAATCGCACATCTTGACGCAGAAATAGGCTCACTCGACGCCCGCGCGGAAGCTAGCTCGCAGGGTGAAGCTCGCTGGACTATCCCATGCCCGACGGAAACTATTCAACAACCGTCCTTTACACCCCCCATGTCGCCGGGGACGTGGCAGGAAGAAGTTTCATCGACACGGACGAGGGCTTCCCACACCGATGTTCAACCAGTTGGGCGCCCATACTCCCCACAGGGGCCACAAGCCACGGACCCCGGCACAGCGATAGACTCACCAGACGCCCACGCGGCAACCGGCACACAGGCCGAAGCTGCCCTCTCTATCGCACGACCGACGACCACTGTCCACCAATCGCTCTTCATACCCCCTATGCCGCCGGATGCGTGGCGGAGAGAAGTGGGATCCAGACGGACGAAACCCAGGCGGCCCAGGCCGAAGAAGACGTTCTTTTGCCCGCGGTTGGACGTTTCGCCCTGGGCAGTCCCTGTCTCCAGTACTGCTCCGCGAGCCCGGCACAGCGTGACGCCTCCCAATGATGTAGATGTCATTTCAGGAACGGCCCCTGCCTCACCCCCCGTCCCGCGGGTCGAAAGCAGCGACGACTTGGGAACGGCCGCCCCACATTCAGTGTCTAGTGACAGGTTCTTGATCTTTTTTTCGAGTTCGGAATCCGATTCAGAGCTTGTTGGAGCGGGTTCGGGAAGCGCGTCGAGCGGCTCAGGGGCGAATTTACTAGGGAGGGGGAATAGCAGCAAGGGAGGGAGGCGGCGTTCGACAATTTCTAAGCTGGAGGGGAGCGGCGATCCCGCTCTCGATGACTGGTTGACGCAGCGGGTACGAGAGAGGCAGCTCTGGATGAGCTCGTGGAGTGCTGGTCCGGGGCGCGAAAGGCTGGAACAGCTTAGAGAGTCGGAGGGGGTCGTTCCTAGGCAGCCGATGGAACCGGGTCAGTCCACGGAACTGGAGGACCACCCAGAGCCGGAGCAGCCAGGACCAGAACAATTCATGGACCTGGATAGACAGAAGCCGGAAACCCCCGTGCCCCGAGAGTTACAGACGGGGACAAATGGGGCCCAAACCCAGGTTCACCGACCCGAAGAACGGGCCGACGACAATACTACACGCCTATCCGACACGGCGACTGAGAAACGCCCACAACTAGAGCAAGCGGAAGTTTCTTCGACCGGTGTACCTGAAGCCACGCACCAAATCCCCCCTTCACAGCCACCTCGGCAGTCCGATCGCAAAAGTGGGATTGACTGGGCTGAAGCCTCAGATGAGGATCCCGAAATTGGATTCCCCGAGTGGAAAGCGAGAAATCTGCCGCAGGAGCCAACTCCCATACGGAATCCGCCGCCAGTGAAGCCTGTGATGGAAGCAAAGGCCGGGAACCCCGTGAAGCCGGCGAAGCTGCCAGTGCCCCTGATGAAACTGAACCCTACACGAAAACTATATTCAGTCCCAGCTCCGGCTCCGGCTCCTCTCGAGAAGAATCTGCTGTGGAGCCAAATTGTTCGAGGGGGGGCAAGAGCGCCCGAAACGCCGCGACAAAAGCAGGGCAGCCCGGCAGCCCTCCCCGATCAGCCGAAGTCTGCATGGCTGCCGGTGCCGCAGCGTCTGAGCCCGGCTCGACCTCCTGGCACCCGAGGACGTGAGTCCCGAGCATCCCTATCAGAGAGGTCAAAGGGAAAAGGACCGGAAAACACGGATCAAAAAAGGGCTCAGGCGTCGGGGCAAGCCCAACAACTGCCATGGGCAAAGAGAAAACAGCCAGCCAAGCGAAATACGTTTGACGCGCTGGAGCAGCTTGTTGAGCGCCCCAGGGTCACGTCAGGAAGCCCAGGACCATCCGGCAACGACAAGTCGGCGAATAACTGGAGGACGGGGGGGAAGAGTCAGAGTGAGAGCTCGACGATGGCCACAGTCAAGGAACCTGAGAGACTGGAACAGGTCAACGAGGACGTGAGCTTGCAAGAGGAGGCGCCAACCGAAGGGCCCGAGGAACCAACAAAGCACGACGGCGGCGATAACAGTGTGAAGATGGTTCCGGTGGAGGAAGCCAAGGAGGTGCCCGCGAAGAATGGTGAGGGGGAGATATCTACAAAGGCCCCCGTTCAAGTATTCGAGGAGGAGCCCGAAAAACATGGCCAGGGGGACAGCTCTACAGAGGCGCGGGTTCAGGGACCCGAAGGGGAACCCCCGAAGCATGACGAGGGTGATGATTTTACAAAAGTGCGGATCCAAGAACCTGAGGAGTCCGCAAAACCTGGTAAGGACGACGACTCCGCAAAGGCACCGGTTCACGAATCCAAGGAGTCCGCAAATCATGATGAGGGCGACAGCCCGGTTCAGGAGTCCGAAGAGGAGCCCACGAAACATGTTGAGGGTGACGATCCTTCAAAGGCGCGAGTTCAGGAATCCAAGGAGTCTGCAAACCGTGAGGAAGGGGACGACTCTACAAAGGCGGCCCAAGATCCCGACCCAACAGAGCAGCCCTGTGAGGAAGGCAACTCCACAAAGACCCCGGTCCATGACATCGGCCCAGCCGAGCAGCCCGGTAAGGGGGAGGGTTCCGAGCAAGCGGCACCGGCCCCCGCCCCGGCGAAACAGACCAGCAAAACCACGCGCGGCAAGAAAAACAACAAGAAGAAAAACAAAGCCAAAAAGAAGAAGGCCACCGAGCCCGCCCCGGCTTTCTCCACAACAACACCCCTCCCATCCCACCCACCCAGCCTGATCCTCACCCCCAGCGACAGCCCGGTCATCTTCACCCCCGACGAGAGCCCACCGCCCAGCATCACCATCACCATGACCGAGCCACACCTCCCCTCCACACCCACAGACATACCACCACCGCTCCCCCCACCACCACCGCCGTCATCATCATCATCGTTCCCATCAACATCACCAACCCCCTCACCCCCGTCCCCACCAGCATGCCCAACCACCCGCCTCTCCAAAACAGACCTCGCCGCCCTCGTCGAGCGCGGCCGCCGCGTGGATGAGTCGACGCGGATCGGCCCGCTGGCGCGCTTGGCAGTACCGCCGCCGCCGCGGGCTGGGGATGAGAAGGGGGGTGTTGCTGGTGGTGGTGCTGGTGTTGCTGGTGAGCTGGTCTGGCGGTGGACGCCGCCGCGGCGTATCAAGTATGAGCAGCTGGAGAGGGCGTTTGCGGGGGATGGGGAGGCGGTGGAGGCGGAGTGTGGGGTTGTGGGGGGGGAGGAGGAGGATGGGGGGGTTGGGGACTGGGGGGGTTTTGAGGGTGGGAGTAGGGGTGGGGGTGGGGATGGGGATGGGGGTGAAGATGGGAATGGGAATGGGGATGGTTGGAATAGTGGGAGTGGCGGTGGTGGTGGTGGCGGTTGGGGGACGAGTACGAGGGGGGATGATATGGATACGGATGGGGATGGGGGTGGGGGTGGTGGTGCTTGTATGGGTGAGCGGGGTGCTGGGGGTGGCGGAGAAGAAAAGAAGGGGGGTGCTGGGGATGGTGGAGAGAAGAAAGGGGGTGTTGAGGAGGGGGAAGAGAAGGGGGAGAGAGGTGGAAAGGGCGAGTGTGCGAGCAAGAAGGATGACGAGGTTCGTGAGACGCAGAAGGGTCATATTTCTTTGCTGAGGCGGGTCAGAGAGCAGACGGAGGCGTGGGTTGAGAAATTTGTCCCCGTCGGTTTGGGGTTGACGAGGGAGGAGTGGAGGGCGATGGTGAGGGAAGCGTGGTTTACCATGGTGGAAGTGGAGGATGGTGGAGGTAAGAAGGCATCGTCAGGAGTATAGTTTTGTTTGTAAACTAAGTAGGTTAATTCATAGCGGACTTGGTTTTGTGAATATTACGTTCAGGGGTTTGTTTACTTGGTTGTTTACTGTTGTTACACATGACCCTGTGGGCTGGTGAACGGAAGGGGGCTACAAACGGTTCGTAGACGTTCTAAGGCATGTGTGTGTATATATCTTTCTACTCACACCCTCTCAAGTCCACACTTTCCCATCTCGAAGTACTAATTCTAGTTTCCTCCTCCAACCCCCGCAAGTGTTGGCGGTTCCTCGCGCACCCCCCTGCCCATGACCGATGACGTCGCGGGGGTAACATGCACGACATTCAGGAAGAAACGCGGGGTTGTGGGGTATTTGAGATTTCTTTCCTCTCATCTTGCGCACTAGATCTCAAGATGCAGGAAAAACAAGCCATTACGTCAAAACTCACACCTTCTTACCCTTCGTAGAAAACCCAGCATAATTACCGAAGGGATATCCAAAAGCAGACATCCGGTTTCTGGCTTCTCACTGGTGCGAGAAGAGATCGATAAAGAGAGGGGGAGGTTGATGCCAATCCGGAGCTCGACATGCCCCGCTCCATCCCCGCCCCGCATGTTCAGCCGAGCCGAGCGAGCCTTCATTCATCCCCGCGCTTTCCGCCAGAGCCAAGCAGAACCTGGCCCCGAGCCGCCAGAACCCCGCTTCACGGATGGGGTTTCTGAGTTGGGTCTTTTGCCAGGGGGCGTGGGGTCTGGATGATCGACGCTGTGCATGGATTTGATGTTCACGCCCGGGACTGAGGTTAGGAGTGTTTGGGTATGCATGGCATGGGTGTGAATTATGGTGAAGAGGTGAGGATGTGAATTCTCGCACTCGCTCACGGTTTACCAAGTTGACAGATCTCCAGCTGACATGATCGATCGGTACCGATGTGGGGATGCGAGACACCTCTGCCCCCTCCGATTCCGGTTCTGCCCCCGCCCGAGACATCCGTGGATACACTCTAGGAGGTAGGTAGGAGGTCAGGGTCGGGAGGTCGTTCGAGACGCGCGTAACTGCAATGGTCGGCCGGTGAGGACGCTGATGGGGGACACCGTGTGGGATACGGTACGGCGCTGACGAGAGAAGGTTCGGAATCGAAGGTTCGGAGGAGACGGGGTGACGGGTCCGGAGGGTTGGCGTTGCAATCTGGCTCGAATCCGTTAGCTGGGTCGGCGCTACTGTGTGTCTTCGATGGAGGCGGGGGAGTGAGATTAGGAAGCGATGGATTGGGAATGATGCGATGCGATGCGACCTTGCTCGAACTCGAGTGGAAACAGCCACACCCACACCACTCATCCCAACTCCCAACCTGGTGCTGCGCCCGACGGCCGGTGGGCGCAGAGGAGTGTGTGAGCGTTCGCCAAGTGGATTGCGCACCACCGAGGTGCGCTGGAGAGGGGGACGCCACACCGTCATAACTAAAAATAATTGGACGCCAGAGCGCGATGCTTGCAACCGCGTGGTATCGAGGTGGCATTCTGGGAGCCTGATTTTTAGCTTTGGGCTGCGCTGTATTTCTCCCTTCTGGAAGATGACTTGATTTGCTGAGCGAGGCAGGTGAACAGTCCTAAAGCGGCGAAGGTGTGAACACCAAGCACGCCTGTGCCGAGTTGTGACACAGGGTCTGGCACCGTGCCCTGATTGGACCCCCGTTCCACTGTTGCTGCACGCAATTGCAGATAGCCGCCCGCTCGACCTAGCCACAGAGGCACACCAACCGACATACCTGTATCCATATCCAGAAGTCAGCCATCGATGGTGCGCTAATATATTCCAGATGGGGCGGCTGACCACCTGGTGAAGACGACGCTGCGGAAACTCAGCATACCACTGTTGAGAGTTGGGTGTTGGTAATGTTCATGTTCAGCAGGGACAAGTTCATGGCAATTTGGTCTCACGAAAAAACGGACCATGATGCTAGGGGAAAAAAAAGTCAATTCTCTAACAGCTATGTAGTAGGTACTTACTTGTCTAACTCTAGAATAAGGATAACTCTTACCAAAGGTATCCGACGTTAGCACTAAGAAAAGTGTCAAAGACTTACCTTTTCTCACCCTGGTACTGTCGAATTCGGAAACTAAACGGTATCGACCTGCTCCCGCAAGGTTAGCAACTCGCTGTTAGGGAACTCACCTTGAACATCTGCTCTGTATCAGAGAGATAAGACCCCTGATATCCCAATCTCGTCCACAGCTCATCCTTGCTCCGCCCTGATACCTTCATACAGCCCGAGCACCAGAAGAACACACCCATCCAGATATCATCTTGCCTCAACAAGCGGATGCTCGCTTCTGTGAATACCGAGGCAGGGAGCGGCCACTTGGCCGTGAGAGCCTCCATCCACAGCAGGCATTGTTCCACCGATGACGATGGTGGCTTTTGCGGGTCTAAAGCATCGGCCGACATCTGTGCGAGCCTGGGGCTGCAAAACCCCGAAATGGTCCAGTAGTCCAAGTCGTTGAGCACGTCGAGATACCCCGACAAGAGATTCGCCTTGTGGGTAGAGCAGACGGATGCATTGGCGACCACCTGGCCCACGAGGTAGAAGTCGCGGACGGCCGCGGGGAGAGTGTCGAGGCCATGGCCGGTGATCTTCGAAGTGATGGCCGGCCAGTTGATGGTAGGGCAGTCACCACGGCGGGTGCTGCCGGAATGCATCGCGTGGGGGCGCCCTGTTGTTGTGAGTCCGCGCTAACTAGTGTGTTTCGTCAGTGACTATGGACTGGCTTTTCGACGGTGTGTTTCGCGGGCGGCAAAGGTATATATACGACCTTTTTGCTCTCGCCAGGAATTTCTTTGTCAACAGACCCCCGATAACAAAGTCATTGTCTGGACAGTCCCCGAAGCCGCGAGAGGCCACTGAGTTTAGCTCTGATCAACACAAAGGAGCATTCCGGTTACGATAGAGGCCGGGCCGCCCAGGAGTACAGACAAGGCACGCCCCCGAAGCCATATATTGTCATGTGACAAAGGCCAGCCTGTTTCGAGTGGACGGCATTGTCGTGGTTGTCTAGGAACCGGGTCGGCTCTGTCTTGCTCTGCCAGGGGTGAGTAACAACAAGGTTTGATACACGCAAGATTTCACCCTCACACCCCTCCACAAGACATAGATCAGACGAAACGTGAAACAATGTCTGGGAAAGAATCCTACAAGGCTGAAGCAAACAATCCAGCCACAACCGACCAAACAAGGTCTGAGCCGGGATCGACCTTGGCCGATATGCCGCACACCACACACCACCACCCACCGCCCAGCCTCCCGCCTCAACCCCGCGCAAAGGGGGTGGGCGGCACAGCATTCAATATCTGACTGGGCGCATGTGAAGAACACCACCTTGAAGACAATGGATGGTGCGGCCTGCACAGTGACCAAGTCCTCTTTACCCGGTTGAGCCAGCCGAGCGAGCAACGGCAGATCCGGATCGCCCTTGTATCGATCGAACGAGGCGGCACCCGACCGTGAAGAAGAATAGACGAGCCGAGCATTGTAATAGATGAGTGCACATTCCGATATGAGCAAACACATCCAGCCGGCTGAAGATGCAGAATGTGAGAAGGCACGGAGCCGAAGGGGAGGGGTGTGCTTAAGCCATGCGACACAACCTGCCACCAGCCATACCGTGCTCTGGATCACAGTGACACGAGTGCAGGAATCCGAAGGACAATCCGCGGTAACGTCATGTTCTCTCACACACCATCAGGCCCGATGCCGTTGCCGAGTCTCCTTCCATAGCCCCTCCGTACGAGATAACCGAAAGAGAGAAACGGCGCCAATCCTTCGGGCCCGGTTCCGAGCCACGCGGCTAGCAAACAAAGAACATGTCGGTGCCGATGCGAGGCTGCGCCGTTTCGAATTTTTTCAAGTTTGACGATGAGAGACGAAAAGCTGACATCCACGGGGCCAATGGTGTTCAGCGCGCCCCCTCCCTCACTGAACCCCAAAATAGGCCGCGAAAACGGGCCCGGGGCGCGCAACTGCCGCCCGCCCGGCTTCCATGCGCCGCACTAGAAGGTGAAAGGTCATTGCGCTGCCCCTCCCCGCCGTAGACAAGCAGGCAGGAAGAATAAACTTGCAAAGGCTATGAGTCAAACGGCGACAGGAACATAGCCGCGCTCACTAAGAAGTGCCTAGTCGTTGGGGTCGGATAAAACACCACTGGACGTACCTCTGTCGCCGCCCGTGGTCGCAGCGAGGAGGAACCTCACCTCAACCTTTACCTAACCCTAACCCACTTACACCCGGGCGAACAACTCGAAGGTTCGGGAATCCCCAAAGGACTGCCTTTCTCGTATGACGTCGCTGCCTGCCAAAGGAACGACGCGTGACCCAGAAAGCCGGGAAGACCTGTGTACACTACAGAGGTTTTGCGCACACCGCCGCGCCAGAGCTGGGCGCTTCGTCCTGTCATCACACCGGGAGCGCGCCTAAAGAGGATCGCGCAGTGGCTGCGATTGGGGGTTCTGTTTCAAAGGTTTTGACGCTAACAAGCGCGATCCACGGGGGGTCTCCACCTGTAGGGCTGGGTTCGGTGTGATGGCGCTGTACTGTGTAGTCGTGTAGTTGTGTTGGGTTGGGACGAACATCCCTAGCACGACGAAGGGGTGTCGATGGATGAATGAACGTTCTAGTCCTTCTCGGGAGAGAAACAAGACGAGGTCGATATTTCGGGGGCCGCGGCGCGATGGGGGCGGAAAACCCACTATCACCTCAAGACCTGAACCTGGGGTAGGCGAAGTTACCGGCCGCTGCAATCGGACCGTGCGATCCAACACGACCCTTCACACAGCCAACGGGAATGACAACCTACCGTATCCCGTTCCACACCGCAGCTCGTAACCTTCCTTCCTGGGAGGGACTGACAAATGAACGGGCTGGGACACCGAATCCCGCCCGCGTCGCACGGAGGACTCGGGGCGAGTAGGGCAAGGAACGGTACACAAAGTAGGGCCAAAATCCGGGCCTCGCATCCTGTGTAGCCCTTGCCTCCGCGCACAAAATACGTACATATGCACAGGGAGAAATCCCGAAGCGGGGGCAATTTCCAGCCACGGCCGTTTCCATCAACAGCCCTGTCGTTCGTCCTCCGAGCGAGGCGAGGAGGTCGGCTGGCTGCATGGTCGGGTACGCTGCAGGTCATGGTTTGCGACCTCTGTAATCTGGAGGTAGGTCGTCTCGAGGTAGTGGACACAGAAGGTGGAGAAGGGACCATCCCGGGCCGTTCATCCCATCTTCTGTTGTATCCGTCCACCGACCTGTGCAACGCAGCCCGAACCCAGCAGCAAGCGGCCGGGGGGTTTCGCGAAAATGGGGACCCGCGTCGGATGATGACATTTTCTGACGTGCATGTCCGCGCACTCAGCTCTCGTTTTAGTATCAACCACGGCACCCACCAGGAACAGGAAAAACGGATGGGTGGGTTTGGTGGTGTGCGACGAAAAGTGACAGTTTGTGAATACAAGTAAAACAAAAAAAAAGCAGCAACGAGGATGATGCTGCCTTCGTGTTTGGCTTGGCAGGTCTCGACGGAAGCGGTGCCTGTCCGTGCACGGAAGGAAACCAGCCGAAAGGTGGTCTCCAGGGAGCGAGCGAGAGCCGGAAAATCTGAGCAAGAAGACACGTTTAGTGTGAACCCCTGACCGAGACCAAGGTCGGGAAAACAAGGACGTCACGTCGCGGACGCCACGAACATGGACACACTGTGTGGTAATTCCCCGAAAAAGAAAATACGGAACGTGGGATGGATGAATGGACCGAGGGATGCGATGGCAACACGATTGACCAGGCAGACAACCGAAAAACGACAAACAGGTTAAGTCATAGCTGGGAAGGGGGTGCGCGATTGTTTCATCTGAACCTTCCCGCCCCCGGTTTGGGGCGCAGAGGGAGAAAAAAAGTCTGATAGCGCCAGGCACGGAAAAAGCATCGCTCGCGTCAGATGTTTGGGAGGCAGTGCACTGACATCGGTACGAAGACTGGGAAATGCGCAAAGATCATCGGGTACAGAATACATGACTTCGTAAGAGCAGGGCAGCGAGAAGGCGGCGCGCCCGGCTTATTAGGGCTGAGATCTAGGGTTACGCTGGGAAAATGGGAAAAGGAAAGACACGAAAGTTGGGCACAATCACCGAGCCTGTCTTATTTATTTTGTCATTTTCTGCACGGTTACCTTGATTTTCGTGGTCGCGTCCGTTCAGTTTGGAGGAATGTGGTGGGAGCACCACAGGCGGCCGGGCGCGAAGCGACATTGGTTGGGCACACACAAATTCCAACTGCTGCCTGAACCATGCACACCAAATATGCGACGAAAAATGTCAAGATTGCAAAACCCAGATATCCGTCTAATTGCTACCAATAGTCTATGATACTTCGCGATACAGTAAAAACAGCAAAACTCGAAAAGGGGGTATATCCATCCTGTGAAACCCAGGAGAAAAAACAGAACAGAAATCTGACGGCTCGCCGTAATTGTCGGAGCACGCCGCGGGACACAATGTAAAATGAACGAGGCTCTCGTACAGCCAGCGAGACCTTTCCGAGTAAACAAAACGAGACCGCAAAAAAACAAATCCTTCTTTCCGAGGCCCGAGCAAAGTCGCCATTAAATATCGAGTGCGTGCCACCCTTCATCACTGAAATCCTCCTCTGACCATTCCATGATCGATCAATCCATCCGAACAAGGTAAACAAACGCGCTCAAAAAGACAAAAACAAAGGGAAACAAAACACCGGTAACTTTTGTAGTTCCTGTACACCTGTAATAGGCAGAAGTGCAACCATCTCTGGGGCTGCTGTGACGTGATCGTGTGATCCGTTGCGTCCATCCTCGCTTCGTGAAGCGGGGCGTGTAAATAGTTGTCGCGTTGTAGAAACGACGATCGTGCGCGTTGGGTATCTCTGAAAGACCGAAACAAAAAAGACGGCCACCGTGATGCGGGACTGCTCCCGACGGAATGTGTATCGAGTGTTGAAGGCGAAAAACCGCCCTCCGCGACTTGAGACGAGGAGCCGAGACTCCGTCTGTATAATAAAAAAAACCCGATGACCAAACGACCCCGAAAGACACCTAATCGTACAGACTGGCTTGTGGGTATCATATTTGTGTTTTGTGGTTTTTGTTTTTGTGTGTTGATGGGGCCGTGTGGGATGTGAGAGAAGAAGCCGGCCGGGGAGAGGGCCCATGGGAGGTGATGGTGGTTTTACATGGTCGGCTTCTTGAGGATCTCCTCGCAGTTGGTGTCAAACCGGAGGTTCCAGAGACGGACGGACGCCATGAAGCGCTCTGTCTTGTCCAGCTCGCGGTCGGGACCGAACAAGGTTTCGACGAACTCGACGCCGGCGCCCTTGCCCAGTTGACCTTCCTTCTTCTGCTTGGCGCTGGACCGGAGCATGGGAGCCTCGCAGGCCTTGAGCAGCTTCCGGAGCTTGTCGGTGATCCGGTCACCAGCCTCGATGAACTCCTCAATCATCTCCCGGTTATCCTTGGTCCTGATCCTGGGGACGGTTTCCTCGGCACGCTTGATCTTTCCGGAGAGTTGGATGAGGAGGAGCCAGAGCTCGCCGGCCTGCTCGGCGATGGGGAAACCGGCGCCGTGGCGGTAGACGGTCCAGTCGTAGATCCACTTGCCGAGGGAGTTTGCGTCAAAGACGCTGCCGAGCAGCATGATGGGCTCCTCGGTGGGGTCCCAGTTCTTCAGCGAGTAGCCGGCCGGAATCCTGTGCCGCTTGGCATCGGCCTCCGTGGCCACGCGAGTCGCGGGGGCTGCCGGTGGCTTCTTGTGCATGCTGGCCGAGGGCCGGGCGGTCTGGGGCCGTTGAGGCACCGAGGTGGAGTTGCGGCGGGAGTGGCCAGCGGCCGGCGGCGCACGGCGATCGGGCTCGAACCGCGCCGACGCGAACCCAGCCTCTCTGTCGAAGATTGGACCGCCCTGTGCATAGTAGCCGTAATCAGTTCCATGCCCACCAGCGTTGACTGTGAAGTGATCCTTGTACGGTCTCGGTCGTGACCGTCCCGGCAGCACGAAGGTACGGCCGCCGAGATCGATGAACTCGTCCTCGTCGGATTCCCCGTGGGAGACCGAGGCTGGATGGTAGGAAAAGGAGGAGCGTCGCTCGCGCGGGGGGCGCGGCGGACCCGAAAAACTTGGCTTGCGTGGCCGCGAGACACTCACATTGACAGTGGCGTACTGGCCGTCGCTCGTGTACCGCGGGGAGAAGGACGGGCCACGAGGGCTGGCATAGCCGGTGTTGCTGCTGTTGATGCCACTGGTGCTCCCGTTGCGGAAGTGAGCTCGCGTCGCGGGTCGTTGCGGCGTAGCGCCGTAGTAGTAGCTCGGCCCCCGGGGCGATGGGGTCGGGGACGGGCTGGGAAATTTCTTTTCGTCGTAGATATACTCCTGGCTGGGTGTGGACCCGTACGGGGAGTAGGCGGCCGCCATGATTTCTGGCTCTTGCGATGACCTCCGAGACATCCAAACTCTTTTCAACTCCAGACAGTAAAAATCTGTCGCGTACCCCTCTGCCTCTGCGAGGGGTGGATGGTGGCGATCTTGCTCAGTTCAAAATCCCTGATGGTTCGCGCCTGTGTCGTTGCGCGGGAGAAAGTGACACCAGTCACCTTGGCCTGTGGTCGGTTGGAAGAGGAGAGGAAAACCGTCTTCTGATTGCAAACATGTCAAGGATATGGTGTTCTTATCTCCAGTTGGAGAACGGGGGGGCACCAAAGTCGGGGCACGACCTTGATGGCTGCTTCTGGAAAGATCTGGACTCGTCGGTGGTCCAGACTTAAGGTTGGGTGGGGAATGTCGTCGGGATCGAGCAGTACTTTGAGTTTATGAAGTGCATTGGCAGAAGCCAAAGTTGGCAGAAAATGGGAATTTGGGAGGTTGGCGCCGCTTTATAAAACAGCCAAGGTGTGCGCAAGACCGGTGCAATCAGGGTGGGAGGGGCTCCAGCCAGAGCAGGGGGCGGAACGTGAAAAATGGCTTCGGGTATCCCTGTCTGTGAAATTTTGGACGGAATTGATGGAGGGGGAGTGCATGTAACAGTTTGTTCCTTGATCCCTGCAGGCTGGTGTGGGATTAGTCACTCCTCCTGGACCTTGTCAGCAAGCACGAGGAAGTCACCACACCCCTCTACCTTTTTCCAGCCGCTTCTGTTGGCACTGTGCTTGCACGGGCCGTTCTTCGGCCAATGAATTCCGGAGCGTTTCGGTCGCGCGCCGACACTCCGTTTGTAATTCCTCCCTCATTCTGGCACGGGACAACGACGAGCCACAACAGAGTGACTCTTATGGTGTGGCGATGATCCTGTTTCAATGGTTCACTCAACAATCCGCTACCCTGGCAGCTCTGCCTGGTTCAGTTGCGCGGTGCAAATTTGCGAACGGGAACTGCTCCCGGATTTGCGGTGGACAAAAAGCCTCTGACGGGCTAAGCGAAATTGGTGCACGTCAGGACTGGGAAGTTCCAGCTCTCGGGCAGGGGATCTCTTCGAAAACCAACGGCCCGTGAAAATTTTTCTTCTCGTCCATGGGCAAGCGACCGGGGCTTGGAACTTGGCGCCGATCAAAGCGAGGGCCGGTGAGCAGGCTGTTGATGTCTTGCGGCAAGAGCCAAACACCCCCATCCGACCTGGGAATGACTCTGCCCTTGCGAAAGGGGAGGGGCGATGGGGAGGGACTTGTTTCCCAAAGTCGCCGAGCCAGGCCACCATCGCGGAAGTCTCGGGGAGCCGGTCGCTCGCGGGCTGTGCGATGGGAACTAGATTGACTTTCTCTGGCAGCAGCATAACTAAACAACCTGGAAGCTGTATCTAAGTCAAGCTGAAATTCTCAGAGTCGCCCGAGGGCAGCTCATCTTGGGGGCGGCTCATCCTCGGGTGGTATGGATACTTGACCTGAATGCGACAAGGCAGCTCGCCAGCCGGGGTACGAACAACAACAGTTATTTGACCACTGGCATTCCGCTGGTTGGCGCTTAAACGGCAACCTGTGGGCAGAACCGATGAGCAAGTCGTCAGGCCGAGGCTCCAACAACTCAAAAGTTCGTTTCTTGGGAACATGGTGGTTGCAGGGGTAGGGAGGTGGTTCACGGATCTCCCGGAGAGAGGAAGCGGGAATTGAGGATTTTAAGGTGAGCGAAGGCGACAGCGAGCTGACGTTTGCTCCGTCCCGACCTCCCCCCTGCAGAAGTTTCCCAGAGTGAGGACTTGCTCTGCGGACTCGGAATATCAAGCCCGAAAGGTTTTGCTCCTCCTTTTAAGCCTCCATATTCCAAGAGGGGAAGGAACCCCTCACTAAAACTGGCGATCGGGATGCGGGGTGGTGGACTGCGACTGCCGTCCACGCAGCTTCCATCTTCTCCAAGAGCCCGTCATGTGGCCGTGGGATGGCACAGTTCTAGACTCTCCTATCAACTTTTTCTGGTATAGTAGAATCCGGGGTTGCCAAGCTCTTTGCGCATCCACTGCGATATCCGTCTTGTTGGCCGCCGGCTCTGATCTCAGCTGCAGCGTTGTTGCGGATCCTCCGTTCATGTCACTCTGCGAAGCGGTTCGCGCTCGCGTGTCCCGGATGCACGAACTTGCAGGCCGCTCAAGCGGGGGTTACAGCAGCACTTGCATGCCAGCCCCTAAGCCAATGATAACAGAGAGCATTTCAACCATTTCGTCACTGTCGTCCCGCCTCCCGATCACGATTGACGCTTTTGGAAGCGAGAAGAGGCATTTCCAAGTAATTGACGCAGTTCCTGCCGCCCCCAGAAAACTCACCCTTTTGCTGACGAGGTCGCTCTCTTCGAAGGCTCGCTTATATCTTCCAAATCCTGGGCCTTGAAATAGACCGTGTTTCGTTAATTTTTCCACCGGCTGATCCCTCTCGAGTCGGGTCCTCCAAGTTACTTCCGAGTTCGTCCGTCGACCATTCGACCCGCGCCGAAATCCGCAGGCGCAAAGTACTTCGCGATCGCAAAATAGCATGGCCCCGATCCATCCGGCTTTCCGTCACATTTTCAGTCTGCCTGTCGAGGTCGGAATTTCCCTTACTCGACCTCATCGCGCTTGAGACTCGTATCCTCGCCGGATGGTGGCCCCTTCGCTGACGTCGTCGCGATGGTTGGGGCTCATGATATCCAGTCCTCCCCACCCCGTTCACCGTGTCCTCGGCTGAACCGACCGTCGGTGTGGGTTTCTCCATACAGTATTGCGACACCGTCAATAGAGTCGGCCCGTGGTGAACGACGGCCGCATTACGTCCACAACCGCGGGTCAATCCATCAAACGAGTTTTGCTGAAAGAGGCATCGACCGTCATGCAGGAGACAGGGCACAATCACACACGGGCTGGCCCCCCGGGCTTCCCCCAGTGGGGCGCACACCTTTTCTCACCTCTCGACTCGGACCTTGGCTGGCTTGGCAGCTCTCTCCCTTGGTCAAGCCTGGGTGTGGTTTGATTTTTTCTAGAACACCCACCCCTACCCTGCTGGTCGTCCGGTCGCTTTTTAGGCTCTGCTTCACCCCCTACCACCTTTCCGCTTTGATCATTTCTCCCCTTTCGGCTCACCGTCACGAAAATTTTTCTCGTTGCCAATGCGATTCTCATTTCGTTCAGGGAGACAGAAGAAATGTTGAGGATGGTCCCCATCTGGCTCTGGCAACCGTGAGTCACACAACGGCCGAGTCTCATGTATGGCGCATGCTTTGGTGCCCTAATGGCTCGCCTGGGCCCGTCGTCTGCTGCGTTGATGTCCAATATGAGCAGGCTGTTTTGATCCTGACCGCTGGATGGCCAATGGGCGGAGGCCGGCAGGCTCTGGATGCAGCATTATCGGCCCCCGATTGGAGTGGCCGGACGGTTGTCTGGCGGGGACGGACCAATGTCGACCTCTTCCTCCTCGCCCGGGGTCCACATGCTCCAAGGTGAAGGCATGCTCTCCTGCAGCCCCCTCATGGGCGTCAAAAATAGGCTACTTCCAAGCGGATATGGGACAAAATCAACCGACCTCACTCCCGGTTTGGCCTTCACCGACACTCTCCTCAGCCTTGAAGAGGGCACCAGACCTGCAGAGGTTGGTGCAGATGTTCATGCCGGGAGGGGGTGGGAGGAGGTGCGCGCGGCAGCATCCCATACGTCGAACAAGTCCCGACCCTGGACAGGGCCTCTGACGTCGCCGCATTGCGCACAAAATTTTAGACAAAATGCGAAATTGACGATATCTCTGTCCAATACCCAGCACGGCCGAGGGCGGCTGCAGAATATGGGAGAATAACGAGGAAAGGTGACCTCACCGGAGACCGGAGGGATGCGATAGTGCTGGGCGGGTGCGTCGATATCCAACATTTTGCGAGGTTTTCCTTCGAGGCCGAGAGGCGACTCAACGGCCGCCTCGACAGGCCACCCCTCGTACCAGAAAGAGGGGCAGCCAAAACAAAACAACCCGCGACAACATTCCGGCAAAACACGTGAACAAGATCTCTTCTTCTCAAGTTGGCCGAGACCACTGCTCGTGGAGATGGAGGCCGTTGAGGTGTGACAGGCAGTCTCACCATGCGGAATGATGCCCCGAAGGCCTCCCGAACCAGTCAAAAGGAGTGAGTCTCCCCGCTCCGATGCGCACTCTCAGTCAGATGGCCCGGCATCACCGCCCAATGCCAGCCCGCAAAGGTCCCAGTTGGCGCCCTCAACTCCAAGCTCGAACCAATGAAAACAAGTCGCAAACGGGACTGCAAACGGGACCGCAAAGGATTCGTCAGCGGTGAGGGCGAGAGGCGACATTTGGCCCTCTTCCGAAAGCGCATGCCAGGGCACAGGAGTGTAGAGTGAGCTTCCGGGTATTCCTACAGGATGTTGAGCCCAATGGAGCAAGGGGTTCTCCAAGCCCGCTGTCAACTCCGGTTGATGATGCAGTGCAGCTGAACAAGGAAAAGAAAGGGGGATTTGGGTTCTCAGATCTCAATTGCTCCGAGTCACCAACCACTTACACGCCTCGAGTCGCACTTTGCATCCGGTTTCCCCTTTTTCCATGCGCGCACTAGCGCATCAGCGAGGCCGCTCGGTGTCACGCAGCAGAGTGCATCGCCGCGCAGAGGGCCCAATGCACAACGAAGAGCACAGACATGAGAGTCGCAGGTTGCCAAGAGCCGACTTCTCTGGTCGAGACGAACCAGGGGCCATAATCTTCTCCAGGTGGGCCCCTTGGCGAGGGTTCGGGGAATTTGGCAGCCAGCTGGAGATGGCCTGCAAGCAAGCCTCATCCATCAGGCTCAAGTTGGACAAGCCCCGATCCCGAGCGTTTGGTTCCATCTTCTTCCAGGCGAGCCACATGGTGGCTCGAACGTCCCCTGGGTCCCCTTGTCACTCCGTTCTCTTCCATGCGCCACCCAGGATTTGGAAAACTCCACATGCCGAGCCGGCACCGTCCCTGATTCGACGAGCAGTTCTTCCGGCCCTTTCCAAGGACCGACCCGATCACCCGATCTCTCATTTTCGGTGTGGGTGAGGTGGTGAGCCACAGACCGTTGGGGCTGTGCTTCCCGAGAAAATACAATGCACGGTCCACCGTCTTCTTCTGACCTCGACTTCGGATTAGGCCCGGTTTTGGGATTTGTTGCCCAACGTTCGAGAAACAAACGACGGCACCCCTTGAACGGAAGGCTTCCGGCAAACTGAGGGAATTTCTTGTCGCTTGGACGAAAGCTGCGTCACTCGGTTCCATTCATCCTTTTCTTACAATTTTAGCGACACACCCGGTTTCCATATCCGACGCATGTGTGTCGGCTCGGAGAGAGAGATCGGGGCTCGGGGCCTCTGAAGCGCGCGTTAGGCCGCAATAGGTTTGCTTGCCCTGTGGCTGGGGTCGGGGCTTTCTCTTTCTCACCTGCCCATTGCCACGGACGGCCAGCGTTGACTCACCGTCTCAGTTTCTTGCCGCCAGTGTGGTCACGGGGTCCGAGATGCCTCGGCTGGTCTTGCTTGAAGCCGCCGTGCTTTTCGCCATCACGGAGGCAGCTCATGATGATTATTCACCATGACGATGCTCAAGACGCCCGCCACCGAGCGACATCTCTGAAGCTTCGCAATCATCCCGGCAGCCCGTCCCAGCCTCACGGCACCCCCACCACGGTTGACCCGACCGCCCAGCCCTATCGTGACTCACACGCCTCCCGTGCGACCTGCGTGAGAGGGCCGATATCCCGCACGACACCGCCTCGCCTCGACCGCCGATTCCCCTTGGCTCTGGCATCGCCTGTCTGGCGCCGTTCTCTGCGTCTGGACCTCTGGGCGGTGTGCGTGTGTGTGTGCGTGTGTGTGTTGTTCACCTTATCCCGCACCTGCGATTCGCCGCGCTCTCCCTTCCGGCTGCCCGCCGGGGTTGGAACACGGCTGCAACTGCACCGGCACTGCACCGCCCACACCCCCCCGTCGCCACTCTGTGGTGGTGGTTGACACCCGGTTGCCCTCAAGGGCTGGCTGGACTGGGCTGTGCCGGCGCCGGTTACGTTGCCGATTCTCCTTGCTTCCATTCTTGGGAGGTGGGGGACGTGGGAACGGGGCTGGTGTCCCGGCGTTGAGCCGACCCGGCTCGTTGTCTGGCTGGCGACGGGTGTGGTGATGGCGATGGGCATGGGGTGACTAGGCAACAGCAGTGCACAGGAGCAGGAGGGGCATGAGCAGGGCGTCTACCCATCCGCCCTATCTGGATGTCTGGTCCGATGCCTTGAGACCCAACGATGACGGAGCCCGCCCGTTCCTGCAGAAAGTGTTGCAGTGTTAGGGCCTGGACTTTTTTTTCTCCTTTTTTCTTTCCGTCTGTTCCTTTTGAGTGCTGATCTGCGTTGCGGCAAGTGTCGGTGTGGTGCCGAGAAGGCCTTGGTGCTACTGGGGCAGGATGCCCAAGGTCAAGCACTCCTAGTGGCATGTCTCTCGCTGTGGTGGTCCGCCTATCGTCGGGGCTCTCCTCGCCTGATTTGAGAACTTTGGACGGACAATTCGATGGCATCATGCCTGGCGAGAGAGGTCGTCCAGTCACGGGCTAGTTGCCTCACTTCGGTGGACGTCGGTCATTTCAACGGATGCTTGGCCCTCCAGTGACTGTGCCGGGTGGCCTTCTTCCCCGGGCACTGCAGGGTCTGCACAGCATGGCTGTGACTGAACGAAGCCCCCCCTTTCTTCCGACGTGATACCTTCACGCCCTTCAAAAAAGTTATGACTCTCTCCTTGTCGGGCCTGAAGGTCACTTGAGGCCGGTCCAGCACCGTGTCAAGGCACTGTGGGCTTCCTTTTGCCTTTCCTCGTGCCTTTCCTCGAAGGTCTGTGTTTGGACCTTCGTCCTACTATTGTGTGATAGGCCGAGCTTGTTTCACAAGCTGCAGAGGCAACCCGTCACGGGACTCGGACGAGGCTTCATGCCATGCCGATGCTAAGTTGTTGACTTGTCGCCCATTTGCATATGGCTGGCCCCTATATTGTCTATTTACGAGTGACTCCTTCTCTGGTGCGTATGACTTGTCTTTGGTGCGTGTGACTCCGTCTGTGGTGAGTGTGTAGTCCTGATATTCCTTGCTCATTGGTCTCCGGGGCGCTTACCATTGTAATCGGCATTGCCACTTCAATTGTTGTCTCCGAAGATAGGTGGATTTAAAGCATGGGCTCATTGGAAAATGTCCACACAACAAAAGAAGTATCTACGGTCTGCTCTATGTAACTTTGCTCAAATTCTTTCCAACGCCTCCATCGCTGGGTTCAGCCCTAGCCACTTGACGCAGTCAACTACTCGTGACATAACAAGTGTGTTACCGGATATCGGAGCATCCCCAAGCCCGCCGTCTCCCTGGGATTCTGGTACACCACATTCCGAGGCCTCCCCCCCTTTTTATCGGTATGCTGAGACATCACAGTCCAAGCAAACCCAGAGCCACGTGGGTATCTTCCCAACACATCAAATGAACCCCACGCACGACAATCCCTTGCCCTTGATTTCCTCCTCTAGCGACTGGACCTCCATGGTGAGACGGCGTTCAGTACGAACGGAGACATTCAACAGGCGTCGCTTGCCTCGGGTACAGGTAGGTAGGTACTATCCGCAAGGCAGCAGTTAGCAGCTAGCTAAGAGGCACTGTCGATGTCTCTGGCAAACCCAAAGCCTATTGCTGATTAACCAGTCAGGTACGGTGGTGTGTGCGCATTTGACATCCAACATTGCAGCCAAGCCGACCCCAGTCGCCTCAGAGTACGCGTCCTCTGGTGCCTGGCTGATTGAGGCAGCATCCTCGGCGGACGGAGATCGACATGCGTCGCCGCGACCGGCCGAGGACTTCTGGCTTGATGCACTCGCAAGCCTTGTTTCGGATGTTTGGGCCTTGTCCATTGGCTTTGTGCTACCTCACATGTGCGTAATGCGGTGGTCGCTGGTCGATAGGTAGTTGTCATGTCCCGGGTCTGCTTTGGTGACATGTGCCGGCTTGTCGAGCCTTGCCAAAGTTCTTGTAGGTCCTGGCGGCAAGGTCGCTGCTGCATGGTGTTGCCCTAGAAAGGTCTTGTGAGCAATAACCCGCCCCGTGATAGTTGTAGGGGAAGGTAATAGAGATGTGGAGGGCGTGGTGACACAATCTTGATCTCAGTAAGGCCTCAACCTTAGGCTTTTGGTGGTCATTAGGCCTAGAATAGATACTACGTAGGAGGTTGATTGTGAGAAACATAACGGAGCCCTTGGCGTGTCTATTGCAAATCTTTTAAAGGACAGCAAAAGACAAATACAAGACAAAGAAAAAAACACAGAAATAAAAGCAAGAAAGCAAAACAAAACAAAAGGGACAACAACAGCATAAGGAAAAGAAAAAGAAATGATAAACAACTACCCGAAAAGTATCTTTTCCGTCGTATATTTCACCCTAACCGGGTAATTAGGATGACTCCGAACCGCCCATATTCAAGTTCCCTTGGATATCATCAATGCGGCCAGGAGTGGATGTTGGGGGCGGGACGAGCGTTCTCTGCAAGGCGGGGACAAAGTCTCCGGTGAAACTACTCCCGGATTTCTCATCAAGATGGACAAAACGGGTGTCGAGCTTCTTCCATTCAACCTCTGGGATACGGCGCTTTGAGATGGCGTTCTCATACACTTGGTTTTTGGCGTCGTGCTTCCATCGGGTGAGCCTCGCCATGGACGGCAGCGCAGCGTGCGCTTTTGGGAAAGACGACTCCATCTCGCGGTGGGCGTCGTTCATACCCATGCACCCGAGAGCCCAGATGGCTAGATTGACGGTGAGTCCAGTTGTGGCGTCCCAGGGGACGGAAACATACTCGATACCTGCATAAAGCGCAGTCTGGCTTGGTTGTCTCGGGAGTCGCCGAATTCGAAGTGCCACCAACTCGGTCTGGGTTATGATAAAGGCATACCGAGTCTGAGCAAACCGGCAGTATGTGGCAACCTGCCGTAGCGGAAGGAGCCGTTCGTTCTCGACGCTGCTGACTTTTGATACGGTTGAGCCAAACGGTAGGTCCATAGCCACATCTAGGTCACCGTCCGGCAGGGCGAGCCAGTGCGACTTCCATTCCTGCTTGAGCTTGCTATCACCAACGGCAAAGGTGAGCTGTTTCTCGGACTGTTCGGTATCATCCTCGCGGTAGCGGACCTTGGCCTTAAGGTCAAGGATTGTCTAAGAGGCAGGTGTGTCCGTTAGTAAGAGGGAAAGAGAGAGGGAAAGAGAGATCACTTACCCAGTCGGGAGTGAAATCAACGCTGGCTTCGGACTCAGTGCTAAGTTTCACCCACGTGACCTTTTTATGACCGAGTGTGGTCTTCGGGGTTTCGCTGGGCCCCTGTATGTCAAGCTGGGGACGCAGTTGAATCGCTGCCGCTGCGATGGGGGACCTCACGATATTGACCGACCACGCTTGGCCTAATAGATCAACATCATGTTCTGTCGCGATGATTGTAAGGCCTTGTCCGGGCGATGGGGGAGGCACAGGTTGATATCCAGGTTTCAACGCCGCCATCCTCTGTTCAAGAAGATGTCCATAGGCTAGATAAATGGCTTCGAAGGTAAAGTCTGCCCATGGTTTCACCGATGGATGGTCGCTGTCGAATTCCACTTCGTCGAAGACATCAGTTGAGTTGCGATAGCTTGAGTCATCCCAGCTGCCATCCCAGTTGCCATCCTCAATCTTTGGATTCGGCCGCTGGAGTATTTGCAACAGGGTAGGGCCGCGGGACGGGGAAGGGGTTCTCGACATTGTGGTGGCTCGAGAGATCCAAGTGTTCGATGTCCGGGGAAGCGTGAAACGGGGAAATGCAGGTAGGTACCTCCCCGGTGAAGACAATAAAAAAAAGGTGGGGGTCGGGGGGGGAAGGAGACGGGGGTTTAAAAGCCCGTCGAACAAACAGCCTAGGTGGTGTTTCCCGATAATAAGTGATTAGATGGGAGGAAGTTGCATTCGAGAAAATGGCGCTGCAGTTTTGAAATCAAGTGCACTGGGATCAAGTGGGCCATCAAATGTTGGCCAGACTGGTGTGAACGATCCCAGGCGAGCGGTTTCCCGAAGACCAGGGGAAAAGGGTGCGGCTGCCTAGAACGAAGTACAGATTATTCCGTGCAGGCCTCGCCCTCGAGCGCTCGTCACACAGTACAGAATACCAATTAGGTACGTCCGTTCACATTTCACATCAAAAACACACACTGGACGGACAGCAGTTACCGACCCGCCATGTCACAGCGCACGCGCGGGCTTATACCGTCCGAGTCTCTTCCCCAAGTGCCAGGCCCTAAGCTTGTGCCCTTCACTCCAACCGCGCGCGCCGCCATCCAGTTCATCAAGGAGCTCGGTGATCCAAGCAGCGATAAAGATGGACGTGTCTGGGAGGTTCGGATCAACCGGTCTGGACCACATTATGCCTTGAAAATGGTGTATCTGCCAAATGCCGTCCTCTTTTACTACTCGTCGTGCTAATTGCCCCAGTTCTACTTCACAACGGCCGCATTTATTATCGACCAGACTGCTGCTGGCGAACTCGAGTACGAACTTGCATCCCCCCAGCTCTACGTCGACTACTTCGATGCCTTCAGCTGCGAGTGCCGTGCCTACGGTCGGCTAAAGGAAGAAGGCCGCGAAGATCTGGCGGTTCCGGCCCACGGCTACCTTTTTCTTACCCCAAAACAGGAAGCCAGGATTACGACGAAGATTGTTGGGTGTATCACCGAGTCCGAGCTGGATGGCGATCTTTGGCGCCGAAGTGAAGAGACACGCCATCTCCCGATCCGGGCCATTGTCAAAGAGCTCGCGACAGACTTTGTCCCCTTCCGCCCCTCGGACGTTACCGGCATGTGGGGGGGCCTGCAAGATTTCCACAGGCTGGGAATCCTCGTCCGCGATGTCACCGTCTTCAACTACATGGGTGGAAAACTCGTCGACTTAAGCCGGGCCTGGACCTGGCCGCATCCAGCGCTTACTTATTACGACGATGCCGCTGTGGAGGACGAGAGATGGCTTGACTCGCACTACCTCCGCAAGATAATCATCGAGTTCTGTTGGGGGGAGCGGTGGGATTGGGACCTTGATGAGATCCCCGAAGAGCTGACGGATTGCGCTTTGAAGCGGAGTAACGTTGATACGTACGTCGCCGACCCGAGGCAATATGACTGGCTCAAATGGGAACAGAATCCCGCCGAGGCCGACAGGTTCCTCGCGGAGAACTGCTTCCGTGGGATAACGGTGGCTGGCGATATTGGCATGACTGGTGCGTGGATGGGGAGAAACAACCTGAAAGCTGAATCGGAGATGAACCGTTGGTGGTTGAGTTTTCCTTGGTACATAGGTAGATATGTTTGAGTACGCAAAAAGAAAGATCAAAACTGCTGAAGTTAAGCAAGCACGCCAACAAAACAGATCCTTCTCCCTCACTCACAATAACCCAAACTTAATTCAACTGCTCAGAGAACTCACATTTTACTTTCCATCATCACCGCGAGGCGGGCACCTTGTGACGACAACATCGGAAAAGGAGAAACTTGATTGAAGCTGCAACCAAGGCATTTCTGGGCCGGGGAAGGAGGACGGGTGCACCCATGCTTCTTCGGAATGAAACATAGCTCCAAGGAGGCTTCAATTCATGTAGTCTCGTGGGATGCCGGGCCATCTTCTGTTACCCTATGCCCCGCAAGCTCGCTGAGCGGCAGTACTCCAGCACACTTGACGGGAAGATGGCCGACGAAATGGTCATGTATGAACAATACTCGGGTAATGAGATTCTATTACCTAACTCGCCCATTTCTCTTCATAGCGCCCATATTTGTAACCCTACATGCCCAGCTCCGCTCCCGTATTTCCCCGTATGGGTGATGTGACCTTCCACCCCCGACCCCGCTATTGATGTGCTGTTGTAACCGTTGGCGCGAGATCAGGAAAGGTCGAGTCGGTTTGCAAGGGGGAAGAAAGCCTGGGAATTGTCAGCTCTGGAACCGAAGGTTGGGAAAACATAAGATCAAGTCTGTTTGCTCCTCAGCGAGCAACCTCGAGTTCTTGGCGGGTGACCCAGTCCCAACCAAGCTCAACGAGCTAGAGCTCTCAGTCCAGCGACCCGTGGCCACATGCTGAGAGTCTCTGGTCCGCCATTGTGTCAAGGTTGGCCCAAGCACTCGCCCGGCCACACACAAGTGCTATATATCACCATCGGAATTGTTGGTGGATGGGAAAACATGGAACGGAAACACGCAAAACAAAGAAAGCAAATGAACAAGCCATCTATGCCGGGCTGACCAAGCCCAGACAGGAAAGAAAGAAAAAGAAAAAAAAGACTGGCTCCTCAGTATGCCCTGGCTTTGTCTCCGGTACCACCGCTGGGACCGGAAAGCCGCGAGTTCCCACCAGATCAGGCCACTTGGCCGTCCGGGAACCGCTGTACGACACAAGAAATTGACCAAACTTCTTGCGCGTGTCGTACAAGGACTAGTTCATCATTGGAGTTTGTTTGGTCAAGACCCGCAGGAAAGGGGGAGGGAAGGAAGGAAGGGAGCAAAGATAAGTAAAAGAAACACAAAAAGCCAACGTTGGATACAGATCACGCTCCATATCCAACGATGCTGGGACGGACTGAAAGAAAAATGCGGGCAGGGGAAGGGAAGGAGGGGGAGGCGAAGGAGGGACGGACTGGCAGGGTTTGGTTGCTCCTCAGAATATCTCTCGCCTCTGAGGCCGGGGTTAGCGGGCTCGAGAGGTTGAGTGAGAGTTCCCGTCATTGGCACCGGGTGCCTCGGGGAGTGTGCGGACCTTCGCGACGGAGTGGACCCCATGCTCCTCGCTACTTATGGTCCACACAGGTGTTCATCACAGGAGCTGTATGTACCATGATGAAGAGTACGATTTGTTGCTGGGGAGGTTGGGAAGGCTTTCCGAGTTGGAGTTGTTGGGCTGAGAAGGATGGCGAGAGAGGGGAGTGTCTTACATTTATCTCCAGGAACGACGCATCCAAGAAGGGCCGACGGCTGATAGTTTGCTTTGTGGAATGCCCGATCAAAAGACCCTTGAATGAGTGACGAGTGACGAATAGTAAGATGCCAGGCTCGGCCCTGTATCCTGTGTGCGAGACGCAGTGAGGATCGTGATCCCATGTGTGCCGGACCCGCGCGGTGGGGATAACAGTGAGCCTTATATCGACGACGACCTTGTTGGCTGGCAACACTTTTGAAAAGAACGAGGCTGGGCTGTTGGCGATATTCGGGAATCGGCTTGTGTGAGAGCTGGAAAGGATGGACTTTGTTTGGTTTTCTAGAGACCTGAAAATCAATTAGCTAATGATGTCAGACACGAAGGACGAGAAAGAGAAAGAGACGGCCACGAAGAACAGCTTCGCAAAGCGTGACTTACTCGAGCAAAATGTGACTGATTCATAGGACAAGGCCGAGTCACGGCCTTGTAAATAAAGACAGCCTAGGTAGGAAGTCAGTAAAGTATCGCTTTTGTGGGAGAAAGGCTTCAAGAAGGGGAGTGAAGAGAATCAGAGGCAATAACGTTGTAATCATTTGCCAGAGGGCTCAAAGGTATACCGTTTACCATCATTTTGCGTGCTAGAGGAGGAAAAGGAAAGGGGTTGGGGGTCATACCATTGATGTGTGCAGAACGGACCGCCTGACAAACTGAAAGGGTTGGTGGGTGATCAGCAGCAATCTGGGTGTCGTGAAGACGCCGAACTTGAAGAAGACGAGGGGAAAAGGAAGAGAAGACGAGAGGGCGATGTTATTCCTCTGTTGATTGTCTTTCAAATAATCGGCCGGGGTCGCGTCGCGTCAGGCGCTGGTCTAGCATGTCTCCTGGTCGCCAACAAGCTGGCCATGAGGAAGCAAAGGGCTCGCCGGAAGAGAGCGATGGTTTAAAGGGGAAAAGAAAAGAGCAAATAATGGTATGGTGTATGACGATGACAAAGGACAAGGGAGAAAGCGGAGGAAGATGGATGAAGAAGATGGAGGAGGAGGAAGTCCCCCAACTTGATCGAGAGTGAAAAAGGATGATGGTATTGTAAATAGAAACACAATAGCTGAGCAAAGAACAGCAGGAAGATCGAGGGTAATTAAATAATACGTGGAGAAGAAGAATATGGGAGGATGTGGGAAGAAGAAAGAAGATGCCCGAGGATGGAGGAGATTTAGGGAAGAAGAGTAGGAAGAAGAGTTCGAGGAAGAGGGGAGAAAGAAAGAAGTGGCAGAGGAGAATTTATACCTCGTGCCCGCCGCCCTGTCCGCGCAACGAAAACGTCCGTTGAAGAATTAGGGCAAGGGCTCGGGAAGTAAACAGGCCCGAAAGCGGGAAGGAGGAGGGGACCGGTTGAAGGACAGTTGGCCCGGGCCATCTCGAGAACGTCAGTTGCCCGGGCAGTGATTCTTTTAGCGGCCTCGTCCCAAGACCCAGCCCACAATACAAGGTCTGTTGATCGAAGATGTACCTATACATACATTTGCCCGCTCCAGAGATGTCTTTGCTGGTGTAACGCCCCATGTTCACTATGCTCCTGCTTGGATTTGTAGCCACGGGAAACCGAAGGGATTATTAGAGGACGGTCGGTTAATAGTAGTGGCTGAGCTGGGGAGGGAACCCTAGGTAGGTAACGTGGAGGAGGAGGACGAACGTGTACCTAGAGAGGAACTGAAAGCCAAGAGCTTTAGAGGCCGTCATGTAATTAACTTGCTGCTACCTGCTCGTCATGCCGTAGATGTACTTGCCACCTACAGGCATCATGTCACTACCGTTCAAAAGATATTCTGGAGTTGATTATCGTTTTCCAGGTGAAGCCGAGTTGGGAGCATCGAGCCTCACGTCCACCTCCGGCACAACGAACAGCGCACACCGGTCCCAGTTTCAGAACGGCAGTTTGTTGTTTTGGCCCGACCGTCTTTCCAGCCCAGTTGACGGCCATCTATTTCAGCAGTGCTGTAGCTTCTGCTTGCGCATGGCCTTGTCGCTATCGTGGAGCCCAAACGCCTGGCTACCTAGGTAGGCACCTAGGCAAGTAGGTAGTCAGGTAAGGAGGTCGGTGGTAGGTAAGGTAGTCGGCGTCGCGGTTCCCCGACCGAATGATACTATCATTGCAGAAACTAGCCAAACAACTAACTAATTATCCACTATCTATAGTAGGTGCCGTCTCTATTCCTTACTATGCCTTTAATTCGACTGGATAAAGCGCGACCGATTTATTACGCGGTACCGACGAAGCCAACAACGCAAACGACGCGGAGCTCTCACAAGCATCGACTGAGAGGAGGAGAACATTCAAGTTGGGCCATGGCACACCTCGAAGACATTATCGGACTCGATCGCTCTTAAGAGCCACTTTGGACAGGAACAGCACGACAGACACAGGCAAGGGTCCATACTGCAAGTCACCAGGAGCTGCACTGCAACCCAACCGCTATGAGGAGGGGGACGATGGCTGCGTTTAATATGAACGGCGCCGGAAGTACGGCGTTTGTACACGGAGCACAAATAACGAGCGGATCGAGAGGGAGTTTCTTTGGAACACGGACAAAGAAGCGTATAGAACAACGATGGACCTGGTAAGCCTTCCTCGCAAGACTACCCAGGATAATAGCTTTGTCTAACCTGTCCACTGAATAGGTAGGTAGGAGGCCAGTAGCTATATAAAACCACGTCAACAACAGGCATATTCTCTCGAAAACCGAACAGTCCTCTCATAACCAACCGACCCTCCTCTTGCGAGTATCCGACCCGTCCACTACTTCCACCCACACCAACGCCAACACCATGGCCGTAATCACCCACCACCCCGAGCCCATCAGCATCTGCACCACGCAAGAGGACGGTCTCACCCTTCTGAAAGAGCAGCACCCCAACCCAGACACCGACGGGTACGAAACCGACAGCAGCCAGCCCCCCCTCTCCCCCATCTCCCCATCATCCACCACCGGCGACAGCTTCCTCACCCCGCCCTACTTACCCGACCTCACCAACGCCCTCCCCACCAGCCCCCTCCCCTCAGACTCGGAGGAAGAAGAGCAGGAGGTGCCAACCCCCTGGATCATCGGCCCCACCGACCCACGCTACCTCCCCACACTGATCGGCATCGCCCAGAGGGATATCACGCGCCTCACCCTCTACGCGGAGGAGATGCTCGACACGCAGCCGGCGCACGCCGCGCGGCGGCGCGGCCAGCAGCGGCGCCTGGCCGCGCTGAACCTGGACCCGGCGTCGGCGGACCGGCTGGTCGGCGTGGAGCGCGAGGAGGAGGCGGCGATGCAGGGTGTGGTGGACAATTTGTGGTATCTGGTGGATATGCAGAAGATGCTGGACGAGCTGGATCAGCTGCGGCTGTGCCCTGTGAGGGGGGCGGGGGCTGGGGCTGGGGGGCGGGAGGGGGAGGGGGATGATAAGGGGGATGATAGGGAGTATGGTGAGAAGAGGTTGGCGGAAGATGTGCTGGGGGTGATTGATAGGCTGCGGGCGGTTGGGGATTGGTTGGAAGCTGTGCAGACGTGGAGGGAGGAGAATGTGTTGTGGAGGGAGAAGAATTGGTTCTACTGAGCGGAGGTCTTGGTGGAGAGGGAGCGAGATAGCTGGGGCGGTTCCTTTTTGCGTAGCGTACTTTCGAATTAGAATGCTTCGTAGAAGTGACATCTAAATAAAGATCTCGACTTTGACTATCATAGGTGTAACTTGAAAGGACGAGTGTATCATGTTGCTACTCTGTGCTGGAACATATTGTACGCCTCAAAAGCGTCACATGGCCAGGCAGTTGATCCAGGCCTTCAATGTCTTGATTTCCTGCGTGTACATACTTGTGGAGGACTTGAGCCCAAGCCAAATAACAAAGGATAGCGTGATCTAGGTGGTTGACACGGCACCATACTATCTATGTTGTGCCTCCACGCGTCAGATACCCGGGAAAGCCAGGCCTTGCCGTTTGTCTTTCGGGTTCAAAGAAATGGTACAACAGCCTTGTAGGCTACTTCTCCATGGCAAGGGAACAACAGTTTGCTGAGTAGAGTCGGTGAATTCGAGGCGTAAAAGCCAGGCTTAACTGGAAAAGAAAAGCAGCATAAATATTGCGGAGCCCCAATTCATTGCCCATGAATTTATTCCACCTTAGCAGCACTCAACCATTCCAAAATACTAAGACCAACACTACACCGGCACTTCTCCCGACGAGACATCAATCCTCCTACTTCTCAGGAACCATACCGAAAACGATGGCGGACAAGAAACAGACCACCACCAACGATACCATGACCATCTACCCTGGTGACCTCAAGAACACGGATGACTCTACCATAAAAGCCTCCCCGCCGGGGGGGATTAAAAGCTCGACGCCGTCCACCCAGCCAACGAAGAAGGCCGACCAGAGCCTGAAGAATAAGACCCTGGAGAAGGTGAAGGGGATGTAGAGTATGAGCCCGGCGAGGCATTAGGGGGTAGTTTAGGGTGGTTGGAGAAGGATACCGGAGCGAGGCCACAAATACTCCTTAGGAACTGTCTTGTTTTTGGGGCCATGCTTGTACTGGTTGGTTTCTGCCCTGCTTCGTGTTATTGCCATGGGCAGCAAGTAATTAAATACTCGATGGGCGAATCATGAATGAAATATAAAGCCAGCAAATCGTTAAATACTACATGCCTTTACAAGCGGGGACCTGGCTATACGGATTTGCGAATGATCTCGTGCGTCCGTACCTTGTTAAATGACCCACGATGTGTAGTGTGTAAGTGGCAGTGTACGGACCCCCACGGCCTCTTCGTTCCACCAACCACTGCCCATCGGGCGTCGTTCCCCGCTCCCAACACGCCGACGAACCCTCAACATCCAAAGACTGTTTTGTAACGCCTCTTGCCAACCTACCTTTTATCGACTGAATAATTACGATATCGACTCCTGGTGGTTGACCTTCACAATGGATGAACGCGCCAGAATCCCCGTCTCCCTCCCATGCGCCAACCCGACAGTCAGCTACTGGCAAGACCCGCCCGATGAACTCGCCGACCACCGCAGCACGGCCGAACTCCCTGATACCGCCGACACGGTAATCATTGGTAGCGGTATTACCGGGGCTGCCGTGGCATGGGGTTTGTTGCAGGGCCCGAACCCGGGTAGCATCCTGATGCTCGAGGCCCGACAAGCCTGCTCAGGCGCCACGGGGCGGAACGGTATGTAACTCTCCCTCAACTGTCCAAGTTTCCTCTTCTCATCGCCCTCCCTCGCATCGCTCCCTCACTTCTCCCTTCCTGACCCCCCCCTCTTGTATGACTCCCACTCACCCCCCCTAAACAACCACCCTCACCAACCCTCCACCCCAAGCCCCCTCACCACCACCCCTCCCCAACCCTTCACTAACCCCCCCTTGTCCACCACAGGCGGGCACACCAAAGCAGCCAGCTACCGCACCTTCGCCCACCACACCCAATCCCACAGCCGCGCCATCGCCAAACAGATCGCGCGCCTCGAGCTGCGCAACATCCGCGCCGTGCACGCCTTCGCCCGCGCCCACGCCGTCCCGTGCGACCTGCACCCCTGTGACACGCTGGACGTGGTGTACGACCCGGCCGAGTGGGCGGCTGCGCGGGAGGGGGTGGCGGCGTTGAGGGCGGCTTTTCCTCCTTTCCCTTCTGATAGTGAGGGTGCTGGTCGTGGGGCTGGGGATGGGGCTGGGGCTGGGGTTGGGGTTGGTGAGGGAGGAGATGGTGGTGAGGGCGTTGGTGAGAGTGAGGGACCTGAGGGCGTTGGGGCGGGAGAGGGAGGAGGAAAAGGCGATGAGGGAGAGGCGGAAGACGGAGGGGAAGGGCGGTACACGCTGTACTCGCGCGAGGAGGTCCTGCGCCGGTTTCCCGTGCATGATGGGGTGTTTGAGGGGCGGGAGGAGCGCGTGCAGGGCGGGGTCGGGTACTTCGCTGGCTCGCTTTCGGCGTACAAGTTCGGGATCGGGGTCCTGAGGGCGTGTGTCGAGAGGGGACTGAATCTGCAGACGGGCACGGCGGTGACGGGGCTTGTTGCTGTTTCTCCTGCTGCTGCGGCTGCTGCTGGGAAAGAGAGATGGGAAGTGAGCACGGAGAGGGGGGTGGTTAGGGCCGGGCGGGTGGTGCTCGCCACCAACGGGTATACGGCCGGCGTGTGGCGGCAGTTCCAAGGCGCGGTTGTCCCGCTCCGCGGACAGGTCACAGCACAGAGGCCCGGGCAGGGAATGCCGGCCGGTGGGTGTTTGGATAGGACGTACAGTTTTATTTATGGGAGAGGCTATGAATACATGGTCTCGCAACCGGAGGGATCGAGGTTCGCGGGGGACATTGTCATGGGAGGCGGTCTGGCGAGGGCACAGGAGGAAGGGTTGATGGAATACGGGACGACGGATGATGGCGCGATGAACGGGGAAATCAGTCAGTATCTGAGAGAAACGACGGAGCGGTATTTTGGACCTGACTGGGGGGAAGATGACCCGGACGGACGGGTGAGGAGCGAGTGGACTGGTATCATGGGATTCAGCCCGGATGGGTTCCCGTTTGTGGGGGAAGTGCCTGGGGAGAGCGGGCTGTGGACCAGCTGCGGCTTTCAGGGGCACGGCATGGTTTTGTGCTGGGAGTGCGCCAGAGCCCTGGTAGAGATGATGGAGGGCCGGGATGGTGAGGAGCTGAGGGAGTGGTTCCCTGACGTCTTTCGAATTACCCAAGAGAGGATGGCCCAGAGGTTTCGGGGGCGCTTGGACGCGATTCCGAAGGATGGGGAGAGTAACTAAAGGTTCGGAAAACAGATCGTCGGGAAAAAAAGATCATCACATTCTTGTTGTTCTCTACGGACACGTACGAAGTACGCCCATACCTTGACCTGGACAAACCGTACCGCGTGTTTGAACTGACAAAGGGACTCTCACTGCTCTTGAGTGAATGCTTCCCGATCCGCTGATCCGGGAAAATCAAACGGGGGTGCCCGGACCCCAGAGGCCAAATGCCGCCTCGACGGCTGGCTGGTTCACGACACGGTCACCATTGCAACAACGAAGCAGGCAGGAAACTGTCTTGACTGGACGTCAGCTTCCCGTCAATGCCCGCCAGTCCCCATCGAGCCAGTGGTGGGGTTGCCTTCGGCGGGTTGAGCGCTGCCGGGTTTCGCTCTGCCGTGCTGAATATGGGCCACGGTGTGACTTTCCACGACCTGAATGGATGCCATCGGCCGCAGAATGCAACGCTGGGATTCCCGGCTGCAGAATTTGCTGACTGCCCGGACGGAAGGTGCCGCCTGGAATTGAGCAGGAGAACCCGTTAGCGCCGCCTTCGAAGAGCCTGAGTTCTGACCATTCGCTGATGGGCCTCGCGCTAGCCGATGACTTTCGGCTGCCTGTGCTTGTCGTGCAGGCAGCCTGAGTGTTGATTGAACAAGGTGTGAGACCGCAGCTGGGAAACGCGTCTGAGAAGTGCCTGATAACTCGCCTGCATCAATCGCCGAATTGGTGAGTGGTTCGTTTCTTCCCCCCCCTTCTCCAACCAGCCCAGTTCGTTCCCCAGTTCTCTAACTAACTCAACTTGAATGATACCCCAAGTATCGAGTCCGACTCTTCACTCCACCAAAAATACGAGAGAGGAGTCAGACAATTTCATTTCGTCTTACTCCTCCGCTCTCTCCGTCGGTGGCACGGTGGCTCAAGAACCGGCGTCTGGGAAAGTGGAGAGAACGGATTTTGGCTGTCGTTTCCTTTTGCGATTGGCTTTTCAACGGCGACCGAGAACCGGACTGGAAAGTGCGTCGGGGGTGGGTGGAGACCGTGGAGTCAAGCTGTTGCCCCACCTGGGCCCAGCCAACTGGGACGCGCTTCCCCTGCCATCTCAATTTCGGCATCCCATGGGCGCCACATGCGAGACTCCGCTCCGATCAGGTCCTGCTCTTTCCGCGTCCCACTCTGCTGGGGCATTTGGTTTGGATGTGCGTCAGACCCAGACATTCTCTGACACCACAGGGAAACAGGGAAAGCTGCTCCTGCCGACCGAGTTCCCAGGCTCCAGGTTTGGATGCACTCGCGCGCTGGCCGCAGCGACCGCGACTGACAGGCATCTTTCATTTCGGCACTCAAAACCCAGTCGATTAGAAGCGGGAAGAACATTGGAACAAATTGTCAAACACCGTGAGACGACCCACCCATCCCAATTCATCCCAGTCCATCCCACCGGGACGTCCTCGCCAAGGCATGCAACCAGACTGTTGGGACTCGAGCTTTTCCCTCACCGCCATCTGTGGCCAACCAGGGGGCATGCCGACCGTGGCGACGAACCGTGTCCGAGCTGGCGGGACGGCTTTGCTCTTTCCGGAAGTCTGTCGCTTGTTGCTCACCACGATTGACCACGATTGACCACGATTGACAACGATTGACCACGATTCATCACGATGCATCGCGATGCCCCACGCCGATGGCGTCTTTTGGGTCCATTATGTGATGTGCATAGCACAGCTGCACAACTGCACAGCGTTATCACCCTCCCTGTCTCGCTGGGCACACACGCTGGAGCAGGTACAGATTACACAGTGACTAGCGGAGGCCGAGCAGGAAGTAATCCCCGGGTATCCCGTCAGTTAGTATTATGGAGTTATTGCGCAACGCAACAATATCCCCTGTCAACGGAACGGGGAGGGTCCACCCGTGATCCCAGCACCCGCTTTCCCCTCCCCTCCCGTGCTGCATGGCCCAAGGCCCGGTGTTGTTTCGCTCTCGGAGTGGACTGAGGAAGCCGCCGGGACGGAACCAAACCAGTGGGCCAAAGGTGGGAACCGCTCGCCAATAACCAGCCCGCCCCTCCCCTCCCTCGCTTCCAATGACAATTCCTGATCTTTTTTCTCGGGCCACACGTTACCAGACTCTCGGGATCCAGGGTCGTTCAGCTCAGCCCTTTGCCTTCTGCCTTCTGCCGTCTGCCCTCTGGCCTTTCACAGTCTTCTGTTCCGCTCCGCCTTTGCCGCCCTCCATCTAACTAGGACACACCTCGCACCTCGCCCCATTGTACCACTCCACGTAACTACCTTAACGAGCCACCGCGACCCGACGGCAGCCGGGCCAAGAAAGGTCTTTGCCCCTTCGATTCGCTGTCACTTCGCGCCCCTTCTGCAATAGCGACGGGACACAGCCCCTTCACCACCCCCCTTCCAGACTAGGCCCACACCAGGCTGCCCGCTCAGGCAATATCCACCATGGACTCGGACGACAACCCCAACCCACCCTCCGAGGTAGTCTCGTCTCCGCGTCCCTCGTCCAGCTCAACCCATATCGCCGTCGACGTGAACGGAACCCCGGAAGAAGAGCTCTATGTCACCGCCGAAGCCATGCGGGAAGCGATGCTGAGAGGCAGCGGGAGCCAGTGCAAAGGAAACTGCAAGGCGGCGGCCACCGTCAGCACCACCACCGGCTCACTACCCCCATTCGCCCCAACCCCTGCCGACGACGCCCAGCCCACCAACACCGCCGACCCAACCCGGCACTGCAGCGAGTGCGAAAACAACAACAACAACAACAACGACAACAACAACGGCGACAACAACGCCGCCTCGCCCCTCGGACCCATGACCAGCGCCGAACTCGAAGAAGCCGGCCGCGAAGCCGACAACGGAGAAGACGGCTTCGACCTGGCGGCGGCGTTCGACTTCGACCGCGACATGTCGCGGTACCCGGCCTCCATGACCAGCTCGGTGCGCGACCACGTGTACGAGGGCGGGCTGCGCTACCACGCCTACCGCGCCGGCCGCTACGCCTTCCCCAACGACGAGACGGAGCAGAACCGCGACGACATGAAGCACACCATGACCCTGATGCTGTGCCGCGGCGCGTATTTCTATGCGCCGGTTGGGGAGGTGCTGGAGGCTGGGGGGGAGGTGTTGGATTTGGGTATGTTGTGGTTCCTTTTTTTTTTTTTTTTTTTGTTGTTTGTTGGTTGGATTCTTGCCGTTGTGGGATTCTTTCCGTTGTCGGTTTGTTTTTCTTGCTCTGGCTCGTCGTATCCTTTCCCCTTTTCTGGTTGTCGCTTCTTCAAGGGGGAGAGGGGGGAGAGTCGGCTTGGCAAGAGGAGGAATGGGGATGGATTGATTGTGTGGTTGATTGCGTGTGGGATGGGAAGCGGAAGACGGCGTTACAACGCGTCCAAAGAGTTTCAAATGGGTTGTTGCTTGCGGTTCATGGATGGCGGAGTCCCGCCCACTGGCACAAGAAACACAGGCTGACTTGACTGCGCACAACAGGCACGGGAACAGGAATCTGGGCGATGGAGCGTAAGTGATTTGAACTTTTCTTTCCCTGATCGTCTGAGCAAACCGTTAGACTGTGCGCCCGTTGCACCTGTCTCACATGGTGTGCCTATCCACGGAGAGACGCGTCTGTGTCTCGCTTCATTGGCGCGAAGATCCGGTGAAACTTGAGACAAGCCGAGTCTGCGGCTATCTAGTTATTGTGTGGTCCTTAAACGAGGTCTCGTCAGACATCGCTGGCGAGCAGCGCGAATCACCAGGCTAACGCACCCAGTCGCCGACAAATACCCCAACTCGGCCATCACCGGCATCGACCTCTCCCCCATCCAGCCCAACTATGTCCCCGAGAACGTCCACTTCTTCGTCGACGATTTTGAAGAAGACTGGATCGACCCCGAAGACAAGTACGACTTCATCCACATCCGCCACACCCTACATTCAGTCCGAGACGTCGACACGCTCTTACAGCGAGCATTGCGGTACGCCCCTCCGTTTCTCTTATCCACCGTACCTACCTAACCAACCATACTAACCGCCCTCACCAGCCACCTCAAGCCCGGCGGCTACTTCGAGGCACAAGAACTCGCCACGATCCCCGTCGCGGACGACGACACCCTAACCCCCGACACCCCGTACGCGCTGCGGGACTACATCCACTACATCTCGGCGGGGATGGCGGTGCTGGGGTCGCACGCGCACGCGATCGGGACGCTGCCGGAGCGGATGCGGGCCGCGGGCTTCGCCGACGTGCGCCGGACGACGCACAAGTGCCCCGTGGGCGTCTGGGCCCGCGACAAGCGCATGCGCTTCTGCGGCCTCTTCCTCCGCACCGCCCTCATGGACGGCCTGCGCGGGCTCAGCCGCAGGCCCTTTACTGCCCTTGGCTGGACGCCCGTGCAGATTGAGATTTTCTTGGTGGAGGTTCGCAGGGCGATTATGGAGACGGGCGTGCATTCGTATTTTACGCTCAATGTGGTGCATGGGAGGAAGCCGGTTGATTGAGCGCGCTGTTGGTTGTGTGTTCTTTTTCTCGAGACGGGTGCGATACGTATCCCGCTCGGGAGGAAGACTTGAATCTTTGGAGGGCTGAGCCCACGAAATACGCGGCGGCTGGCTGCCACCCTGGTGGGGGATAAACGTTTGTCGGGGAGCAGACGCACACGGTAGTGCTGCTACGTTCTGCCGGCGGCATGGCGTTGTCGTGACAGGGATGGGCCCCTCTCTGCGCTGCCTAACCTCGCCGGGAGTCCGCCATGTCTCATCGACCGGAGACAGGGGAATGGAACTGGCGACTACAGCTTGTGCTACCAAAACCCAACCTAACAGGCACTTGGCGAGGGCCGGGACGCCCCTTTTCCGGTATGGCATTCGCGATCCTACACGACAATCCCCCGCCGCGGAAGCACAGCGGCAAGACATCGCATCGACGACGAAGTCACAACGTGACGAGCACGACTCTCGATATCTTATAAAGTGTTGGGTTACGCCACAGCGCGTCATTTTTGCATCATATCATGGATACACATGGCAAGGGCCGGAGCGGGGGGTTGGAGCATATGAAGCATTGTTTGGAGCAAACTGGCGCCGGCGTCCTTCATTTATTTGAGCATACCGCATGACAGACAAAAAGGGGCGCGGATTGCGGGCGTGGCCATACTGGGCGTGATAATACGGATATGGAGTACATCAAACGCTTTCATGCGGCGGGGAGAATTGGTGGAAAAGAAAGATACCTGCATAGCATGCTACTGTTGAGCTGAGCTGTGGAAGAAAATACCCATAATGTTGAACCAAACGGCTATGCTGTGCTGAGATGTTACTGCTAATTGATATCCTTACAGTCAACGAGAGGGGCTCCCTGCCCGCCCCAGTTACGCACCCCCAGCCCCAGCCGTCTTCTTCCAATGCACCTTGACACCGCCCCAGCTGTGGTCCGAATACGCAGCCTGCACCTTCTGGCAGGTCTTCAGCCCCCAATCCGTCACGCCAACCATCAGACAGCTCTCAAACATAAAGGCGCAGCTCCCGGCGCCGACCTTGGCGGGCTGCAAGTCGGCGTTGCGGGCGCCCTCGTAGCTGTCGGCGTCGGGCCCGTGGCCGCTCATGACGTTGTGCAGGCTGGCGCCGCCCGGGACGAAGCCGCCGCGGCCGCCCTTCTTGGCGTCGTAGCCGCCGCGGATCAGGCCCATGAACTCGCTCATGGTGTTGCGGTGGTACCAGGGCGGGCGGAAGGTGTCCTCGCCGACGAGCCAGCGCGGCGGGAAGACGACAAAGTCGGCCACCGACGTCCCGGCCCGCTCCGACGGCGCCGACAGCACCGTGAAGATGCTCGGGTCCGGGTGGTCGAACGAGATGGAGCCGACCGTGTTGAAGCGGCCGAGGTCGTACTTGTACGGGTAGTAGTTGCCGTGCCAGGCGACCACGTCGAAGGGGGTGTGCCGCTGGGCGGTGCGGTACAGGGCGTTGTTGAACTTGGCCGTGACGACGAACTCGTGGGGCCCGTCCGAGGCCGTGGCGCCGCAGTCCTCGTCGAAGCTCGCCACGGGCGCCTGGAAGTCCCGCGCGTTGGCCAGCCCGTTGGACCCGATGGGCCCCAGCTCGGGCAGCACGAAGCGGCCCTGGAACAGCTCGAGCGCGTAGCCCCTCGCGGGGGAGCCGTCGCCGGCGGCCAGCCGCACCTGGTAGCGCACGCCGCGCGGGATGACGCAGATCTCCATGGGCCGCACCAGCAGGCGGCCGAGCTCGGTGCGGATGTCGAGGGCGCCCTCCTGCGGGACGAGCAGCAGGTCGCCGTCGGCCGAGTAGAAAGCGGCGCGGTCGTCCATGGAGCGGCCGGCGGCGTAGACGTACATGGCGCAGCCCTGCTTGAGGGCGGGGTCGCCGGCGCCGGCTACCAGGTGTAGGCCCGAGACGAAGTCGGCCTCGGGGTCGTGGTCGAAAGGGTCCCAACGTAGCTGGTTGGGGATGTAGTGCATGTTGCGGAAGGGCTCGCCGCCGAGGCCGAGGGACTCGTTCGGGGCCGGGGCCGGGGCGAAGGGTGGGTGGGAGCAGGCGGGCAGGATGCGGTAGAGCCACGTCTGCTTGTTCTCGTGGCGGGGTGCGGTAAAGGCGGTGCCTGAGAGCTTCTCGGCGTAGAGGCCTAGTGGGGGCTTTTGTGGAGAGTTCTGACCGACGGGGAGAGCGCCGGGGACAGCTTCGGACCTGAGACACGAGCGTGGGGGGCAAGTGGTTAGCGACGTTGCGAACTTGTGGTGGATGGTTCAATATCGGGAAGGCAGGCATACTCAAAGTAGGAGTCGAAACCATTTTGATATTGGTACTTTTCCTCCAACTCGAACTTAGTGACGGGCATCGTGACGGTAGCTCCAAGCTAGAGGAAGATACGCAGAGGCACGGTCGTTGTGGTTGTTGTTCTTGTTCGTGCTCGTGTTTGTGTTTGTGTTTTTGTTTTTGTTCTTGTTCGGTCGTGGTTGAACCGGTCGACGACGTCAAGTTGGGGAATCACACGGCCACAATGTGAGATTCGGGCGGCACAGGGGGGAGGGAAGTAATAAGAGATCCATCCTGCTGCCGTCATTGCCTTCGGTTTTACAAACTGGGGAAGGAGCTTTCCCGAGACTTGCCAATTCCGCACCTCGATGGGAGGGGAGGGCCACGATAAAGGCCGAAGATAGCCGGTTGTATGCGCCCCACATTCAAGGCCGAACCGTCCACGCCAGCCCCACCACGGTAGCTTTGGACCGACCTCGTTTGATCCTCGCCGCCCCGTTTAATTCCCGATTTGATGTAGTTTGATGGAGAGAGTTCAACGCAGTCAGTCAGTTCGATATATATAAACGGGCTAATCAACAATAGGGTTTCGGTTTGGGCTTAGGTTTAGGTTAGGGATAGGGTAAAGCTCAAGGTGAGGTGGGGAATACGGTAAGGGATAGGGTTTGGGAGACGATTTGGGACACGAGTTGGAAGGGTGAGATACGGGGAACTGGCCGCAATTGACTACACTAAATTACAGTAACCAGTGCATATCAGAATAGCGAGAGAGAAGTGCAATATAGCCCTCTACTCCCTGTTGTTCTTCTGATTTAACGCTGAACTGGCCGCAATCAACTACCTACACTACATTAACTTGACCGGTTTGTCACCGAAACCGGGATGAGATCCCTTGGGTCGTGAGCATTTCACCGGGGTTTGACTTTCAACCCCCCAATTACCACTTTGTAACTACAGCGAATATCATAACAGCGAGGGAGGAGTGCAATGTAGCTCTCTACTCCTTGTTCTTCTTCTTCTTGCCCGTCACGGGTTGGCCGGCATCTTTCCGCAGGTGCACAATCAACCGGGTCCACGACTCTTCCTTGTCCCACTCGAAGCCCTTCAGGTACTGCAGCTCAAGCTCGTCATCGGCCTACGCATGTCACGTTAGCGTCATGTGTAGACCGACAGGATCACAAGTACCCACCTTCTTCTTGAACTGCTTGTGGATGGCATCCAAGGCGTCCTTGATGGTGACGCCCTTGAGGTTTCGTGCTGTTACTTCCAGCCCGAGCGGGAAGTGTAGGTCAATCTTCTTGACCGGCGGTGTTGTGAGCAGCTTCTTGAGAATATCCTTCTCCTCGACCGTCGAAGGCGACGTGTTGATCTTCCTACAGGTGTGTGAGATGGCAGATGCGTGAACGCCAGGGTTTGGGTTGAACTTACCAGCCCGTCGCTTGCGTCTCCTTGGCGATTTGCAGCTCAATTCCTTGCTCCTCTGCGGAGAAGGTGTCAGCTATTGGCAGCCAGTTCCGTGGCACGGGGCATGCGGGAAAGGCAGGCGATGCGACTTACCTAGGTCTTTGATGTTCATGACTCCATTGGCGCTCGAGCTCGCCCGGCGGTGTTTGGCCTCCTTGGGAGGGGGGATTTCCTCCATACCCTGGACGGCGGAGTCGACCTTGGTGAGTGGCTCGGACATGTTGGGTGTGTGAGATGTGCAGAAAGCGAATAAGGCAGGTGATGGGAACGAGTCTCTTTGTCTAGAGAATCGGAATCGACAGTAGGCAGGCAGTTTTCGATGTCCAGAAGGATCCGTGGATGTATGGTATCGTGGGACAAAGAGAGGTGCGAGGAGAAGAGCAGGGAAAGCTGAGGAGCGGGGAGGGGAGCCCTTTATAGTGTTCCCATGAGCATTCCAATCAGCATTGGAAATGGGCAGATCCCGCCACCCATCACGTTATTAGTAGGGTCAAGCTGCATCGTTCCTGCCTCGACTGTTTCGTCAGACCGGGCGGGGTAATGCCGCCAGGACAATTGATCACGTTGGCCTGGTCACCGAGATCGCGTGACAAGTACATCATCATGGAACGACACGGCAGGCGAGCCCTGCGCGTCCTAAACAGGATAAGGTACCTGGCCCGAGCGCCTTGCATGGAAGCTAACAGTCTGGTCCCCATCTTGGAATCTGGGGTAATCCGGGGTATCAGGGGGCATGACCCACTCCTGTCATCCAGCACTTACACGCCATGCTGCGATTTAAAAAGTCATCAATTGACGCCAATGCTGCGTCACAACTGGGAGACCCCAATCGCACTTTTTCCAATTCCCCCCGCGAACATGTTGAGGATATGCAGCATGTCTAAGTTTGAGCAGGAACATTGGGTGACAACTGAAGTACGAATAGGCCGGCCAAGCCGGGGAGGTCCCGCCCTGCACGACTGGTGGGACAGAGGTGGGGTATCCCGCTGCTCAGTGACATGGACCATCTTCGGCGCGAAACCAGCAGGTTCTCGGCAGGGACGACCTGTTATCGGCTCTGTGCAAACCTGGGAAGTTCGCATCTTTGAAATTGTGAAAATGACTCGGAGGGGTCCCCGGCCAGCTCCGAATCACCTCCATGAAGAATTGCTAACGTCCATGCTTAGGTTGTTCAAAGCTTCTCGCTGGGCTTCATCGCTGGCGTACAGCCGAGAACGGGCTATTGGTGATCTTCCCTGGCACGAGACACCATCGGCGGCTGTGTAACTGCAAGGACAGAAGCGGGGAAGCTGCTCACCAAGCACCCACCCAAGCTCCCAAGGCACCGCCTATCAGCCATGCCCATTCCAGACTTGGACCATGACTGCAGACATCCCCGACTTCAGGCTGTGCACACCCCGCACCGTCGCTGCCCCTGTTTCATGCGATACCTAGTCGCCCTGACTCAAAAGCGCCCTCATCTCATCGAGGCTTCAAGATGCAAAATTTAGGTTTACCGGTTTATCACTCTATCACTCTAATCGTTAAAAATACACAATAAGGTCCCGCCACCTGATGAAGCAATGGCGGCGCAGAGGTCGTGTCAAACGAGATGAACAAGGAGCTCATCATCCCTAAGCACGATATCCAAAGAACATCCGCCCAGGTCCCCTGGCCGGCAGTCCTTCGAGTCCCTTGCGGTAGCGAGCAGCTCACGACCTGGTATTCTTGTTGGTCCCGACCGGATCCGCAAACCTCGTCCCGCTGCCGCCGGTTTTGAGAGCCTGCTTGCCGGCCTCCAGCTTCTTCATGGAGCTCCGGAGGCTAGATGCCATAACCTCGAGTGGGTACTGCTTGAGCAAGGGGCTAGACTGGATGCGCTCGACCTCAAAGTCCTCCAGCTCGACCCGGACACGGAGAAGCGCTTCCAGGGTGTCATCCACGACCATCGATGCCGCCTCGTAGAGGTGTGTAAGATCCATCAGCAGCGTCCGTGGGTCCTGAGACGCGTACAGCGAGGCGTGGTCGTCCCTTGGCGCTAGGCGGTCCCACAACAACCCGAGGATATCACGGGATGGGAGCAGGCGGATGTCCCCCTCGACGTTACTCTTGACGGTGGTGAGAAACCTTTGAATATCGTCAAGCTCCCTTGCCAGCTTGTCGACGTCATTGACTAGCGCGTTGATTTCTTTCGCCATGAAGCCCGCAGTGCTTCGGAAAACCTCCTTGATGTCGTCCCCAATAGGGCGGTGGGCTCTAATGCCGGTGAGTGGGTATAGTGCCGCCAGAACGAAGCTCATGAACGTGTTGGGCCCGTCCGGGCCATCGCTGATCCGGCGCTCAATGAGACGGAGTGCGTATTTGTCGAAACCATGGAGGGTATCGACAATGCCGGTGAACTTGCTCGTAAAGCTAGAGAGGGACCTGGCACGTTCGAGTCAAGCGTCAGTGGGGCTGGCCAGACAATGGGTAGTACTGTCGTTGGGACCTACCGGCCTGTGGTCCAGGTCTGCTCCTTCAAGGATTCCAGCGCTTCCGCGATTTTGTTTTTGTTCTCCAATGCGCTGCCCATGACACGAATGCCCAGGTCACGGACGGCAGAACGATGGCCGATCAACTCCCGCGCAAGATCGTGGTCTTTCCCGAGGCGCCCCATGATAGTGGCAAATTCATCCTGGGGCACGAGCAGCTTCGAATGCCAGATGTCCTCCAGTGGAAGCGGTTGGCAGAGCGGCAGATGGCGAGCGGCAATGGGGATGGGGCAGATCGTCTCCGACAGGAGCCCCGGGTTGTGGTGGAGAGTGAACGTGATGGTGTAGGTACCGCTCAGCCATATGACGCAGGCAATAAGAACCCATTTCCACACCCGGCTGTAGAGCCTCAAACCTGCCAGGAGACCCTGGTGAAGGTACCTGAGCGGCTGTAGCGCAAGGTGCGAGCAGTGCCTCAGACGTGCCGGGAGATGCCGGTAGAAGGCACTGAGGGATGACTGGAGACGCCGGTATACGGCGTTGGGAAGCGTCAGGATGGGATGGATAGGCTCCAGAAGTGTCAGGAGATCCTGGAGCATGGCCTCCAAAAGTGCCAGAAGATATCGGTAGGCCTTGAGCAGATTTGGAACCGGGCGCAAAACGATCAACAGCGCCATGAGATCCTGGTATATGGCGTAGAGCAGTCTCGCATTCACACAAAGGTACCCCAGCGAGCGCATGAAGCGGGAGATGGCGTTGGTGAGCTCCAGCTCGAGAAAGAAGGCCTTGAGATGTCGCACGGCTGACGAGACGAAGGCCGGCAGTTTCACGAAAAGTGCGATGGGCGCCAGCAGTAGTAGGCTCCAGGCGAAGTACTTGGCTCGGCGGCTCGGCACGCTGCCATGGGAATAGTCAGTTGCAATGTTGATAGCGGGCGTGTCGGTGATGGATGTGTTTGCCTCCATCTCGTCGGTTGCAGCCTGGTCCTTGATACCATCATCGCTGACGCCTTCGGTGATCTGCTCGTCGGCGATCTGGTCATCGGCAGTCTGCTCATCGGTGATCTGTTCGTCCATGATCTCCTCGTCCGTGGTCTCCTCGTCAGCAGCCTGATCACCGGTGATCTGGTCGTCGGCAGCTTGTTCGTCGGCAGCTTGTTCGTCGGCAGTCTGCTCAGCAGTGATCTGCTCGTCGGAAGACTGCTCCTCGGTGGCCGGCTCGTCCTCCGCTGTAGCAGCTGGGGTAGCCTTGTCACTTTGCACTCGGATAGGGCCCTTCAGCTTACGCTTACGGGCGTTTGGCAAAGATGAGGATGTGCTCCGGCCACGGAGCTTCGGGTTGGTTGGCATGGTGAGGTCGGCTTTTAGGGCACGCATGCGCTGAGTAAGGTAAAACTAGGGTGATGGGAGATTGTGTTAAAAGAAACAAGGCGTATTGACGTTTTCGAAATTCGTGAGCATACAGGAAGAGAGTTGAAGAAGGCGAAAAAAGCTCAGAGCAAACGCGGGAGCGGGGGCTGATAGTCATTTTCGGCCAGCACAAAGAAAACAAACGGAGAGAGTTGCACGGGGGCTCTTGATTGGCGACAACAATAGTATCGGAGCGCCGTTAACACACCACACTGAGCTGTGTGTAACTACAAATATTTCTGTACATGCACCTTGGATTCCAAAGGAGGATGCTGTCAAACTTGGAGCCCGAAGGCATCACCAGGGCCACCACGTTGATGGGAAAGGGTAATGAAACACAACGGAGCGCCTTGTCCAGTCGATTGGAGAACTATTCGGTTCACTTTTGGGCCTTACGCCATAGCCAGTGACTTAAAATTAATGGTCAATAGTCACAGGCCACTCATCACGTTCCCCTTTTAGGTATTGTCGCATGCTGTGGCCGAGGAAGTAGTGAGCAACACAAGACGCTTATGGGAAGGAAGGTCAATCTTCCGCCCTCGCACCACCTTCAGTCCTAACACTATGATAATAGCTGTACGTTTGTCAGAATTTGAGTACTTGATTTCTGTACTTGTCTGATTTCTCGGCAGGGTCAGAAACAAGGGGGCCTGGGTACACCTGAGTACTTAGGTACCTGACTATTACTACCTATGTTGGGAGATGAAAGAAATAAAATGTTGCACTACAACTCAATGTCAAGGACCGATTTTCGTTTGCTGTCCCTGGTGCGGTTAAATTAACATGCTGATAGACCCACCTCATATCATCGCAAGGCCTGAAAGGGGGCGTGAGGCTCAACCACGTCCATACATGCCTGCAGAATCTCGTCAGGACTGCGAGTATAGTCGGGTGACCTAGGAGGCCCGGAAGGGTCACAAAGAGATGCTCAAAAGATAACCCATATATACCAAGGACATTCGTGCCAAGCCCAAGCCTTCGGGTCCCAAAAGTGACGCTGAGTGCCCGAGCCCGTTCGTCACGGGTGACACCCATATTACCTACCTATTAAACCCAAATCGGGTAAATGGCCATGCTGGCCTCAACCGGAACGTCATAGCGACAAAGGCTGGGTAGATTGAAATAAACCGAGCTTCCCCCCTGGGCAAGTCCACATCCAAAATGCTGTTCAGGACACCGAGTACTAATTCAATATTAAGATCTGGCCCTGGAGATAACATTTGTACAGTCATAAGGAGCTACTTTCAACGTGGTTTTTCTACAACCACTCATCCATCAGGGGGTTCACCCTCTCGCTCTGTCGCCTTAATGGCGGTGTGTGGTGGCCATCCTCTCCTCCACTCTTAGGCCTCACCGCATCGAGACTCGCAGGTTGTGGGTTTTGCGCAGGGGTTACTCAACCCCGGCCACCCCGGGGGCCAACACACACACCTTGGTTAGTCCCCAACGTCCACGGATGCTCTGGTGAGCAGGACTTCCCTCAAGCCAAAGTTTTATACCCACGAGTTGGCTAATCGGGAATTTCTAATACCATATTGCTGCGCTTAGCAACGACGAGGCCGTACGAGCACCAAGTTGTGGGAGCGTACTAGTGGCATCCACCACCCCTGCTCCACGATTAGAGCCTTCACCGCCCCGCCGCCGTCGCCCTCTCCCAGGGAGAAGCAAAAGCCACAATCGTCGAGAGCACCGACACCCCTCAGGGACCGCCCCCTCTATCACCCCCTGAATTCCTCTTTTTCAAACCCAAGATCCCAACCGACGGCCTCCCCACCAAATTGGAAGTTTGGCCGGCCATGCTCGACATCAACCTCTCCGCCCGCCTCTCCGCGCAGGACGAGGACCAGCTCCTCAACAACATCTGGATCGGCCTGCTCGGCGTCGAGGCGCTCATGGTGTTGGGTGTTGCGTTGCGCGCGGTGGTGTCGTCGAGGCTCTTTACCGCCATTGGCGGGAGGAAGGATTCAAGAGGTGTTATTATGGGTGTGGCGAGCGAATATCACGATGTGGATGGCTACTGGGCACGGGAATGATGGGCTTGCATTTTCATTCTTCTGGCGGGTTGGGATGTTCCTGCGTTGTGTTGTGTTGCTGTTTGTCAGCGGCCTTTTTCTTTCCTCAACCCCCTTTTCTTCTTTTGGCTTTTTCCCGCTGCATTCTGGGGCGTTCTGGGGCACGGTCATGATGATGATGGTTAAAATATGAGAGATGGTTTATGAAAAACAATGGAAGAGAGCCAAGTAATGACATTTGGCTGGCTCGATAAAATGCCAGTGTTTCTGGACAACACAAACGATGGTGCCACCGGGATCTCCTCTGCATTATGAATACCAGCCGCTCCCCATGCACACCCAGTCCGGTTCAACCTTCCTGGTTTCCCCGTCCTAGTCGTCTCCATCTATATCCATTCCGCCATCTCCAACACCCAGAGCCTCAGAACCCCGGCCTCAACATCCCCGTGCTCGATCTTAACCCGCTCGAGAACCGAGAGGACTTCCTGCGGGCTGGGCTTGTCGTGGACGCGAGTCTTCCGGTGGTTCGCCGGCAAGTAATCCCACACCCGCAGAGTCTCCCACACCTCCTCCGCCTGCGCGTGCCCATACTCCCGAGCAATGCCCACATCTAGATACGCCCGCCGAAAAGTCTCAACTCTCAAGTCAGCCCACCCCCTTCTTTCACCAAGCCTGAGTCAACCAGCACCACCACCACCAAAGCGGCCAAACCGATCCAAATAACGAAGAGAGAAAAAGCGAAACAAAAAGAAAGAAAAAAAAACGAGAAGAAACTCACACAAATCCCCCTCACCCCCAACCGCCCGCTCAAACCCCTCCCTCCCAACCTCCCACCGCTGCCACCTCTGCCACGGCCGGCTCGCAGGGCACGCGGAGCACGGCACGAACGTCGCGGTGCCGCACCCAGGCGTCGCGGATGGCGCGGTCTGCGTCGGCGCGCACAGCTCGTCGAGCCGCTGCCACTGCTGGGCGCTCTCGAAGAGGCCGGTGGTGATGGTGGTGGCGATGGTGGTAGTGATGATGGCGGGGTAGGTGATGGGAGAGGAAAGGGGAAGGGGAGGGCGGCCGCCTAGGTTAGTGCTGCTGCTGCTGCTGCTGCTGCTAGGGGCATAGACGGCATGTTTGTTTATAGTCCGAACTTGGATATGTTGTTGTCCGACGAGATGGGATGACAGTTTGTGCTCAGCGCCTGATGTTGTGCCCGAGCCTGTAAGCCGGAGGTCTTGTCCGTCGACTTCAATATCATGATGCAGCAGCTTGCCTCACTGGTCTAGCTTTCGTCTGAAAAGACATCAAGAAGGCCTGGACCAAAGAGTTGACACAATCTAGCTCACGATGACGTAGCGGTGGATGTTTACATTCCGTTGACTAGGGCGTTGGTGGCCACTTGATCCGTCGGTCGGATACGAAGAAAGCCGTGTCATGTATCTAGTCTTTTGTCGGTAGTCACGTCGTCATCTGCTTGGGGGTCAGTCGTTTGCCTGCCCACTTTCCGCTGTCACGACACAAATGATACCACACAGCTAGTATACCATCACCACCCCCTATTAAACTTAATGGTATGGTGTGGTGCGATACTATCGTTCCCCCATTAAATACCACAAATGGAACGTAGACCGAGAGGTATGATCCGTGCAATGTTGATAATATAACGGACTAATGCTTCAATCTTTTTTTTTTCCATTCTTTTTTTTTTCCATTCTTTTTTCTTTTGCTCTCTTTGAGCAATTGCCATACGTTCAAGAGTGAGATTTACATGATAGCACCTAGGTTAGTCAGAATTTATTCTGATTGTGCCTGCCACCTGAGCCGTCCTCACTGCCGGGTGCGGAAGGGAAGTAGCCCACGAAGGCACTTATTAAACAATCCACAGCCGTCGTCTTGAGTTCAAGCGTCGATGACGACCAAAATTCTATTGGTTGCAAGCAGATCATGTTGCCGTGTCCTGATATCGGGGAGGCCGACGGACACAGCGGTTGCTCATATGCCGGACCGGGCGCAAGCACACAGGTCGTGAGATGTTTCCGGCCCGCCATTTTGTGAGGGGCGGAATAAATTGCAGACAATCTGGGGTGAAACGTCATTCGCGGGGCACGGTGGAGGATTGTGTGATTGCTGCTGGATCACTGCATGGCAGATGGGCCCCCCTTGGACCGAACGGGTTGTTGCCCGTGTGTTCATCCTGCTGCGGCCTGAAGACGCGGAGCCCGTTGATCACCCTTCCCACGCAAAAAACGGATTGCTGTTGTGCAACGGCCGAGCCCCACAGTGATTGGATGACAGACGGTGTGTGGGTGTGTGTGTCCGGGCGATGTCGCTGGCATCCCGTCCCTCTCCGTGAGGTGCCATTGTGGTCCGTCGTGAGGGATAAAAATACCTACGTTGGAGTCAACGGTGGCCGAGCCAACGGATATTAACTCTGATGGCCTCGGAACCAACAGGCATCGCTTCGTAAAATTCCCAAAACCACAACCGACTTCCGGCTCAACGGGGCCAGCACATGCAAAAGACAAGATCGCTTCGGCGACTGCCATGCTTGGTTAGAACACCGAACAGCGGGGTAGCGTGGCATTCCCGCTGGCTTGGGATCGAAGTGGACTCTTGGGGTAATTTAGCCTTGAGCCGGTGGGCTGCTAGTTCGAGATTGGCGTCGTGGTGGGAAAGTGGGAAATCACCAAGACGCAGAAAGTAAAAAAAGAAAGAAAAAAAGAACCCAGGTGCTCCGTTTCCGTCCGTGCCGTCGTCCACTGTCCGTCATTCATCATCACCCCCATCACACTGAGATATCCACTTTACCGACCAACTTAATTTGACGGGACGATCCCCCAGAGTGTGGGTTTTATGTATCGGTGTTCCCAACGAGATATCGAGGCGCCGCCCTGATGAGCCACCGACGTTGTTTCGGAGCCAGGTCCTGCGGCTTGTTGCAGGATCGACATTGCGAAAGGGGCAAAACGGACGGTGGCTGCATGGCGTGCATCAAAACGTGGGTGGCAACCGTCGACATCTGCAAGGCTGAAGCTGTTTCGAGGTTAGCACCGCTGGAAGAAGCCGAACTTGGACGGCCAGGGCAGGAATCAGAAGAAGAGGTTGCATGCTTCGGGCCGTTTTCCAGGGTCTGCAGAGAAGATGTGTGCGTGTTTCATCTGCAAGGAAATGCGACGTCTTCCACACACACTTGTCGAGTATACAAATTGCACAATTCGGATTTGAACAACCAACAAGTCAGAGAGAAACCGGCAAGCTGCAACTCCGCGCCGCGCTGGTGACTGCTTGGAGAACCAGGTTCAACCAGGTCTGGAACTGCGTCAGCCCAACAAGGGGAGGGAGGGAAGTGTCGGATGCTGACCGCATTCAGGCCTGCTCCCCGCCCCACCGACCGACTGCAAGGGCCCAGACTGTCAAAGCGAAAAACACAAAACACACACACAAACATGATGCGAGCAAGGAAGTGCAGAGGCCCAACCGATGACCGAGCAAATGAGGTGTTTTCCAAAAGAGGGAAATGAAGCGCGGAAAAGATCCGGGCAGGACACCATTATGAAATGGAATCATGGCACCTCCTGGTGTCATGGAAATAGGTGCCCGTTATCCGTCTTCCATTCATTGGGACGGCACAACGCGAGCTCACTGCAGCAACTCTGCAGTCAGATGCAAAAAAAGCCGGGGAGACAGGCGAGACAGGCTATCGAGTCCAGGGCCCACCCTTCCTCCCCCCCAGCAGTTGGCACCGGGCTGGGGCCCGAGGTGTTGGGGTACCGGGTTTGGAGTGTGCGCCAAGCAACTACAGGGACCAGCAAAGGCAGGGGTGGCCTGCGATGGCCCCTGACTGGATGCGGAGGAAAGGGCGAACCAAGAGGGGGACACCATCGCTCCCCGCCAGCAATTATTGGCTGCGAGCCATGTCTTAGCCTGAAAGCCGTCAAATGAGGGGAGGGGCAGTGACCAACAGCAACGAGCAGCGTCACTACAAGTTGAGCCTTGAGCCATGAAATCATGGTGTGTGCCTGTTGATTCCTGCGTTCCATTGTCCGGCCCGTGCTCCCCATCCAGGTTACTTTGGTACTGTTTCCATCCCCCAGGTCCCCCCCCCCCCCCCCTCACTGCCACGCGAGAGCCAGCCGTCCACCCCCGAAGCCTTGCGGGTCTTTCATTACCTTCCTAACCTATCCTCGTGTGCCCGCGCCGCACCGTCCTCGTGGCTTCCCGCGCGCCTTTGTCTCACCCGGAAATAATTGAGGTGACTTCGTTGCTTCGTTGCCTCGTTGCCCGTGAACTTCGAATGGACGAGTGGAGGAGTGATCAGAATCAGCCTCATCATCAGCCAACGGAACCTTCCCGCTGATCCGCCGCCGTCGCGTGCCGCATGCCGATCTTAGACTCGAGCTAGTCACTCGACAACCGAATCCAACCGATCGCTGTCCCCAAATTTTCTGTGCAAAATACACAGACCGCACAGAGCGACGACAAAGATGGAACCATACGCCCACACGGCGGACGAGATGGACGACATGGTGTAAGCTGAATTCACCTCGGGTGGCCGCTCGCGGGGCTTCTAGACAACACTGCAGCGGGAGCTAACGTGATTCCAATCCAGCAACAAACTGGGCCGTCTGAATTCGAGAGACTCCAGTTCGTCACGCCATGCGCCGTCGATGGCATCATCAACGGACGACCGGTACGATAGTCGGCGAAGAGTTCCCTCCGGCGGGATGCCCGTGCCACGAACGCCCGACTCGCCGCGATACCTCGGTCAGGACGACGTCTATCGCATGCCCGCATATGAAATGGGCCAGCGACCCGTGAACTCGGCGTCCATGCACCCTCTTGGAACACCAAGAGCACCGCAGTTTCACAGGAAAGACTCGTACAATTCAGAACGACGTCCGTCCAGGGGTTCGTCGGCCGGCTACAGCTTGTACCCCGCAGCCTCCAAACCGCCCGTGGCCAAACCACTGCCGCCGCTCCCCGTGTTGAACCGCCAAAACTCGCATCGTGCTTCATCACAACCGTCGCTGGACGGGTCCGACGTCGGATCTGGCGATACATCCCGGTATTCGCAGTCGTCGAGGGGGAGCACGCTGGAGCGGGTGTCCACATCCGGCAGCGCCGCGCCGTCTCCTCCCGCAGCTCTGGGACCATCGCCTCCCATGTCTGGCGAGTACCGTGCACGGCCGCAGGTGATGCAGCCAGTGCAGCCGGCACAGCCGATGCAACCGCAGCACGGGTCCTCACCCGTGCACCTGGTACCCTGGAAACAACTCGTCGCCTCCAACGACAAGCAGCTCAAAGAACCCACCGTGTACTTTTTCGACATCTCCACCTCCTCCGCGACCCTCGCCAGCAAACATGGCAACAACATTATTAGGATATGGTCCGTCGGCAGCGGCGAGGTGCAAAATAACATCAAAATATCGTGCTACACCAACGCCCAGCCGCGGTCGCGCGAATATTTCGTCCGCAGCCACGCCATTCTCTCGGAAACCTCCAACCTGATCGCCATCGCCACCGGCTTCGGCGACTCGCTCGAGATCTGGGACTGGAGCAAGAAGAAGCGCCTCCAATCAATCGATGGCGCCAACCGCTGGGCCGCCGTGCGCTCCAACGTGATGGAATCCGGCTGGTGCCCGCTCGTGACCTACAACAGCAACACGGACAAGCTGGACCTGTACTCGGCCACGCACAACCCCAAAAAGCCCTTCAAGAAATCCCGCTCCATCGACTTCAGCAAAGCCGCCGGCCTCCCCCTCCTCCCCAAGTTCCCCGAGCTCGCCTTCTCCGCCACGGGTCCCCTCCTCGTCACCGCCTCGGGCCCGCGCCCGCCACGGCCCGACCACCCCCCACCGGAGCGCGAAACCCTCCTCACGGCCTGGGAGATCCACGACGGCGCCCCGGCCTCCAACACCCCCTACAAAGTCGTCGCCCCCTGGCAGCACGCCGAGCTCGACACCGCCCTGCCATGCGGCCTCGCCACCTACGGCTCGGTGGCCGTCTCCATCTGGATCCCGGCCCCGTACCGCGCCGTGCCGATCGCGGGGCGCGGCGGGTTCAACCTCGCGCCCGCGCCCGTGCCCCACCGCCACGTCCTCGTCTGGGACTTCTCCGCCTCGTCGACAAAAACCTTCCGCATCCCCAACGCCACGTCGTGCGTCTCGCCGGATTGCCGCTTCGTCGCCTACTGCGACGCCCGCGGCGTCGAGAGCGGCGCCCGCGGCTGTCTGGCTCTAGTCGACGCCATGACCGGCCGTGAGCTGTGGTGCTGGCCCGACCCGGAGGCCGGCCTGCTCGACGCGGCCGAGGAGGATGGTGTGGGTGCCGCGCTGGGCGATCTCAGTCTGGTGACCGAGATGTGCTTCTCGGCGGATGGCGGGTTCTTGTTTGTGGGGGATGCCGAGGGGGGGATTGGGGTTTTTGAGGTCAGGGAGGGGGCTGCCGCGGGTGGGAATGGGAATGGGAATGGGGAGGGGGTTGGGTTGAGGGTGGTGCGGTGAGGTGAGGTGAGATGTGAGTGCGGTGAGGTGAGATGAGATGCCCGGTGTGGAGGTGGTGGGGAGTTATTTTTTTTGGTTTGGTTTGGTTATTTAATGAGGGGGGTTTTGGGGGGTTGCCCGGCTGATGATGGGAGCAGCAGGGGTATATCTCTCCTCGGCTGGGATCTGTGCCGTGTCGGGATCTGTGTGTACCTTATGTATAGACTGGGCTGGTGGGCGGGTCTGGTTACTGGTATCGGGTATTCGGTCGGGAATGGATGGGTTGGAGTTTTGGGTGAGTTTTGGGTGGGGGACCAAATAACTACCTAGGCGCGCGGACCAAGGGTGGAAGACTGCCTCGAGACGCTGTCGTCGTCTGTCGTACTACCACGGCTGAGGGCAATAGAAAGAATACCCTCCCTCCTCCGTCCCGCGGGCGTTCGGTGCCCGGGTAAACAGAGAAAGACAGAAAAGTTATTCTACGTTATGAGAACCTTTATTTTTTTCCCACTTCGAAATGGACCTACCTTGAGGGTCTTTATTTGTATAATTTGACCTTTGAACAGCCACCATAATAGAGAGGTGTTGTTGCGTGTAGCTCAGATACCTCCCGGCCGCCCGGCACCCTTGGGGAGCCGAGAGGGGGCCGGGGTTTGAGAGGTCCTTTCCCATGTTTGTAATTCTTGCAACTAAGATTGGTTGCAGTGTTTCTGATGTAGGATTTTATCCTGCATCCTTCGGTCGGTAGGGGAGTAGGAAGGTGTCAGGCTGGGACTCGTCTTCCGTGTCTCTGTCTATTTAGTTGGGATATTATGGAAAGAAGAGTGTGGTAATTAGTGAAGCAGATGTCCGTTTCGGAGATATTAGGGAACGTATAAAGCACAAGGTGAGTCCACAAGACCTCTTTCTCTCTTAGACCAATTTTTGTTTTGCTCTGACCTTGGAGGCCGTGTTTTCATCTTTTTCTGTCACCGGGCCTTTCCTTTTCCGTTCTCTTTTTTTTGTACTGCGACCCTTGGATTGTCTCAGCCCGGGCCACCTCTAACATGGTAGGGGGCCGGTGTGGAGGGGTTTGTCATGCCATTGTCCGGAGCGCTGGTGCTGGGCTGATGGTAGCCTAGCTCGTGGCTTCAATGTTTATCGCACGGAGGGATTAATGTCGCTCACGACTCTGGCCTGGCGAAAGGTTAGCGTTTAGACGTCCAAGTATTAGACCAAGGACAAGTTTAGGGGTGAAGTGGTGATGATAGTGAACAAGAAGCAGCTGGTGGTTACTACCGGCCAGTAATGGGGGAAGAGGCTAACCATACAGGAGGCATATAAACACTCTCGCCTGCCTGGTCCCAGCTGGCATGGTTAGTGTTGGCCGCCTGAGCGGCCCACATATCACCAAAGTCCATGTCCATGTCGGCCACAGGTACAGATACTCTGTTTCTAGAAGGCCCGGCGGCCTCGGATTCGGCCTCTGGGGGGGCAGGGCTAGGTTCACTCGACAAAGGTGAGATCCCCCCCCGGCCCGTGCAAGGGTCGTAGCCCGGCGTGGGCGGCCATCTCGGTGGCGCGGCTGGTGACGGCGCGGCTGGTGATGGCGCGACCGGTGACGGCGCGACTGGCGCCTTTTGCTTCCCCCCGGGCTGTTTCTTCTTGGAAGATTTGGCTGCGTCCGATGCCAGACGCCTGTTGCTATTCTCTACCCACTCGTCGGTGACGTCTGCATCTTCCGCGTCGACGACTGTCAGGAGGCGGTGTAAGTGATTGGCCAGGAGCAGCATCAAGAACGACAGGAATACAAAACTCACCTCGGCGGCCAAATCTTCTCATTATTTGGTCCACGGTAAACCTTGGAGTGGGCGACGGATCGGCGAAATGCCTGACCATGACGCACCGGGGCTCTTTGCGCCCACGCAGCTGCAACGGGTCTTCCTTGAAGCAATGCTCATCATCATGTCCGGGGCTTTGACACTGAACAACGTAGTAACCCGGTCCTACTGCGGGATACTGAAAGATGAAGTCTAACCCTTCGACTTCATACCCTTGTATTGTGGCGATGCTTGTCTGCCGATCACGGACGTTGTTAGCATATGGGAACCCATGGTCAGGGCGCGGTGTAACGGAGGTTTGGGAGAAATAGAACGATAAATACCGAGTTGGTGTTGGTCTCGGGCTCGGGGCCGTCATAGGCATGATCCGGGGGCAAGTCGTCATCGCGGCGTGCTCTTCGCGCTCGGGACCCGGGCGCGTTGGGTCTGTCGTCGCGAGTCCGTTTTCTCTGAAGCGGTTGTAAAGTTAGCGTCCTTTCAAGACCGACAGGACGGAAATCTCGTGATGACTTGCCGGAGGGTTGTTATTACCAGTTGCCGAACGGGTGTCTGCTTGGACGGCGGCCGCGTTGTCTGACACCTCGTTCCCTTCGCCGTCGTCCGTATCAGAGTCGAGAGTTATCGGCTCAATCATAAATTCCCTCCGAACTGGGGGGATCTTGAAGCCGTTATTCTCGCACAAGTGAACGAGAACGGACTGCAGAACCCTCTGGGCCAGGGTCTGTTTGTCGAGCACTGTGGTACGGCAAAGCCTTTCGGCTTCGGGCCCGTTTACCGTATTTCGCAGAATGGCCGAGTTCTCCGCCATTTTGGCATTACCGTCCGCTAGGGCGCTATCGAGAGCTTGAACAATTTGGTCCTTCACTTGAGAACATGCCCGAGCGGACATTTCGTGCGCGCCCCTCTCGATCTCGGTCTGAAAAAAGTGGTGGGTGGTTTTAAGATATTTATCGCGATCGTGGAGGAGTTGGTCCATGGTGCTTAGGGAGGGAGAAGGTTGGTCTTCTTCAGCTGAGAAAGTCAAGATTTCAATATAAAAGCACTAATCGAGACTCAACGAAGAGTGACTTGAGTGGTAAGAGAGCATAAGCTCTAGGAGTTTGGGGAGCATCTTGCTTCATTTTATAAACAACCGTGAAGGCGGTGGCAAGAGCGGCGATGTATGGCAAAACCAGCAGAGAAAAAGAGAAACGAATGGCTCTGGAAAGGCAATAGCGTTGTCGCGAGCTTGAAGGCAGACCCTGGATGCAGCTGAGCGCTAGGCGAGGCTCACTACCTCGTGTGGCACAGCAGCCAAGCAAAAAGGTGGGTGGTATCGACCACTCAGAACTACGCCGGTCAAGCTGGGTTTCAGATCAGAGGCTCCGGGAGCCAATAAATAATCCTAGGGAGAAAGCAGGGGAAACAATGTTGGTGATAACATGAGACGATGATACCATCATGATAGACCTTGTGGTATCCTAATAGTCCCGCTCGCCGACCTGCTCCCCCATTGCCAACAGTGTTGAACCTTGGGGCTCAGCGAAGATACTTCCAGGCCTAACTAGTAGGAATGCTTTCACCGCCTCAAAAACTGTCCCAACAACCCCCCCTCCCCTGGTAGTAGGCCTCGTGTGGCTGCTGGCACTCCAACTGCAATTTTAAATCCAACACTGTGTCCGTTGGTGCGGGAGTGTTGCGCTTCGCACATAACCATACAGTGTTAATCCGTTTGCCAGCACCGTTGAGGCTGCATGAAGAGCGCCTCGAGAGGGAGATCGGCGGCAGAAAACGGAAAAGTTTGCTCACCGATTTGACGAGGGGGTTCATTGTGAGTTCACACATTTGCGACCTAATTCTGAGAGATCGGTTAAAATGGGTTGGGCGATGGATATTTTCGAGTGTGTCTGGCCTTTTACTCCCAAGGTACCGACGTCCTGACTACATGTACCTGCCTACCACCTGCGAGTTATTTACTTCACATGTATTTTCGGTTCCTTGTATTAACATCCATTGTTATTTCGAAAAGAAATGTTAAAATGGAACACTCTCAACTACCTAGGTAGGTACCCAGTGGGAGAACCGAGAGGGGGGAGGTAAGGCTTTCTCAGAGCCCTTGCTAAGGCCCTGCACATCAGTTAACCTGTTGGCTGTCGAAATAATGCAATGGCAACTATGCCAATGTGGGTAGATCCTGCGGGAACGCGCTCGTCCATTTTGTATGTTGACGCGTTTTGGACGTTCCCTCGCCCATTCATTTTCGACTTTCCTCCATTTTTGACGCTCAGCCTTCCCCGTCACCTTGCCCTCCAATTTGGACACTCGTCCTTTTCCGTATGAGGTGTGTTTCGTTACTGCCGTAAATCCGTTCTGAAGGGAGGTAACTCCCGCCAGTATCGAAGTCGAAGAAAACCGAGGTGCCTTCCTGGGTACCTACCTTACCTAGGTACCTATGTGCCTAGCCCAGGTCTCTGGTCTCTTCTCGACATCCCCCAGCGTGATGGTACGTACCCAATCTCCCGTTCCTGTAGCGAAAAGCATTCGCGCCAATTTACGCAACATCCCAGGCACGGATTCAGCATGGACGCATTTGAACCCGCGTTTCATGAAAAATTTGTGCATCTTGGTAGAAGAACACAAACGCCAAGGGGAACTCAGGTAGGTGTTCCATTCATTTTGGAGGGGCATCTACGAAATACGAAATACATCCCGACCCAGCATGACCTGCACATTAAGGCACCTCGGCAGCTAAATATAAGATAAGCGCCAACAACATGACTTTCGCGAAGCAGCTAAATTGCATCAATCGCTCCTCGCACTGGCCGAAATAATACTCTCGACAAGCCCCCATCACCGCGCGACGACGCTCCCTTGTAAGCAAATACTATTACTACTACCCCAGGCGCGCGCCACCACGCAGCAGCGAAACGAAGCAACACCTCGCCCACACCATGGCACAGAGACCAAGATAAAAGAAAAACTAGCATATCCGTCAAACTGCTCCGTTCCCCAGTACCAGTATCAGCTCCATCCCATCCAAGCAGCAATCATCAAAGAGTAGAGTAGGGATGTGAGTAAAACCATCCAGCCCGGGGGGGATAACATCGCGCAAGAGTAAAAGAAAAAAAAAGGAAAAAAAACCCAGACACACCTATTTTTCCCAACGCAGAGACGCCAAGACAGAGGAAAAACCACAACCCCAAGACAAGCACCACACGTGGTAGCAACGGCAATAATCCCATAAAGCCGAAGACCCACGAGCAGTAAAAAGAATAAAAAGAGGCCAGCACGACAAAATGCTGCTGCAGGCTTTTGAGCCAGGCAAAACGCAAACCTAGCTTAGGTAAGGAAATGCGTGGGGAGGGAAGGAGGGAATGCCGAGAAACAAGACGAGGCCCCAACAAAGAGGGCAAGAGACAACCAACACGGACTAAAGCAAGCAAGCAAAGCAAGCAAGCAATGGCCAGCTAATCACCCGCCTACCCAACCCAGCACAGCACAGCTCAGTCCCCCCTGCCCGCTCTCCCGCGCCCCCTGCCCCTCCCAGCACCACCACTAGCAGCGCTCTCCCCCACACCGACCTCCTCCTCGGGCACGCCCACACCCATCGCACTCCCGGCCGCGCTCGCCGTGCTCACAGCCCGCCGCCTCTCCACCTGCTGCTGTTGAGACTGCGGCTGTGCTTGTGACTGCTGCTGCTGCGACTGCTGCGACGACGAGCCACCGCCACCGCCACCTTCCTTCAGGGCAGAAGCGTCGCGGACCAGCCTCTCGAGCTCGCGGACGCGGCGGCGCAGGGCCTCGTTCTCGCGCTTGTACTCGTCGAGCTCGGCGCGGCGCAGCGCCGTCTCCTCGTACCGCGACGTGGCCGGCAGGATGCCCGGCGACAGCTCGCTCGCGGCCGTCGCGGTGGTGGTGGTCGTCGTCGGGGTGGCGGCCGCGGAGGTCGTGTTTGTGTTCGTGCCCGTGCCTGACTGTGATCGCATGGGCATGGGCATGCGGGATGTGAAGTAGCCTGGGAGCGAGCCGGGCTCGCTGCCCGGGGCGTGCTGGTAGGGGTGGCTGGTGCTGCTGCTTCGGTGGGCGGCCGGGGACGGCGAGCCGGTGCGGCTGCGGCGCGAGGCGCTGCTATTCTGCCTGCTGAGCGCGATGCCGCCGATGGCGATCGGGGTCTGGGCGGTGGGGCGGACCGGTACCGGGGAGGATATGCCCGCGAGTGAGGTGGTCGATACCGAGCCGGCGTTGGCGGTGAGGCTGCGGGCGCTGGCGCTCGACGAGGTGCGCTGGTGGCGGACCGGCTGGTAGTGGCTCGTGCCTAGGCTGGGTTGGGTGACTTCCCCCCACTGGCCGGGCTCGGTACCCGATGCGCTGGCGGAGGTGGAGGAGGCGTTCGAGGCGACTGAGGCATTCTGTGCGGCGCGGAGGATGGAGAGTTCGCGGGTGAGGCGGTTGACCTGGAAAATATAGTGTCAGCTGGTGCGTAGTGGTGTGGGAGGACGTCTTGATCTTGAGGTTTTACGTACCACTGCCTCTTGTTCCTTCTCAAGCTCTAGGTGGAGATCTGCCGCCGTCAAGGGGCGTGGATGCCGCAGGGGCCCCGGTCCGGGCCCGACGCCCGTGTTATCGCCCATTGTCGGCCCTGGGAGGGAGGTCGATGCCTGAAAACCCGGAGAAGGCAGACTCGGGGAAGTGGCGGCGTTGACGGCGTTTTGATTCGAGGGTAGAATGTTGAGCGAAGGCGACCCCGGCGCGGGCGGGGGCGGCATTTGTTGAGAAGATGCACGACGCGATAATGCGGCGAGTGCGTGTGGTGAGGGCGGAACCGAGTTGAGATCGGGCATTGCGAGCTCGTGGTCGATGGCTATGTGGGCGGCAAAGATCGCAAACACGGGTTTGAGGGAAGAGCGGCTGCTGTGTACTGTTGTTTGCTTCTCGAGTACCAGCGAGCGAGTCGCGGCGTCGCAAGTGGAGACCCAAATTCTAAGCTCAAGTGCGAGCGAGAAGGAGTGTTTCACCAACTGGCGGTCAAAACAAAGAGGCCGAATAAGCTAGTCAATGAATGGCATGGTACTATGGCCGTTTATGCGGCCTGTCGTGGTGGTGGTGGTTTGGAGAAGGCGGAGGAGGATGGCAGAGCCCCACCGTGCCCACCCAACGGTTACACGGGAATAAAAGACCCCACCAGCAAGGGGTTGCATGCCAAGCAAGATGGGACCACTGAAGTTCAGCGTGCAGCCAGCAAGGTACTGCCGAAGGTCATGATGTAATGCTTTGAATGACGGATGACGGATGATGGAGAGGAGCTTTGATGTCAAGCAGCAGCTCTGTCGCGTATAAAACGAGAGAATCCCGAGCTCCAGTTCTGGATTCAGTCTATTACTCGACACCAATTGCATTTACAAGTACCTAACTTTGCAATCGAAAGTCAAGATTGTGAGTGAGTCCCGAGGAACCCTCTTCCCTTTTCTTGGCAGGCTCTAACAGCAAGCCACCTGGTAGCTCCTGTCTAAGACTGCGCAATACCACAACTCAGCAAAACAACTCTCCCAACGAATCCAAAATGCCCGAGCGCGGTCAATCGCCTCCTCCCGAGCGGTCCACGGGAAAGCAGATGCATGATGCACCTGCGTCCGGCAAAGGAACCGATGACGCCACGAACAAAGAGGACGTTAACAAGAAGGCCCTCGAGGTTGGTGTTTCCTCGGGCTAAAAGTGCTGGATATTACGCTAACACTGGGTAGCATTTGACATCCAACCCCAAGGGACCGATGGAAGATGAAGTCGAAAAAAAGTTTGAGAAGGGGTTCCACCCAAGTACTTGATTTGAGGCTGCGGTGGTAGTCCTGTAAGCGTCGTGTTGAACTTTCTTCTGTTAGTGATAGCGCTTGACAGCAAAGCATGAGTTTCCATCCATAGCATGTCACAATTGAACGCCGTTTAAGAAGCAGTGTAAAACATTTCCTAGTAACCTCATAATGCCTTGTAATGAACGCGTCCTTAGGTAGGCTTGACATTTTCCGCCTTTGGTCAGTCGTCATCTCCTGTGGCAGAATCACATGCACGGAGTGGCATGAAGCGAGGACGCGCGCAGCTCAGCCACAGTTTACGGAGCAGGCAGTGCCCCGCAGTGAGGAGATGACGACATGGTTCGCCCCTCCCCCTCGAAGCTCCCTCCTTGGCAACGAACACGCGCGTCCGAACTCCCATCCGACTAGAAAAGTGCCAGAGCGTTCTTGCGCACCTGATAGTTCCTTCCAGAAACATAATACGATTATCCTTTTGCGTAACATATTAAATTGCGGCCAATCCCTACAACACCTCTACACAACCATTCAGTTGAACGCAATACATCACCCACACACATCAACAAGCATCAACAAGCATCACCAGTCAGCTATCAACATGGCGACTACCGTTTACGTCAAGAATGTCGGCAGTCAGACAGAGGATAAGGAGATCAAGGACTTTTTCAGCTTCTGGTGAGTCGTCTTCTCGTCGCGAGGTTATTTCCACCTCGTCACACACTAACCCCGCTCAGCGGCAAGATCTCCTCCATCGACATCACCACCGAGGGCGACTTGAAGTCCGCCACCGTCACCTTCGAGAAGGAGACGGCCGCCCGAACCGCCCTGCTCCTGAACCACACCCAGCTCGGCGGCAACGAGATCGCCGTCACGGGCGACAACGTGTCGACCCCGCCGCACGAAGCCGCCGCGGCGGGCGACGCCAGCGACGCGGACCGCGACTCGGTCCTGACGCAGGAGGAGAAGCCGCGCAGCCGGATCCTGGCCGAGGTGCTGGCACACGGGTACCTGGTGGCGGACCAGGGCCTGCAGCGGGCGATCGCGCTGGACGAGCAGCACAACATCACGTCGCGGTTCGTGGGCACGCTGCGGCAGCTGGACGAGCGCACCCACGCCACCGACCGCGCCCAGGCCGCCTACGCCAGCTACGGCAACTACGTCATCCCCCCGGCCAACTCGCTGCTCACCGGCCTGGGCTCCTACTTCGAGAAGGCCTCCAACACGCCCACCGGCAAGCGCATCGTCGGCTTCTACACCACCGGCCAGCGCCAGGTCCAGGACATCCACGCCGAGGCCCGCCGCCTGGCCGAGCTGAAGAAGGAGGAGACGGGCGGCAGCCTGTACAAGGGGCTGGGGCTGGACAAGGTCCTCGGCAGGTTCCAGCAGGGCGGTGCCGCGGGCGAGACGGCGGGGACTGCCGCGGCGGAGGGCTCAGAGAAGAAGGACGTTCCGGGTGGCGCGCCGGCCGATGCGGTTGCCACCGAATCCGCGGAGAAACCGATTGCGCCGTCCGGGACGGGGAATCCGGAGACGATTCACTAGGCGGGTCAACTGGTAGGGGATGCGCGATGGTCTGACGAAGTATGAGCAGTGCGGTTTAGTCTTGTTTCCTTAGCTGTGTGTGTTTGGGTTGGAAGTTACAGTATCACTTGCTTTGTTGTTTTCTTGCACTGTGTCTTGGTATCGCGGAAATTGACATGTGAACTTGTTCTTGTCCATCGCTACGTCTAATCCTGTTTGAGCAGCGAATTACCCCCTAATTTCCCAACCATCCTCATATCTCAATATTTTCAGGCAGGCACAGCAGTGAGGCCGATGTCCTTGGTGCATCCAGTTTCATACGACTTTTCGGCCAAATGAACCCGGTATTCACCCCCTACCAGACAGGCAACCCACTCGAACTCCCCAGGCCCCGCGTAGACGAACTGATTATCGACACCGTCAACACTCTCCACAGCAAATGGCTTTGTAATATCGGCATGCTATTTGCGAAATGGTTAGCGAAATGAAATATATCGGCATTTTAGCAATGGGGGGATGTACTTCAACGGAAGTGACGACGGTTGACAGCAAAGCCCATATGGCCGGTCCCACTATCCGCAATGTGAACTTGCTTCCAATGTCGCCATTCTCATCCAGGCGAACGATGGCGTTCTCGGTCATGTTCCTGGAGTCGGAGAACACGACGTATCCCGACTCGTCGTGGAGCTTAACCCCGGCGTAAGAATACTTGCTCAGCGTCTCATTCTTCGATGTGAGTCGGTAATCACCCGGGGCAGCCCGAGCAAGCAGGGCCGCTGTGGCCGCTAGGAAAAGAGATGAAAGCTGCATGGTGACGGGATGAGGCGGGCGATGGACTGACTGCTTGGGGCGATTTGGTATGGCTGACCAAGGTAGACAGACGACTCTGGGTGGATGGCAGATGCTGAGGAGAGCACAGCGAGAGATGCTGGCATCGGGGAGCTATCTTATAGCATTATCTGGCACCTGGACCGTCGTGTTTTGGCCCGGGCCACCGATGTTGGCAGAGGCCGGAGCGCGTCTATTCCCAACAAGGGTAGTCGGCGGAAATCCTTACCATCAGCGCAAAAGTGCAGCAGCTTCCACGCTCACCGCTCGTTGAAGCCAGCTGAGGAGCTGAGGTATGCGGGTCTGTATTCCGTACAGATCAAAGATCGGAAGATCTACACGGGATCGACGAAGATCGGCCGGGATATAACTCTGTATGTATGTACATACAAGGAGCGTGAACGCGTGAGGAATGGAAGTTGACGGACCGGAACGGAGTCGGCGACACGGCGTTTTGGGCAGTGCAGAAAGGCTGGGTAGGTACAGTACGCGCAGGCATTAAGAAGATGTGAGAACGTTAAGTTAGTGTACTGAAGTACTGTGGTCGTGTAAGTGGCGTTTCTTGTGTGGTTAAGACCATGGTGCAGTACCGGCCTAATTATATGTTTCCTTGCTCCAGCCATGCGTTCACGATTAACTCATTAGGTAGGTACCGAGGCCCATACTTAGGTACATAGGTATCTTGGCTACCGTGACCTGACAGTGAGAGGATTGTGTTCCTTGGCTGATGAGGTGCGAATTACCCCCCTGATTACCCACCCATTCTCACATCTTAAATCCCGACAGCAGTGAGTTGGATGTCTTTGAGGCATCCGGTGTCAACCTCTGTTGCGGCCAGATGAATCTTGAGTTGGCCCTCTTCACCACAGACAACCCACTCGTACGTGCCTTCCTGGCCCCCCTTGTAGACGAACTGATCATCGACACCGTCAACGGTCTCGACAGCAAATGGCCCTGTGATATCATCCTGTTTGAAATGGTTAGCGAAATCAAATACACTGCCATTGTAGGCATGAAAGAAAATTACCCGGTCGGGACTGGCGGCTGCCACCAAAGCCCACTTGCCCGAGCCAACTGTCCGCAATACAAATCCGTTTCCAATCTCGCCCTCCTCGTTCAAGCTAATGATGGCCTCCGGGCCGATGGCGTCGAACACGACATTTTTCGACTGGATATGCTCTTTGGCGGGACCAAACTGTTGCAGCAGCGCATCGCCTGATTCGAGTTGGTAATACTCAGCCGAGACAACCTGAGCAAGCAGGGCTGCTGTGGCCGACAGGAAAAGAGATGAAAGCTGCATGGTGAATGAAGCGGGTGATGGGCGGCTTGGGGAGGTTTGGTATTCTGAACAAGGTAGGCGAGTCTGGGTGAATGGCGGATGCTGAGGAAAGAGGAAGGAGACAACCTATGGGAGACTGTTTGTCTGAATAATATAGCATTCTCTGATGCATGGCCTGTCACAATTTCGGCCGTGCCAGTGGCCGCAATCTTGTGATCGCCCGCCACCATTGACACGAATCACACGATGCCTGTGGGCAGAGACTGAGAGCGTCGCGTGTCGAGCGCGTCTATCCCCGACAAGGGTGATCGGCGGAGATCCTTGCCATCAGCGCAAAGGGATCCAACAGCCTCCACGCTCACCGCTGCCTGGAGCCAGCTGAAGTTTGAGACACGCCATGACTTGGTTAGTGGAGCTGATGAACACGCTCACTGACAGCCTGGCTCGCATTCCAAAAACGGAACAGGAAGGGTAAAAATGGGAGGAGATCTGAACGGTAAAAGGGAGTGACCGGGGAGAGGAGCTGAGGTAGGCATCGATCAAAGGTAGGGAGATCGACGGGAGATCGACCAAGATGAACTCAAGTAGAAAGCTCGCCTTACCCCAACTACCTAGGTAGTTATATCTCGTTTATTAGGGAACTTCTCGCAGTGAAGGCAGGATTTGAAGAGGCAAATGAGGCACTGCCAAACGGCGGAGGGCAAAAAGACGAGGGCACATCTCGAATGGTTACTCAAGAGTAGCACATTCGTATGATTTACTGGTTCGAGGAGAGGTGCGTATGGGCAGAGCGTGAACGCTTGAGGTGGAAGCTGTCTGACCAAAACACAGTCAGGTCCAGCGTTTTGGACAGTGCGGAAAGACTGCCCGGGTACACCACGCGTAGGTTATGATATATATGTATTTCCAGATTATCCCGCGCCAAAAAGCCACCGCGGTGTTGTAAGTGCCGTTTTTGTTGTGAGATTTAGACCATCATAGTACGTACCTAGGTGTATTGCCTAGGTACCTATATGTAGGTACATGTACTTACCTAATAAATAGTAAACGCCGTAGCGCGAACCTAAAGCACCAAGTAGAAAAGGCCGCCTGTTAACAAGCCTTCAACCGTATACGCTAGTGTCGTATTGCTATTCCGCCCGACGTCGTCCGTACTTGTCCACCTCCCCACCCGGGCCCGATTTCCCTCCCTCCCTCCGCCCCGAGTCCCGGCCACCCGAAGTCTTCGTCGACTCTCGCTTCTTTGTATTCCCATCACGAGCATGGTGTCGCGCCTCTGCCTCCGGTGGAGAGCTCGAGCGGGAGCTCGACCTAGAACCCGCCCTCGACCTCGACCCAGAGGGTGACTCGGAAGCAGACAAAGCCCGGTCGGCATGGCGGTCACGGGGGTCGTTGTAGCGGTCATGCTCGTACGGCGGCGACCCGTCCCGATGCCTGTCGCGCCGCGGCAGGGGCGGGTCGGCGAACCCGTCCTCCGCGTACCCTCTTCTTCCGCCGCCGCGTCTGGAGGTGCGCTCATCGGGCCACACCCCGTTGCCGTAGTACCCGTCGTCGTCGTCATCGTCATAATAGCCCGACCGTGCGCTCCGATGGTGCCGGCTCCCGTCATCGCGATGGGCGCGGGCCCCCCGCCTGGGCCGGTTGCTGCTGCTGCCGTGGTGGTACGGGTCGTCCGGTTTGGGGTCGGGGCCCTTTGCGCGCTCGACGCGCCTGTAGGCCAGCTCGCTGTCCGACATGTCGTGCAGCTCCCGCCGCATCCGGTCGAACTCGGCCGTGGCCTCGGCGACCTGCTTGAAGTGCTTCTTGCCAATGTAGGGGGGCGCGTCCCGGGCCCGGTCCGATCGATGGCGGGAGGATCCGTTGCCGTCGGTCTCCTCCGGGGCCCGCTCCCGCTGCTGGAAGTGTGCTAGCGACGCGGCGATCTGGAAGGCGTTGCGGATCTGCCGTCCGTTCCACCGTAGCGACTTTTCGCCGTCGTAGTGCTTCCTGGCAAACCTTAGGATCTCGTCTTTGCGGATCGTCATCATCCGGTTGGCGGACCCCTTGCTCGCCCGCCGCGCCTTGACCCGCGCCTTCTCGATGTCCTCGAGCCGCCCGATGTTCATTTTGAACAGCTCGAGCGTCTGATCTAGGGTGAAGGCCGGGTAGTTTAGGCTGACATGCACCCGCGACTTGACTGCCTCATCGAGCACCCCGGGGCGGTTTGTTGTCAGGAACAGGATCCCTGGGTAGTACTCGAGTGTTCTGAGGAAGACTATTAACATCATTGTTAGTAAGTAGAAGTAGTCAACATCCAGCGGCGGTCACGGGTGAAGCCAACGTACTTGACACCTAGAACATTGAATTCAAAGTCAGCGTTGTCACCATTTTTAAAACACTTTTTAGGAATAAACCAAAGTGGGAAAGGGGGAAACGTACCATAGCGTTGCGAGTGATGCTCTCGTCGCCTCTCTCTCGCTGGGACAGGAAGATGTCCGCTTCGTCCAAGAGTAAGATGCTGTTTAGTTCTCGTGTAAGCCATACCATCCCGACGCTTGTCGCGAAACGCTAGAAATCAAATAGAACGTAAATGTAATGGAGAGGGGTAAGAAAATGCATACCAATCCCACAGGCTAGCCAGGCGGAAGATCTGCTTCAGTCCTCCCTCGACAGTTTCAGGGGTGGTCCCGAGATCACCACAAGTGATCAGAAACAGCGGCCGCCGGCGTGAGAGGGCGACAGCCTCGGCTGTGGCGGTCTTACCCACCCCCGGCGCGCCGTGCAGCAGAATCACCAGGCCTTGGCCCTTGCCCCTGATGAAGTCCTGGTCTGGCAGAGTCAGTTCAAGGTCACCGCCGCCGCCCCCTTTGTTGCCGTGGGATGCGGCGAGCTGCTGCAGCTGCGCGGCCAACGTCTTCTTGTCGAAGTGTTCGTGAACGATGGCGAGGATCATGTCCTTGTGTTTTTGGTTGATTTTGAGCAGGTTGAATGGGCTCGTATCCTCCGGTGGCCAGGTGATTTCTCGTATGGAGGACACGTCGGCGTTGAAGAATTTCCTTATCAGTTCCTTTTCTTTAGCAGTCTCTCTCGCGGTTATTCAAGCGGTCTCCGTTCTTACCTGTCGCGCAATGAGTAGGCCATGACCCTTGAGGGAAGCAGGACAAGATCACGGTCCTCAAATATCTGCTTTTCCGCCGCTGTGTCATCGTTAGGATCGCTGCTGCTAAACGGATCAGTCTGTACCAGGTTGTTCCACAGGACGCTCGCCACGCGGTCGTCGGCAACAACCAACTCGCGCACTCTTGCGGTGACTTCCTCCTCCCGGCTCTCATCGGCCCAGCACATGATGGAGAAGCTATCGAACAGGACGTCGGGCATAGTATCGACGCGGGACTTGGAAGTGTCAAAGTCGGGTCGCCAGGCGGGAATGGTCTGGTAAGCTTCCTGAAAATCCACGATGATGTTGCTCGAGATGTACTCGGGCTGGATTTCGGCCGCCGGGCCGACACCCATGGCATCGCGTATGGTCTCGCGGAAGGTGTCGTGCAGCCACGACGAGCTGACCGCCTGGCGTGTCATTGTGATGGGCTTCCCTAGAGGGGTCGTGGTCCTCGACCAGCCGTCGTGAGCGAAGAAGGCGTCCCGACCGCCGCGGGCCTTGGTGACGAGGTCGCGGAACTGCTGGCCCCTGTCACGGAGTTGCATAAACAGGCTCTCTTCGTTTTGGAGGAACCGAGTCGGGAAGACAGGCAGTTTGTGGATTTCCATCTCGCCGCGGAAGAACTCGATCTCGATGTAGGTGCTGACCGGGGCAAATTTGGTCCCGTCGTAGTCTAGATAGAAGCCCTCCACTCCGACGGGCTCCCTCAACAACGTTCTCCGGTAGTCGTTCTCGTCGGGATCGTCGCTGAGGCTGACATCCCACTTGTAGTTGGATATGCTGATCCCCTTGGCGCGGATGACAGTGTGCGTGTCAACCGACGCAGAAGCGCCTCCCGACGGTCCCTGGTGTGCGGTTCGGAGGCCATCCCGTCCGTTGAAGTAAGGACTGAAAATGGCTGCACGGTCCTGCCTGCGCACTGCAGACGAGTTGTTTGGCCGACAGAGAAGCTCGCCGTAGCGAAAGAGACACCAGAGATCGTCGAATCTGATATTCTTGGGCTTGTTGTGGTTGGCTTCGTCGAACTGGTTGTAGTGCTTTATCAGAGTAGTATCAACAAACTCGACGTAGCACTTCATCTGCTGATATGCATCGCTGGACACCATTGCCTCCTCTAAAGCCTTCTCCTTGGTAGGTGGCCCAATCTCGCGTGGCTGGACTGTCGCCTCCCTGTGGTGGGAATGTGGGACGCCGAATCTGACCTTTAGCTTCTTCAATTCTGCCCGCATCATGTCCTGGTTATGGATCAGGAAGGCAAATGGAATCAGGAAGGTGTGGGGTTTGAGGGGCCACGAGCTGTTACCGCTGACGCGAGCAAGGTATGTATTGACGATGGAGGAGTTGATCCGGATGCGTTCAAACTCAAGCCCGGTCGTCCACGTCGCGGCATGCCTGGGCTGCGTGGGGCGTCTGTGTCCGTTCAGGTGCTTCTCCCTCCTTTCCTTGTCCATGCGTCTCAGACGCTCCGCCTCTATATCTTCGTCGAGAGTCTCACTCGTCATCAGGAGCTCGATGGTGGCGATCTCAAAGCCTGTCTTGTCCGCATTTTGGAACCGGTTTTTGAACCGTTCCCAGGTGCACTTGACTACCTTAGGTTCCGTGCGGAGATAGAAACTGGCGTCCTCTCCCGGCTTTACCGCTCGCACCGCTGACTTGGGTTCCTCAGTCTTGTGGGGTTTGGGTGGCTCACTGGGCTCAGGGTCAGGATACGGTGCCGCGGGTTTGGTTAAGTCCGGAGAGCCATGCTTCGGGGTCGCCTCTGCCTTAGAAGCCATGCTGACTGCGGACGGAGGAGGCACAGTGCCGCTTTTGCTGCTTAGGTTTGGTGTCTGGCGACGATCGACGCGAGAGAGAGCGCTTTCTCTGGCAGAAGACACACAAGCCATGACCCTCTTCCAGAGTCACATCCGCGTATCGTCTGGCACACCAAAGGGTAGTGAGACCCCTCAGTATCCAGGTGGTGCTTATTTCGTTTAAGAGTCAAGAGGGGCAAGGAATAGAGGTTGAAACGGTGCTGGCGAGAGACGGGATGGCGACTCTGGGTTGGGACTAGGAAGATCGGAGACGGCGTGGCTTTTACGTTGCTCGCAACCTGGCCAAGCCATAGCCTGGCCTTCCCTCGGAATGTATTCGCATCACTCATTTTGCGTGGGGTTTCACGACAGGCAATGAATGCAGGAATTGGCTCATTGATGTCCAGTCAGAATACAAGGGCGCCGCCACAGTGTTGATGTGTGGGGGCAGAGCCGCAGAAGCATAAGGACGTAACCACACCCCACGCCACGGCCTCGGGTTTGAGCTGTCCCTTCCTTGACCCCACGAGTATGGGCTGCGGACGCTGACGTGGCATGTCCGGTTCAAGACCGATCGTCGAGATGAGGGAGAACGCGGATTTCCAGCCCATGATATTCACCATGGACTCAGAATCCTGATACCGAAACTGTAGATGGATGGAGCGTGACCTCCCATGTACTTTCTATGCTTCTGTCGCTAGTAGCTAATTCAAAATTGATGATTATAACCTCCCTAGCTGAGGGCCCATCGACCCGTTTCCCAAAGTCGGAAAAGAACATTGAATCAATATGTACATTCAGCCATGCAGGAAGCCGAGACGAGACTGGGAGAAGGAGTGATCGGCCTGCCATGCAGCTCCCATTTCATCAGGGGTTACCCCATGTTCCCGCCTCTTGATTCGGCCAAACTTGCATTTCTCGGATACCCCGTCAAGTGATCAATGAATGGTAACCTGGAGGACGGCTTGCAGCTTCAGCTCTCTTGGTCCTCCTGCTCTCCCAGGTTTCCACATCCCCTGCTGCTTCTGCTCTCCCACTTTGAGACCTAGACTGAGATTTTCCCATAGCCGGACCCTCAGTCAACTTTCCGGAAGCCCCCTAGTCGAACAAGTGAGGACGAGGGGCTTTCATCTTCCTCATACATGGTCACATTTACTCTCCAAAAAGCAAGGACCGCCGCCGGCGCAATAACGATACCATGGATCTGGAACAAAACCTTCCGCAGACCTTAGTGGAGCAACTTAACGATGAAACAAATATTGAGTTGTTCCGGACGTATTTCGAGACCAATGGAACGGTCTATTCGCGCGAGGTGGCCACCACGAGCTTCCTATACGACAAACAGAGTTCTGAGCTCGTTTACGGGCGTGGCCAGCAGTAAGGCAACTAGTCCTTGCCAGATTAACAGCTTAGAAAATGGCTGACGTGACGCTACCCGCTCTAGAGCGACACAGAATGCCATCAAATGTTACGTGCGCGAAGATTCCATCGGCGTCAACCCAGAATCCTGCACGTGGGAAAACGTCCTGGATAAAATGGATGAGGCCAAGGAAGAGTAGGAGGGTAAAAGCAAGTTTTGGGGCCATGGGGGTGGCATCGAACGCAACATCCTCCCCCTGCTCGAAGCCATTCCTACGGACAACGGACTAGGCCTGTTGAAGGGTGCCTTGACGGTGATCTTCCATGTAAGTCGTCCCCCTCAATGAACCGTATCAGGGTCCTAGACAACGCAGCGAGGAAGTCAATGACTCGGCTGACCTCTCCGACAGGCGGTCAAGAGGAGGTCGGACGCATGCCAGCGAATATTTACCTGCTTCTCCGAAATCCCGGAGATGATCGCAAAGGGCTACACTTTAACCATAATCCACTCTGGCAAGCCTGAGGTTGCAAGCAAGGTAGAGAACCTTCACAATGCACTCTTCGACTCCATACCTTTGCTCATCGACATTCTCCTACGACGAAACCGGACCTCTGGTGGCCAATCGGGTGAGTCCTCCTCCCATGGGGTGCTCGTGCACTCGCAAAAAGGATGCTGACGCCAGTGCAGACCGACGGAGACGCTGGAAGCGAGCCACAGACAAGGTTGTCAGGGTAGCTAAGGACTTGGTCGGGGACACCGTCCAAGAGGTGGAAGACTTGATCGCCCCAATAACAGACGCTGTCTCCAAGCTCGAAGATTGCGCTACCATGCTTAACCACGAAGGAGTGGAGGTGACGGTCGAAGGGGTGGCCGACCTACAAGTCAACGTCCAGCTCATCAGGGACATGGTCAAGTCCAAGGGTACAGAGGTCAGCGGCAAGCTCGACATGGTCAACAAAAAGGTGAATGATATAAAGTCACGCCAAGACCGTATGTCGGAAGATTTTCGCTCCTTCGTCAATGTACTATTCCGGTTTGTCATGGAATTCGAAAGGAAGAGAAAGCTCGAAAGTTTGTCTTTAGCCCCGGGCCAGGGAGCAGATGGACGAGCACTCAAGCATCGCCGGCGCGAGTTCCCAGGCTCCCGAAGGCAGTTAAAGCAGTTTCAACCGGCAGGCAAGCGTCTCCATGATGTCGACATAGACCGCCTGCTCGAGGTTATCGGCACAGACGACGAGCACCTGGTCTTCCACAACGACAGGGACCGTCTGATGCGCATGCAAACCTTGTTTTTACCCAAAGCCTTGAGGAACGCATACCACATTATGGAGAGCAAGGAGCTAGGGATCTGGATGTCTTCGCCGGAGTCAGAGCTCATGATTGTGGACGGCGCCTGTCGAGATCAGAGCAGGGGCAGGGTCTCGCCGATGACGGTGCTCTGCGCCTCGATCGCGGTAGGGCTGGCCGCCAAAACCGCCTCCCCCAATCCTGGGATGGAGCCGGCCGAGGCTGTCGTGCTATTCTTCGCGTGCGGTGAGCACATATTGCCGTCCGGGCTGCTCCCGGGACCCTGTGGGATGATGCGCAGTCTGATCAGCCAGCTGCTCATCGCCCGCGACCTACCGTGGAACCCGAGCCGGGACTCCAAGGGTCGCGTGCGCTACGAGCGCCACCCCGATCTCTCGTTCCTGGCTGAATCGGCCACTCTATGGCCAGAAGTCCTCAGGCACAGCCCCACCAGTTCCAGCTCCGACTTCACTGCCGGTGGCTCCCATGGTCTCCAAGTGTCGCCCTTCGGCCGTGACAAGAAACGCCGCCGCCACGACGACACCGAGGACTCCCATAGCGACCTCAGCTCCAAGTCCGACTCCGACTCCGACTCCGACTCCCACAGCGACTCAGACTCCGACTACGACTACACAACCGGCACCTACAAGCCCGATCCCCAGCACAAACCCCATTCCCACCCTAAGGCAACCCCCGGCCCGAACCCCCAAGTTCAACAAACCCACCACCTCGACACCCTCCTCACAATTTTCACCACCCTCACCCACCAACTCGCCCCCCACTTCACCCTCCACACCATCATCGACGGCATCTCCCACTACGAAACCACCACCACCACTGACAACCAAAACTGGCACGCCCAAACCACCCACCTCCTCCACCGCCTCGCCACCGACCTCTGGCTTGACACAAACGGCCGCAACGGCCCGACATTCAAACTGCTCCTGACGAGCCCCGGGCGGTCTCGCACGCTACTGGGCTTAGTGAGGGATAATTATGTGGGTGACGGAGCGTTGTGTGTAGATATGGCTGTGCGGGGGGCGGGGGCGGTGAGGACGAGGGGGGAGTATATGGGGATTAGGGGGTTGGGTGTTGAGCGGGTGGTGGGGGGTGGGAGGCCGCGGTCGAGTGGGGGGAGCTGGGAGGGGAGTAGGGAAAGGAAAAGGGGAGTCAGGGAGGGGTGGGAGAGTGAGGGGGGTGGGGATGGGGGCGGAAGGAGATGGGGCGGGGGAGGTGGAGGGAGGAGGCGTGAGGGGGTGAGGCGGGAGGTGAGGTTGTGAATTCTGAAAAAGGGGGGGAGGAGGAGGGGTGGGGGGGTTGGAGTGGGAGGTAGGGATGATGTATTTGTATCTAGCATTTGTTCTGGAAAATTTGTCGATGGGGGCCGGTTTCTGTTTGGACTCTTGAGATCCGCAACAGAGAATGCGCAGGGTAGCCGTTTCTAGACTCGAATTAATCCAAGATACCAACGCACTTTCGAGTGAGGTCCTGGACCTCGCCCACTATCTGCAAGACTAGATACTTATTAAGCTGCTCGAGGCGCTGAACTCTCCCCCCCCCTCCAAGACAACCCCTTCCCCCCCGTTACACGGCACAGTCACTGACTCCGCTGGAAATGTGCTTGAGCAGCAAGTCACGGCGTGGCTTGAGGTATGTCATCAACCACCTCGCCGGTGGCAAGGAGACGTTTGCCCGCTGGAAGTGGAAGGTGACTGGTCGGTGGGCGTTGCCTGTGCAAAAGCATTGGTCAATAGGTACCCGAAGGAGACACAGAGTATCGATACACACCATTTGATAAAAGGCTCGCCCCGCTTGATCATATCCCGGCGCGGTTGCCCTGGACGCCGCAGCATGGTCCCTGAGCAATCTACAGGCGAAAACTCAGGCATTGGAGGCCAGTCAATAGCCCCGGGCGCGGGCGCCTGCTCGCTGCCCTGGAGCTCCTTGTTGCCTCCCTGCTTCCGACTTTGAACCCAATCGTCAAGGACGCGTCGGTACTCGGAGACGGTGACGCCCTCCTCGAGTCGGACGTCGGGATGCTGCTCCCAGTCCTCCATCTGAAGTGCGGTAGAGACTGCGAGCTCGTCGGCGTAATAATCCTCCTCGCGAAACCTATGGTCACGCGTAATGATCTCAAAGACGGTGATGATGGCGAGCTTGACGTCGTTTCGATTCTCCTCATGGCCAAACTTAGCACACAGATTGAAATCGAAGAGCTTAAGACGGTCGGTCTCCGGGTCGATCAGGAGGTTCCATATAGAAATGTCACCGTGAGCGACTCCCAGGCTGAGGTTGAGGTAGTCAATGGCCTGCAGAAGACGTTAATAGCTGTTGGCAAGTAGCACGTCTTTCAGGTGCGTAATTTAGGTCGACGAACCGTTGTGAGTTGCCTAAGATGCTCGAGTCTGAAGATACGGCTCACGTTATCCGCAATGGTGCCTCCTGCGATAAAGGGGGTTGTAAAGCCAACAACCATTTCAGGGCCACTCGCAGTTACCGAATCAATAACAAGGCGGTCCAAGGGAACAATGTTTGGATGGCTGGGAATCCTCAGAGTACAGTTGACTTCGCGCCAAAACATGGAGACATTGCCCTCGTTGGTGTAGTACTTGAAGACAACATGCCTCGTCTCGCCAGGGGTGGGTTCATACGTTGTATGGTCTACTTGAAGTCCAAGTCTCTCGATCTCGGTCATCTGCGAGCGGTAAACCTTGGGGACCTGGAGTTTAGGCGAAAAGTCAGCCGGCGAAGGGTAGAAGGGAATTTTGGTCATATCGCGGTCGGAGGCTGTAGAGAGTAGTTCGAGGTCATTCGAAACGGCGATACGGGCGATATATGGTGGAAGATCGTCCATGAACTCCTCGAGGGCCTCAAAGATAAATTCCTCGTCATGTTGCCCCTCAGGGGTGTAGACCGAGATGGTGCGACGCTGGTCCCAGTCTATAACGATGTGGTAATAACCGTCCTCTTTCCCTGGATGCCAACTGGTAAATACCGACTTGAAGCGCGAGTCCAGGTCATACTCCTCAAAGTAACCCATTGCGTGAGAAGCACAGTAAGAGGTCAGGGATTGGGAGCGGGGAAGTTGGGGGAGGGGGGTAAATCTGGAAGAAGGGGTTTGCGAGGAGAAGAATTCGAACCAGCGTCGGGGAGTCGTGCTGGTAATTATATAGGTTGCCAGCCAGGTGTGGCTTGCCCAAGATTGTGGCTGGACCGGGTTGACCTGATAGGTCTCCAGCCATTCTTGGCCCCCAACATGGCTGAGGAACACAGAGTTGGTCCCTAACAAGGTCAGGTATAAGCACCTAGGCAGGGAGTGAGAGTTGGGTGGGAGACGGGGTTTGCCCGGCACGAGAATAACACGTTGAGAACGTGGAGTAGCGTTGGATTTGAAGGCGGGTAGGTACCTAAGATAGGTAGGTACCTAGCTTAGGTAGGTAGTTAAAGGTCATCGATTGTCCACGCTCGCCCCTGGCTTGAGAAAAGGGGCTGGTCCCCATTCGTAGAGTTTCCCACTACTACAATCGTTTCTAGGAAATACAAGCTAGACCCCATATGACTTGTTTCTTTGTGACTTATCCTCGGTAGCGTACTTAGTTAGGTACTGTCGTCAAACTGGTTGGATGGCTGGGGTGGTCGGTTGACCCCTGAGTCGTGACTTGGAAGCCGGGGCACCAACTTACAAATTACCCGACAGTCAGTCGTTGATAGACAGTTCTTGTAGTGGGCCTGGCTGCCTGGGTATCCGAAACCAACTTTTACCTATTGTTGGAAGACAAGGGTACCTAATATGCAACAACCTTGAACCTGTTGGTGCGCGACATCAACGCGACGAGTAGGGGGTTGATCCGATTGGCGAATTCACCACGCCCACAAACAATCGAAAGAATACCTATTATTAACAGGCTACTCGCAATATTTTGTTATCCCATCAACTACAAGCCTACAACCGAGGTACGCTACCCAATTATCGACACACTTCACACCAACCACGCCATCCGGCAACATGCCCCCCATCACCTCGCGGGGACAGGCGACGGACCCCCACCGAGACCTACGTACACGGTCCCGGACTCGAACATCCCACTCTTCACTGGCGCGATTTCCTGCGCCCTCCGCACCCTATCTGACCCGGCAGACATTAATCCCGGAGACACCTGCGCGATCGATGTATGGGTGGGGGCCTTTAACGACGCCTGGCAAGACGCGTTTATAACCGCTGCGCGCCGATCGAATGGACGGGGATACGATGCCCCGTAGTAGACCGAGGAATGCTACGAGGCCTGGACGGAATGGAAGAATACGACGGGATTCCTTAATCCCAGGCGCTGCGCCTATTATAGAACTCGATCCTAGACCCCCAGGACCTCCGGAACCCCCAGCTCCCCCCCCCCCGAAGGGGACCCTGCAAGTAAGTAAAGGAAACGTTTTCTAGCAACGGTTTATAGGGCGAAACGGTAGTACTGGATAGACCTGCTCAACGATATATCCTCTAATATAGACCTCTATAAAGTAGTTATCTAGTATAAGCAAACCTCTAACCGGCGGGCCCTACCGATTCGGATAGGCGATTGTAAGATTAACGACCTAGTAGAGAAGGCAAGGTATATCGCTAGGTGTGACGGCCCGGCGCAGTCACAACAAGGTTGGTTACGTAATGAGCCACTTATACACTGCCCCACCCTCGGCACCGGGGGATCCACCTTTGGCGCATCCACTCTCGACACATCCGCCAATCAGCACGCTTGGTTCTGAAGCATCCACTTTCATTCACTGAATACCAAGACAGGTCCCTTGTTGATTAGATACAGGGGCTCTGTATCTGGGAACTATCCAGGAACCTGTGAAAGCAACAGCAACAGCGACCGACCGGAACCGACCGTCCCCTCGTCTATAAAAGGCCGCTGTTTCTCCCCTGGAACCGCACTTAGTTTAGTTCTTTACTTTTAGTTGTATTTTCGTTATTGGGTACAACCTTCAGGCTCGTCCTAAGTTCATTTGTGCACGCCGTGACACTAGGTTACTGCCAGAACGCTTCTCTACAGTTAATAACCTCGATTATAATCCCCTGGTAAATTGGGACCCTATCGAGGCCAATCCCCTACTAGCCTACGGTAGTCCGGTATCCCCTAAGGAGGTAGCGGCCCGGACGATCGGGGTAAAGAGCACCTCGCCGGGTATCGATCGTACCTCTGTCAAATTGATGAAAGTAACCTGGCACCTTATAGATCCGACTATTACCGCCCTCTTTAATAAGTGTCTGGCAGTAGTATACTACCCTAGGCTATAGCGGGCCTCTGAGGTAGCCCTTATTCCGAAACCCGGTAAGCTAGACTACTCTAATATAAAGTTGTACCGGCCGATTACACTTATCTTATACCTCGGTAAAGGGCTTGAAAGGATTATAACTAAAAGAATGACCCTCGGTGCTATATAGGCGGGGATCGTTAGTCCTCAATATATTGGAGCCCTCTCGAGATAGTCGGTACCTAACCTCGCCTCTATACTTATATATAATGTTGAGTAGGCCCTTTCGAGGGGAGGGGTTGCTATATTTATAACGATGGATATATAGGGTACTTTTAACGCCCTATTCCCTAGGAGGTTCCTAATATAGATAAGACTCTAGGGCTGGTATATTAATACCCTCCGGATGGTTTAGTTGTTTCTATCCGAATATACGATATAGGCTCGGCTAGACAAAGCCTATACTAAGCTTCTCCTAGTTCCCTATAGGATATTGTAGGGCTCCCCCTAGTTCCTTATACTCTATATTCTATACCTGGCCGAGCTTCTATAGGTTAAACCCCGACTCTACTTCGGATATACTAACAACGTTGCCCTCCTATAGGTTGGGACTAACAGTAATCTTGATAATAATGTCTGAATTATTACTGAGGATATCTAGTTAGTTCTGGAATATAGTAATGTAAATAAGATCTACTTTATAGCTAGTAAGTTGGAACTTATCTACTGTGACGAACCTGTCTCTGGACCCGTCCTGTTAGGGTTCAGTATCGGTCGAAGGTATTCTCTCAAGGGTGCTTAGGTTCGGTGCAGCCAAAGGGTGCACAACAAAGACTTGTCTCAACAGTAGGCTCTCGAGCTTGTAGCGAACTGTAGTTGTGATTGCTAACTGGAGAACTCCCAGAGCTCTCCAGAACGAGTGACTATATACTATCTAATCCTGTTGCTCATTATGCTCACGAGTCTTGGCTCTGAGCACATTGAGCACCATGGCTCTCGCTTCTTACTGGCTGAGTGCCTCGTCGGGTGATTGGTCCGGGGTTACTGCCATCATACCCCGCCGGCCGGCTGCATGCGGCCATATCCGTGACACGATGCCCCTCCCCTGAGGTCGACGCCCCGACGACTTGTTCCCTTTGCCAACTTCCTTGAAGTAGAGCCAACAGCCCTAAAATTTCTTGGTAAGTGCATCGCTTCTTCCTTCCGTCATCGACAATCATGCCCCCTAACCGTGTGCGCAAGAATCGTTTTCAGAAGTCCAGCACCGATCGCCGTCGTACTCGGGCCGACATTCTCAGTGCTGTGGCCCTTAAGATGGTGCGCTGCACCCGTTGCAAAGAAAAGCAAATTCCTGATTGTCGTGTCCCTCCCGGGGACGATACCTGCGTCTCTTGTTCTCGTGTTGGGAATGCGTCGTGCGATTCCTTTGGTTACGACGATTCTGCGGTCCGTATTTTGGTTGAGCGGAAACGCCGTCTGGACGCCGAAGAGGCGGAGGCCAACGAAGCGATTCGTTCTGCGAATCAGGCGCTCGTGGCTGCCTTAGCGACGGCGGAGCGCCTCCGCGCCCAGCGCCTTGCCCTGGACAAAAAGGCCCTGGCGATGTTTGAGCAGGAGGGGGAAGTTCTGGCAGAGCAGGAACGTCAAGAGGCCGCTGTCGCGCAACCGACCTCGTCGGGTTCTGCTGGTGCCTTTCCTTTCGATCCCTCCTGGGCCCAGGGGTGCGTCCCTGTCCCGCCTCCCCTTATTCCTGGGTCCCTGCTGATCGTGCTAGTTTTTCTTCGGACGACCCCTTCCTCGCCGGGGTCGATCTGTCCGTGGGGTTTCCTTTGGTCGGTCCGGGTTCCTCTGGTGGAACTCCTGAAGTTTCTCGGGGCAGTTGAGATTCGTAGCTGGTTGCCATGAATTGTCTTCTGGGCCAAAGTCTAGCCATTTGACCAAGTATTCCAACTGTCCTTTCGTGATGCGTGAGTCTAGGACTTCCTCAACGTCCCATTCCTCCTCTTCATCTTCTGCCTCGACGTCCCTGCCGAGTCGTACGTTCTTGGGCGCTGGTTCCAGAAGTGAGATGTGGAAAACGTTGGTCCGTAGTCGCATTGTCGAGGGTAACGCGAGTGCGTAATTGTTCTCCGAAATCTTTTTGTCGATCTTGAACGGTCCGATCTTGCGGAAGTCGAGCTTCCTGCTTGGTCGTTTTGTGCGAAGGTTTCGAGAGACGAGGTAAACTTTATCCCCCTCCTCCAGGCGAGGTCCCTCGAGCCTGGTTCTGTCGTAGAACTTCTTCATCCTTGTTCGTACGAATTCGAGTTCTTCCTTGAGCATCGCGTGCAGCGAGCTCATTTTGTCGGCTTTGACTGCTGCTCTGGGCACCAAGACTTCGGGCCCTTGTCGCAAATCTGCTTCGTAGCCGTAATTCGCGAAGAATGGCGTAACCTTTGTGGTTTCCGTGACGGTGGTGTTGTAGGCGAGTTGTGCCGTTGGCAGCAGCTCGACCCAATCGTCCTGCTGGAAGTTGACATACAACCGTAGGTATTGTTCGACAACCTGGTTGAGTCGTTCCGTCTGTCCGTCCGTTTGTGGGTGGTAAGCGGTCGAAAGCTTACTCTTCGTACCCAGCTTCGTCATCAAAGCTTGCCAAAACTTTGATGCGAACTTTGTGTCTCTGTCCGTGATCCATTCCTCCGGCCATCCGTGGACTGAGGTGATGTTGCGGTAGATCACATCTGCGAGTTGTTCTGCTGACCATGTCTCCTTGTAAGGGAGGAAGTAACTCCACTTGGTGAGTCTGTCCACCATCGTGAGGATGCTGTCGTATTCTACTCCCGTTACTGAGTCCTTGGAGGCTGGTAGTTTGGTGATGAAGTCCATCGTCACCGAACTCCATGGTCGTTCTGCAACTGGCAATGGCTGTAGTAGCCCGTACGGCTTGTGTCGTCCTGGCTTGCTCCGCTTGCAGAGGTCGC